CCATGACAAATCCACTGCTGGATGAATACATCCACGTAGCCATCGCCATCCCTCATGATCCTGCAATGCAGTAATCCACATGGACAAGAGCTGATTTCATCGCTCCATCTCCCAAGTGCACAGCCTAAACATGGGCTGTACTATATTGACATATTTACAGTATCTGTTTCCCACAAGTGCAGTGGATTTTATGTTATGCTGAACGTATTTTGTTCTCACCGAGTGCAATACCGATGCACATTAACTGTGGAACTGTGTTTGCGAAAGGCCACTTTCTGTCAGGATCTATGTATGCACAGTGGTCCCTTGGTTAACGATGTTAATTGGTTCCACGAATACCATCGTTAATTGAAATTATCTTCTTTGGTTCTTTCGGTAAAGTCACGTAGAATGAGAATAAAATAATAAATTGATAAAATAAAATAACACAATAATATTCTCACGACGTTTCGGCCACAACACAAGCGGCCTTCATCTGGTGAAGGGGCGAGACTGTCTCGAGACTGTCTTGTGTTGTGGCCGAAACGTCGTGAGAATATTATTGTGTTATTTTATTTTATCAATTTATTATTTTATTCTCATTCTACGTGACTTTACCGAAAGAACCAAAGAAGATGAATCATTGCAGTCACGAAAGCTTTAAATCGAAATTTAATTGAAATTAGTTAATCGAATATAGGGAACACATGTTTAAGGCTTCATTTGTTCCAAGACGATCGTAAGTTCATCCTTTTCACCTTAAAAACATAGTTCACGTTTCAACAATTTCGTTTTATTGATCTTACAGTAAATCCCTGTTAATTCGACACATATGGGCTCTGGCCTTGCCAAATTCTCCAATATTCCGAATTATGTACAATAGTATTCCCCAGTGCTTCCTGCCCTGTTTCATCAACGTTGTATACCTGCGCCATGCAGAGTTGAGATGCTTCAATTATCTCGACCAGGTGCTTCCTCAAGGGATCAACACTGGCCTGGTCATCACTTGCAGACTCCCAAACAACTTTGGGGTTTCCCAAGCAGTGACGACTTCGAAAGTTGAACAGCCAGCCAGCCAGCACTTGCGTTGAAGCCTTGAATATGCAGATGTTGCACCAGGCGTACTGCAGCATGTTTAATGTCCACACCACGGACGTTGATGCCAGCTGCACGCTCCTGTTTGTACCACTTGTACACTGCACTATCCAAGTCAGCAAATTGCGCAGCCTTGATCCTCTTATGTACCCTTTTTTGGAGCTGCTAGGATCCTCCAAGGTTAAGGCGTGCTTTCTAATCTTCTCCCGGCCTTTCTTGATCTCGTCAAAGGTGCTTGATTTTATGTAAAACTCGTCACACACCGTACACATTGACACACGCCCTGCATCAATTCTATCCAAAACTTCGGATTGATCTCGCAGACTGAGGGATTTATACTTCAGTCCCTTTCTATTCTTGATGTAGGTGTAGACGACATTTCTGAGAGGGTTGGCTTGTACAGAGTGCATAAGCAAGGTAAAGTCCGAAGCGACAGGTCTGGACTGACGCTCACCACGCGCACCGCCACCAGACTGAGCCGTTGTTTTGGTCGTGGCGCGTGGCGTCGCTCCACGTGTATGCCGATATTGAACCATTCGGTACGGAAATTCGGGTCATGGCAAATTACTAATATACCTTACTAATATACCGTATATATACCGAAAGCGCAGCCATGCTGAATTATCCCCATTTACGAATTAGTAAATACCGAAATAACGAGGTTTTACTGTCTTTAACCTTTAAGTAAAAAAAAACCTCACTTAGTATGCAAAAGAGCTGTTTGTCCACAAGCAACGCACATCAAACATTGAAAAGCGAGCAGCCAGTTGCTCTTAAAACTCTCATAAAAGGGCGTCGCTGATTGGTTGAGGTCTGCCGAGTCCACTTAGGGAGCGCTCCGATTGGCCGAAATTGGCGGCCGCGTGATATCGCACACACACATACCGTTAATCGAAAATGTTTCGTTAATAGAAACAATGGGACCCCTATGGTTAGGCGGATCGTTAATCGAAATATCATTGATCGATGCATCGTAAACCAAAGGAGCACTGTATGTTGAACGCCTCCATCCTTTGTAATCAACCGTGCTTATCGGAGGTGCGGCAGAAGAGCAGCAAACTACACGCAAAAAGTAGTTATAAAATGTGTTTATTTCTGCAATATCTCGAAACTTTTGCAATCCCCATCTCTTTCTATGGATTAAAAGTCTTATAAAGTACAATCTGTCGTCCGATAACGCCGTGTGTTTTCAAAACATTAATTGGATGGAACGCGATAAATGTATTAGGGACACACATTTTTTTTAACGCGGATGCGAATTGGATATAACCCGATCGAGCGAACAGAACTACGTCGAGCGAGTAGGAATAAGCGGTCGTGCGGCTGCCTCGGCGTAGCATCGCACGAGGCATTGGGGATGCTGCTGGATGCTTCTAGATGCTACCCACGCGCCTCGGTCTTTGTTGAGCCTGCCTACGCATCTCACGTGTTATCGTGGACTGCACTTTACCCTATATTATTTATTACGACGTGATTTTTCCATAACGTAGTATTCTTCAGGAATGCAACTACCACCGTTACAGGAGAACATACTTATTTTTTGCTTCTAATTAAACAAATACTGCAATGTACAACACTAGCCTCAGTGCAACACTGATGGAATTAATCCTTCACCTCCCTCTTCACTCTGCTTATACCGCAGTGCACACCAGCAAGTAAAAAAGCGCTCTCGATGGAATGTTACAGACGTGGAATGATTCCATCTCTCGCCCTGAACATAAATTAATGACTCGCGCATCATCAGCAGCAGCCATGATCTATCCACAGCTGGATGAAGGTCTCCCCAAGCCATCACCACATCATGCGTTCCTGCGAAACAACAGGCCGCCTATCAGCTGCAAGCGAGCTGATCTCATCACTTAATCTCCGCAGTGAGGCTACTATCTAGATTTGAAGTTTTCGTGACTGCAGGGATCCATACTCTTTGGTTCTTTCGGTAAAGTCACGTAGGTAGAAAAATAAATAAATTCACGACGTTTCGATGGCAACACAAGCGACCGTCATCAGCAGTTCTTTTGCTGTACCTGTTCCACCTGATGACGGTCGCTTGTGTTGCGATCGAAACGTGATTTAATGTATTTTATTTTATACCTACGTGACTTTACCGAAAGAACCAAAGAGTTGTGAGGCTACTCTTGGTCACATTTTTCCTCATTTGGCTGCCACTCCCCATCATTGCTCTCGACCACCATCCGATTGGCACGCTTGGCTACGTACGGTGCGAAAGAGGTTAACATTACATACATACGTACCAGTCATCAGACTTCAAACCACTGATCATGCCCAACCCTTCCCCATTTTCTTTGGGGGGGGTACGGTCAATATGATGGATCCAGATTGTGTATGTTCCCTAATCCATGTTTTCCACTTCCTTTATCACAATGTAATTCCAAGCACGCAACTCTCCACTCGCGTGCAAGCCCCCCTTTTTAAAAATAGCTCAGCTTCGAACACACTCTGATTGCCCTTGAGCCACCACGAGGGTGGTTCGTTGGAAGCGAAGGTTTCGTGCCACATCCCTCGTCGTCGTCGTCAGCTTGGGGTGCATTTTAGTGCGGTAGAAGTTTTATTTTGACTGGGGGGGGGGGGGGGTGGGTGGTGAGGGAACAACATCGCACATGGCTCAAACACACAGCACGTTTGGTTACCGAGACGCTCGCCCCGCCGCCGAACATCTCGCTTTTCAGCGCTGAGAGCGAGTGTTTTGAGAAAGCGGACAATCTCGGGAGAGAAGTTGCACGCGAGCGCGGAGTGAACAATTTGGCGCCGCGTTAGAACTTTGTCCCGTGACGGTACAACCCCCCACCACCACCCCCGACCAGTTGACGGAGGCGCTCTCACGAACATCAGCAGCCGTGTTACATTCGAGAATGCTCACGGGCACAGAGGGCCACTCGCGTTGATGCTTGGAAGCCCCTCTGTGCTGTTGGGGTTTGTCGGAACCTCGGTGTTTTCCGCTCCCAGCCTCCGCCAGTGGCTTAACGGCTGCTTTCAGAACTAGGTACACGATCGTCCTCTCTCCAACACACCCCCCCCCTCCCCACCATCGCACCACCATCACCACTACCCCCCACCCGCCTCACGTCCCCCATTTAGATTAATCTTCCAACACTCGCCTCTACCACCACTTAACATTTTCCCCTGGGCTCGCTGCTGACCAATCAGAGTGTTTTTTTATAAATAGGACCGCGTAACGAGAGTGCGGTATTGGTGTGGCTGGGACGCTTGTCCCCCTCCCTGCGGACGGGTAGACGTGGGTCTGTGGTAGACTCAGTCTCCGGGGTTGTCTCTGTCGGGAGTTTGGAAACCAGGCGGCTCTTGTCCTGCACAAAGGTAAGTCTATTATTTTTTTTTTAAAAATGTCTCCTTTCTCACACGGTGGTTGCGATGTTGATGTAGTCAATGAGTAAATTGATAAATGTACTTTTTTATCATCTGCGTTTTGAAAACCGATTTTAAAAAATGTCATTTTTATCGGGCAATGCTCGGCGAAGAGAACGCGGCTTGTCGTTTATGTTTTGACGATGCAAAATAATAAATATTTTTTTCAACGTTACTCGATGAACGAGTTTCTCGCGTAACACAGAAAAGTAGGACCGCTGAGTCGCGCCTTTACCGACGCCTAATTTTAATCCTTCGAATAAATTTGGGGAGAGCGAAGAAAAAAAATCTGGTGAGACTTCACAATCTATTTATAAGCGGAGGGCCAGGGGTGCCGTCACGCTCTCCCGGCAAGGCCTTGGGAGGCCCTCCCAGGCGGCGTGCACCAATGGGGACGCGACGCCCCCCCGCTCGGGTCAAACAAAATAGACGCGCTTGAGTCAGCAGGGACAGCTGCGATGCCCGCATAGGGGAAGGGGGTGACGTCCCTTCGGACAAAATGCACGTCCCTCATCCACCCTCACCCCACCCACCCAACCAACCACCCACTCCGACTCTCTCCCCCAGGGTTGACCGGGGGGTAGGGGGACCATCTACTTCTTACCACCTCCTCTCTCGCGCAAGTGGGAGGAAAGAGAGAAAATATATATATAAAAATACCTTTTCATTTCAGTTACGAAAAGAAAAAAAAACGATTTGTTGTTTTTGTTGCCGTTGTCCTATTCAAGGTCATTTTTGTTGTTGTATTAAAACCACAGAATCGGATATTTGGTGGCTGGAGGGAGACGTTCGGAGAGGCGGTTGCGACCGTTGCAGGGTGCCAATCGCGCCCTATTTTAGGGTAAGGTATTCCACCCTCAATTCTTTCCAGAGCCATATACTCGCAGCGCAGACGCATGCGGTCCGTTGTGTTCTATTTATATTCTCTTTAAAAATCAAACAGTGCAATTATCTCTCGTGATATTTCCCGGCGATTGCAGCTGTTTGTAACGGCTGGTGTTTCCTTAAAATCTGCACGCTCTCTGTGTTCATTAAAATTCACTGCCTTTGTGAGGTGGGTGTACAATGTTGACGCGGTATTTGCGTGCAATAGCTTACACGCGTGCGGTTGTGTTAAAGTATTTTGAGGGTTTGAAAGTACTGTGGTTGGATATATGAAGTGCCAGTTTTGCACTTTCCGTTATATGTTTCGAATAAGCATACCCTTGACATTGTAAAATGGAAAATTATTCAGTTTTGTTAATGCCCCTAAAGTGTGCGCCCAGATGACCTCCAATATCTTTGGGAGTGCTTGGTTATTGTTTAGAGATTAAATTGGGCGAAATGTACACGTGAATTCTACATTGATTCAATGGGATTTCATGGCAAATTTCAGGCATGTCGTGCTTGAAAAACGGTCGTCGGAACTCGACGCGGTTGTGTGTAAATGTCACACGGGGCAACTCCCCGTGAGCGGCCTTCGCATCGGTGCAGCGAGACCTCACGCCAGCGCTGCGGCGGTGGTGTGCACGCTTTGCCATCTTTTTGACGCAGGGCATTGTTCGTGCCCCCGGGCCCGAGTGGCCATGACGTCCACCACGGTGGTGTACGAAGAGGTGGTGGAATATGAAGAGTACGAGGAGGAGGTAGAAGAGGAAGAAGAGGAGGAGGGGGAGGAGGAGGAAGAGGAAGAGGTGGTGGAAGAGGTGGTGGAAGAGGTGATTGTTGAAGATCCGGTGACACATCAAGTGAGAAAAGTGGTGAGTGTCAGTGCCACCTGTATTTGGCAGAAAAAAATTATCATTGTTACTCTGCTGTATTTTGAACAACATTCATGACATATATGGACACAGACTTGCACATAAACAAATCTAAACATTTAAAACTACCGTATATCAAAAAAGTGTCAAGGTCAATGCTGAAAACACGATTTATACAGCGCTAAATTCAAAGTTTAAATACGTAGCAGGTCTGCAGTTACACAAACATATATGTACGTCTTTATCTTTTGAGCAAATCCTCTGCTAACCATACTTCACCATGCGAGTTGGCAAGGGGGGGGGGGGGTGGTTGGAGGGGGCAGGACCCATTCAGATATCACATACCACTGATTTTCGCCGTGGCGAGGAATCCAATTCAGGTCACTGGGTGGATAGTGCAGTGCACACCAACCAATGCACCACTCAAATAAACTGCACACAGAGGATTATCGTGACTCTCCACTATTTATGTCACTACATGCATTACGGAATCGGTTGCCTCTGTACTGATAGCCCAGGTGCATACATTAATTTCTTTAGAAGTGCTTGTGTTTTAGTTTGTTGTCTCACCCCCCCTCCCCGTACCATCCGATTGGCACTGTTGGCTACGTACGGTGCAGAAGAAGTTCAACATATTGTACATGCCTATACATACATCTATGCTTCAGCTCTTATAAATCAAAGTCAAAGCATCTGCTCTCTGCACTGGGGGTGATCTTCACATTGGTGGCCCGGAGCCGATGGTGAAAATTCCAAATATATCTAAAGCGGAGGCATTCTATTCTTGGAAAAAAAAAAAACCCCGTCACCATATTTTAACTTCCCACAAAGTAGGGCCGTGTATTTTTTTACAGAGACCAGATGGATGGTGGGTTCGGTTGATAACTGAGAAGGTGATGAAAATGACTGGCACTTAAAATGATGATCAAGGTGATGCTCTTGCTGGTAGTGATTATGTACTATACTGTTTTTTTTTATCCACTCCCTTTTGTTTACATAAAGTGCCACCGCGGACATATGTCCCACAGCAGGCAAGCACTCGAGAAAAGTAGACATAATTTCCTGGGCGTTTCTTCAAAGGACATTTTAAGACGTTTAACGGCATTTAGAATGATATTTTACAACATTGTATTTATATATTTTACAGACATCCACAACATTGTAACAGCTAACCGTGCGTTGTTTCATTACACACATTAACCATCGCGTGGCAGACGTGGCTTTGTTAGTGTACGGCCATTCGAGTAATGTTCTTTAGAACTCATTTGAATTGCCATTGGCCAATACAATTGTCAGATTCATGGTCGAATGGAAACTTTGGGGTTCACGGAGAGCGTCAACTGTGTGCCTCCAACAGGACTCGTGACCACTGGCATGCAAAACAAACCCCCACGGCACTTGCCGGAAGGCGCATTATTCATGAAGCTCGCGGCTGTTTACAGGATAAAATTAATCCTCGACAAAAAATGAATGATCAATTATGTTCGTGAGGAGGGAGGCCACTCAGCGTCAAGGTTGTGGCCTAATATAGGGCTTTTTCGATCCACAAATCGTGTTTTTATATCCATAAATCAGGTAACAAGAATCACTTTAACGATAAAATTTGTTTTATGAAAAATATCACAGCTTAATCAATGCTCGAACACATACATACGAGTATTCAAAATATCACAGCTTGATCCATGCTTGATGCATGCTCGAACACCAGCTTTACTCATGCTTGATCAATACTCGAACAAATACGTTCAAGCATGTATCAAACATGGCTATGATATTTTGAAAACATGTGCCTATATGTTCGAGCATGGATCAAGCTTTGTATCGTAACAAATCGGTCGATTCCCGTTTAATCGAGCAATTGCATCGTTAAAAACACCTCGATTTCCTTTCCATTACTCCCCATAATTACGGGCAAAGCCACGCTCAATTTGCTTGCGTGCAGTATATGGGCCTAAAACATTCACGTAACTGATCATTCATTCTGTCGCCGGATTCATGTTATCCCGTTACAGCTCGCACTCCGCGAGCCGTAGACACAGGGCAAGAGCTGGGGGCTTTGCTGACACTTGGCTTGGTGTTGCTCAACAGCGCACTCGGCCATCGAGTCCTGCGAGAGGATGTCGCGATCGCCTAGAGTGGCCACGCTGTTTTTACGGAGGGGAGCGACCTTGCCCGCCCCCCAACGGCCATGCCCGCTTTGTTGTCAGGACTGTGCGGCCTGAGATAAATGTCTCACCGACTAAAGTTGGAGGAGTAGGAGACGGGGAATGGTGGTGGGGTGGGTGGGAGGTATAAAAAAATGGTACGGGAGTGGGTGGCGCTTGTCTTGTACATGTTGGGAGCAGGCCAGGTTGTTTGTGAATGCTGACATCGGCAGCGCTTGTAGACAGCCGAGCGCTTGCCCGATGTCACGCCATGCCTCAGCATTCCGGGAATGTTACGGAAGGCTCGAGATAGATAACTCCGCGCCGCTGCCGCTTGGAAAGTTCTCCATGGTCCAGTCGAGTGCCCATAGAGAGAGTGCATTAAGATTGGGCGAAATTGCTCGAGTTTTTTCCGCCGTTAAAATCTTGCAGACGGTTGATTTCGTTTTGTTCACATGATTTGCAAGTGGCAAAATAAACGTAGGCTAATTAATGGCACGACTACAGGGAATGATCATAATTAACTGCTCGTGGCAATTGTTTGAATATATTTCTCCCCTGGAAACCGATGTGCTCACTCTGTCTAGGGGCTTCACGCTGATGAACTCAGCGAGTGCTGCTAATTACGACGTCTCTGCTGGATCTGGAAGTAAAACAAAAAACCGCACAGCCGAGAATACATTTACCGCAATCGTATTACATTGAGTGAAATCATTAGCACAGCAATGAGGTAATAGTGGCATCAAGTGTTGGTCATGGCGATCTCAAAATTCACTGAAGGTCATCGTCTTTAAATATATATACATATACCGTATCTCCCACGCATTATTATCTTGGGGTGCGGCTCATTATGAGACAACAAGTGTGCCCCAATAGATCCAGAGCAGTCTTTTAGCCACGTTGGCGTCCGGGATTTTTAGTTGATAGCTTATCTTACCCCCTCGGCACCTGGAGCCGTACAGGCGGGAGAGTTGTGCCGACCTCCTGACCTCCCAGGTCCTCTTCAGATTACACTTCAGTGCCCCTGGCAGGGTTCAGGTTATGCCAGCATTTGTCTGTAGTGTATGTTGAACTTCTTTCGCACCGTACGTGACCAACCGTGAGTAGCGGTAGACACCACAGGGTAGCATGGCACTGCGGGGGGGGGGGGGGGTTGTAGGGGGGCATCACCCTCAGCAGCTGTGTAACGACGAAGTGAGTGACTCTTGGTGGGGTTGCCTACCCATGTCTGTGGGAGTTGTGGTGTGGCTGAGACCGTGACTCTGAGGGGAGACCACCTGAAGCGACTGAAGCGCGATTTGTCCAGGAATTGGAAGCCAAGAGAGAAGAAAAGCGATCTCACACACTGTCGATGTACAAGGGTGACCTTGAACATTTGCCTATAGGCATTGGTAGCTACAGCAGTGTCCCCGACAGGATAATATGTGAAAGGTAAGCCTGTTTAAGACTTTAAAAGCAGTACGAGCAATATTGTGACGAATGCTACTGCTAGTAACATGGATCTGGGATCCATGACAGGATTTTTCATATTTGGTGAGATGTGATTCTGTTTGAGGGAGCGTGGCAAGTCTGGCAGTGGCAAATTAGACTGTTGTTTTATGGTGGGGAAGTAATACAGGACAGTTACAGCAGGCAAAACAAAGAAGTCACAGAAGAACAGAATAGTCTCCGCAACAGGAGGGGTAGGAAGAATGCGGATCAGAGAAATATACTGCGACAGACTGATGTGAGAGATCCTGCAAAGTTTAGAGAGAGGTGAGGAACTCTCAATTTATTTTAACACCGAGGTTCTAGACATATTTCTGTGAGTATATACGAATGCAAAACGATCGGAAGAATTGGAACCAAGGGTATGCCCCTTGGTAATAATTAGCAACGCAACTTCATACTGACATTTTATTCTTTTATTCATATTGGTGGAACGTCTTGACTCGAGTTATCGTGGCCCTCCCGCTAACTTAATGGCAACAAGAAAGCTGTTTCAGCTGACCCAGTGATATCACGTGGGTAGGGCGCCGCAGTGGCGAGATGTTAACAACCTCGCCTGGTAAACAGGAGGTCGTGGGTTTCGATCCCGACCCTGACACCTGTATATTTGGAGTCTGCGTGTTCTCCCTGCGGTCGAGTGGATTTTTCTCAGGGCTCTCCGGTTTTTTATTACGTCATGGCTGCGCGCATGGCATGTGATGTCATCACGTTGGCCAAGAAGTTTTACCCATTCTCGTTTTATTCTTTTGACAGGAGTTGGTGAACCCTTTAATCAATATGTTCGGTTTTGTCTACCCTACGCCTCGAATGGCATTGACGTTGGACTCTCTTTGTGAGAGTTACCACGACCCAATGTTACAGACAGAAAGGATGGGCAGAGATAATACTTTCAAGTAAGCGCATTGTTTTTAAGAAAGGTCACGTGCTCACCTTACTGAACAATGCAGTCACATGAGGTTTTTAAAAAAAAAATATTATTTACCTGAAAATTGGAAGCACAATTTGACTCAATCGTTCAAGTTTTACATTTTTTGCTGTCACCTTTTACAGATAGTCATTGCAATCTAAGATATTCATAATAAAGGTTATTGGGTTAGATCGCGTTATTTATAAATGTGTCGTAACCCTCCACCACCCGACACGGCCAAACAGTAAAAAATGTGTCACGTTTACAAAGGACAAATAGTTCACTACTTTAGCCCACCGGTGTGTTGAAGAGTGAATCAACATCATTTAAAATTTGAGTACGACGTTTCGTTGGTAATTATATCCAGCATCATCGGGCAATTCGCCAGAATGGTAAAGCCCTCGCTTGCTCCCGGTATTAAATAGAGCAGCAGGGTGACGTCATCACTTAACTCATATCAGGTGCAGTGATTTGAGGCGGAGGGGGGGGTATTGTAATTATATAATCTATTGGTAATCAGTCAATGGTTATGATTAGTAATGAGTTGTAGATTAGTACTTAGTTGTAATGTGTGTTATTGTGATTATATGCTACACGGACACTCAATTGATTTTGATAACGTTAAAGTGTTTTGTAAAACTAATTATTACTGGCAAAGACTAATTAGAGAATCCATTGAAATTGAGAGAAATAGAAATAACTTTAATCGCTCTGACAGCTACAGGCTTAATGCGGCTTGGAAGCGTATTATTAAATAATACATACTACAATTCCTTATAGGGGAAACACATGCTAATTAACGGATTACAAACGTAGCATATAATCACAATAACACACATTACAACTAATTGCTAATCTACAGCTCATTACTCATCATAACCATTGACTGATTACCAATCGATTATATAATTACAATACCCCCCCCCCGCCTCAAATCACTGCACCTGAATGAGTTAAATGATGACGTCACCCTGCTGCTCTATTTAATACCGGGAGCAAGTGGAGAGGGCTTCACCATTCTGGCGAATTGCCCGATGATGCTGGATGTAATTACCAGCGAAACGTCGTACTCAAATTTGAAATGATGTTGATTCACTCTTCAACACACCGGTGGGCTAAAGTAGTGAACTATTTGTCCTTTGTAAACGTGACACATTTTTTACTGTTTGGCCGTGTCGGGTGGTGGAGGGTTACGACACATTTATAACGCGATCTAACCCAAAAACCTTTATTATGAATAATATTGGTCGCGAAAGCCTACGTGTTAAGCAATCTAAGACATCCCAATGGCAATGAATGAAACTGACTTAATAAGCAGGTCAAATTATGTACGTGTTGTTATTAAAGTAAGCACGTGAATGCCACCACACGTTACTAGTGAGAACTGCAGGTACACACCAATCTAACCTAGTACTCTGGGAATGGAGCAACACATCTCACAGCTGCGTCCACTACGTGGCCTGAAACTGAATCACTGAGGGTGAAGTTCAGTATCATCAGAATCTGTATTTAGACTGGAGGAATCCGATGAGCTATGAAGCTCTTTTTTACAGATGTCCAGTATGGATGGGTCAGAAGTTGTAAGTCACATGACTGCTTTATAATCCCATTTCCACTCCTAACGTTTACTACATCAGAGGTAACCTCACTTTTTGAGTAGATAATTCACGTATTTATACCATAATATCATCTTCCCATTGTGTGAAATATCGATTGCAATATAGTGATTTAACAGCGGAGAAGCACATTGCTCTGGTATTGTCCTTCACTGCACTATTCTATACAGTCCTTTACGTCTGTGCCAAATATTGTTGAATGGGATATATTATTAAACTGTTGTACCAAGCGTGCAACCATGGGGCTGGCGAGTTAATGGAGACGGTATGTGCTCTACTGATATGGACCCCCGCTGCCCGTGGTGATTTTGTCAAAGCTATTTTCAGCCATACTGACCGACGCCAAACTTGACTTGCACGTCTTGCTCGCTGGCATGTGCACCAGCTGGCTGGCCTGAGTACCTATACATTCAGTATTCTCGTTCCCTCTCGATACACCTGTTGACTGATCTCTAGATCGTGTGGCAGACAAGGCAAACACACATATCTCCCGTGTGATCTTAATAGACTGTAGGGGCAAGTGTTGTTAGCGAGCACCTATGAAGGCCAGGACGTCACACGACGGGGTGGGTGGCCAGCTCCACGCCCGGCCGTCTTTGTCTCTCGAGTGGCGATGTTTACACCCTGTACCAGGTACTCATTTGAGGCTGAGTAGGCCTACGGGAGACCCAGGACCGGTTCAGTTAACGTCACTGTTTGTTGGCCGTGAGCGGCCATCGACCCGAGTGTGGCAGGCACACCTGTTGACACACACATTAACCCAGCCTTTCAACGATTGACTCAATCACCTGTTGGATAATCAATAGCAGAATTCCAGTCATTCGCAATCCAATAATCCGCAAATCCCTGAAATTCACAGACTATTGGCGGTATGCTCCCTTAATCCGCGGCACACCGCGGAGGATTGAAAAAAAGTGGACGGGACTGACGCAGAGCTGGAGGATAGGAGCTGCAGGGAAATGCGGAGGGAAGGTTTTATAAAATGTATTTTAGATCTGAAGTTGTGGTGACTGCAATGATCCATACTCTTTGGTTCTTTTGGTAAAGTCAAGTAGGTATAAAATAAAAAATAAAATAAATCACGACGTTTTGAGCACAACACAAGCGTCCGTCATCAGGTGGGGACAACCACAGCAAGACACACTTGCTGAAGTAGGCAAAAGAGTTGCTAGTAACAAGGGATTATATAGAAGAGGGAGGAGCCAGGGATAGAGAGGGTGGGGGGTGTGGGTCAGAGGGGGTGGTACTGCTAAGGTACGGTAAATTTAGGGAGTGGGGGGCGTGGGTCAGAGGGGAGTGGAATGCTGAAGCACTGTAAATTTCCAAGAGACTGGAATGAGCAGGGCTAGGCATAAGAGACTGGAATAGCGGATATGAAGGCAAACTATAGAGCAGCTAAGGTTTTTACATGGTTAATAACATCCTTCCAATGATTGCTCAATTTGTATCCATCTTCTCGATTGAAGTTACGTCTATGTTTATATATCTGGATGGCTTCATGAACAAACCTTTGATAGTAGCCAGATGGTTTGCAGAGCACCTTGGTCTCGGAAAAAAAAATGTCATGGGAGCCAACAGCGTTATGGTCAGCAACTGCGGAGGAATTAGTCCTACGTGACTTTACCGAAAGAACCAAAGAGTATATTTATTTTGCTGCTTTTTTTTCCCCATCAGCAACCCATAACCACCCAGCACAGCCAATGAGTTAGGTTTGTCACGTAAACAAAACGTGCCAAATAGTTACTACTTCAGAACACCGGTGTGTAGGAGAGTAAACCCACTGCATTGGCAATTTGATTACGATGTTTCCCTGGTTTATTACAACCAGCTTCATTCAGCCAATTTACTTTCAAAATGAGTTGAGATTAAGTGCGCCTTAAAGCGCTCTGAGATGCCCCGGCGTATAGTGCTAAAATATTCACAACACATTATTATAATCGTTATTGTTACACGTTGACATGGAACAATCCATCGCCCGTACATTATCAAGGTAAGTGACGTGGAAGCACATCGCACAACTCAGAGCCTGCAGGTCCTGAGGAACAATCCTGCTTGGGGTTGACTCGACGACTCTTCGTTCCCTGTCAATTGACTTTACCGAAAGAACCAAGAATATGAATCCCTGCAGTCACGAAAGCTTTAAATCAAAATTCACTATTGTGAAGTAAATGGTAATTTGTTAAACGCGTAGGCTTTCGAGACCAATATCCATAATACAGGTTTTTTTTGGGTTAGATATGTGATCTAGCCCAAAGAAATATCTGTATTATCAACGATAGTTTCCCTATGAATAGACTGTCTCCTGCCACAGGAATGTTGAATGTACGCTAACCTACATACATTTTATTTTTTATTTTTACAAGGTAAGGCCCACTGAGCTATATAGCTATTTTCCATAAGCGACCTGACTATCACAAAGGATAACTCAACGAAGTGGCTTATCGTGTGGAAATGTCTCGCAGCCAAATACCCTAAACGCGTTGTTGATTATAATGTGAAGAAAAAAAAACGGACGACCTGGAAAAAAATCCACGCCACCACTGTGAGAGACACATGCAAACTCCAAATACACAGCAGCAGGCATCAGGGTCGGGATCAACTCCACGACCTCTTGTATACCAGGCGAGGTAGTTCACATCTCCTCACCACTTGCTCAGGGTCACCAAATGGATCTGAGTACTTCCCGAAAATGAGTCTTCACACATCAGAAGCTCTCCTTTAATGAATTACCGTCAAATATATTACAACTTTAACAACGACACGAGCACCGTATGCGGTGATTGCTAACACCGGACCGTCCTGTGCTTGCGTGTGTTGTTGTTGTCTCTGCAGAGCGTGCCGCAACTTCACCCCTCCGGCCTAGTCCACCGGAAGGTGAAGAAGAAGCGAAAGGTGGACACCAGCAAGTTCATGACGCCCTACCTGGCTCACAGCAAGAAGATGATGGACCTCTTCAGCGAGGTAACACCGCGTGCCGGCGTAACCGTGGCTGATGGCCACGGTGATAGGTGCATACGCTGAAGCAGGGGGACAGTGGCGGCGTTCCTCGAATTTAATTAGACGCCCCCCACGCTTCGACAATCCTCGGAGACACCGGTGGAACCATCAGCCACATCGGAAAGACACAGGTCGCAGTCGTTGCGATTGTGGCCATGCGGAAACAAACTGTGCACCGTGTAGTGAACCACTGTAGTCTGCGCTCCTTCAACGGTGGAGGAAGAGGACAACTCCACCAACTCTCTCCTGAAGCCTTGTCGTGGCTGTAGCAGACCTCAACATAGAATAAAATACGCTAATAAACACATTTTAGAAGTCTACCAACCAATAAAACGCCTTTTCTCCTGAAGATGAATAAAGGGGGCATTAAACAATGGGTGTTTTAAGAAAGATTACCATTGATTTGCAAGACTTCGATATCACAAAAGTAATTTTGAGTGTTAGGAATGGTACCAGCCTCTAATTCTGCTGCTATGTTTTTAACCACGACAAGTTTCAACAGTGTTTCAGTTATTTTTCCAAAACGAGGCCTCGAGGTTCATGAATAGATAACTAACGGATACCGATTTTTTAAAAGAAAACTTTCCGCTGCTTTACTTTGGCACTAATTTGGATAATTTATATATATAAAAAAAAAATCTATTTTTATGGAGGTATTTCTCAAGCTGACTTCCTTGTATTAATTACAATGTATTTCGTAATGAACGCAACTTTAACAAGTTAGTTCATTCTTCTTCAGCTGATGTCACGTTAACGTATATTGTCACTGAATGCGCAGAGACGCACGCTTAGAATTAGAGAGACAGAAAGAGGGACACGTTGGGTTAACGAACATACGGCTGGTTGATGACATCGTTTTAACTGAGAATAAAAGTAAACGGGCTTGGGCAGGACAACGTCGCAAACAAGAGGGGGTGATGGCTCATGGTGAAGTCTGAACGACGGAATTCCAAACAAAGCAGAGAGCACAGACAATGGTTACGTCCACCACAGAGATGGAGCGATGAAATCAGTCACGTGCGCAGTACGATATGTGCATTGAACTTCTTTCGCACCGCCGCCACCGCACGTATAGGCAAACGCGCTAATCAGAGGCGTGGGGGAAGGACAGCCAACTAAGCACAAAAAAAACTGTTCCAAAGAAATTAGTTGGTGTGCAGATGCCAGATGAGACAGTTACGTCGCAAGACGATAGCGGACGGTGACGGCTTTTAGGAGGCCTTGATCCAGCAGTGGATCGATTATGGAGGAGGATTGTCGAGAATGTCCAGGATGAAAGGAAGAGTAATCTCTCGGATTGGTATGCCCATTTTTTTCTAAACAATACCTATTCGTAATATTCGAGGGTTAGCAATTGTGGGAGTGCGTTGCTCCATGTCACCGCACGTGGGTTCTGACAATGTACGTACGTGTGCACGTTGAACTTCTTTCGCGCCGTACGTAGCCAGACTGTGCCAATCGGTAGACGCGGGACAATAATGCGCAGTAACAAGCTCCCACAATCACCACGGAGTGCCGGTTTCTTCGGTTGGGTGTTTGCCTGGCACAGGTGAAATACAAGGAGGCGCTGAAGAATCACCAGCCCAAGGGCTTCACCACCCTGTCGGAAACACCGAGGCAGAAGATCTGCAAGCATGCGCAGGACATTTTGAGCGAGGTGCGTGGCGCGAACGCAGCGCGACACGATGGAAACGCGAGCGGCGCGGCGCAGAGGCGCGATTGAAAATAAAATGTGGGAAGGAGTTGGGCGGAAAGGCGGTGCATTGGGGACACGTGTGCATCACGGGCAGAAGTGCCTTAGTTTGATTCCTGACTCTTGGCACCTTCCCATGTGGAGTTTGTACGTTTTACCCCAGTTCTGAAGACTGTGAGTGAGTGTGTAGAGTTTGTGTGTTCTCACCCCTGATCTGCAGACTGTGTGTGTGTGTGGAGTGTGCATGTTCTCCCCGTGTTCTGCAGACTGTGAGTGTGTGTAGAGTTTGTGTGTTCTCCCCCTGTTCTGCAGACTGAGTGTGTGTGTGTATAGTTTGTGTGTTCTCTCCCAGTTCTGCAGACTGTGAGTGTGTGTAGAGTTTGTGTGTTCTCCCCCTGTTCTGCAGACTGTGTGTGTAGAGTTTGTGTGTTCTACCCCTGTTCTGCAGACTGAATGTGTGTGTGTAGAGTTTGTGTGTTCTCACCCCTGATCTGCAGACTGTGTGTGTGTGGAGTGTGATGTTCTCCCCGTGTTCTGCAGACTATGAGTGTGTGTAGAGTTTGTGTGTTCTCCCCGTGTTCTGCAGACTATGAGTGTGTGTAGAGTTTGTGTGTTCTACCCCTGTTCTGCAGACTGAATGTGTGTGTAGAGTTTGTGTGTTCTCCCCCTGTTCTGCAGACTGAATGTGTGTGTGTAGAGTTTGTGTGTTCTCACCCCTGATCTGCAGACTGTGTGTGTGTGGAGTGTGATGTTCTCCCCGTGTTCTGCAGACTATGAGTGTGTGTAGAGTTTGTGTGTTCTCCCCGTGTTCTGCAGACTATGAGTGTGTGTAGAGTTTGTGTGTTCTCCCCCTGTTCTGCAGACTGTGTGTGTAAAGTTTGTGTTCTCCCCCTGTTCTGCAGACTGTGAGTGTGTGTAGAGTTTGTGTGTTCTCCCCCTGTTCTGCAGACTGTGAGTGTGTGTAGAGTTTGTGTGTTCTCCCCCTGTTCTGCAGACTGTGAGTGTGTAGAGTTTGTGTGTTCTCCCCCTATTCTGCAAACTGTGTGTATGTAGAGTTTGCGTGTTCCCCCCGTTGTCTGCATGGGTTTCCTCGGGAATTTCTGGTTTACTTCCATAGCCTAAAGAGCACCATGTAACTTGTATTAGACCAGACATGGGCAAAGTATGGCCCCCGGGCCGTATACGGCCCGTTGGGCTTTTTTAATCCGGCCCGCCGAACTTGTCCAAATATTATTATTAAGTTAAATTTTACCTTTCTCCTGTAATGCCCCCATTTCCCCATTAGATGGCGCACTTTGACCAGGAGTTACGACATGTTTTTTGTATTGTTCATGTTCGTGCAATTTGTTTAATTGCCTTGCAAATAAATGCTTTGCTACCTGTTAAAGGCCAAATCCTTTCATGTAATGATTTTTACATGTCATTTATATTAGTTCACACAAACACTCCATCCATCTGTTCCTGGCCCGGCCCCTCTGTCAAATTTTAGAACCCATTGTGGCCCGCGAGTCAAAAATTTTGCCCACCCCTGTATTAGACAAACAACCCAATGGTGAAACATTGCCTGCAAATGACTCGATAAACATAGCACCATCGCCCTCTCCTGTGGGATATTTGGCAGAACCCTCCTGAGACGGATTCTCGTGACTCAGGGTGAACAAGCGTAATAATGATAGAAAAAAGAATAGTCATATAGCACTACCAGTGAGGCAAATACATTTTTAAAAACAAAAGACGATCAGCCATGAACCCGTGACCAATTGTGAATAGGCTCTGTTAATATCCAGCGCATAACATATTTTTCCCTGCGCATTTAGAAACATGCGTTTAAAGTATTTGGCTGCTTTAAAATTCCACGCGACAAGCCACTTCGTTAAGCTGTCAATTGTAGCCAGGTCGCTTCTGGCAGAGTTGTATGGCTCAGTGGGCCTTACCTGGTAAAATTAATTTGTATCATTTGGTAAGTGGAATTATAATCTAGCACTGAAAATAGGAAACCTCATAGGACAGAATGTGCCTGTGCCTCTCATAGCAACTGATTTTACTACATTGACACAATTATTATACAATGATACCCTGTCCCAGTTTATTTTTTGGAGTGTGATGTTCATAACTGTTAACCCCTTATCAGTGCCCTAGCTTATTACAGACCAATTCAGACGTTGTTGGTCACCCCGTGCCCCTTATAAATCTCAACGTTCATCCTACAAAGTCCCATAACAAAGGAGAAACGCAAACATTTAGACACTTTTTTTTGCCCGTATTGAAACGGCTGTACGCCGTATGGACCTGAAAACTCAATGTCCTTGTACAAGAAAAGGGGATAAACCGTGTGGGTTGACATGTCTGTATGTTTAACATTTAGTAGCAATCCCGAATTTGTGACTCCACGCTGCACTTCCATAGAGCAAAGCAACTCACAGCGAGCGCTGCTTAAAATCGAACTCCAATTCCAAAATATCGTACTGAAAAATACATCTACAAGTAAAAATGACAACACGAAGGTAAAGTTGCACAGCGCTATCAAATTTGCTGACTACTTTATTTAGCTAACAGGTGTTTTTCCCCTCAGAACGAGACGAATTAAAACGCGCCACATTACTTCAAAATAAAAATAAATAAATATTCGAATAGAAATGGTGTATTTCATACATTTTATTTTGTATATATGTTTGAAAATGTACTTGTTTTGGGCATGCATGTATGTAGAACTTCTTTCGCACCGTACGCAGCCAACCGGCCACATTTTATTTAGTCTGATGATCAACATCACTTCTTTAAATTAATAAAGCCTTCTCCGACCCACTTTGTCGCACTTTATTGCAGCATTATGACTGCCAAGGTGAATAAAATTAAAAGTGTGTATCCATAGTCAACCTTGCACGTGCTTTGCCCGACAAGGTCCACGTCCAAGCGGAGCCACTCGACCACTGCTTATTGCAAGGGTATGTGTTGTTGTTGTTGTTGCTGTTTATGTTTAATGTCACGGCTTTCTAATTGTCACCCCTCTCTCCCAATTCAACGTGCGGCCGCAAGGTGAAATACCGCGACGCTGGGAGAAAAACCATCAGCAACTGCCACGTGGACGAGAAGGCGTGGGACATTGCGCATTCGAAGAAGATCAGTGCCATGGTCAGCAAGGTGAGAGAACTCGCAGACCGCCATCTGACATGGCGCAATCAGCCAGTCGGTGAAAGTGTCAGCCTTTACTTCAGAAAGTAAATACAGTGGCTCATCGATTATTCCGGCTGGCTGCTTACAATATTATCCGGCGGTCCGGGACTGATCCGGCGCAAACCGCACCAAAGGCTGTAACCTAGTCCGGCTATCGGCACAGTGTGTGCGTTAAATATTACATAGAGTACATTATACACTACATACAATTTACTACATACAAACTCTACACACAACTTGGTTTCAGTGTTAAATATTACATAGAGTACATTATACACTACATACAATTTACTACATACAAACTCTACACACAACTTGGTTTCAGTGTTAAATATTACATAGAGTACATTATACACTACATACAATTTACTACATACAAACTCTACACACAACTTGGTTTCAGTGTTAAATATTACATAGAGTACATTATACACTACATACAATTCACTACATACAAACTCTACACACAACTTGGTTTCAGTGTTAAATATTATATACACTACATTATACACTACATACAACCAATGGCAGAGCCAGGATTTTCAGGTTGGGGGGGCAACCCCTCCAGCAATGAAAAATGATAGAGGAGTTGTTAGTAAGTAAGGAGTTGTTAGTAAGTAAGGAGTTGTTAGTAAGTAAGGAGTTGCCCCTTGCTTTTTATTCGACGCGTGTGCGGCGATGGCGCAGCCATCGATCGAGGGTCGAATTCGAACCGCGTTGTGTGATCGGCATCGCGCTCGCTGAAGGTGTCGATGCCTTCAGGGAAGTCGTGTGCTCTGTACACGCAACTGCGCACAATTCTGTGAGCCACTTATAACTGCTTTTCAGTTACTTATTGCCAATATGGACTCAGACTATTGTCCTATCATCTCATAGAGTCCCTGGCACGTAATAATATGCTACGCAGTGGCAGTGGGGGTCGCAAAATGCCGATTTATTACTAATGAGCCCTAATGATCCGATCGAAATTAGGGATTTCGATCGGATCATTGGGGGGGCACGTGCCACTATCCCACCCCACTGGCTCCACCAGTGAATACAACTTACTACATACAAACCAGGCGATCGGCACCATGGAGCGTGACAAAAAAGTGGCTCTGTTTGATGTCAGTGTCAAATATGATATACACTCCATTACACACTACATTGAAACAATGAAAATACTGCACGCATATACATCACCCCATGCAAAGGCTTCGAGACTGGAGCGGTAAGTACGGCACAGTAAAAACAGTAACTTTTTAAAGTAGGTTGCTTATTTTCGTCAATTTATGTTTATTCATGCCAATTTCATGTAGTTAACAGATTAAAAAGTGAAAAAAACGTACGTACAAAACCTAAATACGTAATGTCATGTAAGAATGTACAAAAATACAATTTTAAATAATGATTTAGTGATTATCCAGCGTTTTAGAAAATCTCCACCCCCCGAAGCTGCTGCATCTCAATAAAAATAATTAAGCCACAATACATCTTGCCAAATCTTACGTCGCAAAATCCTCCACCGCCGGACAAAAGATAAAAAACACATGAAATTGTCACGCTGTGTACATGCGTTTTAGTTTGCCAGTTATTATTGTTTCTGCTCGCACGGTAAGTTGAAATAAGAATTCTCACAACCACATTTATAGCAACGAGATATCGGCGTTTGCAATGCAACTGTGCCAACCATCATGAGGGCAGAATCCAAGAAGTCGGAATGAAATCAGGCTTTGTAAGGTTGGCCTAGCTACTCGCTAAGGTGGAGGAGGGAATTCGACTGTTTATTTTAACTACAGCGTACATTTAAATTCACTCTATGTCAGAATCAGAATATTTATTTATACTGGAGGAATCCGATGAGCTATGAAGCTCTTTTTCACAGGTATCCTGTAGGGGTGGGTGAGAATGTTACAACAGCAATCAGTATAAAAACATGATAGTGCAAAGTACAAGAACGGTCAACAAATCACTCGAACACATACAAATTAAACTAAAGCATCCCCATCCTACCAGGCAAAGCCCACTGAGGTATTAACTTATTTTTCAGAAGCGACCTGAGTACAAATGAGAGCTCAACAAAGTGGAATTCCTTCATCAAGACTCTGCACCATAGAGCCCAATGCATATCCGACCAGGAATACATAGCAAGTGAACTCAAGCACGTACACCAAGCTCTTAAGGCTAATGGTTACTCCGACTACACAATCCGCAAAGCTATCACTCCAACCATGAAAAAGGACCCTCTTGAGGAGCCTTTCAAAACCATCACTTTACCCTACATTGCGGGGATCACAAAAAATATCTCCAAAATCTTGAATAAACACAAGATCCAGGTCCGATTCAACACACTGATTTCGTCTGTAAAAGATGTGTTTCCGGACATTCAGTACCCTGTCTACAAACTAAGTTGCCTCTGTGGTAGTAGTTACATTGGAGAAACCAAACGACATGTCTCGGACCGCATTCGTGAACACAAAGCAGACCTAAAACACGGTAGGACCAACACCTCGGCCATGGCAGATCACTGTTATTATTCAGTAGGCTCACGTGACATTGACTTCTCCAAGACAGAGGTTCTTTGTAAGCCATCTGGCTACCATGGGAGATTCGTTCATGAGGCTATCCACATATACAAACACAGAGACAATTTCAACCGAGAAGATGGATTCTGGCTTAGCAATCATTGGAAGGATTTGATAAACCATTTCGGGTCTTAATTGATTGTTCACGCTTACGGTGGCTTTCAGACCGCATCCTTTATTTTCGTCTCCCCCCTCCTCTTTTCCGAACATAGATGGACTCGTCCATCTAAACAAACTGTCAAATCTCTCTCCGCGGTGCTAACGTTAAAAAACCGCCACTCTTTTCAAATTTTCTTGCTGTGGTTTTCACACCTGATGATGATTGCTTGTGTTGCAGTCGAAACGTCGTGAGAATTTTATTGTTTTATGTTTTTATTATTTTATTGTTTCCCTTCTACGTGACTTTACCGAAAGAACCAAGAATATAAAGTGGCCCATTATTTGGACATTTATTGCACCAAAATAATCTCAATGAATGTCTCTAAATGTGGAGGGAAAAACCGAAGTACCCGGAGAAAAAATTCCACATGGGGAGAGAGAGACATGCAAACTCGAAATATACAGGCGTCAGGGCCGCTATAGAAGCCCCCTAAACAAACCAAAACCTCTGTCCACTCTCTAGTAATCACAGCAACGTTTTGTTCTGCCATCCTTTGGCCCCCATTCGCTGTTCCTCATTTGGCCGTCTATGGTACCACCACACATCATCTAAAAAAGAAGAGTAGGTTTCATTATTGCTGGCAATAAAATAGGTGTTACGATGTTCAAACACCAGAGACAGCCTTTTTCAAATCCCCCCCCCTTCACCCTGTTGAAGGAACAGGATTCCAGCCGGTATCATCATAATATTTTATCAGAATATTTATTTAAACTGGAGGTATAATTGATACAGGAGGCCGCAACAATCGAACCGAAATTGACGAGGGTTCAGGAGTTGCAACAAGGCGCGTTCCCGACGCCGACACCACAGCTAGCTGCTTGCTACTCTTGAGCTTTATTCGTTAATCCCGCCAACCGCCCTGCAGATTCTCTACAAGAAGAGCTGGGAGGACGTGAAAGATCGCTACCTGCTGCCATCCGACTGCCCGGAGATGGTGCAGGCCCTCAAGAACGCCTCCAACATAAGCCAGGTGCTGCAGGGTACCCAGCCCAGGTGTACGGGCTCACGGGGACATCTTTGTGCTTCACCTCACCGGAGACAAAAAAAAAAAAGCTGGGTCGGGGTACATCAGAGGGCATATGAGGAGCGTAGAGAAGCCAGCGGGAGAGGCTTTGTTGGGGACGTGGCGGAGTGCTGTGTCACCGTCTCTGAAAGGAGTGCGTTCATAACCAAAATATTAATGTCGATTTATAAAGCGCCATTAAACAATCGTTCTCTTGGGCGCTACTCATGTAAAGGCGGAAGTAGTTTAGCATCAACCGAGGAAAGAAGAAGTGAGAAAAACGCTTGAAAGTAATTAAAGAGAGAAAAAGCCATTTTAAACAGATATCTTTTTAGTCGAGATTTGAAGACTTGTGAATATCTCGGAAGTCCTGACCCTTAAAGGGCAACCAGTTCTAGAGTTTAGGCGCCACAATTCCAGTGACAGAATTTTCAAGCCCAATGTTGAAATGTCACACACTCGATCAGATTTATATTTGTAAATGTATCACGCAAATCCATCGCAGAAGCACCCTTCGTCTCTATAAGACAGCTAAGTTTTCTTGCCCACTCATCTTTGTTGCATTTTAATAAATTTGCTAAATATATGTGGGCGTACGACATCTGCGTAGTGTTAAGAGTTCTGGAATCTAATTATTTGGTTTTTCCCCTTTTTTATGGCAACAAAACTGAAACCTTTTTTACAAGGATTCATGTCTGCATTAACCACAATACCTGCAGTCAAAATGCAAACAAAAAACATACTATGATAATATATGCATTGTCCTTGAAATTGATTTGTCCACACCAAGGGACGGCTTTCTTTTGAGCCTCGACCCAATTGGTGCACGACCAGATGACGCCAAAATCGCGTAGACTCAATTTAACGAGCACGTCAATTGCATGTAGAAGTGGTGCACGTCTGTGTATGCTGAACTTCTTTCGCACCGTACGTAGCCAACCGTGCTAATCGGAGGTTTGGGGGAAGGACAATGAACTAAACACGATGATCGCCGTTGTTATCTCCAAACAGAAAGTCTACCACGCCGAGTACGAGCTTGACCGAGGCTGCTGCATCCCCTACTTTGACAGCCCTGAGCTCAGGCGTGTGGCTAAGGCTCAGAAGACCCTCAGCGATGTAAGAGGCTCATCTGGGCCACATACCTCTCCCCACTTGGGTCTTCTCATACACACACACAGCCCATTGTCAAGCCACTGCTGGATGAAGAGGTCTCCTAATGATGTGTCATTACTCAGCGGGATTGTTTAACTGGTCAGTTCGTGTTGGTGAAGGTGGGGGGCATATTTATTTAAAAAAAAAATCACCCTGATAGCCGGTGGGGGCGCATCCCCCATGCCCTCCCCCCTGGAGTGTGCCAAGCGTGCTAATAGTGAGCATACTTGGAGGCACACGAGCGAGCCGGTGCCAGAGAGACAATCGCTCCAGATGGAGATAACGGGTGGCTACGTGTGCACGGACGCACAGGGGATAAGTCCCGAATTTGAATTGCGTCGGCTAAGCCAATATACCCTAAAACGTATTCGACTTTTAATGATATTTGTTGTTGCATTCGAGCGTTTCGATACACGTTGTGTACCGCGCTGTGCCGATCGACGTTGACGACGTATGGCTGTGTGCCCGGACGCGCAGGTGGTGTACAAGATGGGTCACGAAGAGCACCTCCTGCATTACACTCAGGTGGTGGACGCACCCGACATGGTGCAGGCGAAGAAAACGGGCGAGCAACTCAGTGATGTAAGTCCTGCATAGTGATCACCCGTATGTGTGTATGCTTGTTGAACTTCTTTTGCACCGTACATAGCCAACCACGATAATCCGAGGCGTGGGGGGAGTACAACAAACTCCAACACAAAAAGTAGATCTAAAGAAATGAGTTTTCAATCTAGATTATTTAAAAGTGCGTAGCTCCAGTGGCTTCCTAATATCGGAAGGGAGAGCATTCCACACGGTCGCAGAAGCTCATCTGAAAGCCTGCGATGCAGTGACCGCCTTTGTTCGATGGCCAGCCAAAAAATATAATTTACATTTGTAAAGCACATTTCATAATAAAGGTTTTTGGGTGAGATCGCGTTATTTATAAATGTGTCGTTACCCTCCACCACCCGACACGGCCAATCGGCAAAAAAAGTGTCACGTTGACAAAAGACAAATAGTTCACTACTTTAGCCCAACATTTACTCTTCAACACACCGGTGGGCTAAAGTAGTGAACTATTTGTCTTTTGTCAACGTGACACTTTTTTTGCTGATTGGCCGTGTCGGGTGGTGGAGGGTTACGACACATTTATAAATAACGCGATCTAACCTAAAAACCTTTATTATGAATAATATTGGTTGCGAAAGCCTACGTGTTAAAGCACATTTCATCTGTAGATTCCAATGCATCATGTATGGAAAGCAGGAAATTAACAGAACTATGGTAAATGGACAGGACTAGGATGTAAAGGCCAGTTTACAGAGGTGAGTTTTCAAGACAGTACATAAATATATCTAACAATTGTTATTGCCTTATTAGCAAAGCATTCCAAAGCTTGGGAGCTGCACTGGAAAATGCCCGATCACCCCAGTAAATGAGCCTTGACCTCGAAATATTTAGAATAAGACAATCTGAAAATCTCAGGGACTTCGTTGGTGTATAAAGATGGGTCAGTTCCTGTAGATATTGTGGGGCTAGTGCCATAGACTGTTGGGGCAAGTTCATTTCGTGAGCACCTGTGAAGGCCCGCATGGCACATGAGGCGGTGGGTGGCCAACGTCACGTCTGGCCACCTTTGCCACCCCAGTGCTGGTGTTAACGCACCGCACCAGGTACTCATTTAAAGCTGAATCGAGCTACGGGAGGCCCAGAACCGGTTCAGATGTTTGTCACGAAATTTTGGTCGTGAGCGGGAATCGAACTCGGCTCTCCGGGTTCGCAGTGCAGCGTGCTAACCACTGCACGTAACACACCCGTTCTGTGTTCTCTTATTCTCTCGCACTCTCTCTCGCTCTTGTACTCTCGCTGTCACTCACAAATAGCCCCCATGTAGGGGACTTAAAGTGTTAAAGCGCAACATTAATAACAGGTTATGTAGCCACCCTTCAGCACTTATTAATGCTCAATTACAGAACGGAATTATTCAAATATTTACAAGTGTAAAGGAATTTTGTTTTAAATCGCTTGTTTTTCTCTCTTGCTTTCCTCTTACTTGCTATCCTCTCTTAGAGTTGCTTCTCCAAATGTCCTTAAAAACGATGTTGTTATATTTGACCGGGGGCTCTCCCCCGACCACCCTGCTCGCTCTCCCCACAACAGATGAACTACCACGATGAGTACGTTAAGTCTGTCAAGGGCAAGTGGAGTCAGGCCCCCTGCTATGACGTCGCCGTGGCCAAAATGAACTCCGACAACATCAGCATCGTGAGTGTTGAACAACGGTCATTTTTAGAGGCAGGATAGGTGCCATCATAATTAGGTTAGTGTGCGACTTTGAAACGTTACGATAAGATGTATGTACGTCTAATTTTTTTCGTACCGCGCACCGTACGTAGCCAAACTGTGCTCATTGGAGGTGCAGGGAAAAATAAGCGTGTATAATCGTAATGAAAAGGAAATAACGTCAGGCCTTCGAGATTAAATTTTTGTTTGAATTGTCAGAAGTGTAAACGACGACGTATGAGCAGCGGCTACGTTTCGTTTTGTTACAAGAGCATCGTTGAAAGTTTCCTTAAAAGGACACGTATAGACAATATGTGATAATGACATTTTCAGGGGCAATGGTCCCTTCTTGACGAATGTGTTCAGTGTGTTATTAATAGTCCTTTTAGCACCAGTGCTAAGGCAGTAGAAGCAGCAGCATCACCGCATAATTTGTGACATTAACAAATAATTTAAAAGCTGTTTTTGCAGGAAATGTGTGCATATACAGTATCAGTGGTCAGCATATTATATTACAATATATTACTAATTTTACAATATTAGTAATATATATTACAATATATAGTAATATAATTAAATCGGTGTGGCTGTATACACATTGCAATAATAATAACAATTTAGTACTCATAGAATTTCCCTTTTTGTGTTTACGACTTAAACAACTGTCTGCAGCTAAGTTGCAGCTGTCATTACCTCTGCGTTGCATCACCGGCCAGCCAACCAGCCAGCCAGCATGCCGAGCGGTGTCCGCGTTTTTCTTTATTTTTCAGAACAAGTACAAGAAGGCCTTCAACGAGAGCAAAGACAAGCTCTTTGTGGATTCCACGGACACCCCAGAGTACCAGATGGTTAAGAAGGCGGGTGTCAATGCGAGTCAGGTGAGGTTCTGTCAATCGATCCATCGATCGATCTTTATTTTACGCACCAATATCACCCTCAATAAAGTAGTGGGGATCACAGTGCGCATTACAGCGGGACGGGAATGGTACATGGGGGGTGGTGGGGGGGCATTGAGCAAGAGGGAGGAAATAGGAAACCCATCACGACCTCATTGGCTAACACCGACTGAGCAGAGTAAAGTGCGACCGTGCGAAACGAATACCATAAGTAAGTACTTTTTGGTTCTTTCGGTAAAGTCACGTGAGGTCAAAAATAAAATAAAAAATGAAAACAACTAAAACAAATCACGACGTTTCGGAGGCAACACAAGAAGCTTCCGTCATCAGGTGGCAACAGTAACAGCAAACTTACTGTGGTGATTAGAGAGAGCTATTTGTGACAAGAGATTGTATAGGGTAAGAAAGGGGGAGGAGCCAGAGAGGACGGATGCAGGGTGGGGGGTAAATAAAAAATGAAAAGTAAAGAGAACAGTTTTTATTTTAAAAATGTGGGATTTCATCGGAAGGCTGAGCCTGAACAGGTGCGTCTTGCGCATACTACGGAATCGAGAGACACTCGGCGCGCTCATTGGTGACATTAATGAGAGGCCAAGTCTACTCCGAGGGAACAGCAATTCCAGATGCCGTTGAAATGGAGCCGTCAAAAGAGCTGGGCTGTGGTGGCTACGTACGCTTTGTAATGCAGCGTTGTGGGTGTTGGGGGTTAGCGGATCACACAAATGTGAAAAACTCCCTTCCCGTGGGTGTTGAGGTGCCACCTGTTCCATCTGCATGGGATAGAGTGTTTCCCCTCTCACACGCAGGTTGGGTTTTATCTGGGCGCTTCGATTTCCTCCCACGTGTAAAACGCTCACTAATTGGCTGATAGCACCTTGGTATACAGAGGGCTGCAGAGCTTGCGGGAGAAGTTGGCACCAGATCAGCACCTGGTTGCTGCTGCCATCCCCACCTCACAGTGGTTCCGCCTCGCGCCTCCGAGTCTATTCTCTCTCACCGAGAGTAAACGAATACCATGAGGCGCGTTACAAGTTGACGTTATTGTTATTATTGTTGTCTTAAAAGGGGGGACGCTTGATCCCGTGGAATGTAAATGGCTCTGCATCGTTTGACACTGGGCGTGAAGCCGATGGTCACCAAAGAGGCACCCTTTGATTTTGGCTTAAGGTGGTTCTTCAATGCTGGGAGCTTCCTTAGGTGTAGGGAGGCCACTTTTGGAATTCAGTTCCATCTGTTAGGAGCTTTCTTCATGCACAGGATTCTTAATTAACGTTACACCATGGATTATGTGTGTTGTAATTCATATATAATCCCAGCTGTTGTGACATTTGGAAAGACATTGCCATCAAAACACAGCGGATAATAAATTATTGTGCAGTAAATGTAATAACTCCACTGTCTTGATAATTTAACAATTACTTAGGCAAAGATATATATATAGCCAAGGTCAGCGTTGTAAAGATGTCCAAATAAAATTGTCGACATATTTGTTAATGCTGAGGCTCCTGTGGCCAACGTTATGATTTATAATCGATTTTTGGGTTAGACTGTCGCCTAATCCACACACATTTTAACCCACTGGATTGCTCTTCAACACACCGGTGTGCTGAGCCAGTAATGCATTGGCACGTTTTGAATCACGTGACAACATTGCACCGGGTGGAGGAGGGTAGTACAACACACATTGGCCTTTCACTCGTGTGGTGACGTGGCCCAAACGTCAATTACAACGCCTAAATACTTGTTGAGGTAAGTGTTTAGATCAGGGAAGGGGAGGACGTTGACCGGGCACGTGTTCGTGCCACCCGCAGGTGAAGTACCGAGCTGCCTATGAAAAGACGAAGGACATGTCCGGCTACAACACGCTGCCAGCCACGGAGAACCCCGCCATGAAGCAAGCACGCCATGTCTCTAAGAACCTCAGCGACGTGAGTATTGAGGACGAATCACCACTGACCTTTTTAGTTTGCGCTTCATTACACATTTTTTTATGTCCCATCGCTCAGACAAAGCAGTTTACCATTTGGCACTCCGCCAGCTGAGCGGTGGATCACCTTGTGCGGTGAATGGCACCTGGAAGGGTGTTTTACAGAATGACTAACATCACCTTGGTAGACTCTCTGATCCTCAAGAGGTTAATGGAATTTGTATATGCCCCGCAAGAGTGTGTCTTGCATAGCAATTAAGACCCTTTGGGCCGGAACATTACGACCTAAGTGACAAACCAAATGTATTATGATGGTGATTTTGTGAAGTCATTAGTGACCATGACCTCTATACACTTGAGACATTATATTTGTAGGAACCTCCTGGTTACACCAGCCCACAGGGGATTATTGTGTCCGTCCGTCGTGCATCCAAAAATGGGAGGGGTGGGGCTGGGTGGAGATGGGAGGGTGGGGAGGGGTTGGGTGGGGAGGGGAGGGTGGGGAGGGGCTGGGTGGGGAGGGTGGGGCTGGGTGGGGAGGGGCTGGTCACCCCGTGGTGCCCTTATAAAACTCAACGTTTAACCTACTCACGCTGGCTTGTGCCCGTCCTCACAGTCGGGCATATTCGCGGAGTACACCACGCCGCCGTTGACCCTGGCCATTGACCGAGCAACCCAAAGTTCCTACCAGCTCCTCCCTCCGCAGGAATGTGTTTGTCATCATGAGTGGTTGCTTAGCTTTCAACCCGGCATTTCATTACCATGAACCTACAATCTCAGTGATTTGGCAGAATAATAATTTCCCTCCTCAGCGACCCAGCCACCTCCAAGTATAGACTATGTTTAAATACATTATTGTGAGCTCGTGTTTTAAACTATTCGTCAGTCAATCAGAATCACTCGTTAGAACCTGATATTTAAAATCGTATTAATTTTCGTAGAAATACTGTCTCTCATTTGTTAAGGGAGAATATCTTTTGTGAAAGCTTTGCAGGGATATTGTGAACGACAAAACAAATGTTTGCAAACATTTTTAAAACGCTTGGTGCTGGACATTGTATTGGTTGAGCTCATCAATAAGTCGGAGAGCAGGTTTGAAAACCAAATGTAGCCATATAAATTGTATCTAATTTCTAAGTTTGATTGTGTGAATTGTTCTTAAAATTAATACTGGGAGGCCCCTGAGCGGGGGATAAAACTTCGACCTATGCCTGGCTGAGGCCAATATCTCCCATTCCCAGAAAATGCGAATAATTAGTTGTATCATCCCTCGAGGCCTGATGGGCTGAGTCGACCACGGACTAGATTTATTGTGAGCGAAGTGCTATGATCCACCTGAAAAATATGAATTTTTCTGTCGGACTGTTAACAGACCTCTTGATGTGACACTCACGAACTGAGAAAAAACTGATGCCTAGAAAGGGCTCCTAAGTTCGACAGGCCGTTAACAAAGCGAAGGTCCGAGCATGGATTACCGTCTGCGTTTATCTTGCGTTTGTTTTCGCCCTTCCGACAGCACGAATACAAGAAGGCGTATCACACGAACCGTGGTCACAGCATCAACATATGCGACACCCCCCAGTTCAAATCTGACACCGTACTCAAGAAATTCACCAGCAACGTGAGTTCCGCAGCCCAACCTCACGCACCCAGCTCATGCCACTGCATCCCCCCAACTCACAGGGAAAACATGATGCTCACGCTCGTAAAAATAATGTTTTACAGTGTAATTCGTGCAAAAATTAATCTCGAAACGCTTGACATTTTGACCCACCACACAAACATCTTAACATCTCAAAAAATGAACATTAAAAAAACAAGATCCAAGACCACCATAGATAAACAAAACAAAACGCGACTCAGAGCTCGGAGGTGAACAGAGCACGGACCGCGTGGGATAACGTCAATCGGCAAGCATTCAGGCTCCCGATATCCAAGAACGTCCAGGGAACAATGACAGCAAATAATTGTATTTCATGCAGCGTAATATCGTGCTCTGTATAAAGCAGAATATTTAACAGCAACACATGCTGTCCTCAATACACGTTGAACATCTGTCCAGTTGTCATCTTCATAATTGAGGGTTGATGCCCATGACAAGTTAATTCCTCCAACTGTTGTGATCACCAGTTCACATTGTCCACAAGTTTAGGTTCTTCTCCAATGCTGAAAATAGGATTTGAACAAATGCCCAATTGCTGACATTTGTTACTATAATGTTCAATGCAATATAATAGCTCAGGACATAAATTAACTTGTTCCACATGAGCTGTTGCACCCCACTGGTGTTCAGTAGCCCTAGGGATCCTTAATCTGTGTGCGATGGTAGCGGCGATTGTTGGTTATTAATATTGTTGTTTAAAGTGCACACATAGTTAATTTCTTGATTTTACTCTTCCCAAATAACGACGATTACATGTAAGAAATTATTTATAGCAGGATACACCTTTATGTGATTTCCAAAAAATTGAGAGAAAAAAAATGTGCAAATGTCTGCAATGATATTGAGTCCCATTTTTTTCGTTTATTTCTTTTACAATTTAAGAAATTTACAATCATCATGGGATCTCCTTTGCCAGTACCAAAATACGATCATAGGGTTTTCCCCTTTTTTCTGGCAACAAAGCAGGTGTTAAGATGTTAACACACCAAACTGAAACCTTTTACAAGGAATCATGTCTACATTAACCACAATGCTTATGGTCAGAATGCATTAAAAAAAAACACACTCTGATAATATATGCGTTGTCTTTGAAACTGATTGGTCCACACCAGAGACAGCTTTCTTTTGAGCCTCGTCTCAAAACGGTGTTAGACCAGAGGACGCCAAAAAAGGCGTCCTCATCCGAGTGCTATCAGCAGTGTTGTACAGTGGTCGCCAAATACGTCGTAAGTTTCCGTAATGTATACCTCGTGAAAGTGTACTGTAATTACTGGACAAATACCACGAAATTTCGCCCTTAATCATGGACCTCCAAAGCGACGAGCTGGTGGTGAGGGTGAGCGTAGTGTCAAGAGGGCGAGACGAGTGGTGGCACGTCGCAAAAAGATCGGTGTGGTTTTCCTTAACCTGTCTGGGTGTGTGCGAGACACGGCCAGATTTTTTTAAGAAGACAAATAATCTAAAAACACAAATTGAGCACGGGCACCGAAGTACAACGACTTTGTTTAATCAAACCTCCGTTTTTTTTAAAATGAACATTATACTTTGTTTTAGCGATTGAGATCAAAGGGGCTGCAAATGCTGCGTGAAAAGTTAAGAACCACTGCTTTAGAGGAACGAGTTCTGAGGAGGGGGAGAGCCTCTCATCTATAAACTCACATCCCCCCCCCCCCCCTCCATAACATCACCAACATCGTCATCATCGTCACTGTCATCCTTATCTGGACTTCACTATAGTATACAGGGGCCGTCCATAAATGACGTCACGCACCTGGGGGGGGGGGGGGGGCGTCAGACATTTGTGACGATGTGTGACGAGGGGGCGGGGGGGGGTTGAGAAATGTGACGTCACATCAAAATGCGCAACTTTAAATAAATATAGACAACACGTTCTACTTAATTAAATATACTTTTTAATAAATGTTTTCTCCTACAACATCAGAGTGCAGCGCCACATTAAATACACACTACAATGACAATAGTTTAAAGCGATTTGAAGCATGTTTAAAACATTTTTTTGGGGGGGGGGGCAGAGCTTTGTGACGTCATATTTGAGGGGGGGTCTGACTTTTGTGACGTCGTGTGACGAGGGGGGGGGGGGTCAAAAATCGTCCAAAATCGCGTGACGTCATTTATGAACGGCCCCACACGTTAAAGGTAATTGAACGTATTTGTGTTCACTATTAATATTAAAGGAATTGTTTTATTCGTACAGGGTATACTGTATGTTATAAGGTACGGTACATATTTCTCATGCGTACTGAATGCATAGGATGCGTGGGTAGGCTTCGATGAGAACGTTAACCGCATCCACGGAACCTAACCCTCTACCTTTCATAATCCTTTAGTCTTGCCAACAGCGCTTTCCAGGGACATAACCCCCGCAACTACGGCGAGGAAAATTTCGATTGAAAGCTTTCGTGACTGCAAAGATTCATCTTCTTTGGTTCTTTCGGTAAAGTCACGTAGAATGAGAATAAAATAATAAAATAAAACAATAAAATTCTCACGACGTTTCGGCCACAACACAAGTGGCCGTCTTCAGGTGAAAGGGACAGACCTGTTGGGACAGACCAATAGGTCTGTCCCTTTCACCATATGGCGAGGAATTTGCTGTATAGATTTGCAGATCGCGATTCACAAACAAAGCAACTGAACAATTTGCATGTCCTGTCTGTGTTGCGACGTTTGCGGCCTGCAGGTGCTCTACAAGGAGGCCTACGAACGGAACAGGGGACACTACATTGGCAGCCCGGACGACCCCCACATGGCCAACTCCCGTCGTGTGGCGGATATTCAGAACGCCGTGAGTAGCCCGCCGTCCCCTATCATTTATCACGATGCGACGTAGGCACAGCTGTCAATCCATACGGTTTACCCCGTGTCCTTGTGCAGGGAAATTGAGTTTTCAGGTCCATAGGGCGTACAGCCGTTTCAATTACGAGAAAACTAAGAGAAATTTGTCTACTTGTTCGTGTTTCTCCCTTGTGATGGGACTTTGTAGGATGAAGTTGAGATTCATAAGGGCACAGGTTGACCAATAAGGTCTTAACTGGTCTGTAATGACGTAGGCAATGATAAGGGGTTGACACGTATGCGCAGGCCTTTGCGATCGATATTATTCATGGTACAGTTTTTTTTATATTATTGGTTCTTTCGTTAGATCGTTTGCTGTCCATAATAGGGTTTTTTTGGGGGGTTAGGTCGCGTAAATAAAAATGTGGTCGTTAAACCCGCCACCATCCAACACGGTCAATTAGTAAGGTTTATCACGTAAACAAAAACATGCCAATTAGTTCGGCACACCGGTGTGTTGGAGAGTAAACTCACAACATTTACAATTCGAGTATGATGTTTCACCAGTAATTATAACAACCGGCTCCATCAGGCGACAACCAGCAGTGGTCACGAATGCCTACATGATAAAGTCGATCGTTTGCTCTCGAACACACCGGTCTGCTGAAGTAGTTCACGTGACAAGCCTCACTCATTGGCTGCGTCGGGTGGAGGTGGGTGTACGACACATTTGCACTTATGCTATCTTACCCAAAAATCGTTATCAAGAACAGATGTCACACATTGACCATTATCGCAATATCATAATCCAATAACCTCGTAGTTGCGTTTCACGTTTTCATTGTATTGTTTTTGTGCTTCCCTGCACTTTAATTATACATATATAAGCAGAACCTTATAGTTCCTCAGCTAAAGTAATTTGCCAAAAGCACACCATTAGTTTCCTATTCATTTAAACTTTACAGTTTGTAATGCTTATAAATGGACCTGCTGTCAATAACTTGAAACTAATTAATTAAAGTAACTAAATAACGTGATGCCTGTCATCTCCTTGTCGTCATTTACGCTGGAAAAAATATATTTGCAAAGTGCTAATTAAATGGGAAATAGCTATTTATTGCATGATTTAATCATTAAAGAGGTTATTTCATCAATATTTTGTCAGGAAATTAAAAATGTAAAAAAAATAATGGTGAGATCTGAACTCCCTCGCCTGGTATGCAGGAGGTTGTGGGTTTGATCCCGAACCTGATGCCTACTGTATATTTGGAGTTTGCATGTTCTCCCCGTGGTCTCGTGGATTTTTCTCCTGGTCCTCCGCTTTTTCCTCTCCATATTTAGAAACATGCGTTGAAAGTATTTGACTGCCATAAACTTGCACATGATCATAAGTCAATTCGTTGAGAATCATTTGTGATGGCCAGGTCGCTTCTGAAAAAGAGCTGTATACTGCAGCTCAGTGGGCCTCACCCTGGTGAAGTAAAAAATAAATAGTTTAGTTTATAGTTTTCTATATCAGGTTACGTTGAGAAAAGTTAAAGACATGAGAGCCGCTGAGACACTGCCGTTTTTTTTTATGCTGCGTTTGTTTTGCAGAAACTCTACAAGGCCGATTATGAGGCGGACAAGACTATGTGCTACTTCCCGATGACCATCACAGCTGAGTACGAAGCCATGAAGAAGGTGGCTCAATTCAAGGATGTGAGTGCTGCCCCCACACCCCCCCCCCCCCAAAACTCTGGAAACAAAAAAAGTGCATTCCACGTACATGCTGCTTAAACGTCGAAAATACGCAATGGGATACCCTTACGAAGCTACGAGAAAACATCCACCAATACCTTGAACTTGCCGAACGCAATTAGTGGGTGAATTCATACCAATGTTCGGCCATGTGGCCTTTAGCAGGGTTTAAATAGCAAATGACAGCCACTTTGTTTATACATTAAAAAAAAATGTAAAGTAGGAATATAAGCGGTGGTGCAGTGCTTAGCACGCTGCGCCTATAAACCTGGTTACCCGAGTTAAATTCCTGGTCATGGCTTAATATTGGTGGCAGGTGATATATCTTGAAGGCCCTCTTCACAAACCTGCACGATAACCATCATGGTGAAGTATGGTCAAAAAACGATCACGAATGACACAGTGTGGTTGAGGCCTGTGTCTCTCAGTGGATTGACAGGGGACTGTAAATTATTATTTGTCATTTTTATTTAAAGCAAGAGATGATATTTATAGTGAAGATCGTACATTGTAATATGCGCTGCAGATGTTGGGGCAGCCATTATCATTTGACTATATATTTGATGTACACATAGAGCAGGGAACACGCAACGTTTATTTAATTTATTTCAGTTTGTAACGTGCGTAAAATGTACTGCACAGTGTAAATTTGCGAGATAAGGCCCTCTCCACACTGTGTGGCTATTGGGGTTGTTTGACCATACTTCACCGTGATGGTCAATGCGGTTTGGCGAAGGTGGGGAGCAGTGAAGTGGAATGCAATGGATTTTTGAGCGAAACGGTGGTGAGATGTTAACTACCTCGCATGGCATTCAGGAGGTCGTGGGTTCGATCCCGACCCTCACGCCTGTAATATTTAGAGTTTGCATGTTCTCCCCGTGATCGCATGGATTTTTTTCTGGGTCCTCCGATTTTTCCCTTCACATTTAGAAACATGCCTTTAGATTATTTGGCTGCTATACATTTCCACATGGTAAGCCACTTCGTTGAGCTATCATGTCTGGCCAGGTCACTTCTGAAAAAGAGCTATATAGCTCAGTGGGCCTTACCTCGTTAAATAAAAAGTTTAGTTGGGTTTTTCTACACTGCCCTCTGCTGCCCATAATACAGACCCGCAGCAGCCTATAACACCTGTTAATGCATGGTTGTTGCCATCCAAGCACCATCCAGGCTCAGACTCAAACCTGACAAGCTTCTGAGAACCATCGGCATAATTTTTTTAAATAATATTGCGCATCTAAGCAACCTTTAGCTTCCCGTGTGTTTTTCACATTGTATTATATGGAATGCACACAATCGCTCGCTCTTTCATGCTTCATAAAGCCGTTATCTGCATGTATTGCCTATATCCCGCACCACCGATTAGCTACGGTAGGCTACGTACGGTGCGAAAGAAGTTCAACGTACATACATACATACGTATCTTTCAATAGAGAAGTTGAAAGTGTGTGAAGGAACCGTGTGGGCAGTGGTGGTGACAGTGAGCGATGTGCTGTGGTCGTCTTTGCAGCTGGTCTACAAGAAGCACCCAGACACCGTGCCCTTCACACAGTCCATGGACTCCCCTGTGATGCTTCAGGCCAAAGTCAACGCCCGCCAACTCAGCGATGTACGTTCCACGCTCGTTTTTTTTTCTTCTGACGGCGAACAGCGTTTTCGTCTTGATGGGAAATAACGCGTCTTGTTGACATCATCGTTTTTTTATGATTTACCTGTCCATGCAAATTTCGTGGAAGTGTGCGAAATAAATGTTGTATCGATTTTTTTTGTCAACATCTTTCTCTCAAAAATGTTCCTACCTTTCATGAACGTAAGTTTGCTTAGCATCTGAGCAAAAAAAAAATAAATGTTATTTCTTTTGCATCCGTTAATCAGCGGAGAGCTTCACTAACCAATGGGACTTTATTGATGCTACGTCGGTCTGCCGCAAACAGGTGAACTACAAACAGGCGTACGAAAAAGACAAGTTTCGGTGCAACCTCCCGGCGGACTATCCTCCCCTGCTGCAGGCCCGCGCCAACGCCTACAACCTGAGCGAAGTGAGTCCGCGCGGGGAGACGTGCCTGCTTCAATGAAAGACCTCGTGCGGGTCCGCTGCGAAGGTTTTCGTGGCTGTGCTGTAAAGTTCTCTCTTTCCGCCCCGCGTTGGTCGGCATCACACCGAGGCGTTTCGCTCCTCGCGCTGACAGCTTCCTTGGGGAACTTTTTCTTTGAGCGCGTGGAGGGAAACGTCGGACAATATCCTGGTGCAACCCGAACGTCCATTTGGAGACTTGGCGTGCATATTTCCCGCTTGTTATGAATATTAAAAACACTGTTTTTGACCTTTTAGATTTTTGTTTGTATTATTATGAGTGATAAATATTGAGTTGAGAATTTGGTGAAAGCAAATTGTTGGTAATTAATGAAAGGTTGAGAACTTAAAGTTGAGAGCCTTTGCTTTTCAATAGTCGAGTCAGTCTCAGTGTTAGAAACGGTGGAAATGTGTCTACCACCAAAGATGTAAGCCGTAAATAATTACTGAGATAATGTGAATGACATGAACGTACTATAATTACCGAATTTATCATTACAAAATGTAACTTCAAAATAAGAAAAAGTAATACATCCGAAATAAAACCTAATTATTACATTGCCACATATTTGTGATGGATAAATGTTATGGGATTCATGTTTATGATGTTATTGTGATGATGGCTTACACAATGTGTATATGTACATGTTTAAAACATACGATAGCATACAAACTAAATTCCATTATCTTCTTTGGTTCTTTCGGTAAAGTCACGTAGAATGAGAATAAAATAATAAATTGATAAAATAAAATAACACAATAATATTTGTGTTATTTATTATTTTATTCTCATTCTACGTGACTTTACCGAAAGAACCAAAGAATCATTGCAGTCACGAAAGCTTTAAATCGAAATTTAAATTCCATTACCCAGCTCAAATAAACGCTTGGGCAGTGCTCATCACTCTTGGCAACCTTTGAGCCAGTGGTGGAATTGTTACATTACTATAACACGTTTGGTCACGAATCGCATGAATTATAATTGGTTTTAGAACATTATAAAAGTGAGTGTGACATTTTTATCACCACCTATTGGGAATGCATTTCAAAAGCCTCTGCATCAAATTCCAGTTGTCTCTTGTTTTCCCTTTTCCTGCCTAACCCCCCTACGACTGACTCACTGCTGCTGCCTTCCCTACTTTAGAATGCCTACAAGATGAACTGGGACGAGACCAAAGATAAGAAGTTTGAAATCAAACTCGACTCCATTCCCATCGTGGCCGCCAAAAAGCACAGCAATGATGCCAGTGAAGTAAGTCCCTAGTCGGCTGCCCCCCTCTCCTGCTCTTAAAAATTAACACAAGCATGTTTTTATTTTACCAGGTCAGGCCTAATACTGAGCTACAGAGCTATTTTTTTCCACGTTCAATGAAGTGTGGAAATTTATCGCAGTCAAATACACTCAAACGCATTGGGCCAGAAACGAGAGGCAAGCTGAGAGGTAGCAAGAAACTGGCATCAACTTATTATCCAAGCTCTGTGATCTGCCAGCCTAGAGGGGGAATACTCGCTCTGTGTAATCCCAATTACCTGGTACTGTTGCCACATGCAAAAAAACTAGTCATAGAGGCAATTAGTCAGATAACCCAATGCAAGACCCTCCCAAAAGATTGCGTCTGAAGAAGAAAGGGTGTAATCGGTGCTTGCCACCTGCTGTAACACGTGGTTCATAAACACGGTCATTGACAAATGATTAGAACAAAATTTAAAGGTGCGCAAAAAATGCGTTTTTAAATATATAGGTTTTTTGTGCTTGTGCACCACAGCCAATGCAGCATCACCAATTCATTAGTTTTATAAGTACAGTCATTTTGGTGCGATTACAAACTTATCCTCTACGTACTCTGTAGTAGTATTCATAAAGGTAACATTAATAAGATTAAGCTTTACGCTGGATGATCAAATACTTTTTTCAGGATTTTTTTAAAGTTTATCATTCCTTGATTTTCCATTGAGTTATTTCGCTTATAACAAATAATTGGACTATTACAAATCAATTTTATTTTTTTTATTTGTAACTTTATGTAACAAATCGTTAGTTTTAAAAGTCAAAACGAAGGGACTGCGTACAACGCAAATGGGGGTAAAGTCGATTATATAAGGGCGAAGTTTTGTGGCCACGGCATAAAGAAATAAAAAACACGTATGGTTATAATTTGGACAAATCCATTTTGATTCGGAAATATTATAACGCACGCAGTGCCCGTGATCAAATTACCTGAGATGCACGCAGTCTCATTCGAGGCTAAGCAGGGACCGAGCCTGGATAGTGCTTGGATGGGTGACCCCCATGTGTAAAACAGGTTGCCTCATAAGTGACGACATCACATTTATCCCTCTCGTTGAGACTGAAACAGCAGGATTTCTCCACAACTCTGGCTTGTCGCCTGATGATGCTTGTGGTAATTACTGGTGAAACGTCACGGTACTTGAACTGTAAATGTTGTGGGTTTATTCTCCAACACACAACCGGTGTGCAGTACTAGTAACGAATTGGCATGTTTTGTTAACGTGACAAACCTTACCAATTGGCTGCGTCGGGTGGTGGCGGGTTTAACGACGCATTTATATTTATGCCATCTAACTCTAAAACCTGTTATGGGTAAAAGCAGGTGTCACAGCTGTCTGCCCAGCTGTGCTCGTTACAGCACGAGATAGTGCAGCAAAATCTATCACTGTACTGTGCTTTTGTACTCCCACTGCCCCCACCAACAGCCAGCATTGAGCAGTGCGGTGAAGTACGGTCAAATTAATATCGATGGCCCACACAGCGCGGGGAGTCCCTTGTCCAGCCGTGGATTGGGATCCTTGGATGGAATGCGCGTTATAAATTTGAATCATTATTTTTATTATAATTGTCGGGTGGGGTTCTGTACGGCTAAATGAACACATGGCGGGAGATCTTTGAGTAAGTTATTAGAAACTCAAAAAGATAAGAAGTGTACATGCAGTTGTGTGGCTAGCTGTGCACCGGATACACAAAGAAACAAGTCAGAAGAACTGAAGGGCCACGCATGGTTATGTATATATATACATTCATTTGTTGTTTTTAAGTGTATTGCTTAATTCGCTGGGCTTTCAAGTGGGCCTGTGTTTTTGGTGTCACTGGGCTGTGTCGACGGTTCCCCGCTCTTACACGCGTGACTCTGACTTGCGATGCGGCAGGTCAAGTACAAGAAGGCTTATGAGAAGAACCGTGGCAAAATGATCGGGGCCCTGAGCATCGAAGACGACCCGAAGCTCCGCCACTCGATACATGTGGCAAAAATTCAAAGCGAGGTACGTTGGTCGGGATACACAAATGACACGAACGTAGTGTGACAAGATAAGGATTCACATATGAATGGCTGATTAAATTCCTAAGCAACTCAAAGCGGCTTACATCACATATTTTCTCTAAACCATTGCAGTGCCCTTCTGTAGCCTAGCCAAGGGAACCCCCATTGGAAGCTGTCCCTATGTGGCACAAGGTGTCCGCTGCACTGGCCTACAAGTGGGCATTAACCTGCCAGTAGGGGGCGATTTCTCTTCTTGCACATGGCAATGTGTTCAGGAGCTGAATTCCAATGCCAATGGCTGCTTGCCACAAAGGGCTTCAGGAGAGAGTTCGTGTCGTTTGGTTATTCCTCTGTTGAAAGATCGCAGACTCCAGTGGTTTACTATATGGTCCATAGTTTGTATGTATGTTTAACTTCTTTTGCACTGTACGCAGCCAACCGTGCTCATCAGAGGTGCGGGGGAAGGACAACAAACGAAACACAAAAAGCAGCTTTAAAGAAATGAGTTTTCAATCTAGATGATTTAAAAGTGCATAGCTCCAGTGGCTTCCTAATATCGAAAGGAAGAGCGTTCCAGATGGCCGCAGAAGCGAATCTGAAAGCGTGCGAAGCGGTGACCACCACCGTCTTTGTTCGATGGCCAGCCAAAAACCGCTGCGGGAATGACCGGAGTTCGTGTGAATTGATGAAAGGGCTCTTGTATCTGTGTGCACCCATTTGTTCACTGTGGGGTAGAGGGCTATTACACAAAGTGTGGATGACACCAAGGCTGGTGGTGGCTGTGAACTTGGCCCAGTTGATCGCCCTCGCCAACCACTCCAAGTTGTCTTTGTCAATTGTAACATGAGATATATCCATTATGCATCGTTTAGGTTGCATGGCCACAATCACACTCCTCTGGCTTGTGCCTTTAATTTCCACTTATGAAGAAGATGTGCGCATAGGGTTCTTGATGTTCTGATGCGGATTATGGTTCGACGAGTGCCTTCGGGGGAAGGCCAAAGTCAAGCGGTGTGGCTGTTTGGGTCTTGAATGAGGTAGTAGGGGGTGATGAACTGTGAGCAAAGTATCGTATGTGCGGGCACGCCATCAGGCATTTTGCCGTATGTGTCAGTGGTTTCGGCAAGTGCGGGTTGAAGGTCGACGTTCTGTTTCTCAACACGCGATCTCTCCCCTGTGTAGCGCGAGTACAAAAAGGACTACGAGAAGGCCAAGACCAAGTACCACAGTCCCCTGGACATGATGAACGTGACGTTGGCTAAGAAGTCACAGGCCATCGCGAGCAACTACAGCTACAAGCAGCCCATCCACAGCTACTTCATGCCTCCCGACGCCGTGTCCGTGGTGCTGGCCAAGCAGGGGAACCAGCTCTACAGCAACGTGAGCATATTGGCCTCTTGAGCTCGTAACCGTGCCCTTCGCTCCCGCGGCCTACCATTGAGCAGCAGCTTTTTGAGCCCAGATAGGTTCCACCCCCCCCCACCCTTCCCACTCCCCCCACCCTCCCCACCCACCCACCGGGTGTAGCGCCGAAGGGTCTGATCCAGGGGGTCGGCAACCCAAAATAACAATAAGAGTGTTTTTTTATTCGGTCCAAAAAAAACCCCTCAATATTTCAACAGCTGCAATGCGTGTGAGTGAGAATACGAGACAGTGAGTCCTTGAAAAATAATGGTCATTAAGCAGCAGTCTTTTAAAAGAGCCACCACATGCGGCTCTGGAGCCACAGATTGCCAACCCCTGGTCTAATCTGAGCAGCAATCTTGCCAAGTATAACAAAAGCCAGTGATTTCCTGCTCCATTGAGTATTACTATTACATTCGTACGATCGTATACATTGTGTATATATTCAGAACTATGCTATGCTCTGATATAAACTATATATTTGTATTTTACCAGGTAAGGCCCATTGAGCTACATATATAGCTATTTTTCATAAATGACCTGGCTGTCACAAATTATATCTCAACGAAGTGGCTTATTGAGTGGAAATTTATAACAGCTAAATGCTCTAAACGCATGTTTCTAAACATGGACGGGAAAAACCGGAGGACCTGGAGAAAAATCTATGCAATACGGGGAGAGAGAAACGCAAACTCCAAATATTACAGGCGTCAGGGTCGTGATTGAACCCACGACCTCCTGAATGCTAGGCGAGGCAATTAACATCTTGCCACCGTTGTGCCCTCCGACTTCAAGTATGTACTTTAAATATTAATTAAGCTGTAATAATCATGTTTCATTAATTCATACATGACATTGCACCCAGGTGTACTCAAGTACATTCAGCAGGAGAGCGTGCGGCTCGCAATTGAAAGCCTGTGAGTTCAATTCCTGGTTTAGGGGTTGACTCAGCCCATCATCCCTTTGGGGTGGATACAAAAGCTACCACTTGTGTGGGAAAGTCAACAGGAATTGAATATTAATGCTGGAGGTATCCGATGAGATGTAAAGCTCCTTTTACACACATAGATGTACCCCCCCCCCCCCCCCCCACCATAGGAATGTGGTAATTCTACCACTGTCTCAGGGCTGTAAGCGGGAGATGAGCACCACCTCAGTTCGCATCCGAGCACGAAGTTGCGTTGACTTGGACTTGCTGATCCCAATGCTGTCATCCGACCGAAGGTGGTGGGGACCCTCGTGAGATGCAGCCTTTGTGGACCGTCGCCCACCTCTCACCGAAGGCGTTTGTTCAGTTGCATGGTGTGTTGACAGCCGCCCCTTCTCCCCGTGCAGAATGACTACAGGGCCGACTACAACAACTGGTTCAAGGGAATTGGCTGGCAGCCATTCGAGTCGGTGGAGCAGGTTTCTGCCAAGAAGGCCAGCGCTATCCTGAGTGAGGTGAGTCCAGCGGTAGCCACGTGAACAATTTAGTGCAGCGCTCTTCACTGATTCTCGCCGATAAGACATCGTCAGTGTGAGGGCCGCCACGCATTTGAAACCATTGGGGGTTTGTGGCAGCACGGTGATGGTGGGGGGTGTTTTCACATTTGTGTATTGTCGGGGGAGGCCGCACGTCAGCAGCCACACTGAAGGCCGCCAGTGTCCCGCGGGCCTTGCAATGAAGAACAATGCTCTAGTGCCACATGCGAAGCCACGTTACCGGTGGTCTATTTTCGGGTTGGCATGGGCCCTGGTGCAATGGAAGGAATTAAATTAGGGCCCCTTGTCCAGTGCTCGTTCGCCTGCTGCCCCCCCTCCACCCACCTTTCTACCTCTATGTAGCCTCATGCCTGGGTCATTCGGACCCACGGGCCTTGGTGCAATAGTACTGCCTAAGCACTTGATGGCTACGTCCCACCGCACCTCGCAGTCGCCCGCGGATATTTTTCTCCTTCACTGGCAGAACTGTGCCAGCGTATCTTATCTTTTTTCACTTGCCCTGCCTTTTATTTTACAGTTGTACTCCAGTCTTTAAAACCTAACTGATGTGCCGGGCTGTAGGTTCACATTTATTAACATAGAAAAAACCGGATTTTTCAAGTGATAATTTGAATGTGGACGGTTTATTCTATCACTCTTCCTGATCTATCTTTATGATGTTTCACCTAGCTTTTGCTTTTGTTGGCTCAACCAAACAGATGCAAGAGCATAGCTATACTCATGAAAGGTTGTGTGTTTATGTATGTACTGTATGTTGAACGTCTTTCGCACCGTACGTAGCCAACCGTGATTACCGGAGGTGCGGGGGAAGGACAACAAACTCGACACAATAACAAGCAGTTTTCAATAAATTAGTTTTCAATCGAGATGATATAAAAGTGCATAGCTCCAGTGGCTTACTAATAACGGAAGAAAGAGCGTTCCAGACCGCCGCAGAATCGCATTGGAAAGCACGCGATGACCTTTTTGTTCAATGGTTAGCCGAAAGCCACTGCTGCGAGGATGACCGGAGTTTGCATGGTGGTTTATGCTCCTTGACGAGATCAGTAACATGTAGATTCAACATTACATTGCTATGAATTCCTCCAAAAACAATACGAAAAAACAAGTCAATTTGATGGAGATAAATGTATTAATTTGGAAATTTAAACAGGTTTTTTTTAATGAACAATAACAAAAGAAAAATAACATTGGTTCAGTGTGAGCATGAAATAAAATAATTTCGAAATCACAAACTTCATTTATGAGATGTATAACCCTTTTCAAGGCATTCAGAAAGCAATTTCGTTTAACCTCAACGGAATGAATGACTCTTGCGCAAGGACTTCACATTAACCATTCATGTAAAATATGAATGCAACGGTCAATGATTGGATTCTTTGTCGTCGTCTTCATATAATGAAGCAATCATTTCTTTCGCATTTTAAATATAAACAGAGAAAAACAATTTGGAGGATTGGGCTCGATCATCGGTACAGGAGCAAGCGGTGACCTTCACGTCCACCGTCCATCCATCGTCGCCCTTGGAAACTGCACACTTCACTGCAGTGGCCATCATCTTCACAGACGAGCGATTACCGAGAAGAAAAAGATTGACGTAAATCACGTGACCGTGTGAGAACTGACATTTGATTGTACGTGTGTGCGTGTGCGCGCATCTCGTTGAATGTCTCATTCACAGAAAAAATACCGTCAGCACCCAGACACGATCCCGTTCACGCAGGTGACCGACTCCCCTGTGCAGCAGATGGCCAAAGTGAGCCAGGACCAGCAGAGTAACGTGAGTACCTTGCTGCTCGTGAGAAAGGGCAAAGGCGCAGCCCCTGAAATCGCTTCGCTCACGCCACTGCTTACGAAGGGCCCCCGCGAGAGGACAGCTCTGGAGGTTTTTGGTGACTTTGCTGATCGGCTAACCCCATCTGCAAACCATGTTTCTCTCGTTATTCGCGAGGGATACGTTCTGGAGATGCTCGTGAACAGCGAATTTTGCGGATAATGATATAGGCCTATGTAAAACGTATCACATTAATTAATTGCTCTGTGTAATTTCTCTTTTTATCTGTTCTTGTCTAATGGCAGTGGAAGTACAAGGCAGCCAGCGAGGATGTTCTCCACAAGTACACACTCCCACACGATGCCCCAGAGTTCCTGCAGTCTCGAGCCAATGCCTACAACATCAGCAAGGCGAGTACCCCGCACAAAAGAGGGACTAGCTGGGAATCAGCGTAGGGCTCCATGGGAAAAAATATATATATATTTTACCAGGTAAGGCCCACTGAGCTATATAGCTCTTTTTCAGAAGCAACCTGGCCAAAAATGATAGCCCATTGAAGTGGCGTATCATGTGTAAATGTTGTAGCAGCCAAATAAAGACAGTCCCTGGGTTGCGGAAGACCCGACTTATGGAAATCCGATTTTATGGAATGCTTCCGTAAATCGTGTAAAAAAAAATAATATGCGGAAATATTTGCGTTAGTTACCTAAGCGCAAATAGTGCAGCAAGGTGAGGTTGCAGATGAATACCGTGGAGCGTGGCGCGAGGCAGGCAGCCTTACTCCTCGCTCGAGCTTCGCTAGGATTAAGGTAAATGGATTTTTTTTGTAGCATTACGTAATAATTTTCCTTTCGTAGCATTAAGTAATTGTTTGTTTTCTATGCTTAGAACTACCTCTTTTTTCCCATGTTTCTATTGCTAGTTTTCTTCATTTTAAGTTTATCTCATGAGTTCTTTACTGTATGTATCTTATTTAACACTTACACTTCCATTGCTTATGGTCTCAGCCAACAGCGATCGGAGAAGTCTAGGCCTAGCCTAATGCACGGTAAATGAAGGTTCGGAAGTGACTGCTTTCTGTTAACAATTAACATAAAAATGTTTCGTGGTATTCATAAACAATTGGATACGGTATATGTCCCATTAGTTTAATTATGAATAGGGAAGATAGTCGATGAAATTAAAGAATCGTAGGAAGTGCAGAGTGTATGTACAGCGACACGATACAGGTAGCCAGAGAAAACGGACGACAGCGCGACACGGTACTGAGAGAAACCGAACTCGTTATCGGGTAGGGGAGGCACAACTATTTACGGCTATGGGATTTTATCGTTGATTTTTGGAGGAAAATTGTTCCGTTTCCGACATATGGAAAATTCGGGTTACGGATCGTTCTCGGGAACCTAACTCTTCCGTAACCCCGGGACTGTCTGTACTCTAAACGCGTGATGTTGATTCTACTTGTGGAGGTGAAAAACCGGAGGAGCCGGAGAAAAATCCACGCGATCACGTGGGAGAGCACAAAAACTCAAAATATACAGGCGCCGGTGTTGGGATCGAACCCATGATCTGTATACCAGGCGAGGTTGTTAACATCTCGTCACTGTGGCACCCCAATAATAAAACAGGCCCCGTGCCCAGTCGACCTCGTCAGGAAGACCAAATGTTTTGCCTGGGCTTATCGAAGCCAGAATATTGGTATCATAGTCTATTTCTCACTGGTTTGAATCCATGGGTGAGTTTCTTAAGGAAAAGTTATCGCAACATGCTGGGTTATCTACATGCACCAGTAAAGTCATATGGCTCAGTTCAAATTTTAGTGAATTCATGTTTTCATACAATCCTTTTTACAAAAAAAAATATGCTCATGTCTGCACTACCAGTCATGGGGAAAGCTGACAAAATGGTGCGTTCACCAGGCCTTTCCTCAAGATGCGACTGTGCCCCTGTATTTGCATGCATTTTCTGTGCTTGATGAATATGTGACCATTGCATGTTTGGGTGGCGGTACGTGTTGTCGCTGATCTGTTGGGATTCCACAGAATTCCTACAAGGCGGGCTGGAACGAGCTCATCAGCAAGGGCTATGACCTCAAGTTGGACGCCATCCCCATCATCGCTGCTAAAAAGGCCCGGAAGGACGCCAGCGACGTGAGTGTGCAACCAAATGTTCGTTTCTAACTGCCATATGTTCTGGAGTTAAATCCTCCACTGAACACGCAAAAATACCTGGTCACACACAACAGCAAAGATCCCAACGTCTCACCGTAGGCACTGTATGGCAGACACAGGACATGGCTGCCTTTATCTCCCCAATGATGATGTTTACACAACATAGAGAATGCCCAGGACAGGTTCAAATGCTACTTTTAAAATTGTGCGTGGCTAAGGGTTGAACATAAATCACGGTGCATGTATGTATGTTGAACTTCTTTCGCACTGTACGTATCCAACCCTGCAGTACGCAACCCACCGCAGCACCATCCCCACAGACCTGCTCCCACCCACCCACGTGTACACACAAACCAAGTTCAATACAGGATAAATTATTATTCGCGGCCCTATTACCCGCGACTGATATTATCCACAGCAACTGTAGGATCAGCGAAATCTCGTATTATCCACAGTCCTATTTCTTCCTATCTTTTGCGTTTATCCGCTAGTTTATGCACGATGCATAGCGAAAGCTGTTTCCTAATACTCGCGCAGCAAATCACTCTAATTGTGTGTTATTTTTATCCCATTGATTAGAGGAGTAAAACTTGTGGACAACCTCGTGGATAATAGTATCCGTGATACTGGCCATATTACCACAGATAAGAGGAGTTCTGTATTACAGCAACAAAACAGCTGATGTGAGTTGGGAGAGATCAACTCGGGAAATTTCACAGTACGGTAAAGTAGAACCCTCGGAAGGAGTGATAAAGGTTCAGGCCACGTAAGTGAAATGTGAGGCAGAGAAGCAACTTTGTTAGTAAACAACCCTGGAAACAATTGTGGTGGTAAGGCAACATGCCTGAGCTGTACTGACGATTGTGGGTCAGTGTTAAACCAGTACACTGCTACCAAGGAGCACAATGATTACGAGGGTTGTAATGATGCTTTGATCGGCCTATTCAAATTGATTCCTGCACTGATGTGTAACAATTGTTGTTTGTATGCCCAAGTAAATGGCTTGCGTATGCCCAAGTAAATGGCTTGCGTGGTCGCCACTATGTTCACCACAATGAATTGTTATGATTCTTGGATTGAATCGCATTCCCCAAATCGTGACGATCTAGATGGGACGAACCATTACAGACTTAATAATAATTATTACTATGATGTAAAATAACTTGATCAGCCACTTGGTGATAGGGAAAGAGACGATGCATTAGACAACATCAGGCGGCAAGGTAGCGCAGCGGTAATACTTGAGCCTCAAAGCAAGAAGGGCCTGCTATCGACTAGCGTCTTGGGCGCCATTTCACGTGGAGTCTGTATGTTCTCCCTCTGTTTCTCCGATTAACACGGTTGGCTATGTAAGGTGCGAAAGAAGTTCAACAAACATTAGACTCTCGGTTTATCTGATTTGCGGATTAACTGCTCACCTTGAAATTTTGACACGAATGAATAACTCATGGATTTTTCATTGACAAATTAATAATCTAAAAATAGTTATATATTGTTATTCCTGGAAATGTTTATTCCAAGTCACGTGATTAAACCGAATAAATATGTGCTCCGGTTAATCCAAAATCCACGCGATTGCCCCTACAGTACAGGAGTTGCATATCTTTACAACAGTGGGCGGAGTTTGATGTTGATTGGTGTGGCTCTGGTGCTGTCTATTTAGTGGGCCGAGTCTTCTGTGCGGGAGCAGGAAAGCCCTATCACTGAGCATGCGCATTGATCGGTTGATCGTTAGTATTCGTTATTATTTATATCTTTATTAATGGTTATTAGCATAGAGATCCGTGGAAAATAGATATTTTTGAATTATCCGCGGCCATCCTCCCCATCATTAGCGCGGATAATCGAGAATCTACTGTACATCCCTTCGGGTTCTCCGGTTTTCTCTCAGAGCAAAAAAACCCCCACAATGTTTTGGCCAAACGTACCACTTAATAGTAAACACCCAGGAGTCAGCTCAGCGCCCCTCGGGATGCATTTAAAACCTTTCTCATATGCCCTATTTGAATATGGCATCAACAATTTTGCCAATCTGTGGAATTCGAAATAAAAATTAAGCATACCTTAACAAAATTATTTTAACATGTGTACTACCGTAAACTCTTCCCGCAGGTCCATTACAAGCTGGCGTACGAGAAAGCCCGTGGGCACATGGTCGGGTGCAGAAACCTGCAGGACGACCCCAAGCTCGTGCACTCCATGCACGTGGCCAAGATGCAGAGCAACCGCGAGTACAAGAAGGACTTTGAGAAGTCCAAGACCAAGTACCACACCCCAGTAGACATGGTCAGCGTAATCTCGGCGAAGAAGTCGCAGGCCATCGCGAGCAACTACGACTACGTGAAGCGCCACCATCGCTACTCCATGATGCCGGACAGCGTCCTCCTTGAACTCGCCAAGAAGGCCAACGAGATACAGAGCGACGTAAGTGCTATAGCCTCGGCGACGTAAGCGCCCGCCCCGGTGACGCGCGCTATTCTTGCTGCGGTGGCGGCGGTTAGATGGAGCGCCGCAGTTGCACGACGGAGTTGCGTAGAGACACAGAGTCGCACAGAGATGCGGAGTTCATTCACAGCACGGGGTATGTCAGGGTCTCATGGACGAGGAGGGTGGACACAAGAGCCATTTACCTCATGTATTAGAAAACAAATAAACATGAGCGACGGGGAATGAAGAACACAGCGAGACAACGATTAGACAGCACATCAACACTCTGGTACTGCAATTTGTGTCAGAGGTGAGGCTGCAACATGCGTTTGGAACATTAACATTGGTCACGAGGAGATTGTTCCAGGATCGAGAAGCATCATCGATGAAGGAACGTTCTCTGAATCTGGATTCACTGATTTTAGCAATGTCTGTACCTATTTGATCCATACTGGAGCTTTGGTTGGCTGAGTCAACCCTCACTTGGGGTTGCTATTCAGAGGCTCTTGATGGCGAGTTGAGTTCTCTGCCACAGCATCACCAGCTGGTCACATTAACAAGACCACAACGCTTCCGCTGTGCATCTGCTTGTAGATATATCAGGTTTGATACCTGTGGAATACTTAACAAGAACATATCACACCAGTTTGAATTGTTTATAAATAATGCCATTATATTCTATGTTGTTCACTGACTGGCTAAGATATTAAATTATTACTGATGTTAAACTGCCAAGCGCAAAAGTAATATGCATCTAAATAGAGAAGGGTGAAGGGGTCTTTAGAATGTTTCTATGATTCAAATTAAAACCCAAAACTGAATGTGAAATGAAGAATAATTATTCTGACATTCTGCCAGGGCTGTATGAGGAAGATGTGAGGTGGCAAACTTTGTAGTTAAGAAGAGAAAATGTACCAACAAAAAAGCGTTTTAGATGAAATCAGGAAAAGCAGATCCCAATGGGGATGGTGGGGTGAACACGTGTGCAGGATGGGGTAGGGCACTTGAGTGGGCTCCCAGGGGACAGTGGCCAAGGGGAAGACCTCAAGTTAGATCGTAGGATGTATGTATGTACGTTTAACTTTTTTCGCACTGTACAGAGCCAACCGTGCTAATTGGAGGTGCGGGGGAGTTGGAAGAACAACAAACTAAACACAAAAAGCAGGATACTGTAGCAGCAGAACTTAGAGGTCTCATGTTAACGTTGGAATGTGTCAGAAGAAAGGAATTGAAGAGGTGGAGCATCATCATTGGTATTGGCTGTGGTATGGCTGCGATGATCTTGTGACGTTAACGTGTGTGATTGGTGCAACGCTTTTCTCTTTTTTTACATTTATTTTATTGACGCTTGTGTTACGTCTCCCAGAACCTGTACAGGTCAGATTTCGTGAACATCATCCAAGGGTGTGGCTGGATCCCCATCGGCTCGCTGGAGCAGGACAAGGTGAAGAAAGCCGGGCAGATCCTGAGCGAGGCCAAATACCGGCAGCACCCGGACACCATCAAGTTCACGTCCGTCACCGACGACCCGGTGATGGTGCAGTCGCAGATCAACGCCAAGCAGCTCAGCGATGTAAGTCGAGCAAAATTTAAATAACAGTGGCTGATTTGTAATTCTGTATCGATCGAAATGTTTGCATGTTTATGATTATATTCTGCAGTGCACACGTGCACCTAATGAGTTTGATAATCTTTCTGTTGTGGGTTTGTTTTAAATATTAAGTGATTGTACCATGCATGAAATTTCACCACCCCACCAAACGTTTGCCACACAATTGATGCCCGCAAAGCATATACCACACACCTGCATATGCCACACACTGCACATGACTTTTACCACACACCTGCCTATGCACACTGTGTGGAACACTATCACGTACCACTCATGGTAGCCTGTCTGCAACCTGTTGCAGTGGTTCACGGTTTGAATCTAGCGGCCGCCTTGATAAATGCTGCGGTGTGTAATAACCATTCTTGCAAAAAATACATGCCGTCTGCTTCACAGTGGACGTTAAAGATCTCATAGCATTTTGAGCAAGAGTAAGCCGTTGTGTGCCAGGGTCATTGGAGCCGCGGTGGCGAGATCTTAACTCCCTCGCCTGGTATGCAGGAGCACATGGGTTCGATCCCGTCCCTGACGCCTGCTGTATATTTGGAGTCTGCGTGTCTCTCTCCCTGTGGTCGCTTGGATTTTTCTCTGGGTCCTCCGGTTTTTCCCTCCACATTTAGAATCAACAAGCGTTTAGAGTATTTGGCTGCTATATATTTGCACGTGATGATAAGCCACTATATAGAGCTATCATTTGTGATAGCCAGGTCGCTTCTGAAAAAGAGCTGTACAGCTCAGTGGGCCCTTACCTGGTAAAATTAAAATAGTTTAAATAGTTTTTGTTTAAATTAATTTTCACGGTCTAAATTTGGCAGCTTTGAAAAATTACCCAAAAATTATGCAATTGGGATTACACAGAGCAAGTTTTTCCCCTCCCGATTGGCATACCATAGAGCTTAGGCAATAAGTTGGTACAAGTTTCTGGCTACCTCTCAGCTTGCCTCCCGTTTTTGCCCCAACGAGTTCGATGGATCTTATTGCCCCCTCTCATTACTGACCTTTCTCATGTTCTGACGTTTTCCTTTATAGCAGTACACCGCACATGGAATATAACATTGAATGTCACTCATATACCACACGCACCTTGTATCAGCTTGATCAATGTTGAATGTCACATTTACTGTACATCTCCAAACTATTTGTAAATTAAACAAATCTGATCTGTTAAATTAACACTTCAGCAAAGAAGAAGAATGTGATTTTCCAGAAAGTCAATTAGAAGTAAGAAGACTTCAGAAGTTAATTACCCCAGGAGTTAATATTTATGAATACACATTTAATATTTTTGTATACTCAAAATACTGTATGCATGACCGGTTTACATGTCAGTTGTTGTTCGGCATAACTTTTTGAATATGTCAACACCAAAGGTGATACGGTGTAGAATGTGAGCATTCATTTCTGCTACTTATTGTGTTATTCACGTATGCTTACATGTTGTTGGTGCTATCTGTTCGTCAATTTGTGTGTAGAGCACAGAGGCAGATCTATTAACTTCCCAAAGTGGGGGTGGCGGCCAGGGTGGAAGGGGGGTTCAGTCTTGAAATTTCAAGCTCTTTAAATAGGGCCTTGTATTCATAATACAAAGACAAAACATATTCAACATATTTTCTCAAGTGAATCTCAATTGAATAAAGATTTTAGGGGTCTCAAGTTTTGGGGGGCGATGACCCCCCCCCCCCATCGCCACCCCCTCCCCTCCTTCGATCTGCCACCGGTGTTGCAGAATCTGTGCAGAGCGGTGGTGTAGCGGTTAGTGCCACACTGCGCTACGAACCCGGCGACCCCGAGTTCGTTTCCGGCTCACGGCTAACACCAGTGACGATTAATTGAACCAGTTATGGGCCTCTTCTAGGTCTACTAAGCCTCAAATGAGTACTTGGTGCGGTGGTGTGTAAACATCGCCATGGCGGAGACAAAGGCGGCTGTGCATAGTGTTGGCCACCCACCCCTTCGTATGCCATTCCGTCCACCATAGGTGCTCGCTATCATCACTTGCCCCAAACAGTCTGTTAAGGCCACGCGGCTGATCTTTGTTTTTTTTTTCTTGCAGAATCTGTACAAGTCAGCAGGGAAAAAGAGCCAGAAGCAGTTCTCCATTCCCCACGACATCCCCCAGTTCCTGCAGAGCAAAATCAACTCCGTCAACTTCAGCGAAGTAAGTTCGTCCCCCAACCCCATCGTGTGCAATCAGATAATTACATCAGATAATTGTCATAGACGGAGCTCTCAAGTTATGAGACTGGTAATGTGTGAAACCGGCCAGTGGGGGAGGGCGTAAAATTGTCCAGTTTCTGTGTGGCAGTCAATTAGAGGGATTCCCGTGGGGCTGGAGAAGGGCCGCTTGCCAACGAACGTGTGGCCTGTGTTTTAAGGTGTTTAGTTTGTTGCTCACACCAACGAGCGGAGTGCCGGGCAGCTAAAACACAGCGAGTTTGCACAGTAGGGGTCACAGGTGGTGCATCGGCCAGTCATCTCATGGCACCTGGGTCTGTCCCGTTACCTCCTACCAGTGGGCGTTTGACACTTCACGTGGCCTTAAAGTGCGCATAGCCTGGCACAATCGCCGGGGTGACATCACCGCTAGTTAGTGGCGAATGGCAGTTGTTGTTTAGTTTATTGTCCTTTCCACCGCACCTCTGATTACCATGGTTGGCTCCGTACGGTGCGGCAGAAGTTCAACATACATACACGCATTCAGTCTGTTCTCATATAATGCCACGTGTTTTCATAACGCAAATTGGAAATAACGCGATAAATGCATTGGAGAAGACATTTTCATAACGCGGAAGCGAACTGAATAGTACGCGATTGAGCGAGCAGAACTACGTCGCGTGAGTTGGAATAAGCGCTCGTACGGCTGCCTCGGCGTAGCATCGCACAAAGCATTGGGATGCTGCTGGATGCTTCAAGAGGCTACCCACGCATCTCACGGGTTATCCCGGACTCTGAGTTACCATACATTATATATTATTTATTATTACGCGATTTCTCCATAACGTGGTGTTCTTCAGGAATTCAACTACCGTGATATAGAACAGACTCTACAAGGTTCTTGAGTGTTTTACATCCGGATCCACCCCCGCCCCCCCGCCCCCCCCCCCCCCCCCCCCCCCCCCCCCCCCCCCCCCCCCCGACAAACACACACACAAACGCAGGCAGTTCTCGTGAAAGTAATGCATATTTGTCGCCGGTGTCCAGAACTCCTACAAGCACGCTTGGGTTGAGGACAAGAACAAGGGCTACGACTCGAGAGCGGACGCCATCCCAATCAAGGCTGCCAGGGCCTCCAGGGACATCGCCAGCGACGTGAGTTAGCGCGTCTGTGCCCGCAACTTCCTTTCATGTGGCCGATCGCGTCGGGGTCTGCCACTTCAAGCTGGCACACGAACGATGTTTATCCATGATCCAGATTTTTTGGGTTAGGTCTCATCAATATAAACGTGTCGTTAAACCCGCCACCACCCGACACAGCCAGTTAGTAAGGTTTGTCACGTAAACAGAACATGCCAATGCGTTACTCGTACAACGCACTGTACAAATCCACAACATGGACAACTTTGTTACAACAGTGTACACTGTTATGAACAAATCTGTACAGAGGTTGCACATACAATAGGTTTTGAAATAAACACAGCTTGGATTCCATGATTGTTCATTGTGAGTGTTATTGACCATTCAAATACCCTATCACCTGTCTCCTCCACAGTACAAGTACAAGCAGGCGTACGAGAAGGCCCGGGGTCACATGGTCGGGTGCAGAAACCTGCAGGACGACCCCAAGCTCGTGCACTCCATGCACGTGGCCAAGATGCAGAGCGAGCGCGAGTACAAGAAGGACTTTGAGAAGTCCAAGACCAAGTACCACACCCCAGTAGACATGGTCAGCGTGGCCACGGCCAAGAAGTCGCAGGCCATCGCTCGCAACTACGACTACAAGCAGCTCATCCACAACACCAACGTCATGCCGGACGCCATGAGCGTGCAGCTGGCAAAGCACATGAACCAACTGCAGAGCGACGTAAGTGCGGCGAGACAATGAGCCATGCACCTCAGTCAAACGCGTCACTGTGGGTTAGGGTGCAAAATCAGAATAAAAGTTTAATTCCATGTTCTATTAATTTCCCCGTTAAACTGAAGGCACTGCGAGTTTACAGACAATCCCGTAATCAGAATCAGAATATTTATTCATACTGGAGGTGTTCGATGAGCTATAAAGCTCCTTTTCAGATCTCCAGTAGGGGCAGGTCAATAATATTTTATGGTATGTCAACGGAGACGGCTAAATCCATTGCAGTCGATACGTCGTATGGGCGTGCATGCAGAGGAGAAGGGGAGGGGATCCTGAGCAACCTGTAAATGTGAACAGAGCAGAAATAAGATTTAGAGCAGGATGTTTTCCCAGAAAATTGGTACTTCATTTGCCAGACTGGTATTGAGTGGCAACCCTACTGTTGTGGGTATTACGGAATGTGTTGCCAAAGGCTGTTTGCACACTTTGGCATTTGCGCCATTTACTTATTTATTTCACATTTAATTGTTTGGGATCCCCATCTGTCTCACATCACATTTATCCCTCCTCTATTTAAGACCGAAACAGGAGGAGTATTTCTCCGCAATTCTGGCTGTCGCCTGATGATGTTGGTTGTAATTACCGGCGAAACGACATGGTACTCGAGTTGTAAACCTCCTTTGCCAGTACCAAAATATAATGATAGGGTTTTTTGTTAAAAGGTTTCCGTTTTGTTGCCAGAAAAAAGGGGAAAAACCATATTATTATCTTTGGGTACTGGCAAAGGAGGTCTAATGATGTAGATGCTTACCCCGAGCCCTCATTACTTTGATAGTGGCATTGTCTTTGAGCTGTACGCCTTTTGGGGTCCTCTGGTCTAGCACCAATTGAGACGAGGCTCAAAAGAAAGCCGTCTTTGGTGTGGAACAATCAGTTTCAAGGACAATGCATATATTATCAGTGTGTTTTTTTTGCATTTTAACCACAAGTATCGTGGTTAATGCAGCAGACATGATTCCTTGTAAAAAGGTTTCCGTTTTGCTGCCAGAAAAAAGGAGAAAAACCCTATTATTATGTTGTGGGTTTACTCTCCAACACACAACCAGTGTGCTGAACTAGTAACTTAATGGCACGTTTTGTTAACATGACAAACCTTACTAATTGGCTGTGTCCGGTATTGACGGGATTAACGACACATATATGTTTATGCGATCTAACCCAAAAATCTCTGTTATGGATAATATTAGTCGCGAAAGCCTACTACGTGTTTAAATGGGTTTAACACATCAATTACTGTTTCACTTGGCTAGTACGGTGAATATTTTTTACAATATTTATTACAAATTGCTAACAACTTATTGGTGCAAATAATATCGCATTACCTAACGATGGTTTATTTATTAACTTGCAAGCAATCTATAATGAGTCAACATTGTTTGGTTACATTTGCCACTGATAAGTAATGTCACCGATTTCCCCACGCCAATATTGTTTCGAATACTTATCATTACATGCTGCTTATCCTGTTTCTGCAAATTTGCAAACGATCGGAAGATTTATAAACAAATTCTTTACAAACGGGATATCTCAACGGTTTTTTACAGGCCGTGAAATGTATTTACGATCCATGGCCCAGCGGTAGCGCGCTCGCCGCTTGTAGCAGAGGTTCGCAGTTCGAATGCAGCGGCCGCCCTTGGTTGTTAACGCGGGAATAGTAATTGGCACGACACGAACCGTGCCACTTAACGGTGGACGTTAAAGATCCCCCCCGACGTAATTCCCAAGAGAGGAGGCTGTCGTGTGCCGTCATCAGGGTCCAAATTTGGCAACTTTTAAAACTGCCTGAAAATTATTTAAATTGGAATTATACGTAGCAAGTATCCCCCCACTCCTACTGACAGACCACAGAGTTTGGGTAATGGTTGGTGCCAGTTTCTGGCTACCTCTCAGCTTGCCTGTCGTTTTTGCCGCAACGAGTTAGATAGCCAGCAATCATTGCATTCTGCTATGAGCAGACTCGTGCACATTTTATCACATTGTGTCACCCGCAGACAGCTACCACCGGGGTATATTTTCAAAATGTGTTGACATGAGATGACACTCCGGCATACAGAGCACTATATAATTTTTTTTATCAGCAGCAGCCATGATTAAGCCACTGCTAGATGAAAGCCTCCTGAAATCCATTCCCATCTCTCACAGACCTACCACACCACATTCATCTTCATGTGTATGATTTGACAAAGGATTTTAATGTTAATATTATTATTCACTTGGTGGTACTGTCGCTCGTGTAGAATCTGTACAAGGCGGACCTGGATTGGATCCGTGGCACGGGCTGGATCCCCATCGGCTCGCTGGAGCAGGACAAGGTGAAGAAAGCCGGGCAGATCCTGAGCGAGGCCAAGTACCGGCAGCACCCGGACACCATCAAGTTCACGTCCATCACGGACGACCCGGTGATGGTGCAGTCACAGATCAACGCCAAGCAGCTCAGCGACGTGAGTTCCTCTTATCACCTAAAGGAGGTGTACCTATTCCCTGGACACCCTTGAAAATAAGATGTTCCATCTCAAGGAATATTCAGGCAAATAATTTGAATGCATGCAAAATATATAAGCCCACATTTTATTATCATTTGATTGGGCTAAAGGTTGCGTTATATGCATTTATGATTTAAAAGAATTGGTACAATATCTACGGATGTGGTTTGTCATGGAGGATAGAATATGTTGAAATATGCGGGCCCAGAGGTGACGGGGTGGCTCAGAGGTCAGAGCGCTGAATAGGCAAAACAATCTTTTGTACGCAGCTTAAAAATAACACCATATACATGATTTGTGGTTAACTGTATCGTTACATGATGAGAATTAAAATAAGTGTGAAACATCAACACAGAGGGATTTTTTTTCAAACATTTTTATTTTCACATTCATTTATTCTGCACGGATAAAATTCTGATATGATGTCATGGGTCCAAAACCTTTCAGTTTAAAAATTATATCCCTATTACCTTTCGGTTTCAAGCATACATACGAAACGATGATTATCGTTGTTGTTGTGACTTGAAACGTCAATCACCGTCTTTGGTATTTTGTGTGTGTTTTCAGATGAATTACAAGGCGTCTGGTGAGGCAGCAAAGCACAAGTACACGCTGCCCATGGACCTACCACAGTTCCTGCAGGCCAAAGCCAACGCCATCAACATCAGTGAGGTATCTCTATTCCAGTTGTCACCTCAGCTTGTCGCAGCAGACAGAGGCAGTGCAGCCTGACAGTCATTTAATCGAGAAGAGTGCATCTCTGCCTGGCTTCATACGTTCTTGTCGATGCAAAGAAAATACTGTGCTATGTTGGTGCAACAAAGCTCGTGCAGTATAAAGAAGACACAAGTGAAACTACGCGAGTGGATATACTGCGTCGGGGTTTACCGTAAGCATTTGAATCTGAAGGCCCACGTGATTGCGTTTGTCTGAAATGGCCTTTTAAATGGACAAAGGAAAAACGATGTTAGTGGTGTTTTTGTCCAGCTTCATGTAGACGCCACATTCAGCAATGTCTTCGTATGATCCGTGACATATGCTCGTGCATTCCATTGCACGGCGTTAGAAACACACAAAGCAAGGCAAAGCCTGCTACGGAAAGAAAGCGTTCCCATCAAAACCAGGAACATTGCCCAATATCATCTGCATGTCGCGCCGGTGTCAAATGCATGTGCGTAATGCTTGTTGTCTTGTTGCTGTTCTAGAGCAAGTATAAGAAAGGCTGGGAGGAGACCATCAGTAAGGGCTATGACTCAAGACTGGACGCCATTCCCATCAAGGCAGCCAAGGCCTCGCGAGACATTGCCAGTGACGTGAGTTCATATTTTACATTCTAAAATAATGCCGCGCGTCCAATAAACATATCGGGTCGCCATTCAAAAGGAGCTTCCTTAGCTCGATGATTCTGAAGAAACAAACCCACTGAGGTGAATGCATAATCTATCAAGGTTGTTTATAACTAGACTGCACTTTAAGCTCACTTGATGTCACTGCTGTACACACAAACCCAGATTTTACAGCGTGAGTTTCATCGCTCTGAACCTCCGCTCACCCACCATGGTGTAGCCATGTCGCATGCTTCCTCACACTCGGCCTTACTGCAGACGCGCACTTTGAAATGTGTACGCACAATTTTGTGAACTCTACTACAAGAGACAGCAAGTTCCGCTGAAGCTGTGTGACGTCAAACTTTGTGGACTGTTTCTCTAGGCAGGTGCTGCCTGCCACCATGTTATTTATTATCATTGCGCCCACTATTTTTTTAAAGATTTATACTATTGCAAAATACTCTGCAATGCAGGTGGATGTTTTGCCAATAAATTGCATGGAATTCTCAGTTCATACAATGTCAAACCTCGCAGACAAAATGAGACATTTTGCGTTCTCTTGTAATGACAATATGTTGTTGGAGGGCATTCATCTGAAAAATATTGGCCAAAATTTCAACAATGCAGTTCAAATTGGCATTTGAGTATAATTATTTTTAATAATGGATCTTACCTTCATGGACACCCTGTATGTATGTGTGATAACAAGTATTGATTGTTGGTCACAGTCTGCAATTAAATTGCCATTCACACATGAAATGCATTTGCACTCTGTATCGGATTTCAGTTCAAGTACAAGCAGGCGTACGAGAAGGCCCGTGGGCACATGGTCGGGTGCAGAAACCTGCAGGACGACCCCAAGCTCGTGCACTCCATGCACGTCGCCAAGATGCAGAGCGAGCGCGAGTACAAGAAGGGCTTTGAGAAGTCCAAGACCAAGTTCCACAGCCCCGTGGACATGGTCAGCGTGGTGGCCGCCAAACAAGCCCAGGCCATCGCTCGCAACTACGACTACAAGCAGCTCATCCACAACACCAACGTCATGCCGGATGCCATGAGCGTGCAGCTGGCAAAGCACATGAACCAACTGCAGAGCGACGTAAGGGCGGGCGCGTTTTCAGTCATTACACATCACAATAACCATCACGTGAGTCATCATCATCAGCCATGGCCAATCCACTGCTGGATGAAGGTTTTCCCAATCCGTCGGCCACCTCTCATGATCTTGCGATGAAAAATCCACCCAGCACCTCCACGTACGAACTGATTCCGTCGCTCCATCTCATCGGTTGCTGCCCTCCTGGACGTAGTCCGCACCTTGGATGCCACGTTGTGACTATTCTTGACTTTCCTTCTCATCAGTCCTTCCCGCAAAGTGTCCCGTCCCAAGCACACTTACTTTATTCACGACCATGTTTTCTCACCGGACTCGATTCCAATGTCTCGGCAATCGGCCCTCCCCTGATCCCTCACAAAAGTCCCAGCACAGCTGTTTCAGCCTAATAATATCCACAACACAACACCTGCCATGTTCACTTCTGAACGTCTGCATTGCTTGTGCTGTCTTGCCTGGCATATGTCTCAAGTTAGCATCCAACTCTCTGATCCATACAGTAATACTCATGCCTAAAATGCCATTTTCACGTTAGATTCAGTTCAATGTGACGTTTCAATCACAGTGGAGCGTTTATCTTGACCCTGTCAATTGTCTTTGTTCCAGAATCTGTACAAGGCGGACCTGGATTGGATCCGCGGTACAGGCTGGATCCCCATTGGCTCGCTGGAGCAGGACAAGGTGAAGAAAGCCGGGCAGATCCTGAGTGAGGCGAAATACAGGCAGCACCCGGACACCATCAAGTTCACGTCCATCACCGACGACCCAGTGATGGTGCAGTCGCAGATCAACGCCAAGCAGAACAGTGAAGTGAGTATGCTGAACTTCTTTCGTACCGTACGTAGCCAACCGTGCTAATCATAGGTGCGGGGGATGGACAAAAAGCCAAACACAAAAATCAGCTCTAAATAAATGTGTTTTCAGTATAGATTTAAAAAGTGCATAGCTCCAGTAACTTCTGAATATCAGAAAGAAGAGCATTCCAGACACAGTGAATGACACATGCCTAAGTGTGTTACATATTTGCAGACAATATTTTGAGAGCCACTCTTAGGTAATGGCCACCACTGAGAGTCCGGCGGAGTGAGGGCGGTCCCTCTCTCTGTACGGGATCTGATAATTACCGACCGTGTAACGAATGGCATAATCTTGAGGGAGTAGTCACCACGGTCTCTGTGTCATCCCTCGCACGCGACAGAAATTGTACAAGGCCGGCGGAGAGGAATCCAAGCACAAGTACACCATGAACGTGGACGACCCGATGCTGGTGCTTGCCAAGGCCAACGCCGTCAACATGAGCAAAGTGAGTCCCCGGCTGGGCTACAGATCCTCTCAAATGGTGGGGGAGGGGGAATGGGGCAGCAGAGTCGTTGTGTGTGTGTGGGGGGGGGGGCACCATAACAGAGAACTACCGCGACGGAGCGTGAGCTTTGGTGAGTTCAAAGGGGCATTTGCAGAGGTGCAGGACGCACCCCAGCACCCACCTGGCGGCTGGCCCTAAGTGCGTCTGTGCCCCCATGCCAGTGGAGCCCCACCTCATCTGCAGGCATCCACACCACGCTTCCATGAGCCACAGAATTTGCCACGTAGGTACGTACGTACGTTGAACTTCTTTCGCGCCGCACATAGCCAACCGTGCTAATCAGAGGTGCGAAGGGAAGGACAACAAACTAAACACAACTAGAGTACTTACTCGAGCTGCCCCACTAACCCACCCGCCCAGCACGGTCTTTCCGTGGTTTTTGGTGAACTCAAGTTGGCAGCCATTTTGGGTTATGCAGCCTGAATTCTATGGGCCGATGTTTATTGTTGTCTGGTCGCAGTACCCTGCATCAGATTTCAGGCTAAGTAGAAATACACAACCAACAAACCATGTTAGAATCAAAACAAGTAGCAGGTAGTGTAACATTTAATTGTATATTAAATTTAACTTTAAACATTAAATGCTGTACACAACGCAGCCTCGACCTTCAACACGACAGGACATATGAAGCTGTCCTACTTGGAAGTATTTCTGGGAAGATCTGCTTAACTCTTGTGAGAATTCAAGTAACCTGGATAATCGTAGCAATGCCACTTTTTTTAATCAACTCGAGTTCAGGCCAGCTCAAGGGCACTCAAGTCGACTGCAGTCGGCCATCTGTGGATATGAGGTATTTGTGTCGTCTTCAGGTCCCTGTGGTGAAACTTAATCTACGGTGAAGGGTAGACTAAATGGTGTGGAAATGATAAAGCATTGCCATTTAGACAATACTATACAGGAATCACCCGCTGGGAAATGCTACTTAACTCAAAGTCACTTAAAGCAAACTCTAATTTCCCATAGACATAATGTTTATATCAGGTGTTGCATTCCTAGCCAATATTTCTGTAAAACAATGTGTGACTAAATGTGATTAAGTGTATAAAATGGTTATGTTTGTGAATTGACATACATGTTAACCAATAATAAATAGCAATAATAAGATAAACTTTCCAGGGATCGTTGAAGAGTTTGCTGATCGAGGCCACTTCAGGTGAGCAGTGATGGAGTTATGCAGACGAAGGGGCAGCATTTGCTGCCTCTTCATCTGACGATGAAGCTGCGGCCACGGGAATGTTCACCAGAGGAAGCTGCCTCTCTTCTGGGCTCTTCTCCGGACATTCCGACTTTTATTGCAGAACGTTTCAAAATAAAAACAACCATCCAAAGACAGATGGAGGGCATTTTTCTTTCCGCTGGCGCAGGTGATGCTCTGTAAATGTTTACAAGGATTCACGTCGCGTAACATGACCTGCGTTGTGATTCCCCCATCCGTGTTGTTTGTCGTGAATGTAGAAACTGTACAGGCAAGGCTGGGAGGAGACAATCAGTAAGGGCTATGACTCTAAACTGGACGCCATCCCCATCAAGGCCGCCAAGGCTTCCAGAGACATCGTCAGCGACGTGAGTTTTAAAATCCAGCATCGCTAAAACGAACCTTCAGACCTCCTCTTCGGCAGAACGAGACTTCGGTATTTCCTTCTCCTGTGAGATCTGTTCACTGCATTAAAATTTCGGTCTCTTCTAGGACAGTCATTTTGAATGCTGCGGTATTGGGGAAAGCAATCGGTGTGGCCATATTAGTTTCAGCGTGATATGAAAACACACATTTTTTTCTCATCACTCGGTAGATTCCCCTTAGTAGTGCGGGTATGCAAATCTACACCACTATGCCAATTTTTTGTGTCATTTATCTGCGGTGGAAAATATGCCGAGGTTGACCTGCTGCCGTTCGTGAAAGACTAGCAGAGGAAGAGCTCATCAAATGTGCATTTTATTAGCAGGTTGCAAAGTCTCTTTGTATAGGATCGACATGACTTTTGTGGCTGATGAATTAAAAAGATTGACACAATTCGATCTAACCCAAAAACCTCTATCATGGTTAATATTGGTCGTAGATGCCTCTTACACCACCCGTGACATGACGTCATCCTTAACTGTCAACCCGCTTCACACCTCCTTCTGTTCGCCCCCTCACGGTTACTCACAGTACTCCTCTACACATTGTTTAAATGCATGCCTATACAGGGCACCATACTTACCGTTGGTACGGCTATTTTAATACACACAATGGACAGGAAGGACAAGATGAAAGGGCTCGCATAATGCGCATGCATAATGTACATTGGCTAATTAATCCCCCCCACTTTGCACAATAGCGCAGAAGTGTGGTCACCAAATCTACGCCTCTATATAAGGAATTAAACAGGTGGACTTCTCCACAAATCTGGCTATCGCCTGATGAAGCTAGTTGTAATTACTGGCGAAACGTCGTACTCGGATTGTAAATGTTATGGCTTGGCTCTCCAACACACCGGTGTGCTGTACTAGTGACGAATTGGCCACGTTCTGTTTACGTGACAACCCTTACTAGTTGGCTGTGTCGGGTGGTGGCGGGTTTTAACGACACAACATTTATATATTTACGCGATCTAACCCAAAAAAAACTCTATTATGAAAGCCCTACTCTGTGTTAAACTGACTAACCTCTATGGGGAGGATACTTTTCTTCACACCAAAAATTTGGAGACACTCCGAATCAAGGGGGTAAAGCTGATGTCTATGCTCGTGTTCCTCAAAAGCGCGGCCTAACCCAAAAACATCTATTATGGAATCCTTTCCGTCGGCACATTATGGGTTGCCAAGCAGTACCGTCGAGATGTATTTCTCAAATGGATGTACTGTATAGGTATCACTTATTGTCATGTATGTAAACTCTACAGAAAAAAAGTACAAATCAAATATATGTAAACGTGTTTTTAAATATTTCAGAATAAAGTGATTTAGCATGGTTCATTTATTTATTGTGATGATGCTTTTATTAATGATATTGCAAACTGACTTCTGTAAAATGAATTTACAATAAAGGTAACTGGTGCATGAAGTTAAAACTAAGCATGTGTGATAAGGATTGATCAACATTCGCACTCTGTAACCACTGAACGGTGGCGAGATGTTAACTACCTCGTGGGTAGGTCGTGGGTTCAATCCCGACCCTGACGCATGTATATTTGGAGTTTGCATGTTCTCCCCGTGGTCAAATGGATGTTTCTCTGGGTACTTCGGTTTTTCCCTCCACATTTAGAATCAACATGTGGTTAGAGTACTATAAGCCATTTCGCTTCGGCTCAGTGGCCCTTTACTGCTAAAAAGAAACTGAACGGTTCTTCTCTATTCACAGTACAAGTACAAGCAGGCGTATGAGAAGGCCCGTGGTCACATGGTCGGGTGCAGAAACCTGCAGGACGACCCCAAGCTCGTGCACTCCATGAACGTGGCCAAGATGCAGAGCGAGCGCGAGTACAAGAAGGGCTTTGAGAAGTCCAAGACCAAGTTCCACAGCCCCGTGGACATGGTCAGCGTGGTGGCCGCCAAACAAGCCCAGGCCATCGCTCGCAACTACGACTACAAGCAGCTGATCCACAACACCAACGTCATGCCGGACGCCATGAGCGTGCAGCTGGCAAAGCATATGAACCAACTGCAGAGCGACGTAAGGGCGGCGAGCCTCATGATGTCAAAGTGAACGAGATTTATTACATCGTGATGAGTTGCCCGTCCTGAATAGTAATGCTGATCATTTTTGTCATCTTGCAGGCATTTGAAGAACCATAATAGCATTTAAAAAAAATACGTAAAATTATGCAAAATCCGCATGTCCTTGCTCACAGTGTTATTACGTTATATGCATATGATCATGAACGTTGGTCTCACCAGAACATAAACCCTGAGAATTCTAGTTGCATTTTTAGGTCTGCAGTGACATACCATAATGTCTGCTTTAACTTTGCATGTAACAAAAACAAAATGGCTGTGTAATGCAATTGCTATTTAAGACTTAGCGGTCCGTAAATGAGTTACCACTTTGAGTCATACTTCACGCAATGTTTCTTCGTTGCAGAATCTGTACAAGGCAGACATGGATTGGATCCGTGGCATGGGCTGGGTCCCCATCGGCTCGCTGGAGCAGGAAAAGGTGAAGAAAGCCGGGCAGATCCTGAGCGAGGCCAAATACCGGCAGCACCCGGACACCATCAAGTTCACGTCCATCACCGACGACCCGGTGATGGTGCAGGCGCAGATCAACGCCAAGCAGAACAGTGAGGTGAGTGTCTCAAAAATCACACGTTTGCATCAAATGTATCTTTCTGTGTAGTCCCTCTAAATTATTTAAGCCCTAGCCCGATGTCCAAGTCGACAAGGGAATGAGTTGGTGCTCAACTCCACGAGCCATTGGTTGAAATTCGGTGTTGATCGCTCGATCTACAGTTACACTTGGGCAAATTTGTTCTGGCCATGTCTCTTCCAGCCTGAACTTACTTGAGCACAACTAACTTGAAGCTTGTTTCCAGTACCCGAAGGCCTGCTCCATTGGAGTTTATTTTTAAATAACTAAACAATATTTGCCATCGATGACACTTGCCAATGCAATGCACCTTGTCCATTTAACATCTCGAACTTTGGGTTTTCGATGGTGTGGCAAGATAATTTTGCTCCTGGTCGTTGCCCACTTAAATCTGCCTTGGGTTAATTACAGATTCTGTTACCAACACATCCTAAGAACTGAGCGTGTAGTTTTAATTAGTTCCACTTTTATTGTTTTCTGATCGACCGCCTATTTATTTTGAAAATAACTGATAAATAAAGCAGATAATATGCCTCCTTCACTAGTCGCTGCATCCACGTAAGAGCAAAAGTAGTTTTTAAACATCCCATCAGCTACATGGCCTTCTGGGACTGCATCATTTCATCAGCATTGGTTCAACACAAACAAACTCTTGACTGGTCTTGACATTAATTGACTTATCAGGCTTGCTTGAACCAATGCCGTTGAACTGTTTATATGCAAGGAGCCTCTCTGTTCGGTCTGGGTCCTAGTTTGATACAATAGTATATAACACACAACACAACATTATAATTGGTATTGTTGTGGAGAATATGAGTAGCAATAAATAAGCGGACAATACACCTTCTTCACAAATCTGTCTCTTCACAGAAAAAAATAAAAGTACAGTAAAACCTTGGATTGCGAGTAACTTGGTCTGCGAGTGGTTTGCAAGACGAGCAAAATTTTTTAAATATTAATTTGATAAACGAGCGAGGTCTTGCAATACGAGTAGTACGTATACGCTTTGTCTGCCGAGCGTCACGTGATCACAACTGATATACGAGTGTCTAGATTTGAAGTTTTCGTGACTGCAAGGATTCATACTCTTTGGTTTTTTCGGTAAAGTCACGTGACTTTGTTTTTTTCGGTAAAGTCACGTGACTTTACCGAAAAAACCAAAGAGTATGATATACGAGTGCTTTGATATACGAGTGCTTTGGATTACAAACAAATTTTCCGGAACGAATTATGCTCGCAATCCAAGGTTTTACTGTATGTTTTACACATCATATTGTTACGTAAAATACATGCAGCTGTTGAGAAAACCGCTCTTGTTTTATCAACAATCTGCAGAGCCGTTGTGACATTTGCATTCCCAAAACGTGTTTTTCCACTGAAGTAAGACCTGTGAAAAAAAAGACAGGTTATGTTTTCTTTGTTTATTACTGGTAATAAATAACATGAATACCATCAAGACTTGTGAAACAGAAAATGGAAGAAAAAAACTATGTGGGAGTAGTATTCTTAAGTGGGTCTGACATTAGTTATGTTGGCCCTTAATTACTGTGGCCAGGAACCTTATTTTTGAAATGTTGGAGCAAGCTGTGACTTTCTGATCAGTGCTAAATATGTTAAATAATTTCCTATGGAAACTCTTCATTGCAATGCCTGTCGACAAATACATTTTAGTTTTTGTTGTTGACTCATACAGTAGACTCTCGATTATTCACGCGCAGTTTATCTGATTTGTGGATAAACCGCACACCTGAGATTTTGACATAAACGAATAACTCGTGGATTTCCCTTTAAGCCCAAATTAATAATCTAAAAACAGTTATACATTGTTATTCTCGGAGAAGTTTATTACAAGTCACGTGCTTAAACCGAACAAATATGTTGTTCCGGTTAATTCGAAATCTACGTGATCGCCACTACAGTACAGTAGTTGCATATATTTACAACAGTAGGCGGCGTTTGATTGATGTTGATTGGCGTGGCTCTGCTGCTGTCCACTTAGTGGGCCGAGTCTTCTGAGCGGGAACACTACGCACGCGCATCGATCGTTAGTATTCGTTCGAAATCTTCAATCAAAGTCGTCAATTGTGCTTCATCTTGAGTGATTTATATTATAATTTATTTTGTGAGTTTTAATTTACGAACCTCTGTGATGGCAGAGAAACGGAAGCGTGTTGTTTGAACTTTAAATCAGGATTTTTCAAACCGGTTTAATAAAGTGTGTTTTTGCATGGACTTTTGTAATAAAACAAGATCACTACATTCTTTATTACAAACTTTAGTTTTGTTCATTAACAAACTCAATTTTTATATTCTTGGTTCTTTCGGTAAAGTCACGTTGAAGGGAAACAATAAAATAATTAAATATATTAATTGTTTCCCTTCAACGTGACTTTACCGAAAGAACCAAGAATATGAATCACTGCAGTCACGAAAGCTTCAAATCAAAATTTAAACTCAATTTTCTTTACTTAATCTTGACTTAAAGCTTTCGTGACTGCAAGGAATTCATATTCTTTGGGTCTTTCGGTAAAGCCACGTAGATAGAAAAATAATCTTTACTTAAAAATAATGTATACCTATATTCATGTTTTTTTGCATAAAAATCCGCATAAAATGTATATTTTTGGATTATCCGTGATTTTGAATTATCTGCGGCTGTCCTCCCCGTCATTAGTGTGGATAATTGAGAGTCATCTGAAATTGAACTCATTATCCACTCTGTCTCTCTGGCCTGTCTAGTTGCGTGCTATGAAGAAGGGCCCATTGGGCAAAGCGCCGCCTGTTATATATTTTTTATTTTAAGGTCACGCAGCGTGATCTTTTAAGGTCACGCAGTGTGATCTTTTAAGGTCACGCAGTGTGATCTTTTAAGGTCACGCAGTGTGATCTGCGGACGTATTCGGTTACTTTTTTGTTCATGAATTGTACTTTTGCACCACTGCCAATGCAGCATCGCCGATCTTTTAAGGTCACGCAGTGTGATCTTTTAAGGTCACGCAGTGTGATCTTTTAAGGTCACGCAGTGTGATCTTTAAAGGTCATGCAGTGTGATCTTTTAAGGTCACGCAGTGTGATCTTTTAAGGTCACGCAGTGTAATCTTTTAAGGTCACGCAGTGTGATCTGCGGACGTATTCGGTTACTTTTTTGTTCATGAATTGTACTTTTGCACCACTGCCAATGCAGCATCGCCGACATAATTTGTTCATTTAAAGATGAACAGTGTGCATTTTGTAACGTTTCATGGTTGGTTTACAACTGAAGTTAACATTTTGGACTTCTTTTTTCCAGAAACTGTACCGAGCTGGTGCGGCAAAGACGCTGCAAAAGTATTCAATCCCTGCAGACTCCCCTGGATTCCTGCAGGCCAGACTCAACGCCTACAACTTCAGTGTGGTGAGATGAGATGCTGCCAAACACTCCACAAGGAGAAAGGGGTCCACGCCAGGATGCTGAGCCTGTGCCTCTGAGATGATGATTTTCTTTTTTTATTTGTACATATATGTTGAACTTTTTTGGCACTGTACATAGCCAACCGTGCTAATCAGGGGTGCGGGGATAGGACAACAAACTAAACACAAAAAGCAGCTGTAAAGAAATACATTTTCAGTCTAGATTTAAAAGTGCATAGATCCAGTGGCTACCTAGTATCGGAAGGAAGAGTGTTTCAGACGGCCACAGAAGCGCACCTGAAAGCGTGCGATGCAATGACCGTCTTTAATGCAACTGGGCCACATGGAGAATAAAAATGGTTTTCATTTCATAGTCTTATGTCAGTCACTGATGAGCACCATGCAAATATATGCACTCTTTATTCAGAGATCCCCACGTCTGTGGTACAATAATGATAGTATCCAGGCAGAATGTTACATTTCATACAGGGATATATGTGAAGTTCATCAGACACTGTAAAGGTACCATTTTTCCCTATACCAGTTCTACTTGGATATTGTGTTTGTTGATATGTATTCAAGGAATAGATAACACAAGCGAACAACTACAAAGTATAAAAAAACACTGATCAAATGAAGGTTGGGCGTTGCTCATCGCCAATGATGGGTCCCGAGCAAGGTATATGACTTATCTTTTGACAACACGGAACTCATTTGATTGACCCTAGAAGGAGGTTTGTGCTTAATCATCTCTCCGAAGGGATATTGCACAATGTGAGCCTTCCAGCTGTGAGTCAAGCACTCTGCCACGGCTCTCGCTCGCAACTACGACGACCAAGCATCTCTCATCCACAACACCAACGTGACGCCGGACGCCGTGAGCATGCAGCTGGCAAGAGCGCGCGAATTGGGGGTTTGAAAACCCTTGACGTAATTGCTCGCCGCACTTCTTGCCCTGTGTGTACCTGCAGAATGCCTACAAATCGGCGTGGGGGGAGACCATCAGGAAGGGCTACGACTCGAGAGCGGATGCCATCCCCATCAAGGCTGCCAGGGCCTCCAGGGACATCGCCAGCGACGTAATGGACATTCTTTAAACTAAAACACACAATCTGTACACCTTTACGCATTGTAATTGTTTATTTTGTGTGAAACATTTATGCTATGTAGAGAAAGAGATACATGTGTGTTATTTATATTGCGTCTGGTGTCAGTACAAGTACTACAAGCTCGGTTTCGAGAAGGGCAGAGGGCACGTAAACTTAGAACTTTAAAGTAAAGTCAAGAATGATTTAAGATTTAACAAAACAAAATGTGCGATAATGATGTGTCAACATTAACACTCTAACTTTCGTCCCCCCGAACGGGTCTTCTGTCTCCACAGTACAAGTACAAGCAGGCGTATGAGAAGTCCCGTGGTCACATGGTTGGGTGCAGGGACATACAGGACGACCCCAAGCTCGTGCACTCCATGAACGTGGCCAAGATGCAGAGCGAGCGCGAGTACAAGAAGGGCTTTGAGAAGTCCAAGACAAAGTTCCACAGCCCCGTGGACATGGTCAGCGTGGTGGCCGCCAAACAAGCCCAGGCCATTGCTCGCAACTACGACTACAAGCAGCTCATCCACAACACCAACGTCATGCCGGACGCCATGAGCGTGCAGCTGGCAAAGCACATGAATCAACTGCAGAGCGACGTAAGAGGCCTTTGCCACGTTTAATTGTTCGTCTTGCGCAATAGAGTCCCCTCTAAAACGGGACTGTTCACAATGCCCCTGAAAGTGTTAAAATAGTCCAACTCTCCTCTTAATACACAAGCTAAATCATACAATGAAATAATAATTCGAACACTGTGAGTTGTAGCTGAGTGAAATATTTACGTTATCATGTGCAGCTTCAGAACATTTACAGTGGTGGTGGCTATGCACGTGGCCTGTAATCCACCACTATTGGAGGCAGCGAGGGTTGATGGATCACACTAATATTGCGAAACTCCCTTCCTGTGGGCATTGAGGTGCCATACCGTGGCTTGGCAAAATGAAGTTCAGCAAGTGTGGACTAATGTATATCTGCCCTACCTGTATGGGATACAGTGTTGCTCCCTCACACGTGTGGGTTTTCTCCGGGCGCTCCAATTTTCTCTGATATGTTGAACACGTATCAATGAATATTTGGCAAACAGTCCAATGCAGGGCGCTGCTGAAATATCCTAGACTAGAGACTCAGTGGGAAAATATTTGGAAATATAACTTGTATTGTTATTTTTTCATTTAGAATCTGTACAAGGCAGACCTGGATTGGATCCGTGGCACGGGCTGGATCCCCATTGGCTCGCTGGAGCAGGACAAGGTGAAGAAAGCCGGGCAGATCCTGAGCGAGGCCAAATACCGGCAGCACCCGGACACCATCAAGTTCACGTCCATCACGGACGACCCGGTGATGGTTCAAGCGCAGATCAACGCCAAGCAGCTCAGTGAAGTGAGTAACCATGCTGCTTTGAAGTTTTGTGCTGTGGCTAATGCGTATGCTGTTGTCCTCTTACTTAACGTTTTTACATATATACAGTCGATCATACAAGTGCATTACATACTACACGCAACAACTTAAACAATGAAAATATTACATATACATTTTGTTACGACTTAACGAACGAACGAAAACAGAAAATGTACGGCGAGACCAGCCTGTGTGATTTCTGCGTTCGCCGGAGCACCAGTCTAAAGGCTGCATCAGTCCGGCGATCTTCAAGCAAACACAAGTTTTTTGTTGAAACAAGAGCGTAAGCAGTGCTACGTACAGGAGGCTCATGAACAGCAATATGTTCAGTTGCGTTAGCGAGGAATATACAGGACGGTAAACACAGCAACGTTTTACAGGATGTTTATGTGTCTATTTGTACGTTTATTCATGCCAATTTCACGTAGTAAACACATTTAAAAGCACACAAAAAAACATATGCACAAAACCTAAAAACGCAACGTTATCCAAGAATGTGCAAAAATAAGCTATTTTAAATAATGCTTAGTGATTATTATCCGAAGTTATTGAAATTCTGGCCGCCCCCTTCCCCCCCCCCCTCCTAAAGCCACCGGATAATCTATGGTCTCCTATACATAAATGTGAAATTTTGTATTTGCCTTGTTAACAGAACGAAGAACAACAACTACCCGCTCGCGTTGTGTAAATGCGTCGAGCGCTGTTATTATTGACGCGCAAGTCCACTCGTGCCCCTTCTCCACATACACCTTTATACCCACCTGGTTTGCATTTTTTCTCTCTCTCAAAATAAACATCGTATTGTACAGCATAGTATTTATCTCCAACAAAATAAACACGACAGCAGGGTTTGCCAAACTCCAGTCCTTGTGATCCAGTGCCACGCTCCGTCTCTTCGCGTTTACTAATTTACTCTCGATTCAAATACAAGTTAACTCGTTCCACGCTGCACGTGCCCGATGATTGTTAAACACATATCCCAAATGACGGGCTGAGCCGTTCACGCTGTCTGCGTTAATAGAGCCGATTCAAACTCATATCAAGATCTCAATGTGAGCGTGTATGTGCACGTATTCTTATGTGTGTGTATATAAACGTGTTTCGTGTGTGTACACTTGTTCTGTGTGTACACGTGTTCTGTGTGTACACGTGCTCCGTCTCTGTGTGTGCACATGTTGCGTGCGTGCACATGTTACGTGTGTGCGTGCACGTGTTCCTTGTGTGTGTGTGCATGTGTTCCGTGTGTGTGTGCATGTGTTCCGTGTGTGTGTGCACGTGTTGCGTGTGAGTGTACGTGTTCCGTGTGTGTACGTTTTCTGTGTGTGTGTACGTATTCCACGTGACTCAGACACGTCATGGAGTTTGGGAAACCCTCTACTGTAGGTTCCTCTATAAATTAGTCGTCTGTTACCTGCTAGAATTCAGTTTCTTGATTGGACTATATGTAAGTGTGTCATTGATCTCCCTTATTCCTGTGAGAGAGTGGCCAGCTTTTGGTGTGTCCTTGCTAAGAGGTAGAACAACGAGCGGTTTCACGGTAAAAAATTTTTTTTTAAGAAAGAAACGCGTTCTTGGAAGCAACTGCTAAAACTCCGATGTAACATCGCGATTACAGAAATAAAGTGCCATATGGGGGATCGACTCATACGTGATTTATTTACGTGTAAAAGTTGTAACCGGGACTGGACTGCAGCGCCCCGTATGTTTCCCTCACGTGTAGAACACTAACGTGCAAGCGTGTGTGGTCGATTGACAGAAATTGTACAAAGAAGCCTGGGAAAATGATAAGACCAAGATCCACGTAACGCCCGATGCTCCTGAATTCCTCTTGGCCAAGGCCAACAGTGCGAACGCCAGCGAGGTAAAGCAGACATTGCAGGACATTCATTTCAACTGAAATATGTATGCGGAAATGTTAATTGTGTAAAATAATGCCAGTAAGCATGCATCGTTGCCCCAACGTTGGTCCAACGTTCCTTATGTACTGGATATCTTGCCCTTACCTTTTCAACTACATATAACATGTGTAAGCGCTTTCCGTGTAGTTAAAACACATGCACACAATTTGTAAAGTTTTCCCACATTAATACATGTGAACGTGACTTATTTGCACACATATGTTGCATTTAGCAATGGTTTTTTTGGTTTTTACATTTTTACACGTACACAGGGACTCTTACCCACAGTGATCCTAATGACTTATTTCCATACAGAAACTCTACAAGCTGGGCTGGAAGGAATATCTTAACAAGGGCTATGATTCACGAGCAGACGCCATCGCCATCAAAGCTGCCAAGGCCTCCAGAGACATCGCCAGTGATGTGAGTGATATTAAAAAATACAAGCACGGTTAAAAAAATGTTTTCGCACTTCTCCGTTCATATGGCAAGGTAAACTCGCAACATTATCCATGTTAATATCGAGGTTATTAAGCCATTTAATAGCCTCTATCGAGACCAAGATTATTATGATGATGTACATTTTCACACTTTATTACCAATCACGCTAACCAACCACTCACACATGTTGTCATGCAATCTTCCTACACGCAGTACAAGTACAAGCTGGCGTACGAGAAGGGCAGAGGGCACATGGTCGGGTGCAGGAACCTGCAGGACGACCCCAAGCTCGTGCACTGCATGAACGTGGCCAAGATGCAGAGCGAGCGCGAGTACAAGAAGGGCTTCGAGAAGACCAAGACCAAGTACCACAGCCCCGTAGACATGATCAGCGTGGTGGCCGCCAAGCATTGTCAGAAGCAGGTCAACGACTTCAACTACAGGACCTACCTGCACCAGTGGACCTGCATGCCCGACCAGAACGACGTCATCCAGGCCAGGAAGGCCTACGAGCTGCAGAGCGACGTGAGTACAACACCTTGGAGGTTTATTTGATTAGAAACATATTTATCTGAAACGTTTCCATAAAGTGTGCGATTAATTGCACATCTTTATTGAGTGTGTTTACACTTCCGATTAGCACGGTTGGCTACGTACAGTGTGAAAGACGTTCAGCATGCATACAAAATTAAGTGAGCGCTCTAATTAATGTAAATTTTCTCATTCATAATGAAACTCTCCACTGAGTGTTTTGTTACTCTGAAACTATTGATGGAACTCGCTATTTAAATGTGATTGTTACGTAAATCCCAGCTATGTTTTACACTCGATTCACGAACGTACGGAGGTTGCCATATCGGTTTGAGCGTTGGCGCTGTTCATTTCAGAACCTGTACAAGGGTGACTTGTCGTGGCTGCGCGGCATCGGCTGGGTCCCCATCGGCTCGCTGGAGAGCGAGAAGGTGAAGAAAGCCGGGCAGATCCTGAGTGAGGCCAAATACCGGCAGCACCCGGACACCATCAAGTTCACGTCCATCACCGACGACCCGTTGATGGTGCAGGCGCAGATCAACGCCAAGCAGATGGACACAGTAAGTGACGCTAATATGGACTGAGAGACTTTGAAGATGCTCAATGGAAAGTAAAATGTTATTTTTAAAAATATAGTGATATTGCATATTCAACTTCCGATTATCTCTTCATACTGACATCTTTGGCCCTTAGAGTGTAAAAAAGAGTATGATCCTGAGTTATGATTTTGCTGAAAATGGATTTTGGTTTCAATGAAACGAACAATGACATATTTGCATTCAGACTTTTTAAAAATTGCATTTACAATTGAACAAATGGAAAACAGATTGATTGTGCTGGCTTTAAAGGGAATGGAGAATGTTAAACCCGCTGACAAGAAGGGTGGCTTGATGTCTCACCAGTGTATCGTCGTATTTGCTTTGTTTTTGTGTCGTAAATAGAAACGTTACAAGGAGGCGTGGGAGAAGGCCAAGACCAGCATTCACATCATGCCCGATACCCCAGAGTTCCTCCTTGCCAAACTCAACAAAGTGAACGTCAGTGAGGTACCAAACTCGATGAGACCTCACGCTATCCCTGAAACGTGGTCTATCTTTCTTTTGCCCTTTAGTCAGGCTTCAAATGACATAACAGATGTTGTTGGCTTAGAGATTTAAAATTCCCTTTAATTGCTTTTGCCAAGCACTGATGGATGTAGAGAAGTAAAATTCACTGTACAAATGTCATCTTTTAATATATTTATCTGACCAGTGATTCATCAAGGGGGCCCATTTTAGAAGATCCTAAGATCAAGTTGACTAGTTATTAGGTAAAAAAAGATTCAGTGTAAGCTTTTTACACGTTGATTGTAACTTTGCTTCAATTACTCGTGGATGACAAAAGTTAATTCCTCATCGAATTTTGGAAGGGCCACTCTTCAATTAATCAATGAATCTTTATTTTACGTGCCAATATTGGCCTACACAAAGTAGGCATCATTGCACATTACAGGCATACAGGAACGTTACGTGGGGTACAGAGCAACAGGAATGAAAGAAGAAACCTGTAATGACCGACTAAGCAAAGTAAATTGCAACCTTGCACAACGAATAGCATAAGAAAGGTGAGTAGTAAATACAAATTAATGAAAAGTAAAGAGACGGTTTATATCTTCAAATTTTAGATTTCATGAGAAGGCGAGTCTGAATAGGTGCGTCTTGCACAGACCCCAGAATCGAAGGACATTCGACACAGTTGGGGAAGTCCGGTGAGCCGTCACCAATCTTGCGAGTCGTCCTGTTTATTACAAGGCACTTGTCTCACAATTATTAATGCTGAAAGACATCTACGATGTTAATCTTCGAATATAATCTTCCAGCTTATCACATATTGCCACTGTAATTGTTAATGAACGCTGCCGTAGAAAAGAGTCCCATATCATTTTGAGGGGATGTGCTTTTGGGAATGATTCCCTGTTATTAGTAATAAACCTTTCCTACCATCACGGGGCAACCAAAATGTTAACTTAAATATATATTTACATTATTAGGAATTAACTTGTTCTAAACAATGGCAGTACATTTTTTCAATGCATTGATACATTTATATTTAGCTTCGGGTAATCATGAAATCTGCCATACATTATATTAATGTCATTAACAATATTGTCGCAATACATTGTCAAACAGAAACACTACAAGCAAGGGTGGCTTGATACCATCAAGAAGGGCTATGACTTGAGACTGGACGCCATCTCCATCAAGGCTGCCAAGGCTTCCAGAGACATCGCCAGTGACGTGAGTGTTTTATTCTTATGCCGTTTACAATTGTAAGTGGGGCGCCACGGTGGCGGGATGTTCACTGCCTCGCCAAGTATACAGGAGGTCGTGGGTTCGATCCTGACCCTGACGCCTGTATAGTTGGAAATTGCGTGTTCTCTCTGCCCGTGATCACGTGGATTTTTTTCCTTCGAGTCCTCTGGTTTCTCCCTCCAGATTTAGAATCAACATCACGCGTTTAAGAGTATTTGGCTGCTACAAATTTCCACGTGATCAGCCACTTCGGTAAGCTATCATTTATGGCCAGGTCACTTCTGAAAAAGAACTATTGGGCTCAGTGGGCATTACTTGGTAAAAAAAATAGTTTCGTTTATAGTTTTAAGTTATCCTCAACCGCATGAATGGCTTCACTGGCCATTGGCTCAGTGGTGGAGCAAGTGGCTCGCAATATGAAGGATGCAAGTTCAAATCCTGGTTGGAGGTTGACTCAGCCCATCACCTCTATGGGAGCAATTCAATGTATAGTAATTTGTGGGAAAGTCAATAGTTGTTGTCCGATAGGATAAACTGAGCACTGCCATAGGAATATGGAATATCCACCATTCCGCAAACCGGAGATGAGCACCTCAATGCTTATTGCACAGGCAAATACTATGACCTTTGACCATGACTGCTTTTGTAACGCGAATATTCAGCTTTTATTTGATTCATGATATATATTTGATTTCAGTACAAGTACAAGCTGGCGTACGAGAAGGGCAGAGGACACATGGTCGGGTGCAGGAACCTGCAGGACGACCCCAAGCTCGTGCACTGCATGAACGTGGCCAAGATCCAGAGTGAGCGCGAGTACAAGAAGGGCTTTGAGAAGACCAAGACCAAGTACCACAGCCCCGTAGACATGATCAGCGTGGTGGCCGCCAAGCATTGTCAGAAGCAGGTCAACGACGTCAACTACAGGACCTACCTGCACCAGTGGACCTGCATGCCCGACCAGAACGACGTCATCCAGGCCAAGAAGGCCTACGAGCTGCAGAGCGACGTGAGTACAACACCTTGGAGGTTTATTTGATAATAAATCTGCTATTTCTGTGAAACGTTTCCATAGAGAGCGTGATTAATTGCGCACCTTTATTGAGTGTGTCTTTGTTAAAATGAAACTTAGTTCTGTAATTAACATTTGTTCTCTTGCTAATGATGAAACTCTCAGCTTAGTGTTTTGTTATTCTTTTAAATTAGCAATATAAAACAATTGATGGAACTCAGAGTTTAATGATAAGTAGTATAAAAATATGCTGATTCTTAATGTGATTGTTACTTAAATCTCAGCTATGTTTTACACTTGATTCACAAACATACGCAGATTGCCATTTTTCGTTTGAGCGTTGGCGCTGTTCGTTTCAGTACCTGTACAAGGGTGACCTGTCGTGGCTGCGTGGCATCGGCTGGGTCCCAGTGGGCTCGCTGGAGAGCGAGAAGGTGAAGAAAGCCGGGGAGATCCTGAGTGAGGCCAAATACCGTCAGCGTCCGGACACCTTCAAGTTCACGTCCATCACCGATGACCCGGTGATGGTGCAGGCGCAGATCAACGCCAAGCAGAACAGCAATGTGAGTTGAAATAACAGTAACATGTAACATTGTTCTTACACAGTAGTACAACATGATCACGATTACTGATTTCAACCTGTTCCATCTGCATAGGGGAGAGTGTCGCAGCTACACATACGTGGATTTTCTGCGGATTCACCGAATTTGTCCCACACATATTATACTCATTAAAATGGCTGAAACACCTTCAGGATCGCAAAGCTAGGGGATGGGGTGGGGAATTTGGCACTAGCTCACTGCCTGGCTGGCTTTCCCGCTAGCCAGTGGTTAATCACACCTCTGAGTCGTTCTCTTACTTCGATTATGAGCGATTACCGTGCCTGTTACATGGTCGGTGAACAGAGCCATCGTTGGTGCGATTCCACTGGCAAATATGGACGGAGGAGAATATATCTATAACATTTACTGAAGGCAGCGTAGATCAAAGCGATGAAATAAACAGGTGAGCAAGAGCAGAATAGAGTGCTTTTTGGAAAAAGGCATTTAATTATGGAAAGAGGACAGTGTTTCATCATTACATACTGGCTACAATGACGTGCATTAGAAACATGGAAACTGGCGGAAAAAATGGAAGAAAAAACGAAAACGTACAACAACAATGCATAATAATAATAACCTCTACTTTATAAAGCGCCTTTCATATTGCAGTATTTCAAAGCACTGCATACAAATAAAACTACACTCACAAGTATAGATACAATCTAAATGAAATAAAAGGCTTATGGTAACAGTATCAATGACTGCTCTGGAAATTCAAATAAAATGAACAACTGTGATAAAGACGAACAATAATTATTGCAGAGTAATCCAATGAGACAAGAACATTGTTTTTCAAATCTTAAGTTGCAGTGAAAGCCTGTTAAAAGATGCATGCTGGGAATTAAAATTGAGAATGGAAAGCTATTCACCTGCCTATCAGTATTATTTTAATAAAGTGGAAAAATATCACGATCATGGATTTAAAAGAGTCAATAATAAAGAGAGAGAGAGAGAGTTGCAGTAATCGGGCAATTATATATTGTATTGATGGTTTCAGCAGTGGGAGGACCAGCATGGTGGTGGTAGTGGTGGATTCACAGATTAGCCAACTGTGTGACAAGAAAGGTGGGTTTAATTGACAATTTGTATTTCGATTTAAAGCTTTCGTGACTGCAATGATTCATCTTCTTTGGTTCTTTCGGTAAAGTCACGTAAAGTCACGTAGGACAGCGCTGTCCTACCAGACAGTCTCGTCCCTTCACCTGATGAAGGCCGCTTGTGTTGTGGCCGAAACGTCGTGAGAATATTATTGTGTTATTTTATTTTATCAATTTATTATTTTATTCTCATTCTACGTGACTTTACCGAAAGAACCAAAGAAGATGACAATTTGTAGTTTTAAGTGAGGAAGAATTTCTATCCAAACTTTTGATTAACTATACCTGAATAATTTCCAACTGAAGGATAAACGCAAACTGGCAGGCGTTCCTAACACTACAATTGGGTCGTAATGTGGAAAAATGAGCACCCCCGAATGGTAAAACACATCTACGCATTCATCGGCACATCTTTATGTCAACAGTTGTTACGATTACACTGCCACAAATCTTCTTCTGATCTTTGGAAAAGAACACAGCAGCGAACAACACATGCTACAATCTAGTCCTGGTCATGCATATCCTGGTGTGCTTATGCTGCATTGCTATTTCTCATACTGATCATACATCTGGTACTATTTCAGATGGTATAGATATTGCATTTTCATAGTCATCATCTTACAAGCGTTATTGTCGTACTTAACATCTGCAGAGCTTCAATGTTCTTTTTTAAATGTTGATCCATTATGATGCTCTTGGCATGTGAAGTGATCTGAGCTCTTGCGTTGCACCCTAAAACCTACACCACTCTTTTGTAAACATGCAGAAACTGTACAAGGATGCCTGGGAGAATGCCAAGACCAAGATTCACATCATGCCGGACGCTCCAGAGTTCCTCTTGTCCAAAACTAACAGCGCCAATGTCAGCCAGGTAAGGCCTGCACACAGTTTTCAATCGACAAGGTCATAAAATAACATGTATTCACAGGTTTGCGGTATAAATACGTAATTGATCGTTATTTTACATCTTCGTAAAGCACAGAGCATTGCCTGGTACTTTATACCAGTAAGCGTAGAAGTCAATGCTATGTTACGTTAATCCCATGAACCGCCTCACTTAACCTTTGATCCAGGCAAACGCACTATCCTTGGGACTCCAACCCTTATTTGGTTTATCACCGATACTCGGTGACAGCCGGCCGTCATTGGGCATTGTTCACCCTCGAAATACTCCGAAACAAATTGGCTAATTACCCCTCCGCCCCCACCTCCCGTCATCGCCTCTTCTTCTGTGGTCCTTGTCATGTCGCCTTCCCGAAGCCCCTCTCTGTTTCTCCTTCATGTAACCCGGCGTGAGATCCGGCTACGGTGAGAAAATCATCTCGTGTCGATGCCCCAACCCCCCTCGCTTTAGGAAGGAACTCGCTTCGTGGTTTTGTGTCAAATCCTTCCCATCCCTGACCTTTTAAAATGATTTATTTCGATTTATAAGATTTCCCTTTTTCTTGCTCATGTGGTTGGCGAACCCCTCGTAAGTTGCTGTTACTTAGTTCTGTGTTATCCGCCATCAGTGTTACTTGAGTGGTGCATGACCTGAATTTAATTTGATCTTGTGTGCTAATCAGTGTCTACAATATTGTTATTTGTTTATTTGCTGCTGTATAATCACTTTTTTTTCACCAAAGTCCTTCGTGGGTTATTTTTCTAAAACAGCTTAAGCTGAATGTTTCTTACTCACTTAAACAAATACAATCAATCAAACAAAAAAAACTCTTATCCATGACCAAAACTTCTCATTGTTTAACATATTTCCATGATTCTATTTATCCACGTGTTTGTTTTTTTAATGCAGAAACTCTACCGACAAGGCTGGGAGGAGACCATCAGAAAGGGCTATGACTCGAGAGCCGATGCCATCCCCATCAGGGCTGCAAAAGCTTCCAGAGACATTGCCAGTGATGTAAGCTCATCGTGCATTATTGTCAAGGTGTTGAGAACTTTAGTCGTGTTTATGAATGCGTGTACCAACTCTGCCACTTTCAAAAGCAAAGTTGTGATCCTGTATTTGATTTCAGTACAAGTACAAGCTGGCGTACGAGAAGGGCAGAGGTCACATGGTCGGGTGCAGGAACCTGCAGGACGACCCCAAGCTCGTGCACTGCATGAACGTGGCCAAGATGCAGAGCGAGCGCGAGTACAAGAAGGGCTTCGAGAAGACTAAGACCAAGTACCACAGCCCCGTAGACATGATCAGCGTGGTGGCCGCCAAGCATTGTCAAAAGCAGGTCAACGACGTCAACTACAGGACCTACCTGCACCAGTGGACCTGCATGCCCGACCAGAACGACGTCATCCAGGCCAGGAAGGCCTACGACCTGCAGAGCGACGTGAGTACAACACCTTGGAGGTTTATTTAATTATAAACATGATATTTATCTGAAACGTTTCCATAAAGTGTGCGATTAGTTGCACACCTTAACTGAGTGTGTCTTTGTTAAAATGAAACTTAGATCTGTAATTAACATTTGTTCTCTTATTGATGATGAATCTCTCAGCTTCGTGTTTTGTTACTCTTTCAAAATTAGCAATATAAAACAATTGATGGAACTCAGAGTTTAATGTTATGTAGTAACATAACATTGAAAAAGATTTTCATAGATCATCGGACTCCTCAAGTTTAAATAAATATGCTGATTCTTAATGTGATTGTTACTTAAATCTCAGCTATGTTTTACACGTGGCAGATTGCCATTTTTGGTTTGAGCGTTGGCGCTGTTCGTTTCAGTACCTGTACAAGGGTGACCTGTCGTGGCTGCGTGGCATCGGCTGGGTCCCAGTGGGCTCGCTGGAGAGCGAGAAGGTGAAGAAAGCCGGGGAGATCCTGAGTGAGGCCAAATACCGTCAGCGTCCGGACACCTTCAAGTTCACGTCCATCACCGACGACCCGGTGATGGTGCAGGCGCAGATCAACGCCAAGCAAATCAACGACGTAAGCAGTGAAAGGTTTTTTTCTCATTCTTCTTCCCGACACCCAATCTTTTCCAATGTGCGCACGAAAAAAAATTCAAGGCTTTTTTTATTTTTGGAATGAAAAACACGGTACACGGAGTGTTTCCTCCTTACATATGCCACGCGGTCACTTTAATACTTTCTTACTTTCATATTCTTAATTGCATTTTTAAAGTGTGATGTCATCGTGCAAATGTCGAGCCCTTGTTAATTGTGGTCTCTGCCAACAGAAACTGTACAGGGCGGCCTGGGAGGGCTGCAAGACCAACATTCACATCATGCCAGATACGCCACAGATAGTGTTGTCCAAACTCAACACTGCCAACATGAGTCAGGTACATCGCCCGTATTCACATTGCCGCACATTCTAATTGTCATTCCTAATTATTGTTACGTCGTCGTTTTGTTCCAAATTTGCTCGTTTATTTTGCACTGATAGAAACTCTACAGACAAGGCTGGGAGGAAACCATCAGCAAGGGCTACGACTCGAGGGCGGACTCCATCGCCATCAAGGCCGCCAAGGCCTCCAGGGACATCGCCAGCGATGTGAGAAATACATTTCCCTTTTCTTGGCGAGATGTTAACTGCCTCGCCTTGGTGTACAGGAGGTCGTGGGTTCGATCCTAACCTTTACGCCTGCTGTATATTTAAAGTTTGCGGTGCCTCTCTTCCCATGGTCGCGTTGAATTTTCTCCGAGTCCTCCGGCGTTTCCCTTCACATTTAGAAACATGCCAGTATTTGGTTGTTGTAAATGTCCACATGATAAGACACTTCGCTTTAATTTGTGGCGAGGTCGCTTCTGAAAACGAGCTATGTAGGTTCTCACCTGAAAAATGTAAAGAGATTAGTTGAATAAATAGCTTAGTTTATCTACAAAACTCAAACACATGGCATAGGACGTTCAAGGGCACATTTTCCAGTGTTCTGGACCCAGGACCATTTTAGATCACACTTATTGAGCTGCATAACCATAGTTACATATAATCGGTAATTCATTTTTCATTACTTCGTTTTAACGATACATTTTGATCGTAACCACTGTATACCCAGGCTTGGGAATTGTATTGCAGAGTCTGCTATGTCCACTTACGTCAAGTGGAATGCTTCGGTAATAGCATCTGGGAATATTTTATTGGATGGCCAAGGGAATTGATATAACTCACAGTATATAGTGGCATTGGCTAAGTGGGAAATATATTCTGCGCAAGGTTTTTTCATTACTGATTAAGCAATACTCTTAATAAATCCTTGTGACACGAATCCGTTACCTGGGATCTGACTTGGTACTTTTTTTTACTGTTTTGTACAATGTGACCTGATTAGTGGGGTATTTCATGTTCGATAATTATTATTATTACCTCTGATGAAGCCATAAGTAGGTACGACTTTTGACGATGTTGTGTTTATTGTTGTCACGGAATCACAAGAATGTCTCAATTATTCACTGTTGTGCAATTGCTGTGTTTTTATTAACAGTACAAGTATAAGCTGGCGTACGAGAAGGGCAAAGGGCACATGGTCGGGTGCAGGAACCTGCAGGACGACCCCAAGCTCGTCTGGTTCATGCACGTGGCCAAGATGCAGAGCGAGCGCGAGTACAAGAAGGGCTTCGAGAAGACCAAGACCAAGTACCACAGCCCCGTAGACATGATCAGCGTGGTGGCCGCCAAGCATTGTCAGAAGCAGGTCAACGACGTCAACTACAGGACCTACCTGCACCAGTGGACCTGCATGCCTGACCAGAACGACGTCATCCAGGCCAAGAAGGCCTACGAGCTGCAGAGCGATGTGAGTCATAGCCGCATTAAAGTTCATGTGAACCGGCTACAAATCACGGATGGCTACAACCCTGATTTTAATTACTTGCACGGTCATTGTATACGGTCACGAGCGTGGCAGATTTTGATTCTTTCTACTTTATTTAAATTTTGCTGTCCTCGTCGTGAGACGAATACTTTTTCTACGAGTGACTCTTTGTCGCTGAGAATTTCCCTGGAAAACGATATCACAGAGCTACTCCTCAAAGTTTCTCCAGGAGGGATACTTATTCATGCGAGGATCCCAACTTTCTCATGCTCTGAGTTCGTGTGTACCGTAGCCTAGACTCGGAGCGGTGCAGAACACTCGTGTTTTGGAGAGGGTCAATGTTTCTAATTGTATTTATTATCGGTGTCGTGCTGAAAGGCTGATTTCAAGGGCAACCCCCAGGATGGGGGGGGGGGGGGGTTACAGGAACGGCAAAACAGAAAGAAAATTGCAACGATTCAACAATGCAGCATTAAAACAACGAAAACATGCTGCAACATGTAAAATGCGAACGTGTATACAACAGTTCCAGCAGCGACCAGTCGGCTATGGGGTGTGATATGCAGTCTCTCAGCGTGCATCAGCCTCAACAGATACGGGCCGTCAAGGGTGTTCTTTGTCATCAGGGGAGAAGGAGTAATAGTGTTTACAGTGTGTATATGGCTGTACCACATCGCGTTTTTAGAATCCAATATCGATGCTCAAAAGTGTGCGAGAAAGCTCTCCGGATGCATGAACCTCATGCTGAGAGCGACGGCCAGATTATTAACACTGCACTGGGCCGTGACGAATAGTGAGCACTCAAATATAAACCTCTTGGGAAGAGGTAATGTGAAGCATATTTCTGTAGGGACCTCAATGCACATGACATGATGAGGCTGATATTAAGATCACATTCTCCCAGACATGTACACTAAACACATTTACTCTAAAGTAATGCAAATAAAAAATTAGATTTTTATTTTATGAAAAACTCAGCGTCCACAATTATTGAATGTAGATTATTTAAGAGCAATTATAAAACTCGGTGTGTTCTGGTGCAAGTGATGCATATTGTTTTCTTTTTATGGATTCACAATGCAACTGAGTGGTAAATAAACTAACTTGTTAATTTCACGTAATTATACGTTTGTGAGCCGCTCATTCTGTACGGGCCACCGTTTACAGAATATTTACAAGGAAGACCTGAACTGGCTGCGTGGCACCGGCTGGGTACCAATGGGCTCCCTGGAGCACGAGAAAGTGAAGAACGCCGGGAAGATCCTGAGTGAAAGACGTTACCGGCAAAGCCCAGACACCTTTAAGTTCACCTCCATCGTGGACGATCCCGTCATGGTGTTGGCACAAGCCAATGCCAAGCAGAACAGCAAGGTGAGTTTTCAAACTGCTTTCCACTCAATGGAGATTTTTGTGACCCACGTTGGACGATGTCGCGACACGTATAGCATCACATGTCTGTGACACCTCCTCCCCCACACTTTTAATGTATTTACAGTGGCTGTACAGAGATGCCTGGGACAAGGACAAGAGCAGCATCCACGTGATGCCCGACACGCCTGAGATCACATTGGCCAAACTCAACAGCGCTAACATTAGCCAGGTACCATGTCATTTATTTCACAGCTTTTTAGTTGTATAGGAACTCCCCCCCCCCTATTTAATGTTAACCATTGACTCGGATAAATTAGAGTCAAAATTTTAAGTAATCAAATTGTAATGGTTAAATTTGATTGATTGTTCCTGTGATGCCATGAGACCTATTTCAGAAGCCGGGTCAGGTGACTCAGTTGTTCTGCAGTTTCAAGCGGAAAGTCGAATATCTAATTTATATATAGATTTGGTTGTGAGATTTGTTTGACAGCTCAATCAGTGTGCTGGAACGATAACGATCCACATGTTTAACGCTTATACTTGTCAGGTGGTGGTGGTTCTTACGGCACAGATTTAGCCAGGTCGTTGCGTGGCCAATCCCCGGAACCCCTGAGATCCTGGGTTTAAATTGCGTTTCAGCTGAAAACGATTAAACCAGCTTCTTTAGTGTAGTGATATTTTTGTGACTTCACAAAACAAGTGTTAATTACATTTATTTAATTTCATTTAGATAACATTGCATTCTTACTAATATCAATATCTTAGTAGACAAAGTGAGAATGCATCGTCCCCTTTTGATACCCCTAGAGCACTGAGAATGTGGTAACAAAAAAACAAAACCAAAGACGTCCAGATGGGTGACAGTGCGATCACAGTGGTTGACAATCACGCTACAAGTTTGAATCCCAAAGTGGCACATGGACTCCTCTACTTACGAACATCCAACTTACAAACTTTCAGAGATATGAACAAACCTGTCCGTATGTGCAGTTGCCTGTTCGGACCGAGAAGCATAAGTTCAACCGCTGAGCAATAGATGGCAGTGGTGGCATCTACATCTGCAGAACATGAAGAACCATTGGCATCTACATCTACAGGAGATTATACAACTTTTAAAGACATTTCCCGTGTTTAGTGTACATGCCATACGACACATTTTGAATCGGCAGGAGTAAAGTTAGACTGACGAACAAATTGACTTACGAACAGACCATGGAAACCTAACTCGTTTGTCAGTAGAGGAGTCCCTGTACTATTTTTTGAATTGACTACCAACTATGGGTCAATGAAACTAGTACCACTTTGCAGGAAGCCACTATTTTTTTTGGTCGTATGATGGAGACTGGTTCCTAACGAAGATAATGTGTTGTTTTCATGAGTGTGTCATGGCCCTGAATGGGGATGAGTTCCACACCATTTTAGTTTGAGCAGACATGATTATGTTGTATATTTTGTTGTTTATTTTGGCATTAGTTTTGTATTCGAACCCAGGTCATCTGTAAATACAGAAATATTGATGGGTCATTCTCTAAAGCCAACCTATTATCTCTGTATGAAGTTAAATAGACATTTAAGGAATTGGGCATATGTTGCGTGTAAAGGAAAATAGATAAACTTACTTATACAATGCTTTAATCATTTCCAATAAACTTTTATTGTGTAACATCACGCGTTTGAATATACACACTAATCGGGTTTTAGAAACGAGTTTTCAAATTAGATTTTCCCACTCCCCCCATTAATACGGTACTGTACGGCTGTAAGCGCAACTCCTGACTCTTGGCACACTCGACGTTGACTCTGTGCTTTGATTTCCAGAAACTCTACAGACAAGGCTGGGAGGAGACCATCAGCAAGGGCTACGACTCGAGGGCGGATTCCATTGCCATCAAGGCCGCCAAGGCGTCCAGGGACATCGCCAGCGATGTGAGAACACCGTCTCTTTATATACGCTCACGACGATTACGATTTGTCTGTTGTGTTTTAGCGTTCTTCTGGGCCGTTGTATAAATCACGCGTTCGTTACATCCGCAGTACAAGTACAAGCTGGCGTACGAGAAGGGCAGAGGGCACATGGTCGGGTGCAGGAACATACAGGACGACCCCAAGCTTGTTTGGTCAATGCACGTGGCCAAAATCCAGAGCGAGCGCGAGTACAAGAAGGGCTTTGAGAAGACCAAGACCAAATACCACAGCCCCGTAGACATGATCAGCGTGGTGGCCGCCAAGCATTGTCAGAAGCAGGTCAACGACGTCAATTACAGGACCTACCTGCACCAGTGGACCTGCATGCCCGACCAGAACGACGTCATCCAGGCCAGGAAGGCCTACGAGCTGCAGAGCGACGTGAGATATATTTACGGTTTTTGTTTTTTCATCCTGTGGTCTTACAGATTCTGCCAAAGAGTTAATTTTGAAACATTAATTAGAGTCCGTTTCGTAATTGTGAATATGAATTGATGACATTGTCACCGTATACAGAATATTTACAAGGAAGACCTGAACTGGCTGCGTGGCACCGGCTGGGTACCAATGGGCTCCCTGGAGCACGAGAAAGTGAAGAACGCCGGGAAGATCCTGAGTGAAAGACGTTACCGGCAAAGCCCAGACACCTTTAAGTTCACCTCCATCGTGGACGATCCCGTCATGGTGTTGGCACAAGCCAATGCCAAGCAGAACAGCAAGGTGAGTTTTCAAACTGCTTTCCACTCAATGGAGATTTTTGTGACCCACGTTGGACGATGTCACAACACGTATGACATCACATGTATGTGACTCCCCCTCCCCCACCCTGTTTGTGTACACAGTGGCTCTACAGAGATGCCTGGGACAAGGACAAGCTCAATATCCACGTGATGCCTGACACGCCAGAGTTCAATCTGGCAAAGCAAAATGCAGTTCAAATGAGCAACGTGAGTCCCCCACACCCAGCCACTTTGTCCGGCAGCACTGTGCCAGTTGATTAGATTCGTTAAAACAGCATTCTCGAGTTTGCAATTATCTGGTTCTATGGTTGAATGTTGTCATTCTGGCGACGCTTCAAGTTGGTCAAAAATAAAGTATGCTCTGTCACACATTGGAAAGTAAAATGGTGTGTGGCGTGAAGTATGGAATGTGAATGTTTTAAATTCTGCTTGCACAATTAAATATTTAAAAATGTTATTGCTCCAATACGGGCATAATGTATTGGCTCTTTAAACCAGTAAAACAAAAGTATCCCGGACAAAACAAAAATCATACGTTTAATGGTCCCAATAATGGCACGGTCTGTTGTTATATTTCCTCTGTTACGAAACAGAAACTATACAGGCAAGGCTGGGAGGACACTATTCAAAAGGGCTACGCTTCAAGATCAGACGCCATCGCCATCAAGGCTGCCAAGGCCTCTAGAGACATCGCCAGTGACGTGAGTTTATGAAGGAATACTGGAACCCGCTGAAATCTATATGTCCACATTTCTGCAGATGTAATGGTTATCATCGTTTACCTATTGTGTCCACAGTACAAGTACAAGCTGGCGTATGAGAAGGGCAGAGGGCACATGGTCGGGTGCAGAAACATACAGGACGACCCCAAGCTCGTCTGGTTCATGCAAGTGGCGAAGATGCAGAGCGACCGCGAGTACAAGAAGGGCTTCGAAAAGACCAAGACCAAGTACCACAGCCCCGTAGACATGATCAGCGTGGTGGCCGCCAAGCATTGTCAGAAGCAGGTCAACGACGTCAACTACAGGACCTACCTGCACCAGTGGACCTGCATGCCCGACCAGAACGACGTCATCCAGGCCAGGAAGGCCTACGAGCTGCAGAGCGACGTAAGATATATTTGAAATACATTTCACGAGCTTTAAATATATGTTTTATTAACTTCTTTCCCATGTACGGTGTTTGTTTTCTCATTGAAAGTTTATCCTCGACAAACTCTTGCAGAATATTTACAAGGACGATCTGAACTGGCTCCGTGGCATCGGGTGGTCACCCGATGGATCTCTGGAACACATGAAAGTGAAGCACGCTGGCAAGATCCTGAGCAATAAGTTTTACCGCCAGAATCCCGACAGCATCAAGTTCACTTCCATCGTCGACGACCCTGTCATGGTGCAGGCCCAGATCAACGCGAAGCTGCTCAGCAATGTGAGTTGCAATCAGACGTCCAGTTGCGTAATTTTTTTAAAATAAAAACAAATAAAATTCATCATCGTTTCAAGTGGATCCTACTGTTGTATGGTCGGTCATTTTTTTTAAATAAGTGTTTTTCACATAACAGGAAACCAGAGAAATCGCATAAATATGAGGGGATAGCTCTATAATCCATTCAGATAAGTCAGAAACCCATACACTATACTGTCTTATGTTAGCCACCTCAACAATCATTAACTCCGGTTAGGAATTCAAACAAATATGGTTTAGATCTTTATACATTCATATGTATATTTAAATTATGACAAGGGATCTATGAAATTGATTTGGTGGAGAAATTAGAAATGAAATTGGCTTAGTACCCATGGACAAACCCGATAATATCCGAAATGTCTCTATCCTTAGCAAGATCAATGCAAGAGATGATCACAGGCTGGTGCGGTGTAAGTTGAATGACAACATGACCATAGAAGGGACAATGGTAATTCTAGGCACAAGAAAGATAGTTACCATCAGCGTATAATTCAGGAAATGGCTCGAGGTGCAAAATAATAAAACTGGTGTTTCCACTTTAAATAAAGACTTAACCACCATAGGAATCGCCAATGCAATGACAATATAGGAAGGAAGCAGAGAACATGCTGTGCAGAATCGCAAATAAACATAATGGATAAACGGAGAGGTGCGAAGAATAAGAAAAGGCAAAAAAAAATATTTACGAAGGACTTTGTACAACCATTGGGGAAAAAAAAATGAGAAACCGATTCAGAGAACACCACAGTGATGATTGAAAGTATCTCAGCAGGCAATGGGAGCAGGAAATCATGAAATAAGACCTCTAACGTCCATGGCACTGGAAGGTCGTTCGTTGGGTTTATGTGAACGTTGCGAGGGTAAGAGGGTAAACTTGGCACGGGCTCACAGCACGTGTAGAGAATGGCACGGTCACCGTGCACCCTCGGTTAACGCCACACCTTAGTTTCACAGCCGCTGTAAATTATTCGAAATTGATTTTTTTTTCCAAAGCCACATGACATTTGTAACGGGTATAGAAAACATGAACTACATAGAGCTGTTAATAATAATACAATTAAAACGAATAGAAAAAGATAACAAAAATCCTTTAACCGTTAAAACTATAAAAAACTAACCTTTATGGCTGGGATTACTGATCACGTTGCTGGGAATAAAAGCGTGGATTTTAATAAGTTATTCATATCCACTTCTCCACGAGCGGCACCTTCTCGCGTGATGTTGTGAGCGGGACACTTATTAATAATGTGATTTCAGACCTGTGTGCTATTCAAATGCTAATGCCTGAACATTTTTTCTCTCTCACAGAAACTATACAAGGAAGCGTGGGAAAATGCCAAGACCTCAATTCATGTCATGCCCGACACTCCTGAGATTATGCTGTCTAAACTGAACAGTGTCAACGTCAGTGGGGTAAGTTTTTTTGTTTGCCTTTGATGTCGCAGTTTCCTCTTACACTGTGAAAGACGTTCACAACACTGCTGCAGTTGCGCACTGCATCACGGAGTCCGTCAATAAACCTGGGAACTTTTGTGAGCGACCACTTGCTCCTGGTTCTAACGTTAAAGGCAAAATATGTTCAATAACTATAATGTAAAGTATAATTATAGTTTGTAAACTAAAAATCTAGCTTTTTGAGTGCAGTACGGACAGTCCCCGAATTCCGAACTGGTTCCGTTCCTGAGAACCATTCGTAAATCGAACGGTTCGAAAGTCGGGACACAATAATGCACCGTATTTAAATGCGTATACAGTCATTGTTATAAAATGTGTCACACTTCAACAAAAAGGGGAAGCATTGTTAAACTCATAAAAAAGGAGAAATATTGTATATTTGCATGCAATACGGGCAGGTAAATAAAACATTAAATAAAGGAACATAAATATAAAAAAATTACATCTTTTATTTTCACGTCCCTTGAGTCGTGATGCTGGCTTGCTTGTCGGAATGGGCACGCGCACACACAACACACCAAAGACAACGATCCCCCGTGTAGCCTTAACAGACTGTTCTGCAAGTACTGGAAGCGAGGAACACCTATGAAGGCCAACACGACACACGAGGAGGTGGGTGGCCAGCACCGTGCCCGGCCACCTTTGCCTCCTCAGTGGCGATGTTTACACACCGCCACAGGTACTCATTCGAGGCTGAGTCGCCCTAGGGGAGGCCCACGACCCATTCAGATAATTGTCACTGGTGTTGGTTGTGAGTGGGAATTTAACTCGGTTCGCCGGGTTGTTCGCGCAGCATGCTAGCCATTGCACTACCGCGCCTCACACACACACCCATGGGCTCCCCCGCACGTACGAACACTTGCGTGCACACGCACGTGCACACTCACTTTCACACAAACACGTGTGCGCGCACACACGCATACACAAGCAGTCACTCCCAGCGAGATGCTGCGACTCATTACGGTTCTTGGAGGATCGCTCCACCTGAACAAAATAGTTCCACAATTCAGTTTGCAAGTGTGAGTTCGCAAGTCGATGTAAAAAAAAAATATATATCTTATGAAAGTTGGTTCGTAAGTGTGGATATTCGTCAGTTGGGTGTTCGTAAGTCGAGGACTTCCTGTATTTTCCGACATGACTTTGTTTTAATTGCATTATGTATTTTGTACCAAACGTAATTTTTTCCTGCTTCCTCTCACTGTGTCTTCTGCTATACATATTTCAGCAATGATTTTTTTTTTTACTTTCAGAAATTGTACAGACAAGGCTGGGAGGACACTATTCAAAAAGGCTATGCCTCAAGATCAGACGCCATCGCCATCAAGGCTGCCAAGGCCTCCAGAGACATCGCCAGCGACGTGAGTCAATAGTTTCCCCCAATTCGCTGCCATTCTGTTTGCAAGTAATTACACTGCTCTAGCTAAGCAATAACACCGGCTTCTTCGTTGTGTTACACAGTACAAGTACAAGCTGGCGTACGAGAAGGGCAGAGGGCACATGGTCGGGTGCAGGAACCTGCAGGACGACCCCAAGCTCGTGCACTGCATGAACGTGGCCAAGATGCAGAGCGATCGCGAGTACAAGAAGGGCTTCGAGAAGTCCAAGACCAAGTTCCACAGTCCCGTGGACATGATCAGCGTGGTGGCCGCTAAGCATTGTCAGAAGCAGGTCAACGACTTCAACTACAGGACCTACCTGCACCAGTGGACCTGCATGCCTGACCAGAACGACGTCATCCAGGCCAAGAAGGCCTACGAGCTTCAGAGCGACGTGAGTATTGATGATATTACAACGCGTTTGAGCATACTGAGTGGAGTCAGCAGCGCTACGGTACATTTTGAAGATAATAATAAAGTGCACAAGAATATAATTCAGCAATAGAATATTTGGTAATTACAATGTAAGGCTATATATGTGTACTTTTTATCCCGTTCACATCCAGTATTTTGTGATCCGAATTCATTTTCACTTTTATTTTTTGTAATTCAAGAAAAAATACTGTAAGAATGAATTACGTTATTCTCTTCCATTGCATTTTCCCCTTAAATACATGTTGTGCAACTTGCTGTTTGCAAAAGTTCAAACTGTAAATAGTTAGTAAAATTGCATAAGCAGTGTCAATACAAATTGCAGTCGTTAACATTTTTATGTTGGAATAATTTCATTGGATCTTTAACGTCCACAGTGAAGCAGACATCTAGCATTTTAACGCTGAATAATTCTAATATGGGACCTTTCTTGGCAGTTTTAAAATATAACAGTAGGTTTTTACCCTTTCTGAAAATAAAACAGGTGTCAAGATGTTAAAACACCAAACAGAATCCTTATTTAAGGAATCCTGTCTGCATTAACCACACGTACTTGTGGTGAACATGCAAAAAAACAAATAAAGAATCCCGCAGTATTAACCAGAGTGGCCATGGGGTTTCAACCGCCAACCTGTGAAACGAGCAGCACATGCGCTCCTGATTCCCATTGCCCTCGCCCTGTGCGGTCAACGCCGAATAAGGTTGTAACCAAATTAGTATAGCCTCACTAAAGAATGCACACCACTAACTTTACACTATCGCAAATGCTCACGTACACTGACAGCCACTGAATATATGGGATGATGATGATGACGATGGTGGATTTAACGTGTGAATGTCGAGCTTTTCTGGAGCGCATTTTTGCCACTGTTCGTATTTGCTCACCAGGACGTCCGTTCCTCGTGTAATTTAATTTAAGGGAAATTCGTCACTCTCGCCAGAGATTAAGTTTGTTTTTGTTTGTGTTTTTTTTTATCTATCACCATCAGTGGCTGTACAAATCCGATTTGGAGTGGCTCCGTGGTTGTGGCTGGCAGCCTGATGGCTCCGTAGACGTGGAAAAGGTCAAGAAGGCTCAGGAGATTATCAACGAAAGAAAATACCGGCAACCGATAAGCGATCAGAAGTTCACCAGCATCACCGACCTCCCCATCTTCCTTCTGGCCAAAACAAACTCTGCCCTCATCAGCGACGTGCGTTTTTCGTTGACACCTACATGCTGTTCACATGCTGTTCATGTGCTATGTACACACCGTTTCCATGCCATGTACTTATGGATTAAATTGCTAGTCTGACTGCACCGTGGCCTCTAGAAACTCTGTAATGGAAACGTTTAACATCTCGATTGACATAACAAGATACGGTTTAGTATAAATGCATTTATATCATAATTAGTATTGTCACTTCAATAATACGAGTAAAAAATATACAAGTGTGTGGGTTTGAATAATGTCTATAATGCAGAATTGCTTGGCAGTAATTGTAATAATAACTATAATAGCCCCAATGTATAATGAAGGACGGGTGCGTGGATAGCTTTGTACATATCTTGGGGCCGAGGATGTATTTTGAATTGATAACATCTGGGTATGTTGTGCTGGCATTCACAGAAAGTTTATAAAGAAGCGTGGCAGACTCAGAAGACATTGTGCCACATCCCACCAGACACTCCGTTGTACGAGCTGTCGAAGGTCAACTCCATCAACATCAGCGACGTGAGCACCCCATCTGTCTCCCTTGTGTTGTTACAACGGGCGACTGGACGAGGCTATCTCTCAGAGTAGACCTCTCTTCATTGTTGCTTCAAAAAGGACAATTATATTGTTGGGTCGTTTCAAACAAAGCCTTTATTTACACACCAATGAAAACTCGTAATATTAAACTAAACAATTTTTTTTCTTTTTCCTGGGTAAGGCCTATTGAACCTATATAGCTCTTTTTAAAAAAATGCTTCTCTTTCTACCCTATCCTTAGAAGACCATTAAATATTTTGGAAACAATAAGGAAGCCACTACCTGCAAATCTGCAAAAGAAAGCTATGACCATGTTGATAAATTTAAAAACTAAACTGTTTTTTTTTTTACAAGGAAAGACCCGCTGAGCTACCGTAGCTCTTTTTCAGAAGTGACCTGGCCACAAATGATAACCCAACGAAGTGGAATATCATCACGTGGAAATGTATAGTAGCCAAATACTCTTAAACGCATGTTTGTAGATGTGGAGGGAAAACCAGAGGATCCAGAGAATAATCCACGCAACTGCAGGGAAAGAGACATGCAAGCTATAAATATACAGGGTGTTTGGAATATTTGGACCCGATTTTAAATCGCTATATCTCTGCAACTACGAACCGCCCATGAATGAAACTCGTACCACTTGAAAGGGCGGGGCATAGAGAGAGCGGGGCATAGAGAGGGCGGGGCATAGAGAGGGCGGGACATAGAGTTTCAAATGATTACTGCACGATGCCTCTCCCAGCGCACAAACAGCCCCTAGCCTCAGTCACTCTCTAGATGGTGACCCCGCAACACAAGGGGCGTTTTGCATTATGCAGTTCAGCAAGACTAAATCCGTAATTGCGGTGCAGCGTGCGTTTCAATGGCGTTTTGGCATTGATCCGCCAATGTCAAAGAGCATTCGTCGTTGGTACTGACAGTTTGAGGACACGGGCTGCTGTTGATGTAAGGGGTAGAGCACAGGGCGACCACGCACCTCAGAGGAAAACGTGAGAAGAGAGGCGTTTGGGACGAATTCAACTATTATCTCGATGTTGTCCGTACAGCAGGTGGAGGGCGCATAGAGCATTTATAAAATGGTTAGTAAAACTTGATAACTCATTAAACCATTAAACCATTTATAACTTTTTGTGTAAATGTAACATGTTGCCATCGTGAAATATACTGCTTTGAAATTGGGTCCATCTCTTTTAAACACCCTGTACAGCAGGCATCAGGGTCAGGATTGAACCCATGACCTGTCTACTAGGCGAGGTAGTTAACATCTCGCCACCTTGGCGCCCTGTAATCCTTTAGCCAGATAAGCGTTTCAGGTTTTTGCATTTAGTCATTTAATTTCAAAACGAGTATATTACATTTTATTTTATTTAAGAAGCAGGAACTTTAGTGTAAGGAATAAAATCCTATTCATGAGAAGTTATAATGCGTACAGATAGGTCATCAACATACTTACCGTACTGCCCTCTGCTGGCTACCTTGCAACATGGCATGTTGGCAGTGATGCACAATATGAATTCTACATCATTCACAGAGTCCCTTTATAAAGCGCAGGAAGTGCCACAGCAGCGCCACAGGACAAGTTTTGACAATACCACAATAATAATATTCCTAATACTTAAAAACACCATAAAAAGGTAGTTTAAATATCTCCGTTTAATATTTGAGCTCATGTTTAACCTTTGTTAACCAATATTGTGTTTCTCCCTTTGATGGGGAATAAACCCCGAAATATTGCATGTTTTTTTTATTCCACATCCTCAGTGGTGCGCAAATGACACAACTATGTTGTATGTTGAACCTCTTTTTGCGTTCATGGGGGGTTCGGGGAAAGGACAACAAATGTATTTTAAAATACATCCCTCTACGAATGTATCGCAGTAATCAATGGAATGTAACTTCCGCGTGGAATGTAAGGAAATAGACACCGCTTCCTCGAAGGTTATATAATGTGCGCATCCCTGGTTGTGGAATGCAGAAACTTTACCGGAAGAGCTGGGATGAGGCGAAGGTGAAGGGGTACCACGTGGATAAAGATGCCATCTCTGTCCTGGCCGCCAGGAAAGCCAGAGACATCGCCAGCGACGTGAGTTCACGTCGTCGACGCCCGTGCCACCTTTCTTCCATTCGGGGCTTCGATTACAAACGTTCGTTTAGCGAACTAGTTCTCGTGTTTTTTTTGACCTTTCGCGATGATCACTTTGCGCACACAGATCAAGTACAAGATGGCGTACGAGAAAGGGAAGGGACACCACGTCGGGTGCAGGAACATACAGGACGACCCCAAGCTCGTCTGGTCCATGCACGTGGCCAAGATGCAGAGCGAGCGCGAGTACAAGAAGGGCTTCGAGAAGTCCAAGACCAAATACCACAGCCCCGTAGACATGATCAGCGTGGTGGCCGCCAAGCATTGTCAGAAGCAGGTCAACGACGTCAACTACAGGACCTACCTGCACCAGTGGACCTGCATGCCCGACCAGAACGACGTCATCCAGGCCAAGAAGGCCTACGACCTGCAGAGCAACGTGAGCACATGCCCTATTGTGTAATTACGTCAAAATGTTTTTCATCGTTGATTTTATTGCCAATACATGAACACCACGTGGACGTATGTGAACAATAAAAAAGGCAAATGATGGTGGTAGTGGTTGGGAGATGTTGATCACAATGTGGGGCGTAGTGGTCACATGTTCCATGGATTTCGGTGTCTTGCTACCACCCCGAGTTATGCGATTAAAAAGCCCATTTGGTATAAGCATGCGTCCAATGCGTTTTTCTGTTTCCTCACACGGGCAGTGGGTGTACAAGGCGGACCTGGAGTGGCTCCGTGGGTGTGGCTGGTTGCCAGAGGGCTCCTTGGACGTGTTAAAGGTCAAAAAGGCCCAAGAGATCCTCAACGACAGAATTTACCGGCAGCCTGCCTCCTCTCTGAAGTTCACCAGCGTCATCGACTCCCCCGAATATCTCCTGGCCAAGACCAATGCAGACCAGATCAGCGGAGTAAGACCCAGACCCCCCCCCCACCCCTTTTGCTGTGTGTGTGTCCAGCTTGATTGCATGCTTGCGGTCCTATTTTTATTTGATCACCACACCTTCCACCAACCACTTCTCTGGGATTTTGGAGGCTTGTGCCTCCTGGGATTAAGTGACTATGCACAGGGGAGAAGCTAAGATAAGTTCCACTCTTTGTATCGTGGGTATGTACTTTAAAGTCTGCTTTTTTGGAGAATCCACCTATAGGCCTACTTTTCTTTTTTAATTATTCGTATTGAACATAAGACTAATTATTATTGAACGAGTCAAGAGTATATTGCCTCATTAACTCATTAGCATCTGTGAGTAACAAAAATCACCCGATTCAGCATCGCGCTATTGTCATTTGCCTGCTCATTAAGCCGAGCACTGCAAATATGCTTCTAATATTTATTGTGGAAAGTGCTGGATTAATTATAACGCCTGAGGACGACCGCCTGTGTTGCGATCGAAACGTCGTGATATATTATATATATATTTTTTCTACCTACGTGACTTTACCGAAAGAACCGAAGACTGGAATCCTGCAGTCAAGAAAGCTTCAAATCAAGATTAAGACCTAATTTCTGTCCGTGTTGTTTGATGGCAGTGGAAGTACAAGAAAGACTGGGAGTTAAACAAAACCTCGATTCACATCATGCCGGACACTCCAGAGATTAACCTCTCGCGTGCGAACGCGGTCAACGTCAGCAGGGTGAGTGAAGTTTCTCCTCAGCTTTATATGAAAAGTAAAATACACACTTTTTTTTGGTTTTACCATTTTTATAATTTCCATTTGTAAACGTCTGTGCCTTACTGGAACGTTTGTGCGCCTTGTTCTCAACAGAAACAATACAGGAAGGGCTGGGAGGACGCGCTTCAAAATGGCTACCACTTAAAGACGGATGCCATTGCCATCAAAGCTGCCAAGGCCTCCAGAGAGATCATCAGTGACGTGCGTACCTTGAGAAGATAACTTTCTGTTGTATTTCATATGCACTTGTTTCCGTCTGTCTGTCGATCGTACAGCCGCGATGTTTAATTTTCGCGATTTAAATCGGACGTTACAATATTCTTGCTGGAAGAGAGTAACGGATTTTTTTTTTTTACTACAACCACCAACCATCGTAATTACCTTTGCTCATTGCCCCCCAACTTTTCGATCCTGCAGTACAAGTACAAGCACGCCTACGAGTTGGGAAAAGGCCACCTGATCGGGTGCCACAGCGTCCACGAAGACCCCATGCTCGAGCACTGCGCCAAGGTGGGCAAGATGCAGAGCGACCTGGAGTACAAGAAGGACTTCCACAAGACCAAGACCAAGTGCCACCTGCCGCACGACATGCTCAATGTCGTCGCCGCCAAGAAGTACCAGGAGATGATCAGCGACATCCCCTACCGCACCTACCTGCACCAGTGGACCTGCATGCCCGACCAGAACGACGTCATCCAGGCCAGGAAGGCCTACGACCTGCAGAGCGACGTGAGTTGCGGTTCCCTTGCACGAATATCTCCTTTGCGAAAGTCAGGTCCTCTTGATCTCAGGCGATGCAGAGGTAATTCAATAGAGCCATGCTCCGTTGAGCATGGAGCCACACTAAAAGTCAGTGTAAAATACTTTTTAAATCAACTCTAAGCAGCATGAGTGACGATGCGATCTGCTTTTGTCTGTGGTGCATCCTACTCTATCTCTCACCCCCTGAGTATATGAGGAGAAGCTGTACCCTGTACCAGCATATTTGACCTGACGAACAGAGCAGACCATACAGCATTTGACGGCGCAATGCCCCAATGCACAAATACGAATGAGACATCACAGCGATGATGATACACTCCGCTGCTCCTGACGCCGTTATCTGGCTTGACCCACCTGAATGTGAAATTGTAGTCGTTGCTCTGTATTTACATCAGCAGCTGTATGGAAGAAGAAGAAGATAAGAATGTAGGATGGGGGGCATTGTGGCGGAGGGGTCGGGTATTATTCCCCTGCGGTCCCATCCAGCCCCTCCGAATCTTCGGGATATGTTTTATTTCTGCACAATTGCTGAGCACAGTAGGCCCAAGGGTCCGAAACGTCAATCGCACCTCCGACTGGCATGGTTGGCTACATATGGCGCGAAAGAAGTTCAGCATACATACATACAAGCGGCCAGCGACAAACAGCACTATTGAAAATAGGTTTCCCCCTTTTTTTCTGGCAACAAAACAGCTGTGTTAAGATGTTAAAACACCAAACTGAAACCTTTTACAAGGAATCATGTCTGCATTAACCACAATATTTGTGGTCAGAATGCAAACAAAAAAAATACTCCGATAATATATGCATTGTCCTTGAAACTGATTGGTGTTAGACCAGAGACGCCTTTTGGCGTCCTCTGGTCTAACGCCGTTTGAGACGAGGCTCAAAAGAAAGCTGTCTCTGGTGTGGACCAATCAGTTTCAAAGACAATGCATCCTATATTATCAGAGTATTTTTTTTTTTGCATTCTGACCACAAGTATTGTGGTTAATGCTGACATGATTCCTTGTAAAAGGTTTCAGTTTGGTGTTTTAGCATCTTAACACCTGTTTTGTTGCCAGAAAAAACGGGAAAACCTATCATATTTTGGTGCTGGCAAAGGAGGTCCCATGAAGCACTATTGAAGTTGCGGTCGAGAACAGCGTCGGAGCACGTTTCTTGAATTGAACAGGGTTTGGAGGGAATGGAGACGATGGCAGGGGGGGTACTAAAGTGGAGCGGTGCGAGGGAAGAAGTGGATAAGAGCGGTGAGGTGACCGGCAGTGCGGTGGTTGAACACGGTACGGATTGCGTAGTTGAGGGGCGGTTTTGGAACGCTGCCGTGTGGTACTTTGCAGATCATCTACAAGGCGGACCTGGAGTGGATCCGTGGCTGTGGCTGGCTGCCCACTGGCTCTTTGGACGTGGAGCATTCCAAGAAGGCCCAGAATATACTCAGCAACGTGAGTGTCAGCTGACTTGAAGATCTTGGCACAGCTCGCTATCGTGTTCGTTCATTCAGCTTCTGCTGATCTCTTCATCTGCCCGCATGTCCTTGTTGAACATTGTTGCACATTTTAATTCTCACTACCCCCTGCCCAGTTACCTCCTCCAGCTCATTCCCTCTCACTACCCCCTGCCTAGTCACTTCCTTCAGCTCATTCCCTCTCACTAATCCCTGCTCAAATCACCCCCTTAAGCTCATTCCCTCTCCCTACATACCCAATCCAGATCCTCTCCCTAAGCAACTGAATGAGTCTGCGTCGTTGTTATTGTTGTTGTTTAAGTCAATGTTAAACCTCCACACTTATGAGCGGTGCGCCAGCTACTGCTTGAGTGACATTCCGGCTTTGTGTAATTCATTAACTCACCTGCACCTTTGCGTCTCAGATCTCACACAAAATCAGGTGCATTCTGGGTGATTGGTCACAGGCTGAGTAATCACACCTACGCGTATTGGTAGCACTACGATGTAGTGTGGATCATTTACATTGCGTCCAGACCTGATGCAGTTGGCATCACACAGAGCAAGGAGGCGTATATAGACTGTGTGCCTATAAGCGTATATACAGATGGAGAAGCAGTCAATCTTGGGCAGAAGAGAAGGTCTGAAGCATTTTTAACGTATCTTTCCCAAACGCCATTCCTTGCTCCCCTATGAAGTCCAGTTTGAAAGTCATCTCATGAGCCGAAGGTACAACAAGCACATTTACACGTGAACGGAGAAGATTGGTAAAAATATAAAAAGCGTACAAACTCTGTGAAAAGAGCTCGGGTATATAAGTGAGCGCGGGCGTTGGGGAAACTTCCGTACATGGTATAAGCCTCTAATGGTAATCACAGCACACCTTCAGTTATCGACAGTAAAAGGTTAAGGAGCAGTGACTCGCTCGCACCACTGCTAGCGGAAGGGCCTCTACTGGAGGAAGCTCTAGAAGAGCCTCTCAGGAGGATTTTTTTGCCTTCTCTTCTATGCTGACCAGACTTCTTGGAAAGGCATCGCAGTAACCGCACACTATACCCCACCGCATGCGACCTGCCGATCCAACATCCGTGGTGTAGCCATTGTTACCTGCTGGGTGGACAGAGGAGGCGGGGGTTTTAAGGAACCTGCACCATTGTCTAAATTGCAGCACCATTAACCCATTGAAACAGCTATTTTAACACATTTTCACGTGAATGACTAATTGACATATAGCACCTCAAAGAGTGCCGATTTTTACCACGCTTGCCCCACCTAGACCTAACACCCCGCATTGTTTGTGCAGCGTTTTTGACTCTTGTTGTAACTCATGTTGCAGAATAAGTACAAGGCCGAGGCTTACCAGGGCATGAAGAACTTCAGCGTGGTGACCGACACGCCGACCTACATCAACGCTGTGCTGAGCGCCCACCAGCTGTGCGACGTGAGTGAATCCCTCTTGTTCGCCGTTAGTGACTCTTCGGCGCGCACGTTGAACTTGTGTATGTGCGCACGTTGAACTTCTTCCGCACCACCGTACATAGCCAACCGCGCTAATCGGAGGTGCGGTGGAAGGACATCAAACTTAACACAAAAAAGCAGTTAGAAAGAAATGAGTTTTATATAGATGTAAAAGTACATTTCTCGAGTGGCTTCCTGAATTTGAGCAGTTTTAATTTGAGTTATGGTTTTAGCCTCGCTGACTTAGTCTGGGGATTTTATTTCGTTATACTCCTCGATTAAAGGAGTCAAAACGTCGATGGAATTATTGTTGTGTACATGTTGTCATTTAAAGAGCACTTTTCGTTATTTTCTCAGTTTTGAATCACATGCACTGCTTTGAGTGTGCGGCACGGAAAGTGATGACCAGAATGCCGTTACAGTACAAGTATAAAGAAGCATGGAACAGGGACAAGTCCAACGTGACGGTGTCGGAATGCCCCCTCTACGACGTAGCCCGCGATGCTGCACGGAACCTCAGCTCGGTACGTCGCTCGCGCTACGGTGCACTGTGGATTTTCTTACACTTCATCCACACAGGGCAATAGCATCACACATAAAATGCATACATACACCAAGGGGGGCGTATATAGACTGTGTGAGTCGAAACGTATTTACAGAGAGAGAAGCAGTCAGTCATAGGCAGAGGACAAGAGGAAGGTCTCAAGCCTAGACCTAAACAGGCGCAGGGAGCTGACGGCATGGATGGCTGGGGTTCGGGACATACAGACCCAAGGGCAGCATAGGAGAAGGAGTTACCTCCCATCTAGCAAAGGTTGAGTTGGGGTTCTGAAGTGGGGAGTACGTGGAGGGGAGAAGTTTGAGATGAGAGGGGAGAGGCAGGGGAGTGCATAGAGGGGAGTAGAGTGAGATGAGAGGGGAGAGGTTGGCAGGGGTGAGATCATGGAGGTTATTGAAGGTGCCGAGTGCGATCTTACAGGTCACTTGGGACTGGATTTGGGTCATTTAGGCCGATGAACCCCACAAAGGTTTAATGCCTGCGACACTTTGAGATTGGGAATGCGCCACACTGGAATTTGTGTTTGTGAGTTAATTATGGGCCCAGTGTGTGACTGGTAAATTTAACTACTTATAAATGATGTCGCTGCTTTATTTAATTGCGGTGAATGGTAACATATTAAAGCATGGCTACGAAACTTAAAGGCGTAGTTTTCTAATACAGCTCGAATGCGACCAAACGTGGTGCATCAAGGGCACTGTGGCGAAGCGTAAATTGTATGTCGTGCATAATCTCGTGAAAAATTCTCAAATACGATTCTTGACAAATTACTGCACTATTAAGCAATGAAACAAACTTCCACTGTTGATTAAACTCGCACACACACTCACAGTCTTGTGACGGCTTGTAACGAATGGGTGGCGGGGGAATTTCCATTAAATATGTATGCGGCCTTGCATCGTTTGGTTGTTGCTCAAATGCTACAAGTTAACGTCATTGTTGGTCGAGTGTGGGAGTTTGTCTTAGAATAGATGCGTCGTGTATCTTAAAATGTTCTCCTTTCAGTTGTATCCCTGCGACCTTCAGCATTGTGGACATTCGTATTTATTCATCCTCTTTGCTGCCCGCTAAACCATCGCTATTAACCTGCGTGAGAATGTTGATTTGCAAGAGTGGGGTGTGCTTTAGTAGTTGCGAGATGTTAAATTCCTCTACTGGTATACAGGAAGTTGTGGGTTCGATCCCGACCTTGACGCCTGTATATTTGGAGTTTGCTGGTTCTCCCCATGGTTGCGTGGATTTTTCTGCTTGTCCTCCGGTTCCCCCTCCCCCCCCCCCCCACATTTAGAAACATGTGTTTAGAGTATTTGGCTTCTATACATTATAAGCCACTTCATTGGGCTATCGTTTGTGGCCATGTCGATTCTGAAAAAGAGATATATAGCTCAGTGAGCATTATCTGGTAAGATTAAAATAGTTTATTTTAAATGAAGTTGGCTACGATAACAACGATGGAATGACGTGTATACAATAACGCCTCCTCTCTCAACGTATATACATCACAAAATAATTCCTCGTTTTGTTTTCTAGAAAATTTACAAGGAGGGCTGGGAAAACATGAAAGCGACGGGCTATAAGATCCCGGCAGATTCCTTGGATCTACAACAAGCCAAACTGCTCAAGGAAATCACCAGTGAGGTGAGCAACAGTGCACGCAAGACTCGGACACCTTGCAATCAAACTCACGTGTGAGCGCCGAGCGTTGTTTGCAAACAAGGACGTGCAGGGCCAGAAAGGTGCATTGCAGGCGCAACCGAACACGAGTCTGCCATCGTCTGCACCCAATGCATGCGCAAAAAAAATTGTATTGCCAAATGCACGCTCAGGTGATTGAAACTCAGGCCGGTGGGCACTTAAACCCGCAACGCGTTTTGAGCCACCAGAGTGTGTACATATTCTTATATTCTAAACAGTCTGATGCAGCCACCTTGCTTCACAGTTGAAAGTGTGGCCGTTCGCAGGGGTTACCCGTTCACCCTCCCACCTGGGCAATTCATGTCGGCATAACAATGCGAATGAAAATAATTGTTAAGTATTTTTTTTTATATTGTCGTGAATGTAGCGGCCACGAGTGGCTGCAACGGTCATGTGAACCCATCACTGTTAAGATATACGAATGGAAAAAAAAACAAATACGCAGATTCTTACACGCACGATTCGATGTACGTATCGTGAGTTTTAAGAGGCGATGTTGCCAAATTGTAGCATTGTTGCACAATCCTAATAGCACAGCATGTCAAGTGATGTGACAGTTGCCTACAGGTTACTGGTGTGCTGGGTCACTGGTAGCAGTGTAAATAGTATCTTGCTTAATTATCTCCGTGGTTGTATCCGGGCCCCTGTTATGTAAAACAGCCCTGCCTGCACACTGTGTGGAAATTTGCACTGCTTCAAGATATTCGGGGATTTTATTTGCACGTTGGTGGAGAGCCGTTTAGAGCTGGCGGATCGGTGCGACTTGGCGGAGCTAATAGAGGCAATGGCGTAGACAGCAACCTTATGTATGTAAGCCTGTTGAACTTCTTTCGCACCGTACGTAGCCGACCTTGCTAATTGGAGGTGCGGGGAAAGGACAACAAACTAAACACAAAAAGCGGCTCTAAAGAAGTGGGTTTTCGATCTAGATTTAAAAGTGCAGAGCTCCCAGTGGCTTCCTAATATCGGAGGGGGAGAGCGTTCCAGACGTCCCGCAGAAGCGCATCTTAAAGGGCGCGATGCGGTGACCGTCTTTGTTCGATGGCCAGGCAAAAGCCGCTGCTGCGAGGATGACCAGAGTTGCGTCATGGTTTATGTTACACTCTGGCAATATGTAAATTGCTCTCAACCACCTCAGCGTGAATACGTAATTAAAGAAACACACATAAACAAAAGAACTATTACGTTTGAGAAAAAAAATCTAGCACATCTTTTAAAGGATAAAACTCTTGCATCATATTAAATTTAGAACATAAAATATATATACACGTACATATATCTTAATTTGGAGATCACCTCTGTGGCTAATTACCCCTATTTTCTAAAGTGATGTTTTTACATAATTACCACTCAGAGAAAGTCAGGAGTACTTGCCCGGCTATGTACAATATATTCGAGTTATTCCCTGTACAACTAGTGACCATAATCAGCCACAAAAATAACATAGTGATGTTTCCAAGCTGCATGAAGATGTGACTTGGGGCACTCTGTGCAATATATCTGCAAATGCCTCATGCGTCCATATTGGCGGCATCATCTTGTGCAAGCAGATCCATCTCAACATTAAGGCCGCAATAATCAGATAGAGAGTAAAACCGCAGGGACAAAGAGAGACGTAGAGAGACACACACACACACAGGAGAGACACAAAAATACACAGAAGAGACAGATACAGAGTGAGACATGAAGAGAGAGATACAATAAGACAGACACAAAGAGTCAGACGCAGTAAGATACGTGGAGATAGACAGGAAGACACGGACGCCGATGTGCACACATCACTGTGAAGGTTCTTAATGCAGTGGAGCCCCTGTGCACATACATGCCCAGAATCAGAATATGTATTTATACTGGAGGAATCTGATGAGCTATGAAGCTCTCTCTCACAGATGCCTATTGATGCCCATGCTGCACATGTGTAAATTTTAACAAAACGCCCGATGCGTGCACAGATCAAATACAAGCACGCACACATCAAGGACAGAGGCCACCTGATCGGGTGCCACAGCGTCCACGAAGACCCGATGCTCGAGCACTGCGCCAAGGTGGGCAAGATGCAGAGCGACCTGGAGTACAAGAAGGACTTCCACAAGACCAAGACCAAGTGCCACCTGCCGCACGACATGCTCAACGTCGTCGCCGCCAAGAAGTACCAGGAGATGATCAGCGACATCCCCTACCGCACCTACCTGCACCAGTGGACCTGCATGCCCGACCAGAACGACGTCATCCAGGCCAGGAAGGCCTACGACCTGCAAAGCGACGTGAGTGCGCCCTCCGGTGTCACGCTTTTACAACGTCGCGATTGCTCAACGGGGGATCCCGAGTCCAATAGACACTGAGTGGTCAGCTCTCGCCTCTGTTAAAACGAAAGCAAACTTGGAACTAACTTGAACTTTGCAGCAGAAATATCTGCCCAAGGATACAACTGAAGTTGTTCACGATAAGGGAGGTGCGATAACTACAAAGATGATGGGAAGCTCTTCCCTTTTTCCGCAAGATTCCTCATATGCTGCCTTGACAGAGTATCACGCTAATTACTTCCACTCTGTTTCCATCCATTAATAAGTTGCAATTCTTTATAAGTCTAATGGAAATCACCTGATGTGAGTCAGTGAAGAATGTCTCAAGTTGTCATGGGGTGGCTGTATTATTGTTTTTCTTCCTTTTACATCTTCATGAGTGCGTTCATCCTGTTCTTTTGCAGTTTGTGTACAAGGCCGACCTGGAATGGCTCCGAGGTTGTGGATGGCTTCCCTCCGGATCTGTGGATGTGGAGAAAGTTAAAAGGGCACAGAATATACTCAATGATGTGAGTTGAATTTTTTATTTATTTTCTTGGCATCTCAGGCCACTCGTTGTTACAGAGTTGCATCATCAATTATTTACAACCTCGTCTTGACTTTCCCAATTATTATAACCAGTTATTATTACGTTGTCATCGAGATTAATTTATAATGGGAGAAATGCAAGTATTTAGTACTCATATTTGATTAGCATATGACTTGGCAACATACTTATATAAGGATAATGTATTAATTTCAATCAATAATATCCTTAAACTCACTCACACCACAAACTTACCCTGTGCTGACCGTAATACACCGAGTCTTTGTTGCTGATGTGCCCGTGCGCCACTGATACAGCACCAACGCTTTGTGCATTTGTCTTGTTCCAGAACAAGTATAAATCGGCGGCCCTGCAGGGCACGAGGAAATACATTGTGGTGACCGACACGCCCGCCTACCTCACTGCTCTGCAAAGCGGCATCCAGCTCAGCGATGTGAGCTCCATGTAAACACAATTAACAGTCAATGCCACGCGGTGAGAAGAGAACGTTCAAATTAATTCACAATAAAGCGTTTTTTTTTTAATTACATCGCGTAAATATAAATGTGTCGTTTAAAAAAACAACAACTTTATTATGGCTAATATTGGTCGCGAAAGCCTATATGTTAAACTGATTAAAATTATGCTTTGTTCTTTTAATGTGTGCATAATTAGGTGCTCTTCAACCAAGTTTGTTTTTAAATCTAGCGGCTTCGGAGCAATGACGAGGCGGGCGGTATGCCTTTGATTTGCAGGTGAAATACAAGGAGGCCTTCAACCTGGAGAAAGGGAACAGCCACATGTCACCGGACGCCCCGCAGTTCAACCTATCACGCGAGGCCTCCAAGCTGTGCAGCGAGGTCCCTGCAGCGCCGCCATCCACACGGAGGGCTCATACATCCTCTCCACACTCGGATGTGCAACACATAACATTAGTATTATTATTCGTAAAATAGATTTTTTTTTTTGGTACTGTAATGATCTGGAAAAATGTACCACCGTAGGACTTTCCACCACCCGACACAGCCAAATAAGTTAAATTGTCACATGTGCACGCGACAATATTTTCTGTCTCAGCTCTCCGGCCCGTAAGTTGAAGAACAATCCTCACAGCGAAATTCGTCAATTATAAACGAAGTTCTGCTTCAAACTTTGCCCAGCATCTTCAGGAGAAGATCAAGGAAGTCGTAATACAATGCATGAAGTCAAAATTATATTATTACTTATATAGCTAACACAAATATAAACTTTGGCAGTTGGAAAACTATTGTTCAGATAGGGTTCAAGGTAAAGCTTTTCTTATACATCTTATGACCTATAAGTAAATTCTGGACCTTGACTGTTCAAATATAGTAGCCGCCCTTTTAATTACTGTGGGTGCATTAAGAATAGGTCATTGCTGAAAATTACAAACAAAAAATACCCGCACTATCTCACTCTTTCGGTATTTTACCAGGTAAGGCCGACTGAGCTATTTTGGCCACAAATGATAGCTCAACGAAGTGACTTATCATCACGTGGACATTTATAGCAGCCAAATACTCTCCAACGCATGTTTCATAGCAATAATCTTCTACATAGCAATAATATACTGCAAAAACCTGGCAGGACCCTCCTGAAAGTCCATGGGACTCGGCGAGGTTTTTCTGGGTAAACACATACTATAATAATAGAATAAAAATTTTTAATATATGAATTGAGGCTTAGAGCTATATTTCACCAATTAGAACATTTGCCCAAAATCTACAGAAAATAAGTAGGCCCTCATGGATATACGTCAATCGCAAAGACCATGAACGTCTCTGGGTAATTCATTACAAAGGACGAAGCCAGGTAAAAGGGATCACGGACGCGGTTGCACTGTGAGTGAGTGCAACAAAAATTCAGCGCAACGTTGCATATCCGTCACAAATCTGCCCTCACTAATTAACTGCCCGCACCCAGCACACCCAGCAATGTGTTCTTGATCTCACGTACATTCGCTTACTCCTGAAGCACAGCACCGCACAGATTATTTGGGCTGCTATACATTTAAAGTTAAAAGCGACTTCTATGAGATATCATTTGCGGCCAGGTCGCTTCTAAAAAAAAATCAAATAGCTCAGTGGGCTTTAACTGATAAGATAAAAAAAATAGTTTAGTTTAATTTGTATACTTTTTAAAGTGAATTGTTTACCTTTTCAATACTTTGCACTCCTATAGTTTTTTTGTATTCTTTGTTGTAACGTTCTGACCTCGTGGCCCCTACTGGATGTCTGTGAAAAAGAGCTTCATAGCTCATCAGATTCCTCCAGATTAAATTAATATTTTTGTTTTGAGGTCGTTTCTGAAAAAGAGCTATATAGCTCAGTGGGCCTTAACTGCTAAAATAGAAATAGATTAGTTTAGCATGTTCACATGGTTAAAGCAGTCGTTTGCACTTCACATTTGTCCGGTGACCTCTGTGAGCACGACGGTGTGTGCAGCGCCAATGTTCTGTCAACGTTCACATATCCGACCTTTTCACATATCCACCGTAAGCTAGGTACCCAGAGTGAGTAGTCGGATGTGCCACATTGCGCCCTACCTCCTGGCACCAACTGCAGTAAACCTTGAGACATTCCACATCACAAATAGACACTGTGGCTTCCACCTCGGATGTCGCTTATCACTGTGAGCCAATGTTGATAAAATGCTGCTGATGTTTTACTTCCCTGTCTCCACTACATCGTTACGCTGCACGGCAGTAAGTGGCGGCGTTTTTGGTTCCTCTGGCATTACAGAAGCTGTACAAGGAGAGCTGGGACAATGTGAAATCCACGGGCTACATCCTCCCTGTGGACTACCTGCCTCTGGTCAATGCCAAGAACATACGAAACAACAGTTTGGTGAGTCGCGGACTCTCAACCTGGGGGGACTGGGAAGGGGGAGACGGGTTTAGAACAGGCATTGACACCAATGCAAGCGACATCGAGAATATTATTTATTGCTTTACGGACGTGCACATTATTTCACTGCGCCTGTAACAATTGTATTGATTCACCAAATTAAAATCGATTCTCATGCTCATGATGTATTTGTCCATCGAATTGTGTGCATGGGAACTGATTAATTAAAATGTATGCAACATTCTCTTTGCAAATGGCGTTCCAGTGTAACATTTAAGTTTTAGTGACTGAACTTGAATGTACAAATTTAGACATACATTTTTGTTAAAAAATACAAACGAGTTGGTAAGATGAGCCAAAATATAATCGAAAATATAAAAATATAATCGAAAAGTATATAATCGATTCTTGAATGAAAATTGGATTCTGACGATTAATAAAATTGCTGAAGGATTGAATAGTTGTGTCTAGTATTTACCATGATTGCATAACATTATTTATTGAGGCAAAGTTTCATTGACCTTAATCATATATTGATGAGTTGTTCCATATAATTTTTTTTTATTTCAAATATCCTTGCTGGACGGTTGAAATTGGACAGAGGTCCTCAATTAATTCGTGGCACTGAAACCCTTGACACAACCGAGTTTCGCCACGACCCCCTGAGCCATCCACCCGACTTATTTTCATCCTCCCTCGCAGAAATCTATTGGTCACGTGCACATTTGGAGTTATCAATTTTGTCCTGAGGGGGTGGTGGGGGGGGGGTGTGTGAGTTGAGAGGCACAGGTCTTAAGCTCTGGTGGACTTGGAACAGGCGCGGGGGACTTGGTGGATGACCTCGGCACCCCTGTTTTGCGTCTGTGCAGCTGAAGTACAAAGAGGAGTATGAGCAGACCAAGGCTCACATCCAAGGGATGAAGTCCATGAAGGAGTTCCCATCGGTCGCGCTGCTGCTCAACCTCGCCAAGAACAGGAGCCAGGTTCGTGTTGGCGTCACGGCGCAGTCTCGTTCACGGCAGAATTCAATCCACGGCCGACTTTTAGGAGACACTCGGAGGCCCCCCCGCGTCTTTCTGAAAGGCCCCCCCCCATCGGCACTCGCCTGGCATTCGAGCGATGCTGAGCTTGGCTCTGCCTCCCGAAGCCACGGTCATTTATGTCCGTAAAATACTGTGCGCTTTACAAATTGCGTGATTATTTGTATTTATTTTTTATTATTATACCACCGTATAGCTCAAATGCAGCAATTTACCACCGTTAGAAATACTGCATTATTTAAAATAAATATATAATTAGTTAGCGTTTCTGTCAATGGCTCTTCTTTGTGGCTTGACAAGTCTGAGCGGTCTTTACGTGAAAATGTTAAATAAAAGGAATGCAGCAACTAGTCTCATTCATAGTTCCCATAAATGTGTGTATTGTTCCCATCTGTGAAAAAGTGTTGGACTTACCTGTGTTAGATGGTAAGTTGTGTTTATGAGAGGTCACAGCTGCATAATTGCCTTCTTAATATTGATGCGAAACCACAGATGTGACGGTATTTCCTTCTCTCTTTACATCTTTAAAATCAAAAGATTGAGAAATGTATTTCACTCATCTTATTCACAGCCAAAGTGTCTCCATTTTCACATTACCACATCCAGTGGTAAAACATTATACATTCCTATGGAGGGGGTCATTCCTGCTACGTGTAATGACTGCTCTTAACTTCCTGATTTTCTACAAAGTCGTACTCAATTTCTTAATCCATGAAGGAGGATATGCTATGTCAAACAACTGTTTTTAAGTGAGTGGTATATGGCATTATATATTTAATATAAACACACTTCACTGAAAGCAGAGACAATGATGCTCATGCTTGTATAAATCTCAGCTGCTCTAAGTTTTATGCATTTTAAGCTCTTGTGAGTATTTGTGAAGGTATATTCGGTACCTTTTGTATATGTGGTGATATTTCAGCCACTAAGCTAAATGCATGCTGAGCTTTGAGCTCAACATTGTTGGACATAATCCTTTTAGCAAAACATATTCAACACATCTATTGCAATGCAGTGTAAATGAGATGTATTATAGAAGTGTGACAAAGTGATGTTTTGTACGTAGAGATGGGCGCATTCTTGAATGGTTATGTTTGAACACCATCAGACAAATTCACGAATACCAGGTTCATATGACCACATGTAATTTTCTTGCCTTTTCAGTATATTATAATTTTCTCTTGAAACAACGTAAAGGTATTTTTTGGGTTAGATCACGTGAATATACATGTGTCGTTAAACCCGCCACCATCCGACACAGCTAATTAGTAAGGTTTGTCACGTGAACAAAATGTGCCAATTAGGTTTCTACTTCAGCACACAAGTGTGTTAGAGAGTAAACCCACAGCATGTACAATTTTAGTACAACTTATAACTGAAGTCAGTGTTAACTGTCAGGATTGATGAAGGGGACAGAAAGAATTGCTTAAAACATCTTTTCGTAATTCCCTCAACATTTGCCGTGAGCAAACCCAATTCAGCTGCAAGTTTTCAAACTGAAATTCGAATGACGCGCCCGCGATTTAAGACCAAGGCAACCTCGCCGTGCAATGCCGCTCGCTTTCAGCTGGAGTACACGAAGGGCTACGAGAAATCAAAATCCAAGGTCCACATCCCGGCGGACATGCTGAGCAACCTGCAGGCAAAGAAGTGCCAGCAGATCCTCAGCGAACTGGAGTACCGCCGTCACCTGCACCAGTGGACGTGTCACCCCGAGCAGAATGAAGTGCTGCAGGCGCGCAAGGCCTACGACATGCAGAGCGACGTGAGTGGCGCCGTGCCTGTATCAACGCCGCTTACAACGTCGCGCTTGCTAAACGGAGGATCCCGAGTCCTGTGAACACCGAGCGGTCAGCAACAACGACGGGTACCACTTGAGCCCTCGCCTGGTTAAAATTAAAAATAACGTAGCAACTCACTTGAACTTCGCAGCAGAAATATCTGCTCAGAGGTACAACTGAAATTGTTCACGATGAGGGAGGCGCGATAATGGCAAAGACGACGGGAAGTTCTTCCCATCTGCCGCACGACTCTTCATATGCAGCCGTGCCAGAGCCTCACACTTGTTAATTAAACTCTGTTTCCATCCATTATCAAGTTGCAAATTTTTTAAGTCTAACGTCAAACAATTTTCGCTCTCAGTTCTGCAGCACTAATGGTGATTGGGATTCGAAAGAGGCCTCCAAATGTTGTCAGTGACTTTAAAAAAAACGAACGCACTTGTTGATAGCCTCAGCCAGATAGCCACACAACAGGGCAAAGCCTCTTCAAGGGTATTTATGATGAGTGTCCAAACAGTGTCTGAGTTGCTACATGCTTCCCAGCTGAAACAGTGATACTCACAGGTATATTCTTTCCATGTCTCTACCCTTAATTTTTCTCTCTTCCACTTATCCTCCTCATCTTTACATATATTACATCACTCAAAGAACATCTACCAATCCAAGGCATTGCCTTGTGCATACCATAGGCCTCGAAGGCCAACACCTTTCTTTCCATGTGGTCATTTGTTTTTAAAGTGGATGTTTGTTTTTATGTGTGAAGTAGTTATTCATACCTTAATTCATTATACCATAGCTATTATTTTTGATGTAAAAGAAGCAGCTTATTATTTATGTAGTCATGAAACATGTTTACAGAGTAATGTACAATATTTAACAAGTAGTCAGTTAAACATTGTATAATACGAAACATTTTTAAATGACGAGAAAACCCCACCGCAGCAGAAAACAATACCTAGCTTAGAATACTTGTGTCCTTTACGTTTGCTTTTTTTTTTACAGATCCTGTACAAAGACGACCTGACTTGGCTGAAGGGAATTGGCTGCAACGTTTATGAAACACCCGACATCATGAGGGCCAAGAACGCCTGTGACCTCATCAGTCCCGTGAGTACCCTTGGCGACTCGGTACTTTCTAATGGGTCGTATTTGCTTCCGATATTAACCCTCTTGTGCTATTGCGGTCAGTTCTCGAGGTGATTAATCATTTTGTAACTGTCACAGAGCAGTGCAACCACCCTCTCCCTCCCCCCTTGGTAGAGAACAGTCCACGGAAGCAGATATCACAGAAATGCTTCTGAGATCCCTTCAAGCGACACCGTACAAGGGGCAGTACCGCTAGATGGAGTGATGTTCCTTGCATGACAGTCAGAACCAATGTTTGTAATTCTCAAGAGCTGGAACTTAGCCATATGAAGTGCAAAAGCTAATTTAACTTGGTGGATTTTTAATACGGTTCTTAGGGGCCGGGCTGACACCATCAACTCACTACCCTTGAGAACTTAGTTTAATCACAGGCAGCTGCCTGGATTCATTCCCAGCGGTACTAGCTCAGCGCTTGGAGTTCTGAGCCACCCGGCCTCCTCCCTTTGTCACTCAAACGTATACTCATACACTGCACGTATATGTCTGTGAAACATGTAATTACACGAGGTACTAAACCCTCTGTTATCAAAGCAGCGTACCTGTCAACCCCTTATCAGTGCCTACCTTATTACAGACCAATTCAGACCTTATTGGTCACCCCGTGCCCTTTTAAATCTCAACGTTCATTCTACAAAGACCCATCACAAGGGAGAAACACAAACAAATAGACAACATTTTTTTACTCCCTATACAAGAATATGGGTAACCGTATGGGTTGACAGGTATGAAGCAGCCTAACATGTAGATTGGAGATCCTGATTGTAAGAAATGTTTTGAAACATTTATTTTTCACAAACAACATTTGTTGATAAATTCACTTTGGAGAAGCGTCCACTGACTAACAGTCGCACACGCGTGCGCGAGGATTATCGAATGCTGCTCGTGAACAGAACGTACTCGACGCCAGCCTCCGAGCCGCGGTTTTGTTTGTGTGTGCGTCTGCCTTCACGCTCTGCAGAACAAGTACAAGGCGGCCGCCATTGAAGCCACAAAGCAGTACAGCGTGGTGACCGACACACCGGCCTACATCACCGCCCTGCGCTGCGGCCACCAGCAGAGTGACGTGAGTCACCGCTCGCGTCACCGCTCGCGTCGCCGCCAGCCGCTCCGTACCGCCGTACTGAGCTGCCCCGTGCCGTCGGTCCGGGGAAAATGGCCGAATGGCCGCGCAAATGAAACGTGACGCGGTGATCCCAGCCCGTGGGCCAGTGGCCATCAATACGTGCGGTCATATCGGCCTGCAAAAAAAAAACACTGGAATATTATGGGAGTCGTAGATATCACGTAAACTGTTCCCTTGCACAAGTAGTGCAGTATCTCTTTCCCTAGCTCCTAAGAATGTAGATGTTGTTGAGAGTTACCTTACAAAGGAGTAACTTTAGTTGATTTCTCAAATACACTTTGAAATTGGAATGTATTACCTCATTCGTAAACATTCACGCTGAAGCAATTGATTTCGTCCGTGGGTATATATCACTAAATGACAATTGTGATGTCAGTGACTCATGTAGAATCCTCACGACCGAATGCGAATTAGGTCAGTGTTTTAAGAGTTCGGCTGAAAATAATTTGGGCATCCGTTCAAGAGAAGAGCCGTTCAGGAGTCGGTTTGTCAGTCATCTACATGCAAGTGAAAATATCGATAATGCATTATTGTTAAATTACCCAAGGTGCACATATAGCACGTACGGGGTGAATGGTTTAGAAGAAAACGATATGGCACTCGTTGCAGTCGGGTCAGGAACTGCATTTGCAGAGAGATGCTAACAGACTCATTGGAAAATATATGATGATATCCATTGATGTACCATGTTAGATACTCCTAGACTCGAATGGCGAGCCAAAGCTATAGTATGGTGAATGTGTCAAACGCTCTGTAATCAAGTAACACGCAGTGCATGGTAAAACTTAACAAGAACAGCCACTGTACTGTGGTTTGGTTAGTAACCACGCTGGGGTGTTTCTAAGGTGGGGTGACTTTGCAAGTAAGTTGGGGTTTGCTCACATCCTCTGACATGTTATGTACATTTGAGCTTAGAAACTCGTGATAATTATTGTTGCAGCAGCGGCAGTTTAAAACCCAAAAAGGTTGTATAGTGAGTATTGTACCAGCTTGCTTAGATGCACCTCGGCATAGCGCACTCAATAGAGTATAAGGGTCAAAGAGGTTTACCAATGTTGATGTCAGGTCATCGCAATCCATGAACGCAACATGAGAGTTGCCCACGAGAAGTGGCCTGTTGTTCCTGATGCCTCCCCACCGTCTTGCTTCCTCCCACAGAACAAGTACAAACAAGCGTTCATCCGTGAGCGCGGGAAGTGTGTCATACCCTCGGATTCATTGGCCAACGTACACTCGTCGGACGTTCAAAAGCTCTTCAGCAATGTGAGGTTAACCCCATGCGTGCACACACGCGTGCTGGTGGTCACACGAGCAGCCTTGAGCCGCAGCACCTGAACGACGACGGTTTTTTTTTCTTCTTCATTTTGGTCAAACTTTTACAACAGGATCGTAGAACGACACTTCCCAAAGCTCCAAGAGTCCATGGGATATTCGTCACGTTTAAGATACTTATGCGGATGTGAAGCTATAATCCATCATATACCGTAACTTAAGCATAATTTATTTTTCTCTTTATTCAGTCACACGTGCAACCGTGTCACTTTCTGCCCATGTGACTGGACACTCCATGAATTCACACTGATGATCAATTATCCAGTGTTATACGTTAAATTGAAGCTGGTTTGTCAATTAACTTTATTTTAGTATCGATTAACCTACACAAGCATGCATTCGTAAAAAAAGTTCATACATTTTTGTATGTATTGCTACGTAAGATTTATTGTCCAATCTGAATGTGTTTTGTCATTCCTTTTCCCACGTGGCTATCTTGATTGTCCACCTGATCACCTCTTCGCTGCTCTTAATATTGCGCCATGTCATCTGTATGTATGTATGTATGATTAAGTTATTTCACACCGTACGTAGCCAACCGCGCTGATCGGAGGTGCGGGGAAAGGACAACAAACTAAACAAAAAAAGCAGTTCTAAAGAAATGCATTTTAATCCAGATTTAAAAGTGCATAGCTCCAGTGGCTTCCTAATATCGAAGGGAAGGGCGTTCCAGACGGCCGCAGAAGTTTTTGTTTGATGGTTATCCAAAGGTTTGCATACCTGTCAACCCATACGGTTCAACAGTATTTTTGTACAGGGAAATTGAGTTTACAGGTCCATACGGGCAAAAAAAATACATTTTTTAATACATTTGTTTGTGTTTCTCTCTTGTAATGGGACTTTGTAGGATGAACTTTGAAATTTATAAGGGCACGGAGTGACCAATAAGGTCTGAATTGGTCTCATAAGGTAGGCACTGATGAGGGGTTTACAGGTATGGGTTTGATAGTTAGCGTGTGTAATGGGGCTCACCATGTTACAATGCTGTGAATATTCTCACCACGATGAGTTTTTAATCTAGATTTAAAAATGCAAAGCTCCAGTGGCTTCCTAATATCGAAGGGAAGAGCGTTCCAGACGACCGCAGAAGTCTTTGTTCGATTGTTAGCCAGAGGTTTGATGGTTAGCGTGTGTGCGCCCGTGTCACGGGGCTCGCCATGTTACAATGCCGTGGATATTGTCGTCACGATGAATCTTCAATCTACATTTAAAAGAGCAAAACTCCAGTGGCTTCCAAATATCGGACGTTAGATCGTTCCAGACGGCCGCAGAAGTCTTTGTTCGATGGTTAGCTTGCGTACGCCGTGAAATGGGGCTCACCATGTTACAATGACACGGATATTGTCGTCACTGTTGACCGTGCGCCACGGATGGATGCAGAACCTGTACAAGGAGGCGTGGGATCAGGTGAAGGCCTCCAGCTACAGCATCCCCAGCGACTCGTGGGCCTTCGTCAGTGCCAAGGACCAGAAGGAGCACAGTGACGTGAGTGGAGCTGCCACTGCCGAGACAGACACGGCGCATCACCTGACAAGAGGCCAACGCCAGCGCCCTTGCCAGCGCAGTACCTGCTTCACCGTTTTGCTTCAGTGTCAGAGCTGATTTTTTTAAAAATAACTACCAGAAGTCAAGCCAAGTTAGTTTATTTCGCCTCGCCTTATGAACGTGTTCTTCATCTCTTGTCAGCTTGATCTTATCAGTATTGTCTGAGTTCAATATTGTTTTCCAATTTCAAATTAGAAGTTTACAGTTTGTTATTTCATATTTTGGCTTTAGTCATATGAACGTACATTTTTTTATCCATCTTTTCAGTTTAACTTTTTTTTAGGTTAAATTTTTCACGCTTGGATAATTTCAGGATTGTTAGAATGATTATTTATTCATCACATAACAATACAGTAGAACCCCTCTTAATGAATACCCCTGTTCACGACTGATCGCTTAACGACGGGCATCCATAGAGCCCAATGTGTAGTGTATAGTGTAGAGTAGTGTAGGGTATAGTGGTGTAGTGTCTCCATAGGGTCCAATGTGTTTGCTTACCGACCATTCCCCTGTTAACGATGGGCTGTTGTAGCTACAGTAAATATGAATTAATGCATTTATTACCAATGTTTCGTTTAATATGATGTGTTGATAATGTTTTTCGTATCTTTTATGTATTAATATCCATTGTTGCTATCGGAACGAATTAAGGCTTTAACATGTATTTCCTATACTCGCTTAGCGACCAAATCACTTAAATACCAGTTACATGGAACCAATCACCGTCATTAAGAGGAGTTCTACTGTAACTGAAAGTGGAGCGTTTCTCACCCTGGGTTTTGTCGAGCTGCACAAACAGTGTCATCCTGTGCACCTTCAAGCTAAACGCAGCCGCCAGGCTCAAGTCCCGAGCGTACGTAAACCCCTCGCCCGTGCATGCCTCTCTGCAGCGCAAGTATCGGGAGGAGTACGAACGGATGAAGGCCCGCTACTGCCTGCCGCGCTCTCTACAGGAGGACCCCAAGGCTATGCAAGCCCTCAAGGCCTACCAGATCCGCAGCAACGTACGCAAGCATTTTCACCATTTCACTCGCCCGCGTGTTGACCATCAAATATATTTTGCAATGTTGGGCCAACGTTGGCATGGGCGTTGGAACCGTTGGACCAAAGTTGGCCCAACGTTGGACCAACGTTGGCTTGGGGTTGGAACTGTTAGACCAACTTCGGCCCAACGTTGGCCAAGCGTTTCCACATTTAACGCGTATCGGCCACACCGGGACCTGTCAGTTTATTTTGAAAGGTCAAACAACAATAAGAGCTTGATTTGAATGTCCAAATAAACACACGCGTACACGTAGATGTGCTGTGTAACCAAAATGAATTTTATGGTTACGTTGACACAGAAACATACAAACGTGGGCTAAGTATTTGAATTACACAACCATTGCAATGGGAGAGTTTACAAAATCGGTCGTATGCAACAGAATGCTTCGTTACCTTTAACTGTAGTGACAGGTGATATCAGAGATACAGTTTAATAATTAAAGTAGATACATATTTAAAAAATATATTTTATGTACACGTCATCGTACACCTTGCCTGTAACATGGAACCTCCCGTCGTGGCATGTGGTAGCAGATACGCAATTCATACGTCGCAGTATTCGTGATATTTTTGTGCCGGCATAACACGTAAACCTGCCCTCCATGATGGCAGAGAGAGCTATTGAAGGCATCCTGTCCATCCGAGAATTTGACATTACGAACAAGCGTGGCATCTACAGCCAATGGACGTTAATCTATTAAGGCTATACGGGAGTGGGGACGTTTTGTCTTTTGTTGGCGGGCAGATCCTGTACAGAGACACGTATGAGAAGAACAAGGCGCGCGTGCACATCGCGCCTGACATGTTCGAGATGGTGGGCGCCAAGGCCACACAGCGCATGGTCAGCGGCATGGACTACCGCACGTACCTCCACCACTGGGTGTGCAAGCCAGACCTGGCAGTCTTCAGCCACGCGCGTAAGGTCAACGAGCAGCTGAGCGACGTAAGTCTCTGTGTGTGTTCTTTAGCACACGCGTGCGTGCACACACGCATGGCGTCCATTTGCCTTTTTTTATGCTCTGTTGAAGAGTGAGGGAGCGTACGCGTGAATTTGTGTGTAACTTTAGTTTAGAATCGTACGCACATATACATGTTGCACTTCTTTCGCGCTGTACGTAGCCAACCATGCTTATCGAAGGTGCGGTGAAACGACAACACACTAATCACAAAAAATAAATTATAAAGAAATTAGTTTTCAATCTAGATTTAAAAGTGTATAGTTCCCAGTGACTTCCTAATATCGGAAGGAAGAGAGTTCCAGATGGCCACAAAACCGCATCTGAATGCGCACGATGTAGTGACCGTCTTTCTTTGATGGCTAACTAAAAAATCGCTGTGAGGATAACCAAGAGTTTGCTTGATGGTGTATGCTCCTTGATGAGATCAGCATGGTAAAGCATTGTGGTTAAAACTATTTACAGATCCGAGAAGCATCCTTTTTTTTTTTACCTGGTGATGCACAACTCTGGTGGCAATTTGTACCCACCAGGTGTGAGCCTCCTCGAGGTTGATTCAGCGGCGTAAGGTCCACATTATCCCTGGATAGCCAAAGACAATCTAACCCAGTGCTCGCCGTACCACTCCTGTCAGTGGCCCTAGTCTGTTAACCCACAATATATGTTGAACTTCTTTTACACCGTACGTAGCCAACCGTGCTGATAATGGCCTGTTTCCTCTTGTCAGTGCGCTTGCACAAGTCCAATCCACGCGGCCTCAAGAGTGAACCCACCCAGCCTCGCGTAGATAGCTCGGTGACATCGCTGCCGTGAAGTGGCAAACTGCAGCTGTTGTTTGAGGCATTGTTCACGTATAGGTGTGTTGAGGTGGTAAAAATGTGTAATAGATAGATGTATAAATGCACATAAGCTGGATATCCACAAGCGAATGATGCCTACAAACAAATGAATTAATTCTACCTTCATTGAAACTAATGTATCAGGTGGTCAGTGGTGACCGTACGTTTGGAATAACTAACAGCAACACCGCCCCCGCACGGGCAGAGTGATGCCCACTTGCGTGGTGTGTGCCTTGTCACCTTGTACCGCACAGGGACAACAGTCTTAAGCGGGTCCCCTACGCTAAAAAAAAAGTAAAAAAACTATAGCTGAGCATTGGAATGTTTTGAATGAGATGTGTTGTAAGGGGCCTTGTGATGCTGCTGCATTTAAGTGCCGAACAAATGGAAATCCTCATCCTTACTTTGCTAACCGTTTGCGTGACATTATATTTTCAGGTGTATTACAAAGACGATCTCAGCTGGATCAGGGGGGTCGGTGTGGCATTGTGGGACACACCAGAAATCAAGCTCGCCAAGGAAGCGTACAACAATCGCAGCGATGTAAGGCCCACCTCCAGAAACACATGGTCACGTAAACACATTCATCACTTTTTTATATTATTTGTTTTTAAGAATCTGTGAGAAACTGGTAAATGCCCACTCATACGAAAATGCGTTAGCTCGTATGAGATTGGTTTAAAAAAATAAGTTTGGTTCATCATTCTGGCACCATTGTGACTAATGTAACATACTTGAAATTCAGATACATCAATCTGCACCTTTGAAGCTAATGTAAAGGGAAATTACTTTCAAACTTCCACAGACGTAGACTATAAATAGCTATTGCTAACATGTGCGGTATTCTGTGAATATGGCTATGTGATATGAGTTGATCAGATGTGTCGTTTTCCAAATATTTAGAATAAACATTGGTCCTCTTAAGAGTGCTTAGGGTGTAACATGTGTTCTTAAATGGCTCTGACGCCTCTGCCTACAATCAACTGAGCGCATATTTTAGGGGTTTACGTTCTTGGAAACAGTGACAACCAAAAATAGACAACATCACAATGGAAATGTCGAACCGTGCGAAATATCAAAATAAAACTAAATACTTAATAATTGAAAGAAAATATAAAAACCCGTTACAAAAAAACATTCCAAGACAATAAATAGTCATATGAATACTGAATAGATACTGTACTTACAAAAGGCCAAAACTAACCCCCGCAGCTTAATTGGTATGGAGGTAGGTTGCCTACGATAGGTCGAAACCGCGAGCGATAAACACAAAATATATAAGGGTCTCCTGTGACGTTGTGACGGTGTGCAGGATGGACGAGGAGAGATTTTACTGAGACAGCCATTTTTGAGTGACGCCCAGAGGTCAGAGGTCATGGGGGCTGACCTCAAGCCAGACGGCGGTGGTATGACTGTAACCGCTGAACGTGTACCAGCTTTCAGCACCTTGCAGATCGAGTGGAAGAATAAGTGACGACAACATTGCGGTGTCATCAATGGCGGTGAAATTGACGTTTGTTTTGTTCTCCATCCTTTAACCCCCTTGGTGCCTGGTGCCACAGAACCAATACAAGGCTAAGGCGTGGGAGACGATGTATAACTACACGCAGGTGGATGATGCTCCTGAAATCAAGCAGGCAATTATCAACGCCAAGCAGCTGAGTGACGTGAGTAAACATACGCAGACTCCTTCGCACTCTGCTTTGATTTCCCCCCCCCCCCCCCCGACATCCCATTATAGGCACCCCAGATGTGTATTCCAAATACTTTAATTAATATTTAATTTGCTCTTGACACATTATTTATATGATATATTCTTCCCTTGTTTCTGAATGAATCGTTTTAAAAGCAACTTTGCAAGATGTATGTATGTTTAACTTCTTTCGCACCGTATGTAGCCGACCGTGCTAATCGGCGTTGCGGGGGAAGGACAACAAACTAAACACAAAAAGCAATTTTAAAGTACTGAGTTTTCAATCTAGATTTAAAAGTGCATAGCTCCCCAGTGGCTTCCTAATATCGGAAGGAAGAGCGTTCCAGACGGCCGCAGAAGTGCATCAGAAAGCGCGCGATGCGGTGACCCTTTTTGTTAGATGGCTAGCCAAAAGCCACTGCTAAGCCAGAAGCCAAGATTAGTTTATTTGTCCTACATCCCTTTTGCCAGTGCTCACGTTGCTTTTCCGTTGCATCATGGCCAGCAAGGACGTGCGGAAGACCGGTGACGCTTGCCTGCATTTTAACATTATTTTCTCATCTCCCTCTAATCCCTGCAGCTGAACTATCGCCACAGCTACGTGAACCACATCCGGGGTCACGTCACGTCGATCAAGAACACGGTGGAGTTGGACCGTGCGCGCAACGCAGCCCTCATACAGAGCGAGGTGAGGCCCTACAACGCCTGTCGTTTGGAGCGGCACGGCAGGAGGCAGGGCCACCGTTAGCTGCCCTTAGCCAGGCTACGCCGCATGCGGCCTCTCAAGCAGCACCGTGGCTGGCGGCAGTGAGGGTTGGTGGATCGCACAAATTCGTGAAAAACTTTCTGGCAGTTTAGCTGGAGGATTAATTTACTGCTGTATACCATTCGTGCAGCGAATGAGAGTTATCCCCTATCGCGCATCTGGGTTTTCTCCGGGTACTTTGGTTTCTTCTCACGTATGTATGTTGAACTTCTTTCGCACCGTACGTTGCGGGGGACGAACAACAAACTAAACACACTCACTCATGCAGTTGGCCAAACATCCCAATATAGTATCACAGAGCTTGGATAATTGTTGACACCGGATGTGACTGAATTCCCTCGAGTCTGTGGTTTCCATGCCACTGAATTATTCTCATTCTCTCAGAGAGTGAACGTAAACTGTGTGCGTTACAAACTGTAAACTATTATTACTATTCTACTCATAGGCCAGGTTTCGATGGCGCACACACCTGTAATGCAGTACCTCGGAGGCAGGAGTGGGTGCATCATGTCGACTTTTCAACCATACCTACCCGTTGGGGCGGTGAGGTGGCCAACTAGATCGCAGAACATCCGAATGGTTTAGCGATCCCATCTGTGCAATCATTTCAGTTGTATACCCTCACATGCAGGGGGAGGTTTTCTCCCGGGTACTGCAGATTCCCTTCCACGTGCAAAACATTATTTCAAAAGGAGTAATGCCAAACGTCCCATTGTTGGGCCTTCCTGACAAGGAGTCCTGGCACACAGTGAGGAGGCGTTCCTTCTGTTGTCTATATTTCTTCCTCGGCACCTTACTCATAACGCAAGTCGAAGGTGATTGCACTCGCGATGGTTTAGTAATAGTAAATAATAAATTAAACAATTTCGCGAGCGGCAAACAAAAACAGCCTTTCAGCAACAACAACAACAACAGTATTTCAACTGTCAAAAGCGTGTTCTACTTAACGCCCCCCCTCCACCCCCCATGTTGATGTCACGCGCAAGTTTTTCCACACGAGGTAAATATAATAAATTGATATTATTGTTATTGTTGTTACTGTGCTCTAACCGCCGCGTGCCGTGTGCCCCAGTTTCTGTATCGGAACGCCAGTCGCAAGGCCCTGCCCTCTGGCTACACAATCCCCGTGGACATGCCTCTCTACGTGCAAGCCAAGAAGGCCGGCAACATCCTCAGCGATGTGAGGCCCACAGCCTGTCAACTACCTCAGTACACAGCAGCAGCAACAACAACAAGCACACTTTCAACAACAACTACCGCAGCACACACACAACACCTTCAACAACAACGGCCACAATACACACACAATAACAACTGCTACAGCACACACACACACAACACCTTCAACAACAACGGCCACAATTCACACACAGTAACAACTGCTACAGCACACACACATACACAACACCTTCAACAACAACGGCCACAATACACACACAATAACAACTGCTACAGCACACACACACACAACACCTTCAACAACAACGGCCACAATACACACACAATAACAACTGCTACAGCACACACACACACAACACCTTAAATAACAACTACCACAACAGACACAACAACACCTTCAATAGCAACTAGCACAACACACACACACAATAACAACTACCGTAACACACACACCTTCAATAACAACTCCAGCAATACACACATAAAACAACACGCACAATACCTTTAATAACAATTACCGCAACATACACACACACTCACAGGAGCTCCTCGCACTGCACATCTTTGGAATGTCATCGTCTCTCTCATTCGCAAAGCTCTCATAGCCTCGCTCAATTCAAGGAGTGCATTTTTCTCTTATCTACGACACCTTCAATCATGCGCTGTTTGTTGCTGGCCGCTGGGCGTGTTGGGGCGTTTTGGACCTGTTCTCCGCAAGCGCAGATTAAAGCATCAGCAATGGCTCCTGCAGCTGCACACAGGGCAAGAGAATCAGCTGCAGCGGCCTTGTCTGTAAAATGCATAAATGGACAATGACCACGACAGTTATGGACCATCGCAGCATGCGGTGCTGTTCATAAAACAAACAGAACAAAAGCAAATGATCAGATCTGTACATTACGAGAGAGAGCCACCATAACAGGAGTAGTGTGAATGTGGCCACTCCACGTGTATGTTACCCAGAGGCAGCAGTGAGCATCGGTGACTACACTGTGCTTATGAGCCATATGAAAGATGAAGCCGGTAAACAGTTGTCTATCTCTGTATCGCGGTCGCCTGTGAGTCGGTCACAGTATTTTTACGGTGACCAAAGACAAGACGACCACAATGCATTTCTTCAGGAAATGCTGATGGTTTTTTGCCTAATGCACCATAAGCCTTGGGCGCTGTTTACACGTGTCTGCGTGTTGTTTCAACCTTCGCGGCAATGTACTTGCAAAAAACAAACACAGCAGAGACATCTATACTCTTTCAGCATAAACCACAGCACCGCTGGCCTCAATAACACCACCACTGACAACAAGTGTACCAGATACAACAAATTCACAGTTTTATTTACTGAAAATTTGAACAAAAACAGATGCATTTGCGACCGCGGTCGCGTTACCAAGTGAAAATCCCGTAGGGGTTTCTCCGTTACTCACCGCAGCTCCCATGTACCCACAGCTCAAGTACAAGGAGACCTACGAGAATAACAAGGCCAAGATGTACCACCTCATCCCCGACGCGTGGTTCTTCCGCAGCGTGCAGAAGGCTGAGAATGTGCAGAATGAGGTATTGCCAAAATCCGGGCCGACTCGGGCCCCACAAACGCTCCTCTCTACGCTTGCCTCTGGGATGCTCACACACGGGATGCTGTTTGCGAAAGAATGACAGGGCCCCGTAGCTGGACGTCTTGGCGCCCTGGGGAAAGGTGCATGTGCCAGCACTGAAATATTTGATCCCCTCTGAGCCGTTCTCTCTCTTCGAGAGCGAGTGATAACTGTGCGTTCCAATTAGAAATTGTAATATTAATCCATGAATCGATGCGTCAATACACCTCCAGTGTCTGTGGCTGTTTTATTGAAAGCGCAGCTGTTGCTGCCGCGCATCTTTTAACGGCGAGCTCGATTAGCACATTGCTATTTTTTTTATGCCCGGCGTGTAATCCCGTTTGGTGTGTAATTGATTAATGCGGTGTATCTCTCCAGCGCTTGTACCGTGAGATTTACCACAAGAACAAGGACAAGATCCATCCGTCGGCCATTACCCCTGAGCTGCGACAAGTCAAGATCACACAGCACGCCATCAGCAATGTGAGTACCTTGGAGAAAGTGTCGTGCGGTCCCAGTACTACAACGCTATGTGGGACCTGCTTTCATTCCTCACCGACATAACTTTGCCACCTCCGTCCGGGTTTGACCCAGACAGTCCGGGGATTGGCATCTGTCTTTGGGCGGCAGCAGGAATTGATTTGTACCAAGATCTAGTGGAATTGTGTTGACCTTTATCGAAGGATACTGCACAGTTTTGATAATTAACCTCACGCTGACTGAGAAATATGTTCAGTCGAGTTAACTTTAGTTCAGTTTTGAAACATCCATGTCTTTTTTAAAATATATATACAGGCTTTAGGGGTCTGGGTCGAACCCACGACCTCTTGTATACCAATTTATTTTATTTTATTTTGAAGTACCCTTTGAGCTAAGAAGCTCTCAAGTTGGGTTTCATCAATACAAACACACCGTTTCTGTGCCAGACATAACGCATTAGATAAAAATAAATTAATAATGAAAAGGTAAGAAATCATATCATTTAAAATATCAAATGTATCTTTGAAAAGTTTTAGCCAATTAAGGAATAAAAAAGTGCAAGATTATGCATGAAAAGTGGCAGTGGTAAAACACACCGTTTGCCTAGAAACACTCAATTTTAATCCCCGATAAACATTTTAAAAAGTATAAATGCGCCATCAATCAACAACAACGTTGCACCGAGCAAAACGCAGCATCGTTAAAAAAAATAGTTGTGCAGACAAGGTACAAGAAGATAAAAGAGGTCACTTACAAGCAGACGATGTTCACACATCGTCTCGTTATTAATACAGGGGGCTTCAAAAAAATGTGAACACTTCAGAGAATTTGCAACAATGCCACAAAAATGTGCTGCCTCCGGGCTCTGGAGACCAACTGGAGAAGATTCAGGCACGTGTTGACAATTATGACGAACAAGTGGGAGACTCTTTGGCTTTCTGAAGCTATTAACATTAAATGTGTTATCATGTTACAGTGCATTATCCGTTATTTTATCCATTAAAAACGATCGTCCCATAGAAGTGTCAACATTTTTGGAGCACCCTGTACAGTGGCAGCTCGGCAGGAATGCACTGGAAAGGAGTGATTTAAAGTGACTGAGTGACGGTAGTGAATGTAGACCAGGCCAGGTTGTTAACATCTAGCCACCCCTGATCAGGACTGCACTGTCTTGACAAAAAGCTGTGAAGTATTGTTAAATGTGAAATTAGTTCTAAGCTATTTAAGATGTGCATGCGAGAAAGTTCTAAATAAATGCCATATATTCGTCTATGTATCATTTTTGCTGAGATATAGGTTTAAACAATTCTAACAATTTATTGTTTTAATTGAATTCAGTTGTTGATAAGTGTGTGTGTGTTCATGCATATAACTCATTACTGAAGCTTGTTTACGTGATAAAAATAAATTGCTATGTGCATATTCTTTTGCACAAACCATTTGGTTTGTAAGCAAGCTGCGCGTGCATGCGTGTGTCGGGTAATGTGGGGAGCGGTAGTGTAGTGGTTAGCACGCTGTGCTACAAACCCAGTGACCTGTATTGGATTCCCGTTCACGGGCGCCAATTCCAGTGACGATTATCTGAACCAGTCCTGGGCCTCCCCTCGAGTGACTCGGTCTCAATTGAGTAAGTGGTGCGATGTGTAAACATCGCCACTGGGGAGACAAATGAGGCCGGGCGTGGTGCTTGCCACCCACTCCTTCATGTGCCGTATTCGCCTTCATAGGTGCTACTCGCAAACAGCATTTGCCCCATAATAAAGGTTTTTGGGTTAGATCGCGTAAATATAAATGTGTCGTTAACACGTCACCACCCAATTAGTAAGGTTTGTCACATTAACAAAACATGCGAATTAGTTACTACTTCAGCACACCGGTGTGTTGGAGAATAAACACACAACATTTACAATTTGAGTACGACTTTTGCCCCAACAGTCTGTTAAGGTTATCGGGGGGATCTTTTGCTTTTTGTGTCAGCTTGCAGTGTCTATGATGGTTAGCGCACCGTGCTATGATCCTTGCGTCTGCCTGCTTACCTCCCCTGACCCCATGACCCCACCAGCTGGCGTACAAGGCAGATTATGAGCGTTTAAAGGGACACTACATCACCTTGCCGTACTCACCCGAGCTGCTGCACCACCGCCACGTGGGCAACATCACAAGCGATGTGAGTGAATGCAACCCAGCGCACAACGTCCCCGCCACCACCACCGCCACCATCACCGCCACCACCACCGCCACCACCACCGCTACCACCACCATCGCCACCACCACTACCGCCGCCACTACCACTGTCAGCTGATCCCCCACAATGCCCCATAAGCTATCTTCACCAAATAGTATTCTGGAAGCCAATTGAGTTTTAAGACATATTTTGCACAGGTAACGCTGCTTTAGTAATTTTAACTAAATGTCTTGTATTTTATAAATATAATGTTGGGCATTCATGTACATTTTAGCTTATCTGAAGTGCTCTGAAGATGCTTTTATTGATGTGGAGCGTGTTATATAATGGTCGATTTATTAACATACCAAACCATACATGTATATTTTTTACATTTATTATCCGAAAATTAATATGACCTGGCATTGCATTATACACGTGCACGATTCATCATAATGAATAGCACACATCAGTAGTCTTCTCCCCCACTTAATTTGATCTCACAATTCATTCATTACACATGCCTGATTAAAATGTCGCTTAAACTATGATATAAAAAGAAAGTGATTGAATTATGGAACGAATTTTTGCAATTTTATTTTGCATTAGTTGAGACCTTAATTACGTGCACTGTTTTGTCACAAACAAATCCGGCACATTAATTTGTTTAGATGTTAAATTCATCATCGAATAACGTGAATTATGCATGCGGAGTCACGTTGCTCTGCGCTTGCGCGTGTCTCTGCTTTTTGGGCTTTCCGCTGCATTACAGCGAATGGGAATAACTTTGGACACTTCGTTCTCTCCTCCTTTCCTTCAGATTCAATACAAGGAGGACATGCAGTGGCTCAAGGGACTTAGCTGCCTGTTGCATGACACTCCCAATATGCGACACGCCAAGAAGATTATTGCAGACAATGTAAGTCACACCCAGTCACCGCTCCCTGACCACTGAAGTTCACATTGCACAAGTAGACATGCTCTCCTTAACCTACTGGATAAAAAACAAATATATCACATTTCATTGTTAAAATCACAATATGTTAGTAAATGTGAATGAATGAATGGATTGAGGGAGTGAGTCGGCAGTTTTAACCGTTATTTAATCACGCGCAAAGTGGCAGAGTTTAGCTCAGGACAACATTGAAGGCAGTGACCAAAGTAACATTTTAAAAACAAATATTTTTTTATACTGCAATCTTATTTCAAAAGTCACTTTGTAACTTTGATAATCAAGGTGCTCTCAGTATTCTAATGCACTTTGTGAGACCCTAAAAAAAACATTGTTGTGCCTGGGCCAATGGCAGAAAGTTCACATTTCAAAAAGAGAACACTAGTCTGCCAATAAAGAATAAGTGTTCACCTGTGTCTAGAATAATGTAGCTTCCCAATTATTTATTTGACACGTAATAATAAAAAATGGGCTCATTTAATTGAGCTATCATGGCCAAACATAATTGACTGTTTATTTGAAAAAACAATTTTTTGGAATTTATGTTAATAATTACAATTGCACTGAGTTGAATAAAGCCAGCAGTTCAGATTGTCTTCAGTATCCCATCTTCTCAGGGAAGAGCCTCAGAAGACGACACCACAGAAGTAATTTTGAAGCCTTAGCCAGCACTAGAGGATGCACAATAGTGCTGCATGGAGAGTAGTTCTCAGTATACCTCACGTGTAATATATTGCTGCATGTTAGCTGTACCATGTGGGCTTGGGCCAAATGGATTTGACATCGGTGTCCAGTTTGAGACCATCAACTTACTACGCTTGTGAACCTAGCTTAATGCCAGGCTGTACTTGAATTCAAACCCGGCATCTCAGTGGTACTGAATCATTGTGTTACTGCGTTAGCAGTGCTACACAGGCTGCACAAGCACAATGAATGAAAACTCAACGTGTCCGTCAATTACAGTGCCATAAAGAGGAAAATTCATAATAAAGGTGATGTCTTTGAGCAGTGCCCATTCTTCTACTTTCCGAGTGTTTGGCTCAGTCACACCGGGAGTTGGCACTGGCTCAGATTGATGGAGGCTTTAACCCCATAACACTCCTGGCCACCACTTGCATTGGTTGTGTTCACTGATACCTTGTGTGCATGTATATTTGCCGTTTTTGTGTTATCCCCATGGTCGTGCGGACTTCTCTCCAGGTCCTCCGGTTTTCCCCTCCACATTTAGAATCAACACACGTTTAAGTACAGTAAAACCTTGGATTGCGAGCATAATTCGTTCCAGAAACGTGTTTGTAATCCAAAGCACTCGTATATCAAAGCACTCGTAAATCAGTTGTGATCACGTGACGCTCGGCAGACAAAGCGTATACGTACTGCTCGTATTGCAAGACCTTGCTCGTTTATCAAATTAATATTTATTTAAAATCTTTGTTCGTCTTGCAAAACACTCGCAGATCAAGTTACTCGCAATCCAAGGTTTTACTTTGCATTTGGCTGCTATAAATGTCCACGCGACAATCCACTTCCGTGAGCTATCATTTGTGGCCAGGTTGCTTATGAAAATGAGCAATATAGCCCAGTGGACATTAACTGGTAAAATAAAAAAATAATAGTTTATAGTTGAATAGCCATTATACAACTAGCTGTTCCATGATAGCTAGCTTTTACATAAAATGTGTATTTTTAAAGTCGGCAGGTACAATGATGTACAGTGTGCCATCATGCAGATTCCAATCTTAAAGATGATTCATATTTGTAAGATTTCTTGTGGAAAAAAAAGCAGAAAATGTCTTCACTGCTCATAACTGGGCAAATCAACAGCGTGATTTGTTTTTGCAATGGGGTGCATACGTACATCAAGTTGAGCGTTGCTGGCTGTAAATCACTGAATTCCCATTTTAGTTTGCTGCCATACTAAATACCGGGTGTCTTGCAATGTGCTTTGCCCTTCGCACCGTTACACCGAGTGACCCGACCTCTCCACGCCCATCCACATTGTCCCGTTCACAGTCCAACTATGGGCTGGAGGCAAAGAAAGCTCAGGAGAAGTACTGCGTGGTCCTGGATACCCCGGGGTACGTGCGAATCGTCGAGCTCAAGGATCACCTGAGCGAGGTGAGCGCTACAGTACTCTTGATGACTCCTCATCGGTGCCCGTGTTTTGTAACTGTAAACGGACCTCGGACGAAGTTGGTGGTGGTAGGACTTCTATATTAAAATCATCGACACAACACGTACACATAGGGAGCTGTATTCAAAAGGCGCCCATAGAATTGCCCCTAAGCGCCCCTTTTATCCTATCTCCAGACCTTCTCGAATGTTCTCGCCCAACTCCCTTTGCTCGACGAATCCGACGTCTATCCTCTCAATCGGTCTCTATGTATGTACTGTAAGCTGAACTTCTTTCGCACCGTACGTAGCCAACCACGCTAATCGGAGGTGCGGTGGAAGAACAATAAACGAAACACAAAAAGCAGTTCTAACCGATCCTCAACTCGATGAGCATTTATAAATCCCCGCGTTTTATAACATCAAACTCACCGTCCAATCAGGCGAGCACTTGGCGAGCAACCAATCGGCTTGGACCAAGCCGTCTCTTGTTTTTTTCTGCTCCATTGGCAATAGTTTCCTGCCGCACCACCGTCTACAGGTCAATCATAGCTTCGTTTTTTACATATGACACGCACAAATTAAATCATCTGAGTAAAATATGACGCGTACTTCGTCGGCGACTGCTTCATAATGCTGAAACTATTACACCGATGAATTTATTACATTATTTTTTGTATTCTATAAAAGATTTATTGTCAGCCATTTTAAAATGGCGGGCTCCAAGCAACCGCCCTGTTCTCAGCACCACCTCGGTGTATCTGAATGTGTGGGTAATGTGGCTCGTTTTGTGGCTGTAACAACTGCAGGTGGCTTATCGCGCAATCGGGAATGAGGTGAAGACCAAGTTCACACCCGTGGTGGACACTCCAGCACACATGCTGGCCAAGAACTCGCAGGAAATGCAGAGCCAGGTAAGGATAGATGACCATGGTTTGAGTCCAGGTTAAATTTTATTTTGTTTAACCGAGTGAGGCCTCGAGATCAGGATGAGTGTCGTGCGCGAGAGTGTGACCTGGTTCACCAAAATGACAAAAGCAAAATCAAACAAGCACAAGGTATTGCAATGAAGTAAAGGAAATGGCACGTGAATGGTATCAAATGATATTTTAGTAATGTTTGTTTCGTGTTTTTGTTGCTTGTTGCATGAAACAACTTGAGTTGATCCCCCATAGCTTTTGTTGATGGCGATGACAAAGCAAGGGACATTAGTATTTGCTTGAGTTGATTTATGCAACTGACCATTGATATTTATAACTGTAAAAATTATGTGAAAGAGTTATAACTACAGGTAATGATAAATAAAGTTGTTTGATTTATTATTACTTAATAAATTATGTTAATCTCGGCAACTCTAAATGCTCATTACCATTACACATTTTAACCGGTTGCTTCTGCAACACTGAGAATGCAACCTAAAGCGTAATTTACCTTCCACAGTGTTATCCTGATTGTGCAATATGCAACAAATGACGAAACAAATAATTAATTTCGAACTCACATAGAGCAGTGAATGACGGGTTCAAAAATATTCAGAGCAAGCAAATATCACAGAATTACTTCTGAGTTCCCTTCCAGTCATCCCTTATACGCACACAGCGCACCAATTCCACAGCCGCCCTGCTACACAGTAATGTCCTGCGAATGACAATCAACCCAATATTTATTTCAACAATTTGCACCCGAATTCAGTCAAATTAAAATGCAAAACCGAATGTGTCACGATGGCCCGACGAGTAGCACATTCACTGCTTGTGGAAGAAGTTCACGGTTCAAATTCAGTGGCCGCCATGATTGTATTATTACTGCAAGTGTATAATCCCTAAACAAAAAGTATACGCGCCGTTCACTTCAGTGTGGACGTTAAAGATCCCGTGACGTCATTCGCGAGAGCAGCCTATTGTGTGCTGGCGTTATTGTGTATATATTTTCCAAATGTGAAACATTGCCCACAAATTATTCATACATGACAGACATTGCTCCCCCTAACTGCGAAACACTTTTTGCAGGACCCTCCTGTAAAAGAGTCATGAGATTCGGTGAGGCTTTCCTGTGTAAACAAAACGTAACAATAGTCGTATTTAATTTGAATCAATGTTGGTGACCAGGCAGAACCCGATTAAATAACTCGTGGCTACTACAAACGTTCGAACCCAGGACCTCTGCGACCACAGCTTAGCGCTGTCCAGCGAGCCACCCTGCCGCGGCTCTAGAATGCGATACAGTCCGTTCTCCTGTAAAGTGTGTTGTTTTCATGAAGCGAATTGGATATAGCGTCATGAATGTATTGGGGACGCATATTTTTTTTTATAACGCGGATGCGAATTGGATATAGCGCGATTGAGCAAACGGAACTAAGTCGCACAAGTAGGAATAAGCCGTTGTACGCCTGCCTCGCACAAGGCATTGGGATGCTGCTGCATGCTTCTAGGTGGTATCCACGCGCCTCGGTGTTTGTTCAGCCTGCGTACGAATCTCACGTGTTATCGCGGACTGTGTTTTACCCTGTATTATTTGTCTCGCTTTGCAATAATTATTAAAGAACACGTAAGAATCAACAATAATATAACAAATTGCTATTTAAAAATGTCAGTCATGTTGGTGTTTTCGAAATCTCCTACCCTCTAACGCCTTAATTCCCGTTAAATCAGGAACACAACTACCGCGTTAAAAGGAGAACAGACTGCATATGTATCCCCTTATAATGTGAAAAAACAAGTTACTTTACTGACATGCATAGAGGTCGCCATCTCCTGGTTTGACAAGGTATCACAGTACAACAAGTGATTTAATTCCATCCTATTCCATCTGTAATCGGAGGCCCCAGCACATGAGGGTTTTCTCAGCCGACTCAGACGTCCACCAGCATGCATAAACACTCATTAATGGAGTTGGCCAAACATACAAATATAGGGCCACAGAGCTTTGGCAATTGTTGCCACCAGTTCCGGCTGCCTTCCCGCTTGTCTGTAGTTTTCCACACCTCTGAATCATTCTCTCTCTCTCTGTGAGAGTTAAATAAAACTATATCATCATTGTTATTATTACACCGCTTTATGCAATCCTGTCTACATCCTGTTGTACGCGTGCGATAACGGGGCGGATGTCATTCTTCGCGGCGGTGTTTGAGTGTGCCTTTTTGTACACTGCGGGATCTGTGTGAAGCGGGCTCTCTGTGTGTGTGTGTGTGGTGGTGGTTTCCGTAGTACCTGTACAAGGAGACGGCCCACCGTGAGCTGCCCCACATCCACTCGGTGGTGGACACCCCGCTGCTGAAGCACGCCAAGAGCGTCAAGCACCTCAACAGCGACGTGAGGGCACCTTGCCTGCGCGCGCTCGGGTTTCCCGTGTGCTGCTTACGTGCGCGTGCGCACACCCATGCACGCTTGGCTCGCATCGGAAGGGCACAAGGGGGGTCAGAAGCGTGGATGAAATAATGAATGATTAATCATTTTGCCATGGCCGTTGCTTGACACGTGCCATTAACACCCAGTCTACATGGAATGTTGGGCCAGCCGTTCCAGCCGCATGCCGACGTTGGCACAACGTTGGTGTGATTATGGGGTACGTGTTGATGAATTGAATTAATATCATTTTTATGGGGACATACACAAACCCAGGAACGCATGCTTCAGGAGTCATTAGTCAGCGAGCATGATCACCCTCACTTTGTGGTTTTTTCACCGTTCGGCAAACTGAGCGAAACAGTTTGAAACCTTTTTTTTAATTGGATCAGATCCGTATTGCATTTGTAACGGCTCCGGAGCCACATGCTGCTCTTTAAGGACTGCTTCATGACTTTATTCATATCTTGAAATATTGTGTTTATTCTTGTTATCTTGGTTTCCGACCCGTAATGATAGCTTCTAGAGTGGCGCAACTAATGCTGTCTTGTCCGCCGGGGAGTGGGCTTGGAGTGCAGTCAATCGCGATGTGGTCCGTTGTTTCGTTCCGGTGGCTGCAGTCACTGCACTTGAATTAATTTCCTGCTTGTGGAAGAGGCGCTCGTAGCCACTGCTTATTGATCGGAAGCAGTTGATAATGGAGCCACCACAGTTATCTTGGCAGAGCAAAGGCATGCGGAGCAGTGGCAGGCCCCTCCGTAAGTCTTTTGTTTGGATGCTCGGAAGCAGAACTCATTCGGTTGTCTCACATGGCGATCCCATTTTGGTTTCCGGGATCTCAGACGAGTTCGTGGAGGGTCGAGCAACTGGTCTTGGTGACATAAAGTCAACTGCTCTAACCCCGTGGGTTCTCAGAGTGTGGTCCTCGGTACCACCGGTGTGGTCCATGACGGGCTGTGATGCAAACGCAGATTTACCAGGACAATAATAACAACGTTTATACCTTTTGTTTCGGACATTAATTTATATTTAAATCATGATATTTCATTTTTCAATGCAGTTAAGTAAACTACCCTGATTAAACTACCCTAACCCTAAGATTGAAATGGCTCCCCTAAAAAAAAATGATAGCTGCGTTTAAGAAAATAAATTATGTTCCACTGATATGAATAATTTCGTATGATTGGTATTTAGATATAAAAGTGAATGCGTTTTGTCACCAGGGGTGAGGGGGCTGGGTGGTCCATGGAAATCGACTATGTGGTCCATAGGCCAAACAAGTTTGGGAAACACCGCTCTAACCATAGCAACACCTCACACCTTACACAAATGTCAAGCGGTTTTATGCCCCATAATAGAGTTTTTTTTTGTGAGTTAGATCGCGTAAATATAAATGTTTCGTTAAACCCGCCACCACCCGACACAGCCAATTAATAAGGTTTGTCACGTAAACAGAACGTGCCAATTCGTTACTAGTACAGCACACCCGCGTGTTGGAGAGCAAATCCACAACATTTACAATCTTATGCCGTTGCGTGTTATTTATCCCCCGTCCGGATGGATGCAGATTGTGTACCAGCACGAGTATAATCAAAACAAAGCCAAGTACACGCTCATCCCAGACTCGCCCTTCAACAAGATCTCCAAGAAGGCCTACGAGAATGCGAGCGATGTACGTGCCACACGCCTCATGCCGTTTCACTTCCGCAGGCACAACAAGAGATGACTGTTGCGACTCACCATGGTTACTCAACAGATGATGATGAAAAATAAGAATATGTTTTACTATAGACATCAGCAGATGATAACACTTTAAAATCTGTGAAAACTTGAGCACCATTATACATGTATATGACGTATATACCTCGGGGAAATATTATGTTAGATTTTGCTGTTTTTTTATTTTTTTTTATATAATATTTAATATGTTGATCAATATTAGTCACACTAAACATTGGTGTATATTGCACATGACCTAATATGACCAGTCTCATGAACAAACGTGATGTAAATATGTCATTGTGATTTTCATCACACGATGACACAATGGTAAAATGTGATTTTCTTGAACTGCAATATAAATGTTTACGACATGGGAAAATGTCTTAAAATCAAGTTTCTTATAAAGCGAACAATGAAATAATCAGTATCATACGCAAAGAGGTGAATGATTAAAATCTAATTTAGTAAACGCTTAAAAAATTGTTATGAATAGAGTAGTGGTGGTGTGAGCGAAGGATATTTGAGGAACTGTAGACCTTTATGAAGCTGGGACGTGCAGCCTCGTATTTTCCTGCCGGTGTATTTTTTGACGAACCGCGCCGCCGTGTTGATTTACCACGGCAGCTGCGCTACAAGGAGGCATACCAGCACCTGCGCGGGAAGTACCACACCGTGAAGGACGCTCGGGACATCGTGCACCACCGCAAAGTCACCGACAAGATCAGTGACGTGAGTGCCGTCGTTACACAAACCCCCCGCACCTCCCATTAGCGCGGTTGGCTATGTACAGTGAGAAAGAAGTTCAACATATATGCATACGCGGTTATTTATCGTTGCCCGGCATTCATCACCCCCCTCCTACGTTCGTTCATCGCAACTTGCGGAACGCTGAATGGTGGTTCGGTGAAATGAAAGTGTTTAAAATTTCTACACCAGGGGGCACTCATTATACATCGGTAAGCTTGGTGAGAAATAATTGAGACGCCTATTTAAGTATTCGCCAATTTTCCATTTGTCTGATTTTGGCAAAAGCTTGCCGATTTTTTCACCGCCAATAAATATAATTAGACAACTCGCCATGGTGATGGGTTTCCACCATTTCACCAAGATGCGAAGCTGGACATTACATTAATCCCATTTCTTCAGTGCATGGGTTTGCGTGATGTTTTTTTGTACGTGGAAATAAATTTTAAAAGTATTTTTCAGAACATAGCATTGATGCAGCATGCATGTGTGTGTGTGTGTCCATGTGTTTGGTAGAGCAGTGGTGCAGTAGTAGTTAGTGCACTGTTATTAGGAAACCCAGTGGCCTGAATTTGATTCCCGGCCCCAGCTAATAACAGTGGCAATTATCTGCACCGGTCCTTGGCCTCCCTTTGGTTGAATTAACTTCAAATGAGTACCTCCTCGTATGATGTACAAACATCAGTACTATGTAGACAGATGTGGTCAGGCGTGCTGCTGACCACACTCACCCCCTCGTGTGCCAAACTGGTCCTAATGGGTGCTCGCCAACAACACTTGTTACAACAATCTGTAAAGCTGTAGATTGTACCCTCGGCTGCCAAATGAGTTGTTCGTATGTGTCTACTCTGCTATGCGTCGTGTGTCCCTGTGCAGGTCAAATACAAGCAGAAGTACATGAATCAATTAGGCATCTGGCATGCCATCCCGGACCACCCGGACTACTTCCACCACCGCCTGGTTACGGAGCTCGTGAGCGACGTACGTGGTGCACCACATTGGACCCTGCTGTCTCGGCACCAGAACCTAACACTTACTCCTACAACTAATTTTTATTTTACCAGGTCAGGCGCACTGTGAGATATATAGCTCTTTTTCAGAAGAGACCTGGTCATAAATGATAGCTCAACGAAGTGGCTTATCATCATTTGGAACTTTATAGCAGCCAAATACTCTAAACCCGTTATGTTGATTCTAAATGTGGAGGGAAAAGCCGCGCGACCACGGGGAAAGAGACATGCAAACTCCAAACATACAAGCGTCATGGTCGGGATTGACCCACCACCTCCTGTATATCAGGTGAGGTTTAAATATCCCTCGGTTTTATTCGAAACGAAGAGGCCATTTTGTGCCCGGCGTCGTGGTTCATTTTTTCCATTTTCAAAAAATTCCCCAATTGGGGTTACATACAGCAACAATCGTCGGCCCCTACTGGTGGGCTGATGCCCTCTTGACAGGCCAGGTGCTGAGGCACTTTGTGCCTCACAGGGACAGCTGCCATTTGGGGGTGGGCCGGGGGGTTGCCCTTCGAATGCTTGAGATGAGATCTGATCCAAGTCGCTTATCACGTGCCAAGCGCTCTCACAAAAACAAATCACTGTTTTGATTTGTACCGTTACTATGAGGTGGTACTGAGGTCATGTTCGTCAACCAATGGCATAGTCCAGCAGAAAACACCAGAGGCCTCTTTGATTCCCAACAGTGCTTCCACATGAATATTGTTAAATTCTAACCAAACTATTATAACTTCTCAAAATATCTCCAAAAATGTTGAATAATGCGAGTTTAGTCATGATAATTGTGTTATTACAGCGTGTGTATATTGGAAGTAATTCTGGAACACCAATACATTTACAATTGTTTTTTAAATGAATAAATCTACAAAGATATTTATACAAATTTTCCCATTCGAAAACAAAAATTACTTGCCAACATGTCATGATAAAAATAACACAAGTGTTTGACTCTAAGCTCAACATTTTTTATTGACGCTGTGCTTACAAACGACTTCGTAATGATATGGGTATTATTGCTCCCTGAGAGATAATGTACATTGTTAGTGTAAGGATGATTCAGGTCATAATGGCACCAAGGTCATTGCTTATTTGCGAATTTTTCATGGAGCCTGACTACAAAATAAACCAAGAACAGAACTACATTTATACATCCGGGACAGTAAAACATTTGATAAAGTCACACTCGTTCCACAATCTGATCTTTTGAAGTACATTTTCTTTTTTTTGGTAACGTAATTTTTTGCGAAAGAATAATAATAATCTCGATAAATGTATGTTAATGGGTGAAGATTAAGGCGCAGCCTTGCAATATCTTGCTCGCTCCGCTGCTGACGGCAGGGACTCCACGAGAGGAAACTCTAGAGGTCGCCTCTTCCACACTGTACATGGATATAAGTAACGGTGTGCAAAATTTCAAGCCTACATTCCAAATTATTACGTCCGAAAACTGTAACCTTTCACGTCCAGTCGCGAGAGGGCTTTTTGGCGCATTTTCGTTTTGAGTTGTTTAATAAAATCCCCCTCACCATAATGGGGCGTCCGGGCTCGCCGAGTGAGTCTCACTCCGCGCTCGATCCCCTGCAGGTGAAGTACAAGGAGGACCTCACCTGGCTGAAGGGCATAGGCAGCTACGCCTACGACACTCCGGACCTCACGCACGCCAAGCAGAACCGAGTCCTCTACAGCCATGTGAGTGAGGAGCACCCGAGGTCTGGTCGCCCCCCCCCCTCCCCCCGCCGTGCCCATGCCGAGTGCGATACTCGGAGCCGAGGTGGGCTCCCAGATGAAGAAGCTACCACGTGGAAGGCGGCGTAGTGCCGCTCATCGTGGCCGGGGAACGTCGCCGAAAGGCGACGCTACACGTGCCGGAGTGGCCCAGTTGGCGTCTTCAAGCATCGCCGGCCTGGCACGATGCCCCCGCTCCTCCTCCGACCACTTCGCGCTGTATTCAGAGCAGTGTGGCGCATGTCGGTCGTACAGAAATATACCATATCAACGAGTGTTAGCCATTTGTTATGACAACAAGAATTAGAACACGGTAGTCTAGTGTTGCGCATGGTCCATCCACCTATACGGATGTGAATGCTGGACAGTTACAGAGACCCTACAAAGCAAACTAGAAGCAACAGAATGTTTTTTTTTTAAAGAAGGATGTTAAAAATGTCACGGACAAGATGAGTAACAAATTTGTTAAGGATAGCAGGGTACAAAAAGTATATTAATGAGAATAATTGGAAAAATGCAGAGTTATATATCTCGGACATATAATGAGAAAACAAGAAATAATACATTGTTTTGAGTGGGAAATTACAAGTACCACAGGAAGCCGGGGTAGATAACAAATTAAATTGCGTGAGTAATTTAAGCAATTGGATGCATCTGGGAGAATCTACTGAAAAACTTTTGAGTCGTGGACGGAGTTAAATGTAAGAATGGTCATGATCGCCGCCGACGTCTTTGAGAATGGGCGCTGCATGCAGAGAGAGAGAAAGGACCCCAGGAGCTGCTATGAGTCAAATTAAAAGGAAGATACAACCGCATATTCTTGGTTCTTTCGGTAAAGTCACGTAGAAGGGAAACAATAAAATAATAAAAATATAAAACAATAAAATTCTCACGACGTTTCGACTGCAACACAAGCAATCATCATCAGGTGTGAAAACCACAACAAATTTTATTGTTTTATATCTTTATTGTTTCCCATCTACGTGACTTTACCGAAAGAACCAAGAATATGAATCCCTGCAGTCACGAAAGCTTTAAATCAGCTGTTACCTCATTGTCAAAGTCAACAACTTCTGCTCACATGAGCACCCGCTGCGCTTTGCAGCCCTGCTACCGACACACCTCCAATTAGCATGGTTGGCTACGTATGGTGCGAAAGAGGTTCGACACACACACACACATACGTACGTACGTACCTTGTGCATTGCAGGTGAAGTACACGAAGCCGTTCGAGGCAATGCGCGATAAGTTCACGTACTCCTCCAACTCGCCGGCCTTCAGGCTCGCCAAGCATGCCGGCGACCTCATCAACATGGTCAGTGCGCCTCACAGTTTTGATTGATACGTTTGTGTGTGTATAAATATGTGTAAGTGTGTATGTAGAGGCAAAGGCGGCCGGGGGGTGATGCTGGCCACCCACCCCCTAGTGTGCTGTGTCGGCCTTCATAGGTGCTCATTAACAGCACATGCCCCAACAGTCTTTTAAAGCGATACGGAGCATCGTTGTCTTTGTGTTTGAGTGCATATATAGCGTGGGAAGCGGTGGCGCAGTGGTTAGCACTCAGCGCTACAATGCCACTGACCCGAGTTCGATAATTAACGCTCATGGCCACCCAATACCAATTGTGAATATTTGAACCGGTTCTGGGCCTCCCCCAGGTCAATTCACCCTCAATTGAGTACCTGGTGCGGTGTCTAAACATCGCTACTAGGAAGACAAAGGCGGCCGGGTGTGGTTTTGGCCATGCACCCCCCGTGTGGCGTGCTGGCCTTCATAGGTGCTACTCGCTAACAGCCCAACAAGTCTCTTATGGTTATAGTCGGTCAATGCGTTACAGGTGTATGCTAAGCATAAATACGTTAACTTTGGTGTGAAAGCATATTCAGGACCGTAGCAGCATTCTGCACGTTTGCAGCTGTGTGTTATGTATGATTGCTGGGGTTTGTTGCTCCCATGGGGGAAGGAAAAAGTTTTTGCTTTAGTGAGGACGTCCTTGGTGTGTGGCGAACACGTATGTGTGGCTTACAGCGAAATAATGTGAAGCGTCTCGTAAATATAACTCACTCAATTGAGATTTGTAAATTTTTGAGTGTATAAAACGCACGTGACGTGATTGATGGTTTCCCTCAACAGTCGTAGGACCACCTGTATTATTTTAGATAGCTTAAGATAGATAGATTTTAATTATTTCAGTAAAAAGGGCTCAATAAGCTCGATGTCATTGACCAAATAAGCTCAATTTCATGTGACAGTGCAGATTTTGTACATTGTAGATATTTGTTTGAGTCATGGATACGTAGGTCGCAATACAAACCCCATGTATTGGTATCTTCTTTATATTATTTAGCTTTTAGTTTAATCTGTTTTACTTTGCCTATTGCTTATTATTAAAGTTAAATATTTATATTTGTGTTTACACGTCACGTTTTAATGCCTTTCCTTTTTCTTAGCAGCTGCAGAAGCATAATGCAAAATGACAGATGCTTGTGAAGCAGATGAGGAACGCAGATATTTATATATGACTTCGCTAATATATAATAATAATAAACGTGTTATCCCGCTGGAGTTGGCCAAGTTTGTTTGCCCACAGGTGCGAGCTGTCAGACGTTCCGTGTTTTCTAGAACTCGTGACTCCCAGCAGCTGAGAGGAGCGTGAGTGTAAGGCCGTTTTGAAACCATGCTCTTTAATAAACGAGTCAAAGAATCAAGTAGATTGTTTTTTTTAAGCATTAAAGAAACAGAAATCACACGAAGCTTGATTGGACTAATTCCCATTATTGCTCGAGATATCAGAACAGTTTGGCTTCTGTTTAAAACGCGTCTCTATTCCCCACCTGGGCATCGCAGAAAACCATTGTGGTTCATCTGCATTGTCCATGTGCATTGTCCTGCTGGGATTAAAGTGCATTACAAGGAAAGGCTTTGATTTAAAGCTTTTGTGACTGCAGGGATTCATATTCTTGGTTCTTTCAGTAAAGTCACGTATTCTTTTATAAAAAATATAAAACAATATTGTTTAATATTTTTATTATGTTATTGTTTCCCTTCTACGTGACTTTACTGAAAGAACCAAGAATAAGGGAAGGCTGGTGGTCTTTTTATATGGCCTGTTTTGTCATTCGCGAAGGAAATTTGATTCATTTTTGAGCTGGGACGCATTTTTCGTAGTGAAGGTTTTGACAGGCTTAGTGTGCTAAAAAAAAAAATCTAGAAAGGCACCGTGATGCATACTCATCCCCGCGGCAACACTATAGATTGTGAGATTTAACGTTGGCCCGCTTCTCACCTGGTATTAATCCGTTCAGCAGCCGGTGAAAAATCGCATAATTGTAGACAGCTTTGAGCAAGACGCAACGTGTGCCTTTGGTTAACAAATGCAGGGCAAATGTACAAGGCATGATCGTGTTTTTATGCTAGTATTCAATTGACAAAGGCACTTTGTGGTCCATAGGCATATGTTCCCTTAACATAATTACACGTGTCCGGATAAAGCTGTTTGGTTCAAATGATGGTGCCCATCTTACTTTTTTATGGTTTTTAGCACGCCGATGAACCATTATGGTCAAGACATTTGCAGGGTCATTTCTATAAGAGCTCAGAAAAGTTTTAAGATGTGATAGAGACATGCAGGTTGACCTCCAGTCTACCTCGTCACGCTTAGATGTATGCCAGGCATAGAGCTTTCGTGTGGCCGTCTGTACGCGTTACATATGAGGTACTAAATGTGAAATGCTTTTGTGCCAGTTGTGCTGAATCTTCTGACATGTTGGAACGGTTACAGAAAGCTTACCATGCCACTTATGAGAAAGAAAAGTCTAAGTACCATACAGTGTTGGAGGAACCTAGACATCTTCTGAACAAAGACATGAAGGAGCAGTACAGCCAGGTAAAGTGCGGGCTCCTCCGCAGAGCATGCAGTGTTGCATGGCATCGATTTCTCCGTTACCTGTGGGGGATTGCGATGCCATGCGCATCGCCACGGCGATGCCGCATCTGTCTTTGTCTATGATGCGATTCATGATGCCGCAAAGCGCCGGGCTCTCGAGCATCATGCGCAAAGTTGTGGTGTCGCGATTGTCCACCCGGACAATGCTGTCTCACATGGGGCATTTGTGGCTGACAACTCCAGATGGCTTTACGTCACACCCCAGGGGTTCTCGTTCATTCAGTCGTTCATCGGTAACGTTTGTAGCGTGCACAAATTTAACATAAAATGGACGTTCAGAGGCACGTGACGAAAACTTTCAGCGACCCTGTGAATTAATTTCAGTAAGGTGCTGCACGTGATCAATATTTGACCACTCTCAAAGGACCTGAGCTATTAGACATATTACATTTTTAATCATAATCTCTTGAGAAAAAAAATTCCTTTGTAACATCTTTTTACAGTATTAAGTTGCTACGTGACATATAATATAATTTCAGTATTTACATCAAGACCACACGCAAATTACGATGAAATATGACCAATTTGACCAGCCCGGGCACATATCAGCCTGGGAATGTCTATTTATGATGAACAATAAAACAATTGCAATACAGTTGTTAAAAGCCTTCCAGAGTCCCAGCCAAAGTGACCTCATGTGTAGTTGGTTTTCCAAGTGTGTTGCGTGTGACTCGCCTGTGCCCCATCCCCTTCCCGCACACACACACACACGTACATGTACACGCACGTACACACACCACGTGTACACGCATGCACACGCACCACGTCGGCTTCACGGCCAACGCTCGCAGCGAGAGTACAAGGCCATCGCGACGGAAGGCCTGCACCACGGCTGCAATGAGGCTCATCGGCCCGACATTCAGCAGGCCAAGTATGCCGATTTTCTGACGAATAAGGTATGGCCAGCACCTGTTACCCACAATCCCATCCTCGCCCATCCAACCTGCTGAGAAGTGTCAGAGGCAACCCCACCAAGCGGCTGGCTCCTGGTTTGTCCGATATGCGCGATTAATTGTGACTCACTGCATACAAACCCCACCCTTGCGCCACGCGTCACATTCAATGCCACCAGCCTTGCTACCTGTGGTCGGACGACCTGCTTCCCACTCCGGCTCGGCAGCTCACCAAAGCATTTATAAACTGGCCTAACGCCGCACCTGCGTGATCATTTGCCAATCCAGTCACAATTACACAGTGGATAATTCTACTTAGCAATGGTGAGGTATAATAGCAGCGTTATAGCCGTTGAGTATTATTGAGCACTCCGGCCACATTGCTGTAAATGCAACAGATCAGATGCGCAGTGAATTATGGGAAAGTATGTTAGAAACACCCAAGTCACTGCTGTCAAAAATTACATTCTGTCAAATTAATTAATCGCATGCACATTTAGAAGAAAAAAGCACTACGATATACAAAATACTGTATTTACATATACAAATGCCGACAGTGGGGCATGCATAAAATATATTATTCCTCAGGATATGTAATAGTTGATATAGAGGTAGACAATATATATTGTCTACCTCTATATCAATAAGCTTTAAGTCAAGATTTGAGGTAGGCAATGTTACAATAGGATTGATATAAAGGCCAACAATTCGCTGTATTTAAAAATAATATGTTATTCCTGATAGAAAGAAAATTGTATCTAGACGGGATGTCAGTGAAAAATGGGATGCCATAATAAAAAATAAATAAGCAGACAATACATCTCGGTCACATATCCGTCTCTCCACGTAAAAAAATAAAAGTATTTCTTCCACAAGCCATCTGCCGGACGGCCTTCTGGGAGTACATACGTACATTCAGCAGCATTGATTTAAGGTGATGAACTGACGAGCTTAACAGGGGAGGACTTTTTTTTTTTACGTGGAGAGATGGATGTATGAAGAAGACGCATTGCCTGATTATTAATTTTGTTATATATATTCTCCACAACGACGCTCACGATTATTGTTTCAGACGAAGATGTTGAAACGGTGCACAGATGGAATGTGCCGTCTGCTGGCGCTATGCAGTCATTTAATCAGACATCATTTTCTTCAAACAAAACTAAAACAATGGCCATTATACACGCATTGACGCATTTTCACATTTTCCTTCAATTCCATTAAACTCGTGACCGTTGCCCGGTGCCAGTATATTTTAATTCAGCCTCATTACAGAGATTACAATCCCAATGAGAGCATAGGGCCCTCACTACACACATTCCTGTCATTTATGCGCTTTACCATCTCTGGAGTCTGTGACCATGCAACCCTCCCGTCTGGGCGTCTGGATATGTCATGCGTTGTATACATTGACATGAAAACGACTTGGGGTTATTCTGTTTAATTAATTACAAACCTGATACAAATCGACCGAAATGTGTGCTTTGCCTTCCTCAAACTAATTTGAAGTCATACATTGTACCAGCGAAACACTCCCTTCGATGTAATGGACCCCAAATCTGTTTATCAGGTGTAATAGAACACTTGGCCAACACCGCATGCTTGTTGGTGCTTCTATTACACATTCATGTTTTACGCACTGCATGGTTTATTCGGTGCAATTGCAATAAGACCATCAGGACCACTTCTTAGGGCCTGTTTAGTGCTTATGATATACATACATTCTCCACCACAGGTGTGGCCGACAGAGTCGCTGTGAGGCCTAGATTTCCCAGGCTCTGTTGGCTACAGCTGAGGGGGAGAATAAAATGTGTATTCAAGTTAAAATACAAACCAATTTTAAATGGTGGATATTACATTGAATAGATTATGTTATAAGTGTCGAGACAGATTTGTGCATTGTGGGTAGCCTGCTGTATATTGAATGATGTTTATGTTAGAGAGACAGTGGCTTTCACCCTTGGTCTTTGTTGTGCCTCTTCTCCTCTGTCTGTGGCTTTCCCTCCTCTGCCTGTGACTTTCCCAACTCAGCCTTCACCCACACCTTCACCAAGCCGTCTTCCGTGACCCCCTGTGCCCCTGCTGCCTCCTACCACCCACGAAAAAAAACACTTTAAATTATCCCTCCTCTCCTCCAAGCCTCCTCGATCTGCGTGTCTCCCCTATGTTTACAGAGTCTCGAGATGTAGCCAAATACAGGCACTTTATAAATTGTAGTTTATTGTACGTATTTGAGTGACGAAAATGTAAGCACGTTCTGACAATATTGATTGATATTTATTTTGAGAAAGCGGGCATTTGAACCTTTTCAAACATCGGAGGGAGTCCAATCGCATGCAGATAGGCTATGTTTTATGTTGCCTTTCGTGATTAGCTACACCTGACATGGGCGATAAAACCCAGGGCTGAAAGCAGTCTCTTCAAACAGTGCTGTACTCATGAGTGCCCTTTCTCCTACGAGGCCAATGCAAGGCCACTTTTCATTACAGTATTCCCTCGTTATTAGCGAGAGCCATGTTCCGGAGATCCTCGTGAATACCACATTTCTCGGATAATCATATTGGGGTACGAAAACATCTTTTTTTGATGAATTACCTCAAATAGATAAACATTCTCATCACGTTATCTCATCGCTTTATCTCATCATGTTCTCGCATCACATTCTCTGTCATCACTTTATCTCTCTCAAATGTAGTCGTGTAGCGTTCCAGATGCAATTTGCAGACAGCCAAAATCGTGGATAGCAAGTTCATGAACAACGAAGGAATACATCAATGTATATCCACCTTTTAAAATATGAAAAGTTGTCGATTGTTGGCATGTCCAGTAATGTACGTGTCTGGTTTCTCCTGCACGCGTCGGACACTGGATGTGCACAGTGGGTCTACAAGCATCAGTACGAGCAGCACAAAGACAAGTACACAACCGTGCTGGAAACCCCGTACAACTTGCAAGCTCTGAAGATGAAGAAGCTCATCAGCGAGGCGAGTGGCTTTCCATAAAAGACAAATGCGAACGAGAATAGACCACACTGCACTTTGTGTTTGGCGATACGTGAATTCGCAGTTACGCGCAGAGGAAATAAATTGACACCAGACAGATTCAAAGGTATTACGATCAGCGATGGTAATCCACTGTTTTCCATACGTCCCACATATGTTGGCGCTTTACATTAAGGGGTCTACAAAAGGCGGTGGTCCCAGTAACGTAACGAGTATGGGGCAGGGTGTGCCTTGGCCCCCGCTGGTGGCCAAAGCTACGAGTCGGACCCCTCTTGACAACGACCATGTGATATGTTTTCAACAACAGTGTAAAATAATAAAAAAACACTGATTTTAAAATGCGGTTTAAATTTATTTGGATGAAAATGCTTTTATTTCTGTAACCAGATTTGATTTTAATTTAATGAAAATCAAATATCGGGGGCCGCCACCTGACCTTTTGCTGCATCCCACCCCCCCCCCCCCCCCCCCCCGAGCTCATAATGTCACTACGACACTCAGTGGTCCCCAGTGGATATTCATGCGAGCAACTGCCCCCCCCCCCCCCCCCCCCCGTTCCAACATTCATAACGATACAACACTGTACTGTAATAGTGGGCCGTGGTATTTTAACAATGATTGTGAGTGGTCCTTGGTCTATATATATATGTTGAGAACCATTGCAACAGACAAAGTTATCCATCCACCCATTCATTCATCCGGCCTTGTGATTCATACTGGTAGAGCTGTCTCATAGCATGTTTATGATACATTTTTTCAGTTGTTTCCACCTTAAATATATTGGTCATTTCATATACACGGTATGTTTCACGTATATGTATATAGTATTTTTCCCCGGTAATTATTCGTAATACGTGGACATGTTTACGTATTCCGAATATCCATTCAGTCTCCCGTTTAATACCTCATCCATAAATGTACTGTGCATGCAGTTATCACTTTGCCTAAATAAGTAAATCACATTTTCCCCATCAATTTCTAAACACATTAGTTTTTCACTTGTGTCTCATAATGCATTCTTCATCTGTACACCCGTGAAGAATTTAACGAAATTTGTATCTCCAATCGCATTATCTGAAACCGTAACAAATTCGCTTAATCTAAAGCACCCATCCATTGAGCTGTTATTGTGCAGCAGTGGATGCTGCTGTAGGACCTGGCGGAGGGCAGAACGCGTCGGTGGTGGCGTCAACAGCTTTGGCCATGATGACACCTTGATCTTGATTTACCTATTGCATTTTATCTTTCAGAATGTGTACAAGGCGCAGTATAACAAGAACAAAGCCCACTGGTTCACGCCTGTCCACGACGCCACGTTCCAGATGCACCTGGGCAAGATCAAAGACAGAATGAGCATTGTAAGTGCATTACGTGCGCACGCTTGCACTCTTTGGATTCACGTAGTTTTTATTGAGGGTTGCCCTGACGGTGGTGAGTTGACGTGATGGTGGGGCGCCGCGGTGGTGAGATGTTAGCTTTCTCGCCTTGTATACAGAAAGCCTTGGTTTTGATCCTGACCCTAAAGTCTGTATATTTCGAGTTTGCATGTTCTCTCTTGCCGTGGTTGCGTGTATTTTTATCCGGATCCTCCGGGTTTTCCCTCCACATTTAGAAACATGCATTGAGTATTTGGCTGCTATATATTTCCACGTGATAGGCCACTTTGTTGAGCTAGCATTTGTGGTCAGGTCGCTTCTGAAAAAAGAGCCATATAGCTCAGTGGGCCTTACCTGGTAAAATAAAAAATAGTTGGTGACATGGCAACACTACTATGCATCTTAGGATGTAAGATCCACAATACAGTAAAACCTTGGATTGCGACCATAATTCGTTCCGGAAACGCGCTTGTAATCCAAAGCACTCGTATAACAGTTGTGATCACGTGATGCTCGGCAGACAAAGCGTCTATACATATACTTGTATTGCAAGAACTCGCTCGTTTATCAAATTAATATTTATTTAAAATTTTGCTCGTCTTGCAAAACACTCGCAGACCAAGTTACTCGCAATCCAAGGTTTTACTGTAATAGTATCGTTTGCTTTTTTCAAAATATCATCAGACCGTGGTTTAAAAATAGACGTATATATTATGTCCAGACACTATACATACGAAATAGCAAAGTCACTAATGAGCATTGTAAACACATAGCTCTTATCCATGAAAGTAGTGGTTTGCAAAATGTTTCTAGTAATTTATGGCAATGGCAAATATATCACTTTTCTAATTTCTATAGGTAATTGAATGACTCTTTTTTGTGTAACAGATAGCATCTGCCCTAGATAGCGTTATCAATTGTAATGATCGGAAATAGTTATGGCAGGCTTAATTTGAATGAAATTGCAGTTGAACATATTTGAAGTAATCTTTATCCGTACTAGAAGTGCAGCAAAGCGCAAACACAATACAGTTAACACGTGGAACACATTTACGACGTTATGCGAAACTGATATCAAGACAATCATTGCATCATTACATTTGACATTCTTATTGCATATTATGGTGAAAGATGATAGTGTAGCAACCCTAGTTATTATAATGCTTTTTGCTATTCACCCTTCATTTCAGGGGCTTGGTTAATTAATTTCCATAATACAAGCCGATCCCTTTATAGATACCCCACGGAATTCGAATGACCCTCAAGTTTTCTTCCCAACAGCTTGTTAAATATTGGGACAGTGATGGCTTCGTATATTACATAGGAGAGAGCTGACGGATTAATACGTGTATTAAAATTGGTGGGAGACACGTAGAGGCATTGTTTTTTTTATTGTAATTTCTCCGTATTATCGTATTTGGATATCTATAAATGGGTCAGCCTGTATGTATGTTGAACTTATTTCACGCTGTACCTAGTCAACCGTGCTAATCAGAGGTGCGAGATGTGTATACATCTCTGCAAAGCAATGCCCTCGAAGACAAATTGGCCATCGGTGATGCACAACAGATCACCCAATCGGTATCTTCGTGTAAATATTTTCCATTATAACTGAATAGCTCGAGAATTATTTTCCAACATGCACCATCACGATCCATTAAATGGACGAACGTCCACTGTGGAAGCTCTGCTCGAGAGCCGTGGACGTCTCGTTTTTCGCGCACGTTGCGATTTTCCACCTAATGTGAAATATCGTTTCCAAAAGCTCATCATGAAATAATTACAAACGTTGTCTCAGGAAAGCACCCAACTTAAACCATGGAATATTTTGTTGTTAGACATTTAATGCTGTTTAATATCGGTCAAATTCTAAGAGACCGTCCAAAATCTCCCTGCCAAACTGAATTAAATATAAAATATTCATATGCAGCCATTCCTACTTACACAACCCTCTACCCTCTCGGCAGCAATAGTTAAAATAAAAACTCAACACATTAGTCAACAACAGTGTGTGGCCTCCAAAGGAAAGCTGTATATAATAGGGGAAGTTTCGGGAAGTGGCCCTCCTTCATAGCACAACAATGGCGGGTGAGTCGTCAACGGTTCAAAATGCGTGATACCCACGGCATTTCCGGTGGGCATTTCAATAAAGGCAAGTGATGTTTTGTTTCAACGACATGTTGTTCGTATAGATGGTTATTTATTAATGGTTCGAAGCATGGTATAATGTTATGAGTTGCAGTACATGTTATCCGAAGCACAATATAATGGGCGCCGCGGTGGTGAGATGTTATCTCCCTCGCCTGGTATGAAGAATGTTGTGGGTTCGATCCCAACCCTGACACCTGTATAGTTGGAGATTGCATGTTCTTCCTGTGATCACGTGGATTTATCTCCGGGTCCTCTGGGTTTCCCTCCACATTTAGAATCAACATGCATTGAGAATATTCATATAGCTGAGTGGGCCTTACCTGGTAAAATAACAGTTGAGTTTGAAACATAGTTTAGTTTTATAATAAATATATCCTCTTCATGGAATCTGTCTCCTATAGCCCTATTGCTTATCTATGTATACTCTCTCAGTGCATTCCCCAGTGTAGCTAGCTGACAGTAATTAAATCTGTTTGCCTGCAGAAAAGCACCGGATCGAAAAGCACAGTATCTATCTTTGAATTATTCTTGGCAAATAAATGTATAATGGGAAAGGACATATTGCTTTTAGCCATCATTAACCAAGCACGATAAATGTTGAGAAAAGTTGCCCGAGAGTGCAAATTGTAAATTGTTGCAGCACATGTTTGGCTTTCCACGGCGCTTATTATGCACAGGGCTGGCAACTTGCCCCCGATTGGGCTGGTTTTGAAGCTCCTCAAAGTATGAGCCAAGACTCTGAGAACAAATCCAATCATTCTTAACCCTAGGGCTGCAGCCTGGCCCCCGGCGTTGAAGCCTTGAGGACTCAACACCAAACAAACCCTGCCAATGTGGAATGCTCCACACACCGGTGCCGATGTGCGCCGCTTCGTAGTGGCCTGTACAAAAAGATCCAAAGAATTTAGTTGGCGATGCTGCATTGGCAGTGGTGCACAAGCACACAAAGATAACACATTGAACACATTTGTCAATAACACTGCCTTGAAAGAAAAACGACGTATAATCGGTGATATTTTAGACAATAGCCCTTCTTCATAATCAGATAAGGATGAATGCAATATGTGATATTATTGCATCTTTAAAACAGAATATAGCATTGCGAGTTCTCTCTCAAGGTCCTAAGAAGATGGTTGGTATGCCTTTGAACAGGTATAAGCGAATGTAAAATCGCAATGGTAAACAATAACCATGAGGGGCTGACGCTTGAGAGCGACAACAAATGATTATTTTTCGTACGCAATCACACGTCGCCACTCTGAAAGTGAGCGTGGGCCTCAGCAACAATGAGGAAGCGCTAGCATTACGCTTGAGTTGTTTACTGTGGAGACTGGGAGATCGTTTATCGATGTCCGTTGCACCGGGTTGATGATGGCATTCGACGTGATTAATCACTTTAACAGTACGTATGCACGTATGCTGAACTTCTTTCGCACCGTACGTAGCCAACCATGCTAATAGGCGGTGCGGGGGAAGGCCAACAAACTAAATACAAAAAGCAGTTATAAAGAAATTAGTTTGCAATCTAGATTTAAAAGTTAATATCTCCACTGGCTTCCAAATATCGGATGGAAGGGCATCCACCGAAGGTGGCCATCTTCCGCTCGGCATTGTGCCGATGAGCAGGTGGTGTTCCGCGTGAATGGGTGCGGTGGGGTCACATCGAGTGCTGGGACGTCCGCTCCAAAAATCTCATGGTTCTTCTGGCTCTTCCATTGCAGATGAAGTACAAGGAGGACTACGAGAAGAAGAAGGCCCACATCAATATTCCCGAAGACTACAGGGACATCCTCGCTGCTAAGAAGGCGTACAAAGCAATAAGCAACGTGAGTTGTGTGAAATCATGTTCTGTGTAAATACCACAAATAACACAATGGCCATTAGCTACACCACATTTTTAAGCAGGCTTTCCCCCTTAACTTGCACTGTGTGAAATGGTAAACTGTAGGAAATTTTTGCTTAAGGTGTTGAGTACCACTGGCCACATGTGTCCTTTATAAAATCTCAAGTGAATAATGCTTCTTGCCTGCCAATATTTTTTTCTGCTGGAATAATCCTTAGCAAAAAACAGGTCTCACCCTGACGTTGTTGAATCTTGTCAACTTTGCGTAAGTTGCAAATAAATGTATAATTCATAGTGACTGTCACTCAGCTGCATGTATATATGTATTTTACTTCCCCGCCCTCCCCCCCCCACCCATGAAAAACAACATCCTTGAAAATAGCCCAGTGTTTTAATATGTAACTTTTGGTAAAAAAAAAAAAATGTGCATTTGGTTTAATATCGCTTTCGTGGAATGTATCAGGAAGCTGGAGTGGCTGTTTAATTCATCAATGTCTAACTTTATTGGAGCATACCTCAAGTTTGAGAACGGTTTTCAGTTTAAGCTGCCCCGCATCACACATTGTACTTTGCGCACATGTTAGCAGATGTGGGGAACGCCGGCCGATTGGCCGGCGTTCTCCCGCTGTAGAGACGTCTTGCAGCGCTCTGTTCATCGTGTTTTTTTCTCCGCAGTTTTTAAAGTGTTTTCTCACGTTTGTGCAGGTATCTTTGAAGGACCTTTTTTTGCCAGTATCAAAAACGATTACAAATAATCATAGTTTTTGCCATTTCTGGAAATAAACCAGGTGTTAAGATGTTCAAACACCAAATGCATACCTTTTGCAAGGGATTACATCTGCATTGACCACACATACTTGCGACAAAACATGTAAACAAACATGTTCCGATGTTTGCATTATCCATAAAACTGATTGGCCTACACCAGAGACAGCCTTCTTTAGATATAACTGCTCGACCCAAGCTATAAGTGTTCTAATACTTGCATTGTCTTTGTACTGTTCGCCTTTCGGCCTAACACTGGTGAGGCAAGGCCATAAAAAAGGCTGCCTCTGGTGTAGGCACCTTCGATTAGAACGGTTGGCTATGTACGGTGCAAAAAAAATCCACCATACATACCTACCTACAGCGCCACAGCCTTCTGGGATTGCGAATATATAGCAGATAATTATTGATGCAATTAAGTCACTTCTCCGCTTCATTAACATAACGCTAGCAGTTGCTCCTTTACCTGGCTAAACGATGGCGTTTATATTAAAGTCGTACACCTGGTGCTGTAACGACAATGATCGTCTTCCCCCAGCTGGAATACAAGACTCAGTATGAAAAGACGAAAGCCAAGTGGGGCTGGATCGCCGACCGGCCCGACGTTATCCACGCCGTCAAGACCACACTGCAGCAAAGCGACGTGAGTGTGCAGTGTGCATCATGCAGTGTGCATTGTGCAGCGTACACGTGGGCCTGTCATCGCCGGTGTAGCCGGTCCGCACTGTTCCCGCTCCTTCCCTCGTGAATCCTTTTGAGGGGTGGGGGGGGGGGGTGGGAGAGGTCAGCTAAATTGACAACAATTACAAAAAATAATAAAGTACGGGGACGACGGGTAGTGACTCTGCATTGTGTTCTGCCCTCCGGATAAGTGGGAGACTCGACAATAGCTGAATTCCTCGGTCCAGAAGATAGCCCCCACATCTACTTTGGGGGGGGGGGGGGGTGGGGGTGCTTTGTGCTCTACCATGCACGTGGGGGCTCGGGGTCCAATCTCTGATCACCGTTGATTCATGTTAAATTATAATGATTGTGCCCGTGGTTAAATCATGAGCCTGCATGCTTATATTAGGTTTTAGAATAGCATTATTTATTTACTTGCTTTTAGCTCTGTGCAGCGCCTTGCGACGTCTGGGTGAAACTCGCTTTATAAGTGTAAATTATTATTATTAATAAAACGCACCTGGCTACCCATAGCCATGCAAACTGGGTTCTTAGGTTCCCATATGCTACAGAGTGCACAATTATACACGTGCAATTCATCACAGGTAAGCCTACACCGGCTACACCTGTGAGTTTCATGGGGTTTTTTGTGTGGCTACGTGGCCAATGGGATCGCGTGGCATTTTAACTTTTTTTTTTGCTGACGATTTGATTGCAGGTGGAGTACAAGTACGACCGGGAGATGCTCAAGGGCTGCAAACTGTCCGTGGTGGACGACCGCAATGTAGCCCACGCCCTGCACGGAAACGAGCTGGCCAGCGAGGTGAGAGCCTTTTCCACATGCCTCTGCAACTCAGTGACGCGCACGCATGCACACGCGGGACGGCGGTGACTATGCACGCGCGCGGCACGTGATCCGGCGATGTGGAGGCAGCGAGGGTCAGTGGATCACAAAAAAACGTTGTGCAACTCCCTTTATTGTGGGTGTCGAGGAGGTGCCATCATGCCAATGGAGAATGTGGTACAGCAATGTGTGGACTGATATCATCTGTCCCTTATATATCAGATAGAGTGTCGCCCATTCTCATGTGGGGGTATTCTCCCGGTGGTCCGGTTTCCTCCCACAATCATTTCTTGGCCAATATCTTAATGTATAGAGGACATCGGAGGTGGGTTTGGGAATTCCGCGCCGGCTCAACGCCAAGCTGCCTTTCCCGCTTGTCTGTGGTGTCTTCTCGTACTTCTGAGTGGTTATTTCACTTCAAGAGCGATCACTGCACGTGTTACAAGTTGAGATTATGATTATTGTTAATACATTGCAAACTTGTATACAATTTAAAACACACACACACGCACATGGCTGTACAGCAGAGACAAAAATCAACATCATTAGTCTCATGCAAATCATAGCCAAATGCATGAGCCACACCCATTGCTTCATCTTCGTGGTGGTGGTGGTGGTTCACTCCTTTCACTGCCATTCTTTCACCATTTTTCTCCATCAGCCATCATTCCTTCTAGGAGCACGTCCTGCCACAAGCCTGATTCGATTGATCAACAGTCAACGTGCCTGCAATTTCCATGTGTTCTCTGATCCAAGTGTTTCTCGGTGTAATTTGCAGCATGCTTCTCTCTGTGCTTTTATGCACCTTTCAATTTTTGTTCCGTGTTCAGAGTCTCATGTGTCATGATAGGTGATTACATGCCGATTGAAAAGTTTCCTCTTGAGACACATTGCTTTGTTGTGTTTCATTCTGAGACTCAAGATACCAAAGGCACGCCATCCTGCTCTCTTTGTCTCTTTCTGTCTCTTAACCTGTAATTCATTATTTTGATCACAGTCCTTCAAAAATTGCCCTACATATGCTTACTCGGGCAATTATAGTGATTTATAGTTGTGTCATACAATGTATTTGTTTATGTAGCAAACTTTAAACAACGTTTTCATAATGAATGTAAATTCCTTTACATTATATTCTATGGTTATTTTGGTAAAGTCACGTAGATAGAAAAAATAAAAATAAAGTGATGAAAAATATCACGACGTTTCGATCGCAACACAAGCGTTCGTCATCCGGAACAGGGAGGTTAGCCTCTGAGGTCAAGCTGTTTATAAAGGTTTAGAGATGAGCGGGGCAGCTAGTGTTAATGTAAAAGAAGTCCCTACACCGGCAGTAGGTCTACACCAATCAAAGAGCTGTTTATAAAGGTTTAGAGATGGGCAGGGCAGCTAGTGTTAATGTAAAAGAAGTCCCTACACCGGCAGTAGGTCTACACCAATCAAAGAGCTGTTTATAAAGGTTTAGAGATGGGCAGGGCAGCTAATTTTAATGTAGGAGAGGGCCCCGACACCGGCAGTAGGTTTACACCAATCAAAGAGCTGTTTATAAAGGTTTAGAGATGGGCGGGGCAGCTAATGTTAATGTAGGCAAAAGCTCGACACCGGCAGTAGGTCTACACCAATCAAAGAGCTGTTTATAAAGGTTTAGAGATGGGCGGGGCAGCTAATGTTAATGTAGGAGAGGTCTCCGACACCGGCAGTAGGTCTACACCAATCAAAGCATTGCACCTCGCTCCACACACCCACACTGCTGACGGTGGAGGTTGACAATAAAACACAAATCAAGTCATGACCCAAGTGGTTGATGACATCTTTCCAATTATTTCTGAGCTTATAACCATCCTCTCGGTTGAAATTGTGTCTGTAAATATGGATGGCTTCATGAACGAATCTTTGTTGATAGCCAGTAGGCTTGCAAAGTACCTTCAATTTCGTGTGAGCCAGCCGCATTTAAATAATGATCAGCCATGGCAGAAGTATTTGTCCTACCGTGTTTGAAATCTGCCTTATGCTCATGAACACGGTCCGATACTTGTCGCTTAGTTTCCCCATTGTAACTACTGCTGCAGATACAGCTTAGTTTGTAGATGCCGGCATATTGCATGTCGGGGATCTTATCCTTCACAGATGGGATCAGATCACGAATTTTATGTACTTTTTAAAATCGGACCTGGATCTTGTATTTGTTCATGATTTTGGAAATATTTTTGGTTACCCCTGCTATGTATGGCAGATGGCTCCTTCCTCACGGTTGGGGTGATGGCTTTGCGGATTGTGTAGTCAGAGTATCCATTCGCCTTGAGAGCTTGGTGTACGTGTTTGAGTACACTGGTTAGGTGTTCATGGTCAGAGATACATTTAGCTCTATGGTGTAGCGTTTTGATGAGGGCATTCTTCTGGGATGGGTGATGGTGGGAATCAGGTTTTAGGTAGGTGTCAGTATGAGTTACTTTCCTGTAGACAGAATGGCTCATTGAGCCATCAGGTCTATTTTTGATTAGGACATCCAAGAAAGGTAGCATGCTGTCCGTTTAATCCTCCATGGTGAATTTGATGGCTGGGTGTATGGAATTGATGTGATTGAGAAATTGGTTCAGAGCCGGTCGGCCATGTGGCCAGATGACAAACGTGTCATCCACGTACCTCTTCCAGAAGGACGGGCGTAGAGTGGATGCCTGGATGGCGTCCGTCTCAAATTTTGCCATGAAAATATTGGCTACAACTGGAGATAAGGGAGAAGCCATTGGGGTGCATTCAGTTTGTTTGTAGAATGTTCCATTTCAGGTGAAGTATGTATTGGTACATCAGCATTCAATCCTTGGACCATATCTTCAATAATTGCAATTTTATTGGGCACAGGAACTTTGGTGAACAAGAAACTACATCTAAACTAACGAGCAAATCACTTGGGGACAGTGATATGTCTTTAATTGACGATACCAAGTGAGCTGAGTTAAGTACAGAAGAGGTGGTCTTACCAGTGAATGGCTGCAAGGACTCAAACAGATATCGGGCCAGTTTGTAGGTGGGTGAGCCAATGGTGGAGACGATAGGACGGAGTGGAGTACCTTCTTTATGGATTTTTGGTAAGCCATATAATCTGGGTGGTCAAGCAGCAGAAGGTTTTAAGGAAAACCGTTTGGTCTGTTCAATTAATGAAGCTGAAATAGTGATGATAGTGTTCGTTTTTGTAACGAGGCTGTTGGTGGGATCTCTTTAAATTTTTGTGTAGCTTCCATCATTAAGTAGGTCCTGAATTTTGTTATTATACACGGTTTTGTCCATGATAACCATGGCATTGCCCTTGTCGGCTGAGAGGATGACGATATAATCCCTCTTTTTCAAATGAGATAACTCAAAACGCTCATCCTTACTGATGTTACTGACTGGTATCTTAGTGCTTTTGAGGGTTGCAGCGATTTCAGATGTTGTCACGTATGCAACGATGTGTCCCAAACCCTTAAGAGCTACATCGACTTGGGCAATGCTTTCATCCACTGGTATGTGTTTGGGGGTGACTCCAAAGTTTAACCCTTTAGCTAAAACTGACTTTAGACCATCGGAAATTGGGCTATTACTCAGATTAATAACAACCTTGTCAACGTCTAACTTTTTAATGTGTGGGTCTGATTTCTTCTTGCAAAGGAGGTTGAACTTGGAAATCAGGGTATCTTTACATTTAGCTGACATAGCGGCTGATGAAACAGTCATGTTAACTACATGTTCCCAATCAGATCTAGTTCAGTACAGAGCAGTCTAATTCTCTCTGAGATCAGGGCCAAGCTAGCCCTGAACAAGATTCGTCTGGCATTGGAAGATGTGATGGCAGCAAAAGTCAGTGTAAATGAGATCGGTATTACCTTAGAGTCGCGGCATCTCTTCAGAAATGTGAGTGACTCGATCAGATGAGCTTTCTTGTCTCGGAGTTTGTTACATTATCTTATGGTTATGTGTAAACCCTCCCCGTAGAGGCGATTAAATTTTGACTTAAAACTTTCGTGACTGCAGGAATTCATATTCTATGGTTCTTTCGGTAAAGTCACGTAGATAGAAAAAATAATCATACAAATTAAGTGATTCAAAATAACCATTTGCTTTCATCCCACAGGTGAAATACAGAAGGAAGTATGAGCAAGTGACCAAGGGGACATGCATCCAAGTCGCCGAGACTCCTCTGATGAACCTGATGAAGCGCGTTACTGATATGGTGTCTCAGGTACCTCTTACCGCCTTGACCTCAGCATCACGTGACAGTAGTGGGCCAGCTGCCACCTGTAGACACAGCAAGAAGGCTTTCTGCAGATGTTAGTCATCTTATGTGGTCACCACAGAATGCTAAAACCGTGAAACAGAAATAATAATAGCCTGCTTGGTGTTGACCTCGTACATCAGGTTGTTAAATAAGCAGAATCAGGCCCGGCCACTGGCTATCAGTCACTCATATCAGATTGGTGCAAAACCGATATGAATACGTTTGGAAACAAATGTATGATGTAATATTATCGATCACTGTTTACTGTGGGACGTTAAATGCTGGTGTTCTAGTGTACATCCACCAGATGATAATCAGCAACTCAATATTAGAGTGAAGAACTCTCGTTATCGAACTTCAAATGACCATGATCTGCCTTGAAGAGGATCCTGGAGATCATTGGCCTCCCATCTGGTTAAATACAATTAATGGATTATGAAATAGCAGTGTTTCGTTATAATCCACTGCTATGGACTGTGATCCCAGTCAAATAAACTGTAATCAATATATAGTTACCGTTTTATACTTAATAAAAAAAAGTTCATTGCTTTTGTTGTAATAACGAGGTTCAATCGCGCGAATCTGTGCGTGTCTTTTTTCTTGCTCCGAAACCAGAATAAATACAAGGCGTCGAGCGCGAAGATCCTGCCGAAGGCTTCGTTTACGCACATGCCTGAGACACGGGAGACGGTGCACATCAAGGAGGTGTCCAAGATGCAGAGTCATGTGAGTGGCACAGCAGTTGCTACGGCTGCATCTACGTTCGCGTTTGTAGACTGTGGTCTTGTCACGGCGCTTAGGGGAAATACGTTTTCTTGAGAGTCAACGCCGGTATATATGTGCATTTCGGTGGGACAAAGGCTCGGTTATCCGTGCCCACGAACCAATCGCTGGGTAGACAACGCTGCTTGGGCATGGGTACGCGCACACTCGCTTCTGTGCTCGCGAGCGCCGCCGCGTGTGGTGATCCTCTCGGCGGCGCAGGCTGCGGGCCTAGGACACCGTCGTACCCTCGCCGAGCAGACACGCGAGCGAGTGTGCGCGCCGCTCTTTAACCTCGCACCTTCGCGGCGGGGTACCTCTGGTGCGTATTTTCTCAGTCTAAAAATCAGCGGTAGGCCCGAATGTTTCTTTATCTGCTTATTGATACGTCTTTTTGTTTTTTCACATCGTTGCTAAACACATTGGAAAGTTAAACGATGTAATGGATTATATGTAACACCGAGGCTATCGCGACCAATTCTAACATTGGTCACGACAACCAGTGTCAGACCAGAGAATGACAAAAGGCGAATAGTGCAAAGGCAATGCAAGTATCAAGGTAATAATAGCTCAGGTTGAGCAGTGTTATATCTATGGGACCTTTTTTTTTTACTGGTAAACACTGATGAGACAAGGCCATGAAGAAGGCTACCTCTGGTGTAGGCCAATCAGTTTAAAAGACAATGTTTTTACCACAAGGACGTGTGGTTAATGCAGACTTGGTGACCTGCAATAAGGATCTATTTGGTGTTTAAACATCTTAACACCTCCTGTTTTATTGCCAGAAATTATTTTTAAAAAAGCCTATTTTTATTTTTTCCCCATAATTTTGAAGCCAGCAACAAAGGCCCCAGAAAGGCATTGGTAAGAATGACGATTTTCCGCCCCGGCGCTCGACTGCCCTGGTGAGCGAGGGGTTCGCTTTTGCGTTTCCGTATGCGCGCCACAGAATACGTACAAGGAGAAGTTTGAGAAGGAGAAGGGGAAGTCGAACTACGCCATGATGGTGGCGCCGCCTGACGTGGCGCACGCCGTGGATGTCGCCAAGAAGCAGAGCAACGTGAGCTGTCGCGCTGTACCCACACGCTGCGCCCCGCGCACACACACACACACAGCGCGCACGTGCCTCACCTCTTTGTCGCCAAGAGAGCTGGCGGTACCTGTAGCAGCTCTAACCAGAGCAGATGTCAACCACCGGCCACGTGGCGCAATGGTCGAGTGAGCAGCTTGGTTGGGTGGGAGGGGGGTTGACTCGGCCCGTCGTCCCTCCACGGTTGATATAATGAGCACTCTGCTGCTTTGCGGGGGAAATCACGAGCGGTTGTCCTTTGGATCGAATCGCCCCCGCATAAGTAATGTAGAATTTTCACCGCTGGCACAGGACTGTAAATGGGTGATGAGCACTGCTGCAGGACATCACTTTTGCCTTTTTACTTCATCTGTATTCCGGTGGTGTCTTGTGCATTGGTGACGGCTCACTTCTGCTACCAATGTTGACCACGCACTCAGTAGAAACCCAGTGGGAAACCCATTGAGGTTCAACGGTGACACGTTACTTGGAGGGAGCCTACCACAAATATCCCCTTGCCCTTCTAATAAAGGCACGTGCCTATCCATTGTGTGATTGCGAAAGAAGGCCTCGTGACATTCATCAGTCCATTGTGAATTGTATAATGGTTTTGCCGACTTTATCAGGCAGAGGTCAGTTACTCCTTCAGAATGTCGACTTTGTTCACGTAAAAACTACACCAGATACGCTTTCAGATGGCACCTCATTCGTTGAACTTTGCGGAGTGGCCTTGGAGGAATTCTGCGTACAAAAATACATACAGTGCATACATAGCCGCTGGCTTACGTAGATTTTAAAACCTGTGTTGTGACAATGCTCTGGGGCACTTCTGGTGTGCATTGGAGTCCACCTACGGTCTCATTGTGGCACGACCTCAGACTCCTTGGTAGCGTGCCTGAGAGCATGACTAAGAGTGGTAACGACTATCCCTGCGAATATTTGGGTCCATCAACAACTGTGCACATTCCACAGTTGTAAAAAAATGTTTGCCACTGTGAAATCCTCAGGTATTACAATATTTATTGTTTCTTTAAACATTGTGTCGCACGTTATTTGATTTCTATATTCGACTGATGTGACGTACTCGATTTTTTTCACGAATCACCATCGTCCATTATCTGTCTGCTGCTGGCTGAAGGCTTTCCCACAGCATCACCATCCCTCACGGGCTCGCGATGCAGCAGTCCATCCGGCTCCTGGGCATGAGCTGATTTCATTGCTTACATTTCCTCAGCGGATGCGCCCCTTCTGGCATGCTACCCTCCTGTTAACATTACGTTTTAAATTATGCTTGTGCTGTGCTACACCTTGGTTACAGCTGAGCTACAAGAAAGATGCCAAGTCCAAGTTGCCCTACACATCTGTGGCTGACCGTCCAGACATTCTGAAGGCCAAGCAGGCAGCAAAGCTCATCAGCGATGTGAGACACGTGAACAATTGCAGTATTCACATTTATATGCATAAATGTACATTGCTACTAAAAAAGCAGACAATAGAATGCAATGTTAAATTTAGTTTTAAAGCTTTCGTGACTGCAGGGATTCATCTTCTTGGTTCTTTCGGTAAAGTCACGTAGAAGGGAAATAATAAAATAATAAAATAAAACAATTAAATTATCACGACGTTTCGATTGCAACACAAGCAATCATCATCAGGTGTGAAAACCACAGCAAAATTTTTATTTTATTTTCTTATTTCCCTTCTACGTGACTTTACCAAAAGAACCAATAATAAGAATACAATGTATCCGCATTGATAGGTGTGTAGCCTGCACATTAATTACAGAATGCGTGGTGTCAAGGAAAGCACGCAGTTTAATGTTCATGGAGAGCTAATGTATAAGGTTAAAGTATTGTTTTCTGTTCAGTGTAAAATATCCAGATTTCTGCATTCACATACAACATCTTGTTTGCATTGTAGTAAGTTGAAACATAGCAGAACATATTTTAGTTTCGTAAAAAAAAATATCAGAGGCTTAGTTTCTTGGAAATGGTTCTTAAACTTGAATATTTTTTTAAAATGAAAACTGTGACAAAATTAACCGAACCTCATGTGGCTTATTTCCTAACCCTTAAAACTGCTTTCTAACGAAACATCCCACGCACAGCTGGTGTTTTCAACCACATATGAGCACATGCCACCATTGACGCATTCATAAGCATTCATCATACACCTTATTAAATGTACTAATACGTCAAATGTTCACGAACAGTTAAGAAATAAATAGAACTTCACCAAAGCTAGGCAGGCCCCTGTCAGCGCAACATTCGTCGCTGTGCGACTGTTATTGCCGACGTTTGTGACGGCGATGACGTGATGTTTGTTGTTTTCTGCTTTAGATCGAGTACAGGGCAAAGGCCAAGGAGGAGAAGGCCCACCCAAGCGCCATGGTGGGACGTCCTGACATCGAGCTGGCCAAGGAGGTGTCGAAGTTGACGAGCCAGGTCAGTCCGCTGTAAAACGCTCGGCACCCACAAACAAAGATAAAGTTCCCCCCCCCCTTATAGCCTTAACGGACGGTTGGAGAAAGCGCTGTTCGCGAGCAGCTATGAAGGCTGGCACAGCACACGAGGGGGTGGGTGGCCAGCATCACCCCCGGCCGCCTTTGTCTCTACATACACACACATATTTACACACACAAACGTATCAATCAAAACTGGGAGGCACACTGACCATGTTGATGAGGTCGCCGATGTGCTTGGCGAGCCTGAAAGCCGGCGAGTTGGAGGAGTACGTGAACTTGCAACACCACGCCCGGCCACACTTGTCTCTCTGGCTCAGTTTACACACTGAGCAAGGTATACATTTGAGGCAAAGTCGACCTAGGGGATGTCCAGGACCGGTTCAGATAAACTTCACCGGTGTTGACCGTGAGCGGGAATCAAACTTGGGTCGCCGGGTTCGTAGCGCAGCGCGCTAGCCGCCACACTACCGGTCCCTACAAACACGTGTCCAACTGCTCTCAGCACTTGCCCGTGGAGGGCTAATACCCAAAACGTCAGCTCCGCTACGACAGCAGTGAAGCGCTTTCATCCGGTGATTGTCCATGACTGTCGCGGCGTGGGCCCCGTTCTATTCTTGCGTCCGATGGCAATATTATCGCTTGAGTTAAAATGCTCAATGTCGAGCTCTGCTGGCCACAAGAGGACTTCAAGAGAGGGTTCGTGTAATTTTTGCTGTTCCTCTTCCGTTAAAGTAGCGCATGCCACGGTGATTTTTATTTTGTGGCCCGTAGTTTTGATTGCGTTGCCGCAATCGGCATGGCCTCAAAAGCCTGTACTGACAGTGGGATTTCTCTTACCCTGTTTAATTGCATCGTTCGTGTGTGGGCGTGATGTGGCGATCACCAGGTGGAGTACACCAAGCAGAAGCTGAGAGGACACGGAGCAGCATCGTATGATACGCCCATGATGAGGCACCTCAAGAAGATGGTGACGCTGTCCAGTGATGTGAGCACCACTGCCCAGTTTTAATTGTTTGAGCTGTGCTCGCTCGTAGCTTTGCATCGTTTAGTTGTGATTGCAATTAAGGCCTTACTTCGTAAGCTGCAACCAGCAGCTGGGGCGTAAATGTGGCTTCTTATATTCTACCTCTGAAAATGCCGCTATTATCTGGGATGTGAGCCATTGAGACGTTGTTTTCAAAGTCAGTAAATATGTCGGAGAGGAAGAAAAGGCAAGGAGATTAGTTGGTAAAAAAAATGATTTTTCTCGGTCATGAACATTCTCTGATAGCGTTGTAGCTCGGTGTTTCTTGAGGCAGACTTTCCTGTCTTTGCCAAAACGTCTTCCCTCCACAGCTGAAATATAAGGAGAAGTTTGACAAAGAGGTGAAGGGACAGAAACCGACTGGAGACTTGAAGGAAATGCCCGCATACAAGACAGCCAAAGACGCCACATCGCTGGCCAGCGAGGTGAGAGCTCAAAGCAACCCATCTAGCCAAAGCAATCTATGGCTGTCGGTGTTGACTCAACCATACATCAGCCAGGTTGATTAATGACCCCGCATTTACTGATTCACCCCAATCCGTTCACCCGCTCATCGGCGGGACAGTCGCCGCCCCATCGCGCTTCTATTTCCAACGCACTATTGCTGCTCTTGTCGCTACCGCTGCCGTGAACCTTGCTGCCGTTCACTCCGCGCACACCACAGGTGAAGTACAAGCAGGACCTGAAGAAGATGCACAACCCGGCTTGTGCCGACTCGCTGCTCAATCAGCACGTGACGGGCACCAGCAAGCTGGCCAGTGAGGTAAGCGTCGTCTTGTCTGTTCGCTAAAGAAATCGCTGTACACATCCACAACTATGCGGACACAGGACTCTGCTGGGTGTCTTACATTCATCGCGCCTAACCACTTGTGACACGTCGTGCCCGTAGTGAAGTGGAAATCCTCCTGCCTGTGATATTGTAGACCGCAGCACACGTTTAGTACTGTCTTTGTTTTAACCTTTGAACTCTGTTGATGAGATATGTGAAAGTTATTCCCTTCTCAAGGATGTGTGTATGTTGAACTTCTTTTGCACTGTACGTAGCCAACCGTTCTCACCGGAGGTGCAGGGGAAAGACAATAAACTAAACACAAAAGGCAGTTCTAAATAAATTCGTTTTCAATCTAGATGATATAAAAGTGCATAGCTCCTGGTGGCTTCCTAATATCGGAAGGAAGAGCGTTCCAGACGGCCACAGAAGCGCATATGAAAGTGCGCAATGCGGTGACCACCGTCTTTGTTCGATGGCTTGCCTTGAGGTGGTACTCTCACCTCCCTAGTTACAGCCCTGAGCCAGTGGTGGCAATTACACATTTCTATGGTGGTGGGGGGGGGGCAGACAATGTTGCTCGCTGGGACTTCTTGCTGTCAATGATATCACAGCCAGGATGGATTTTTGTGTGTGTTTTTGTTCCCCCTTCTGGTCATCTTCACTGTGAATCGGTTGGGATCCATGGTGAACACTGCTGCTCATGGATTGCTTTGCCCCAAAGCCACGGAGAATTCACGGACAATTGGCTGTGCATAATAGTCACTGCTATTATGTAGAGCGTGTTGATGGACAATAATTGAGAAGGAATTATTTTTATCACCCAGATGGGAATGTAGAATTGATGTTTCAGCTGGTTGATCTTCCGAAGGAAATGTATAAAAGGTTATGTGGATGTGAAACACCGTTATATACAATTTCTATCTTAGAGACTCGTCATTGTAGAGCATTGTGGGCAATAACATTTATAAATAGACTTACATTCTGTCTCCACATACAAATACAATGTTCTTTAGTCATTGGCCTATTGTTTAATAAGCCTGTCTCTGCTGATGAGACCCAGAAAGGCAAAACTACTCGATAATATTGGTTTGGAAGCCAATAGGCTGCTGATTAAAATTATTGTCGTTATATACGTGTTTTGACAATGGATGTCTGGTAACTTCCAAGACCATTCCAATTCACTAAAAAAAGCTACACTTGTCAACGTGGGCATCATCATAATTTTGTTTACGTTGCAAAGTTACATTTGGGTCGGATAAGTTTCCTGAGATTTTGTCACATACAAGTTTGGTTCTGACCATGCTCCTTGGTATCGTTGAAGGAAAATATTCCTCGCCCAGGTGCGTTCCAGTCCAGGTGCTCACGGTTGAATGTGCTCAAGCTTGTGAATGCAGTCAGCCGTTGCCTGTGTCAGAGCACTTGCCCAGATCTGTTAAGTTGCTGAGTGTGAAGCCCTTGTGGGCCGCATGAGAGAGGTAACATAAACTTTATTGATATTCTTTGGGTCTTTCGGTAAAGTAACGTAGATAGGGTCAAAATAATTATAAAAAACTACGACGTTTCGATCGCAACACAAGCGGTCGTTATCCACCTGGCGACGACCGCTTGTGTTCTACGTGACTTTACCGAAAGAACCAAGAATATGAATCCCTGCAGTCACGAAAGCTTTAAGTCAAGATTTTAACTTTATTGAGTTCAAGTTCTCAGTCCGGTTAACAATTATTGCCCAAATACTATTGTAGAAACTCATTTTATACTAAATATTAATAATCCGCCTTGCTCAAATGAGTACTTTGGCAGTGCTCATCTCCTGTTTACAGCCCTGAGTCAGTCGTGGAAACTACACATTCTTATGGCGGTGGAAAGTTTATCCATAGGACAACTGCTTTCCCGTAAACTGGTAGTTATTTTATCGACTGCAGCGGGATGATGGACTGAGTCAACTCCCAGCGAAGATTTAACTCACAATCTTCCGATTGTGAGCTGCTCGCTGTTTCGCTGAGCCACGTGGCCAGCTACCTTGCAGAGAGAAATGTAAATCAATGTATATTGGCTGAAAAGAGGCCTTTTGAAGGGACGCCAAAAGTAGATTTGTGGTCTCTTTTCCTGGGTTTCTTCCCTCATGTGATGTCACGTATGATGTCTATTTCATAGTCCTTTGCTTTGACTCTGATAACAAAAGAGCAAACCGATTTTAATAAGCAAATCCAACGAGACCTTGTGATGTGCTCTTGCTGCCGGGCCTGACAAGATTTTTTTCAGGAGCCTGGTTAGGTGTAAATGCCCCGTGAGAAACTGTTTCGAAGGAGAATTAATATTCATATTGATAGACAGTAAGAGTGTGTGTCCATCCAGCTTGAGCTAAGCTGGTGTTGTGAGAAATAGCTTTCTGAGTGGTTGGAAAGTGAACCGTACTTGCTGATCTGCAAAGCCATGTTTTAATGACCAGAACTCACCCACCGCTCCATTGTCCTCCGTCAACCGAGGGTCACTTAACTGGCAATTGTTCAGAGCTCTTGCCTGACATTAAACACGAGGGCAATCTAATCAAAATGCACACATCCATAGAAACTGTGATAGTCTGTGTAATCTCGATTGCAGAGTGAGATCAGCCTCGTGTTCCATGGTTATTCCTGAGGAGGGCTAGCTGGCTGAAACGTCTATGGTTTCCTCTCGGAGATGAAAATAATCATTTGTGCTTTTGTTGTGTTGTACATAATCCACCTGGCTACGATCACTAAAACAACGGTATGCCACGTGATAAATACATTTATGTTGCTTGAACAATTAAAAATACATTTACGGAAAATAAAAGGGCCTTTTCTAAAGGTGTGTATGTTTAAAAAAGGACTCTCACATAAACTGCGAGATCAACTCCGAATGCATAAGAACAAACAGCACATCATGTAGAACTCACGGTGTACGTTTGAGGTGGCTGGGTGGCTCGGAGCGCTGAGGCTGGCACCACTGAGACCGTGGGTAAAGCCTGGCTTTCAGCCACCCTCGTTTAAAACCGGGTTCTTTAAGTGCATTAGTTTTAATTGGCCTCGGCCTGGTCACCAACGACTGCACAGAAACCATCACACGCAGAGTAACATTTGGCTTGCCCTTGATTTTGGCTACATTGCAGCTCTGTCATACTAAATAAATTATCTCACAGCAGAGCCTGTGGGAGGGTGCGCCTCCTCACTTGTCAAGGATATTTCGCAAGTCCTGTGAAAAATAACTTCCAATGAGCCGCCGTGTGGCATGTGGGATGCACGTTCTCCTTGTTATGGCACAATTATCATACATTGGGGGAAAAATTTTTTTGGCAATATAACAAAAAAACTAAATTTACATCTTGATAGCAGCTTTTGATACTCATGGCACCCCTCTGTTTCACATTATTTGCCAGACCACTAATTACACTACTCACGATTGTACTACCAAGTGTTGCTGGATTAACTTTTACGTACAGGAGTTTGTGTACAGGGGCCTTGGTTTAAGAAAAAGGCGCCCTTGAAGAAATCAAGTTTTGATTGATTGATTTCCAGGAAAAAATTACAGTTACATGTGAACATTCTTGGCGAATGAACACTGAGGCAGCGAGGAGTGCACCTCATTGTGCTGCATGCAGTGGTGCTGCCGACAAACGTACGAAGCCGATCGCTGTAAACGCTGCGTTGGGAAGGGGGTGCATAAGAGACGGTGCCATACGCACACCTGGAGTCTGGACTCAAATGACCCCGTGTGCCCATATACACCCCCTTCTGGATGCAACCTCACCCCAACGTTTTTCCACTTCACAGTGTTTTTTCAGACCTCGCTGTTCTGACATTGCCCCGTCATACACACCGCTGTTTTCCACCTTGCTATTTTAGCTTTGTATAATTTAGTTTAAGGTCACAACAGTAACATAACTCAGTGTGCTTTTTCCGTACTCGGCAACTGCACTTCATGACTGACTTTCTCAATTCGACTAATGTCACAGCTTGTGCACTTTAACAACGAACCATTAACCCTACGTTTTCTCTCTAAAAGGTTCCGTGTCTGTGTCCTCATCCGTTTCATTATTTTCAGCTCGGTTTTTATGTACAGTTACAATCCATGACCATCACAGTAGAAATGTCTATAGGAGTAACAGATACACGTTGTGAGGATAAAGCATTTTTGCCACGCCTTATGGAATTATAAGGCTGAATAAGCAAGATGCCTATTTAAATTACAAAAGTTAAACGAACAATTGAATGCAATTGTGAGTGTCTGATGCAAAACTCTTGAGTAATATGGACAGTTAAATGGAAGAAGGTCATGATCGCCCACGTCTTTGTGAAAGGACACGGTACATAGGGATAAAGATTTTTTTTAAAAATACTGGTGTATATATGATTGTCGCAACATAAGCGGCTTACTTGAATACAGGATCAGCCATTCTATACAGAAAAGACAGAACTTCAGTCTAGATTAACAGGTCAGATATATGTGCAGCAACGAAAAGACCATTCAGTGTGCCGAGGAGAAGACATCTCATGATGATGCTGACACTGTTGATAGTCATGAATATTATCCACGATCTATCGACTGCTGGATATAGCCCTCCCAAAAGTCTTTACCATTCATCAAAGTCTGTTGTGTAGCCTTAACAGACTTTCGTGGGAAGTGCCGTTAGCGAGCACCTATGAAGGCCGGCACGGCACACAAGCCGGTGGACGGCCGCTGTTGTCTCCCTAGTGGCGATGTTTTACACACCGCACCAGGTACTAATTTGAGGCGGAGTCAACCTAGGGGAGGCTCAGGATCGGTTCAGATAAATGATCACTGGTGTTGGTGGCCATGAGCGGGAATCGAACTCGGGTCTCTCCGTCGCTCTGTCTCCATGGTGGAGTCCTCTCTGCCGCGTTCTCTCCTCTGGCTGCCGCTCAGTCACCGGTCAGCGATGGCGGTCGGCTGAGAACGTGAAAGAGAAATGGTACCAGAGTGACGGTTGACTCATTCTCAGGAAGGCCGTGAGGGAAGGCCGTGAGGGATTTTTATAGCAAAGAGAGGATGTTTTAATAATAGGGGTTTTCCCCTTTTTTATGGCAACAAAACTGAAACCTTTTTACAAGGATTCATGTCTGCATTAACCACAATTCCTGCAGTCAAAATGCAAACAAAAGACATACTATGATAATATATGCATTGTCCTTGAAACGGATTGGTCCACACCAAGGGACGGCTTTCTTTTGAGCCTCGACCCAATTGGCGCTCGACCAGATGACACCAAAAGGCGTACAGCTCAAAGACAATGCACTATCAAAGTAATGAGGGCTCGGGGTGAGCATTTACATCATTAGACCTCCTTTGCCAGTACCAAAATATAATAATAGGGTTTTTCCCCTTTTTTCTGGCAACAGTTTGTTTTTTATTTGCATTTTGACTGCAGGTATTGTGGTCAATGCAGACATGAATCCTCGTAAAAAGGTTTCAGTTTTGTTGCCAGAAAAAAGGGGAAAAACCCTATTTTTACATTTTGGTACTGGCAAAGGAGGTCTAATGATGAAAGAGGATGTTTTGTTGGTAAGAAAGTCAATGGGAGACCATTTTGAGTAACCCATGAGGAGGTATAATGAAGTTAATTGTTAAGTTTCTGGGCAGAAACATTTTACGTAAACTTAAGTTGTCAATGTTTAGGATTCATAGAGCTCATGGCAAAATAGAGTTGCAGGAATTACATTTTAAGAAGTGGTGTCACAGTAACGTGAACATTGGCAGAGTGATGTGAGTTCAAGGTTCAGTCATTGGAGGGACGACATTGTTACTTGTGCACCACACAATGTATTTATTCATATGAGTAATACAGCAGTAGGTTCATTGCATTATTGTTTGAATGGCATTACAGGTTTCCTTCGCTTTATGCAGGTTTGGTTTGTGCAATTTTGCCAATATGCGGCTAATCTATTTCGACCCAAAATTAGTTCTATTGCGGTTCGAATTCACCCAGATGCGGCTATTCCAGGGGTCGGCGATCAAAATAATAATAATAATAATACGTTATTTTTTAAAATTCGGTAAAAAAAACTCAATATAATCACGAGATGCAATGCATGTGGTGAATACGAGACAGTGGTCCTTAATAAATAACGTCACGAGGTAGTTCTTAATGAGGCTCACGCGGCTCCGATGCCGCAGGTTTCCAACCCCTGCCCCATGGTAAACTGGTCTTCCATGATAAACTGGACTTCCATGGTAAACTGGACTTCCATGGTGAACTGGACTTCCATGGTGAACTGGACTTCCATGGTAAACTGGACTTCCATGGTGAACTGGACTTCCATGGTGAACTGGACTTCCATGGTAAACTGGACTTCCATGGTGAACTGGACTTCCATGGTGAACTGGACTTCCATGGTAAACTGGACTTCCATGGTGAACTGGACTTCCATGGTGAACTGGACTTCCATGGTAAACTGGACTTCCATGGTGAACTGGACTTCCATGGTAAACTGGACTTCCATGGTGAACTGGACTTCCATGGTGAACTGGACTTCCATGGTAAACTGGACTTCCATGGTGAACTGGACTTCCATGGTAAACTAGACTTCCATGGTGAACTGGACTTCCATGGTGAACTGGACTTCCATGGTGAACTGGACTTCCATGGTGAACTGGACTTCCATGGTGAACTGGACTTCCATGGTAAACTGGACTTCCATGGTGAACTGGACTTCCATGGTGAACTGGACTTACATGGTAAACTGGACTTCCATGGTAAACTGGACTTCCATGGTAAACTGGTCTTCCATGGTAAACCTGGACTTCCATGGTAAACTGGATTTCCATGGTGAACTGGACTTCCATGGTGAACTGGACTTCCATGGTGAACTGGACTTCCATGGTAAACTGGACTTCCATGGTGAACTGGACTTTTATTGTAAACTGAACTTCCATGGTGAACTGGACTTCCATGGTGAACTGGAACTCCATGGTAAACTGGACTTCCATGGTGAATTGGACTTCCATGGTGAACTGGACTTCCATGGTGAACTGGACTTCCATGGTGAACTGGACTTCCATGGTGAACTGGACTTCCATGGTAACTGGACTTCCATGGTCAGGGGTCGGCAACCAAAATAACAAGAAGAGACATTTTTTTTGAATTTCACGAGCCGCACCGCAGTCCTTAAAGAACCACCGCATGCGGTTCCGGAGCCGTAGGTTGCAGACCCCTTGGGCTATGCGGTCGAACGTGGGACAACATCGTGTGTACTGTGTGTTCTGTATCCGCTACTCAGCAGGCAGCTGTCTCGTGGGGTTTCACTTTGTGCACCCTTTTATTGGAACGCATCTATTATAAAGGGAGGGAAACCTGCAGGTTTTACTTCAGCGAGAAGTATCGGTCACCTGTCGGGTGATTAAATACGGTTTCGAGAGTGAGTCGGCATTTACCCTCCGTGGGTTGACACCGCTGTGCATGTGCTGATTGTCCACTTCCCCCGCTCAGTATTGTTACAAGAAAGTCTATGAGGATAATAAAGGACATTACATTCTGGTGGCCGATTCGCCAGAGCAAATACACCTGAAGGAGGCGTCTGATCTTCAGAGCCAGGTAACGCGCACGCGGGGTGGCGTGCGACGGCGTTTCGCTCCCTTGCCCCGTGAGCACGTCCACGCGTTCGCGTGTGCGGTTCCCTACGGTGCGCGTGTGTGGCGTGAAATTTTTTGTTGTTGCATTTCAGTCCACGAGCCCAGATCCGATTATGATCTCAGGTCGGTATCACCAGATACAGCGTGACATTGAATTCTCTCTCCTGCTTCCGGTTCTCTGAATTACCTTCTTACATTTCTCTTTAGTTCATCCTCCCTTTGGCCGACATAACTTTTTTGTTATGATGTGTACATTGTAGTCCAGATATCTTGTGATCTCCAATTGTTTATTTTTTTCCCTTTGTATATTCATTTCTGTTTTAAATAAACTTTACTTGCAAAAAATATATAACATTTTAGAGGATTAAATGGTGGTCACAAGGCATCTGGACCACCCTTTACATTGCCTTGAGTACCGAGTACAAAGTCGCCTTATGAAAGTAATTTATTCGTTATGATTGTTAAATTCGTGGTTAAAATTTTTTTATGTGGTCAATAACATTGAATTATGTGATAACCATTTGAAATTAGTGTGGTTATTTAATATTCCACCAGTATTGGCAGTGAAAATAAATTGGTGCTACTAATATTTTGTTACTTTCGGTGGTACCGGTGTGTCTGCTCTGGTACATGGACCTTGATAACAAGTTGTAACATAGAGTCCCTCTTGTTGTGCCAACAATAAGAGGAACCCTGATGCAACAATTCCATTACACATTGTTTTGACAAACATAAAAATAGGTGTGCTACATGGAATACATTGGTGTACTTAGTCATAGAGAGAGTTAAAGTATTACTTCTTCCCTTAGGAGAACATTTCGGTAAGGTTGATTTTTAAATGATTGTTTTACTTAGCATGAAATTATAACGTATGCTTATACAACCTTTCCAACCAGGTAAGACCCAATTTAGGCGAGGAGTCTATGTTTCAAGGGATCTCTGGGTTTAAAGAAATACCTCAAACAAGTTCCAGACTATAAATCTAAACAACACAAATCATTCCAGATGTCAGGAGTGTTGGTTAAATCACAGTAACCTTAAGTTTAAACCATTCACAAAATGGCTACATCGTACCTCTACTGACACTTTGACAACTGATCCCCATCGTCCTATTCAGGGGTGAGCCATATCTGCGGTTCTTGTCCAAGTGAGTGTTTGTGTTTGATAAATGAACCTTATTGGCAACCCCGGGGTACTACAGTACCCCAGCTCTCGCATAATATCCGTGATGCAGTCATTCTTATTCTGGTGATGGCGATGCAGCAATCGACTCATCTCGACGAGCTGTACACGGTGCACTCTTCAAAGTAGAATTTTTCGATAACGGATTTTTTTATGCTAATGTTTGGCGTTTCGACATCGCGGAGTAGCACTAATTTCGGATTGATTGGTACCCATGTCGTGGAGTTAAGTTACACCGCTGGAAAAAAATTGTGTCCCAGAAATCAAATATTTAATTGCCTCGGCCATTTTGTATTATTTGGCACCCCGGGATACCGCCATGAGGATCAAATACGCGACATTCACATGGAACACACAAATACGCGACATTCACTTGGAACACACAAATACGCGACATTCACATGGAACACACAAATACGCGACATTCACATGGAACACACAAATACGCGACATTCACTTGGAACACACAAATACGCGACATTCACATGGAACACACAAATACGTGATATTCACATGGAACACACAAATACGCGACATTCACTTGGAACACACAAATACGCGACATTCACATGGAACACACAAATACGCGACATTCACTTGGAACACACAAATACGCGACATTCACATGGAACACAGAAATACGCGACATTCACATGGAACACACAAATACGCGACATTCACATGGAACACACAAATACGTGACATTCACATGGAACACACAAATACGCGACATTCACATGGAACACACAAATACGTGACATTCACATGGAACACACAAATACGTGACATTCACTTGGAACACACAAATACGCGACATTCACATGGAACACACAAATACGCGACATTCACATGGAACACACAAATACGCGACATTCACTTGGAACACACAAATACGTGACATTCACTTGGAACACACAAATACGCGACATTCACATGGAACACACAAATACGTGACATTCACATGGAACACACAAATACGCGACATTCACTTGGAACACACAAATACGCGACATTCACATGGAACACACAAATACGCGACATTCACTTGGAACACACAAATACGCGACATTCACATGGAACACACAAATACGCGACATTCACTTGGAACACACAAATACGCGACATTCACATGGAACACACAAATACGCGACATTCACATGGAACACACAAATACGTGACATTCACATGGAACACACAAATACGTGACATTCACTTGGAACACACAAATACGTGACATTCACTTGGAACACACAAATACGCGACAGTCACATGGAACACACAAATACGTGACATTCACTTGGAACACACAAATACGCGACATTCACATGGAACACACAAATACGCGACATTCACTTGGAACACACAAATACGCGACATTCACATGGAACACACAAATACGTGACATTCACTTGGAACACACAAATACGCGACATTCACATGGAACACACAAATACGTGATATTCACATGGAACACACAAATACGCGACATTCACATGGAACACACAAATACGTGACATTCACTTGGAACACACAAATACGCGACATTCACATGGAACACACAAATACGTGACATTCACATGGAACACACAAATACGCGACATTCACTTGGAACACACAAATACGCGACATTCACATGGAACACACAAATACGTGACATTCACATGGAACACACAAATACGCGACATTCACATGGAACACACAAATACGCGACATTCACTTGGAACACACAAATACGCGACATTCACATGGAACACACAAATACGTGACATTCACATGGAACACACAAATACGCGACATTCACTTGGAACACACAAATACGCGACATTCACATGGAACACACAAATACGCGACATTCACATGGAACACACAAATACGTGACATTCACATGGAACACACAAATACGCGACATTCACATGGAACACACAAATACGCGTCCTTCTTTCCAAACAGCTGCACAATTTTAGTCACCAACGGGGGGAACGGTGCAGATGCCAGCTTCGCACAAGTACGCCGATCCTTGTCACGCTAGCTAATTCGCGTATTTTTTTTTCCCCTACAGAACCACGTCTCTTCTTGTTGAGTGCAGGTTTTCATGTCAAGCTTGCCAAGCAAGTGCTCATTAATTCGAATAAATCCCAGACCTTGAGTTGGCTTGGAGTTTATCTTTGCGGCAGCATGGCGGCTAAGATTGGCCGCCTCTTCCGCGGTGGAGTGGCACTGCCAAGGGCCGGAAGGACCACTCCACCGCGTGCGTTGTGCCCGCTTCTGACGTCTCTCTCTCCCTTTCACAGTACAAGTACAAGGAGGAGTACGAGAAGAATAAGGGCAAGGGGATGTTGGACTTTGAGACGCCTACGTACGTCACAAACAAGGAGACGCAGCAAATGCAGAGCGAGGTAAAACCCATTCTCCGCAACATGACTTTTTGCAAGTAGACTCGTGACAATCGCATTCGATCCGTCTGCATATTCACGACAAGCTGCTGCAGGTCAATGATGTGAATCTGATGTGCCACAGCAGCTACCCAAAGTGGCTTGGACATCCCAGTTTTTTTGAGAGATGTCCATACTCGATATGAATTAATCAGAGGGGTGGGGGAGGGGGGGATAGGCTGAGTTAACTGCAAAATCAAATGTGTCTGATGTGTGTTCTGTGCAGTCACTGACCACTCTTTTGCCTTGGATCCTTGCCCAGGCCTAAAATTTGGCTCTCAGTGCTGTGGAGTCGGTTCCCTGCTTTGGGAATTAGCCATCTAGGGATCAGCCAGCCACTTGCATTACATCAGCATTACATATAACAGCAATGTTTGCTCTCAGTGCACTTATTTGATTATAAAATTGTATGAATAGTGCGTAAAGATGACGCTAACGTGAACGTTGGGTGAGCGTGACATCTTTACTGTTGTGTTCTAAAAACTGTTTCTTGTTCTTTTTTTCTTCTTGATTGTTATATTATTTACATATAAACGTCACATATAGAGTATACGCATGTACATTCTATGCACACTCTTCCCTTCAACTAAAGCAATATTTTGGTCGATTTTCTGACACTTTTCTAAGGTGGCTCACACATCTTTTGAGAACCACTGCGAACCGTTTTTGTGTGATTGTCTTCTCGAGTGTCGATTTTATTTGTGCTTATAAGCGTAAGTTTAACTTTTACGTACGGTGCTTTGTGAGACACTCCGATTGAAAGGCGCTTCATAAAATAGAGGTTATTATTATGTTATTCTGATTACATATACAATTTGAACTGTGTGCTTTTGTACCCATCAACGTGTACGGCATAATCGGCACTGCCCTTTTTTCCACTGCCGCACGACGAGATGAGAGGCTTTCATAGCCTCTCAACACCGTGCACACGCATCTCCACCTTCGCGCAAAACCACACGAATCTTACGACTTAACACCCCAAGTTCAACCACTTTCAACTCATTCATTTCAAAACGTAGCCTCCTTCATCGTTGCTTTCCGTCTTCTCCTCCATGACGGTCACTGCGACGCACTCTCCGTATTTTCACGTCCCCCCCCCCACCCTTTCCCCCCCCCCCTCCCACCTTCTCCCTTGCAGAAAGAGTATAAGCGAGGCTATGAGGAAGGCATGAAGGGCAGGAACCTGTCTGAGCTTGAGTTCACGCCAGCGTACTTGCATGCCAAGTACGCTAGTGGTCTGGTCAATGAGGTAGCTTCACCGCGGATTTTTGTACTGCTTGGCCTTTTGCGCTGCCCCCGCTGCCTGGCTGTACATTCGTTTTGCTGGCTTCATTCTCTTTTCCGCTGGCTTCCTTTTTGATTTGCTGGCCTTTTGGCAGTTTTTTTTTATTTAGTTGCAAATGTCAGTTGTTTTTTTTTTGCTTTTTTTGTTTGTTGGGGGAGGGAAGCGTAATTTTTGTTTAATTTTTCAACCTCGCAATGTACGCTTTTGGCTCCGTGTGTTTCTCACGATCGCGATTTGTTTCCCCGATATCGCTTTCTGTTCGCAAATATGTTTACCCTGTGCTGTGCTTGGTTGAATAATCACATTCCTACCCGTAATCTCATTAATGTTATTTGCCATCCCATGGTCGATGTATGAAGAAGTCTGAGTACATTTCCATAGAAAACCTGAAGACAGTAAAACCTCCCGAAGTGGGACTCGTTGGGGGCAGAGTTTTTTTGGTTAATGGGGGCTTTTCTATGATACCCTGCAAATTATTTAATTAAATACATAATCGTTCAAATGTATTACATTTACACGTAATTTACACCTAAAACATTGAATTAACACTCAATGAAGGTGATGAAATATCTCACGGTTTACAAGTTATCAAAACCTAAAAATGCCTACTGTGCAGTTGAATTCGATTCACTCACCATCGTCACGAAGCAGAGGAAGAAAGCTGAGCTCACAATCCAAATCTTTATGCCGGAGAAATCCGATGAGCTATGAGGCTCTTTTCCACAGATGTTCAGTAAAGTTTCAAATGACGGCTGAAAATATTTTCTGATGGACTTAAAGCGGTTTTTTTTTTTTGCTAAATACAGTCAAATCAAAATAACTAAGAACAAAAAATTGAGCACTCGGATAACTGAGCAGATAAGTGTACCACTTAAAATGTAAGTCACATGTATGTCTGTTAAACTTATTTCGCACCGTATGTAGCCAACCGTAGCCAACCACGCTAATAGGTAGGCTACGTAATATTTATTCCCTTGACCATTGTGATATATTACAATGGTAATTATTACAGGTAAAGGGTCTGACACTTCATGTTGTTGAATTTCTCACATGATTAGCTTTCAGCTGTACGGTAGACCGATGCACTAGGATTGACTCGAGAATGCCGCATCCTAATGCGTTTCGTGGCTTAATTAGCGTGCACACGATGTTCCGATCTGATATTTTTTTGTTCGGGGCAAGCATTTAAAATCGAGTCCAGCTTTGAGAGAGTTTTGCTGTGCTGTATTTAGTTTTTTAGTCTGCCGTGACCACGTGTGCCATGGCAACCGTGTGCCGTTAGCATTCTCTTTGCCTTAAGGAGGGTCCACTCCTGAGCGAGTAGTTGCTGCAACTTGGTTGCATGCAACTGCATCTCTTCACTCGTATGTGGATGTGTCTGCAATTAGAGAAATCAACTGATTGCTCATTTGGGGGAGTCCTGCTTATACAGTACAGAGATCTCTATAATTGTATGCTGTTAAAAAGTTTTTGAAATGAAAGTGTTTTCCATAAAATATATATCTCATCTCTTAGATTTGTGAGGCGGTAACTGATAGTATTTCGGTGGAGATAGTGAATCTATTTCTCAAGCCTGTTCGGGTCAACATTGTAAACCAGACATTTAAAACAAAATGTAACAACAGTCTGTTAATGACATAAAAAAAATCACGCAAAAAATTTGAATGACAACCGCTGACGGATAAGGATCTCAGCGTCTCCAATGAATTTGTTTCAGTGGGAATTGGCGTCGGTTCTTGGCGATGACGCCCTCTGTTTCTGGCCATGCTCATCACGCCGTGTGTGGCATTCGCCCGACAGAAAGAATACAAGAGGGATCTGGAGGAGGGAACCAAAGGCAAAGGCCTCACTGGCCTGGAGGTGACACCGGACCTGATCAGGGCCCGTTCGGCCACCCATATTCTGAGCGAGGTGAGAAAATGAGGTGGAGCGCCACTCCTCAATTAGTCTTAAATCCAGGGGCGGAGCCAGGGGGGGTGACAGGGGTGACATTCTGCGTATAAGTGTACGACACTCGGTCTGGCGGACTCCGTGCAACTGCATTGTCAGAGTGTGTCGCCAACCGATGGCGTCTAGTTCAACAGCCTGACTCTCTAATCATTCTTGAAATAAAAATTTGTTGAATGTCACCCCGGCCTGAAATCCTGGCTCCGCCTCTGCTTAAATCTATTGATTAAAGTTCACCAGTTATCACGTTACTTGGTGTTTGTCGATGCTTTTAACGACGGCCATTTGCAGCTGTTTTTGAAAAAAATATATAAACTTTTGGTCATGAGTGGATAATTAATTTTTACCCTGTGATTTGGACACTGAATTTTTTTGAAGATAGTTCAACAAGAACTGTGATACAAGTTCTGTATATCTCGAATAATAATAATAATACACTATTTATGAAGGGCACATATTTTGCAAAACGGGCACATTGTTCGATGGAGAACTTGGAAGGCGCGGAGCCAGAGCTAAAACTTCCTCCTACGCCGGCCTGAACCGGTGAATGTTCCGCTGCTGCTTTGCTAGAGTTCACTTCTCATTTGGTTCTTTCGGTAAAGTCACGTAGAATGGGAATAAAATAATAAATTAGTAAAATAAAATAACACAATAAAATTCTCACGACGTTTCGGCCACAACACAAGTGACCTGATGAAGGCCACTTGTGTTGTGGCCGAAACGTCGTGAGAATTTAATTGTTTTATTTTATTATTTTATTCTCATTCTACGCGACTTTACCGAAAGAACCAAAGAAGATGAATCCTTGCAGTCACGAAAGCTTTAAATCGAAATTTAGAGTTTACTTACCCACCCACCCGAAATCTGTCACGTGCAGAGCAATTCTTCCCAAGTCTATGATGCTGTATCCGCATAGCTGGCTATGGCCGTGATGCCATGACCACGGCGTTTCCCACCACCATGCTTAGCCGTGGGGTTTTTGTTATTGCATGCTTTATTTTATCTCACTCTGTCTGTTGTTGTTGTATCCTCAAATCTTGTAAGTCAATTTTAACCCACTTCCCAATGTGCTATCGACTGCAAACTTGGCATACTTATGTCATACTGATGACAATACTATATTCTATCATTTAAATAATGTAAACATTCTTTTTGTTTTATTTGGGTCTAATTGTCCACGGTCAACTGACGTTGGCTGTAATTGGCCACGGTCCATTACGTTATGGCAAGCTTCGGGGCCACTTCCTTTGCTCGTGGAGTTTTGCCATTACCGGTACATTTCATAAAAGCGTGTTTTTAAAAAAAAGTTTTTTGTTAAATATTACTTCTTTTTTTTGTTTTTATTGCAACACAATGTGAGCCCGGTACAATACGCCAATCGCCATTGGAAGGGAACAGAAACCCTGCGAGCGGCAACTTAAATTCGGTGCGGCGGGACCGTACGATGGCGGTGGAAGGGATTTGGACTCGCTGCCCCAGCCAAGTGTGGGACCACGCGTAGGGAGGGACACCACGATTGATATGGGGAGGGAATACGGCCATGGGTTTTAACCCGGTGTCACCATCTCGCCACGTTGTGCACGTGGGGTCTGTGTGCATGCCGCCCCTGCCCTGGCATCACAGCGCGAGTACAAGAAGGATATGGAGGCGGAGATCAGAGGCAGAGGGATGACCACCACTGGACTGGACACCCCCGACTTCCACCGTGTGAAGAATGCCACCGATATCTTAAGCCAGGTTCGTGCCTTTGTTGTTTAAATTCAAAACGTGTCTGTGTGTGTGTACAAATTCATAGTGTGGAGTGGTCGTGCAGTGGTTTGCGCACTGCACTACGAACCCAGTGAGTGGTGGTTGTTGGTGTTTGCGGTGGCGACCCGAGTTAGATTCCTGCTCATGGCCACAAACACCGGTACCTAGTGTGATGTGTAAACATCACCGCTGGGAAGACAAAGGCAGTCGGGTGTGGTGCTGACCACCCACCCCCTGGAGTATCATGCTGGCCTTCATAGGTCCTCGCTAACAACACTTGCTCCAACAGTCTGTTAAGGCTACATGGGGGATCTTTGTCTTTATACAAATTCACAGCAGACATGCGAGGTCCAGGCAGAGCAGATGCTGCTGTCTGCTTAGTGCTTCATTTATTATTTGTGCCGTGCATGTCTCAGGAGGTTCAGGTATGAAACAAAGTGTATTAGTCACTTTAACGATATTCTTGGTTCTTTCGGTAAAGTCACGTAGAGGGGAAACAAAATAATAAAAATATAAAACAATAAAATTTTCACGACGTTTCGACTGCAACACAAGCAATCATCATCAGGTGTGAAAACCACAGCAAGAAAATCTGAAAAAGTGGCATTTTTTTACGTTAGCACCACGGAGAGCGATTTGGCAGTTATTCAGATGGACGAGTCCATCTATATTTTGATGTAAAGCTTTCGTGACTGCAGTAATTCATATTCTTAGTTTTTTCGGTAAAGTCACGTTGAAGGGAAACAACAAAATAATAAAATATATATAAAACAATAAAAAATTATCACGACGTTTCGACCATAACTCAAACGGTCGTCTTCAGGTGTGTTGGTTTGCATAAATTTATTTTTAAACGGCGCATTTATTTATTTATAAAAAAACGTTAGCGCCACGCGCAACGATTTGGCAGTTTATTTAGGACTAGTCCATCTATGTTCAGAAAAGAGGAGGGGAGAGACGAAAATAATGGATGCGGTCTGAAAGCCACCGTAAGCGTGAACAATCAATTAAGACCCAAAATGGTTAATCAAATCCTTCTAATGATTGCTAAGCCAGAATCCATCTTCTCGGTTGAAATTGTCTCTGTGTTTGTATGTGTGGATAGCCTCATGAACGAATCTCTCATGGTAGCCAGATGGCTTGCAGAGAACCTCTGTCTTGGAGAAGTCAATGTCATGTGAGCCTACTGAATTATAACAGTGATCTGCCACGGCCGAGGTGTTGGTCCTACCGTGTTTTAGGTCTGCTTTGTGTTCACGGATGCGGTCCGAGACATGTCGTTTGGTTTCTCCAATGTAACTACTACCACAGAGGCAACTTAGTTTGTAGACGCCAGGGCACTGTATGTCCGGAATCACATCTTTTACAGATGGAACCAGATCACGGATTTTATGTAATGTGTTAAATCGGACCTGGATCTTGTGTTTATTCAAGATTTTGGAGATATTTTTTGTGATCCCCGCAATGTAGGGTAAAGTTATGGTTTTGAATGGCTCCTCAAGAGGGTCCTTCTTCATGGTTGGAGTGATAGCTTTGCGGATTGTGTAGTCGGAGTAACCATTAGCCTTAAGAGCTTGGTGTACGTGCTTGAGTTCACTGGCTATGTGTTCCTGGTCGGATATGCATTGGGCTCTATGGTGTAGAGTCTTGATGGGGGAATTCTTCTGGGATGGATGGTGGTGGGAATCCGGTTTCAGGTAAGCATCCGTATGGGTAGCTTTCCTGTAGACAGAGTGGCTCATGGAACCATCCGGTCTCTTTTTTATTAGGACATCCAAAAAAGGTAGCTTGCCATCTTTTTCGACTTCCATGGTAAATCTGATGGCTGGGTGTATGGAATTGATGTGGTCGAGGAATTGGTCTAGAGCAGGCCGGCCATGTGGCCAGATGACAAAAGTGTCATCCACGTACTTCTTCCATAAGGTTGGGCGCAGAGTGGCAGTCTGGATGGCGTCAGTCTCAAATTTATCCATGAAAATGTTGGCTACAACCGGAGATAGGGGGGAGACCATTGGGGTGCCCTCAGTTTGTTTGTAGAAAGTTCCATTCCAAGTGAAGTATGTATTGGTTAAGCAGTGTCTCACCAGGGGGGGGTACCTCAGTGTTTAGTCCTTGATGAACCAAGTCCTCAATGATTGCGATGGTGTCAGGTACAGGAACTTTGGTGAATAAGGAAACTACATCAAAACTGACAAGCAGGTCGTCTGGGGCAGGGAAATACCATTGAATGTCGATACCAGGTGAGTAGAATTTTGTACCGCAGAGGTGGTTTTTCCAGTGAAAGGCCGCAGGATTTCAGACAGAAAACGAGCCAGTTTGTAGGTGGGGGAGTTGATAGTAGAGACGATGGGACGAAGAGGTGTATCTACTTTATGTATTTTTAGTAAGCCGTATAATCTTGGTGGCCTGGCAGCAGAAGGTTTCAACGAGAACTGTTTGGTTTGATCAATTAATGCGGTTGAATCAGAAATGATTTTGTTGGTTTGTATGGCGAGGCTGTTGGTGGGATCTCTTTTTATTTTTGTATAGCTGCCATCGTTGAGTAATTCTTGAATTTTGTTGTTATATTCTATTTTATCCATGATGACAGTGGCATTACCCTTGTCGGCTGAGAGGATGACAATGTCATCCCTCTTTTTTAATTTATATAATTCAAAACGCTCATCTTTGGCTGAGGTTGCTAGCTGGCATCTTAGCGTTTTTGAGGGTTGCCACGATTTCAGATCTTGCTACGCTTGCAGCGATGTGACCCATGCCCTTGAGAGCCACGTCTACTTGGGCAATGATATCATTAACTGGTATGTGTTTAGGTGTGACTGCAAAGTTTAGCCCTCTAACTAAAACGGATTTCAGACCATTGGAAATAGAACTGTTACTTTTTTCAAAATTTCTTGCTGTGGTTTTCACACCTGATGACGATTGCTTGTGTTGCAGTCGAAATGTCGTGATAATTTATTGTTTTATATTTTTATTATTTATTGTTTCCCTTCTACGTGACTTTACCGAAAGAACCAATAATGTGAATCCCTGCTGTCACGAAAGCTTTAAATCACTTTAACGATGTTAATGCCCAGTGAGTGGTGTCTTCCCCGTGACTTCTCACTATTCATCAGCCTTATATGTATTGCTTATTCGACTGAGTGGATTTTTTGCTTTTTAACTTTAAATGTATTTATCAGCTGCAGAAGCATTGACGTGGCCCAATGGTAGCTCATTTGGCCACATAATGATCTAGAAACCATCCACCACCCGATACAGCCAAGCAAGTTACGTGCAAAAGCATTTAACGTGCCAATTGGTACTATTTTAACTCACCGATGAGATGAAGAAAAATCCTTACAAACAAATGTATCAATTAGATACCACGCTTGCTTGAGACAACATATGCATCGTTTGGACGAGATCAACAAAGTCGGGGTAACAATATGTAAAAAAATAGGAGCGTTTCTGCAGGCAATTCTCACATGACAGATATTCACCCCAATGGTCATTGCGAATTAGTATTAACAAAACACGCTATTGCATTGAGAAGATTATTAATCAGCGTATGCTTGGTTGATCTTGGCTAAAGGGCTTTGCCATCAGTGGCGTGGTTGGCATTGGCCCTGGTACAAAGAATGCAATGGAGTCCCCTCTCCAATGTTATTTTTTAATTAATGTGCAATTTTATTGATGGACTGCGGTGGTGTTGTCTTGCTGTGGTCTGGGAATTTTGTTGTTATTCTTTTTTTTCTGCCTTTCCCAAGCTTGCATTTATTGTTGAAAAACTGGCAGGAATTGATAGACTTTTGCAATGTGATCTTATATACTTTATGCATATTTTTGCTTATTTATTTTAGTGACTCGCTTATCTTTCCTAAACTTTGCACTCCTATCGTGTTTTTGTATTGTTGTTGTAACGTTCTGCCCCGCCCTACTGGACATCTCTGGAAAAAATTGCTTTATAGCTCATCGGATTCCTCCAGGATTAATAAATATTCAGATTCTGATACACTGCAGGCTTAACAATGTTAACTTACAGCTGTCTAACCTCGCCCATTTTTCATTCCACTTGCTCACAGGCAAAGTACAATCAGACGGGTGATGGGAGCTACACCACCGTCGTGGACACCCCAGACATCCTGCACGCTCAGCAGGTCAAGACCATCACCAGCCAGGTGCGCCACGCAGCTCACCGCCGTCATGACACGCACGTGCGCAGCGGTTGACAGCATCATTCCATTTCTTAAAGGGAGACGTAACCCGCGAAACTAATAGCGCTGACCTTGTAGATATTTACCTATACCTGTGTGTCATTGGATGTCCGTCACAGGTTAAAATTATCGTTAATACGAAGGGAGGCCGTTGAGTCATGGTCACACGTGCCACCATAACACGTGATTTAATAACGGCGTTGTTTATATTGTGTTTATGTTGAAATGTTTGGGGTGATGTCTCAGTGATGTCATGGTGATGTCACGAGAGTGACGCAATGACGTGCTTGAGCATTACCTTTCAGCCTTTTTTTTCTCCCACGAATCAAGCTTCAGGTTTTTAATGGACAGCACAACTACAACTCAGCTACGTCAAAAGGCAACAGTGTGGGGCAGTGGTAACACCTGTGCCTCCGGACAGTGTGTGTTCTTCCCTTATTCTGCACTTCCTCTTGGTCCTCTGATTCCTTCCCATATGGTGTTGGACAAACATCCGAATGCAGGAGCCTCCTGAAACAGAGTGGGTTTCCTGGTGCAGAGGAGTAATTATTCTTAGGTGGCGTCATTATGCACGTTTCATTAATTAAAATGTGTGTCACTTTTTCCATAATAGAGGTTTTTTGGGTTAGATCGCGTAAATATAAATGTGTTGTTGAACCCACAACGTACCGCTATACGCTACAAATTGGCATGTTTTGTTTACGTGGCAAACCTTACTAGTTGGGTGGTGGTGGGTTTAACGACACATTTATATTTACGCGATATAGCCCAAAAAAAACACTCTCATTATGGATAATATTGGTCTTGACTTTGACACAGTGACACGAGGCAGTGTGGAGCACTCACCGTGCGTTGTGCCTGACTGCGCTCCGACAGAAACAATACAAAGAGCATGCGCAGAGAGCCATGTCCAACTACCAAACCGTGATGGAGACACCGGAGCTGCACCGTGTCAGGGAAAACCAGAAGCACTTCAGCTCGGTCAGTGTCTTCACCCCCCTCCACCCTCACCACCCCCCCCCCCCCTCCACTGCGCGTGTAGATAATCGTGGGCCCTCCCATCGAACCTTCTCCAAGCAACTGGTGAAAAATGCGCGTAGGTGTTCATGGTGCTGCGGTATAACGGTCCTGTCATACAACATACGGTATAAGGCCATCGATAATTGTGTCGTCTGTTTTGCAAAATGCTCGTTTTGTTTTTTGGAAATATATCTGTTTTCTAAAAAAAATTTTAGATTGTAAAGTTGCCGCGATGAAAAGACCCGTCGCAGGCTGATGTTGAGTGAACTGCATTTGAATAACTCTTAAGAATCTTTATTTTCACTTGGAGTACGTGACAGCATAATAACAATTACAATTATATCGTGGAAATCCTCGAAGATATAGACACAAATATCACAGTGTTAGGATCAAATGATATGAATTGGTAGTAATAGCATTCATGGTATTGCAATCAGTTGTGCTTTACACCCTTCCCCTGATGTCCTCACTGTCCGGACTTTCCTCGATTTACTTTTAGGGTCAACGATAGTCTCCCCGGGCCGTGGCGCTGAGCGTTTCTTCTCTGAGAAGGGCCTCTATTTGCACCTTCACACAAATCCCTCTTCTCTTCCACGCACCCCCCCCCCCCCTTATTACACATCCCCCCACCCCTATTTGCACAGTGTCTTGAGATGTGGTCGCGTGATTGATACCTCTTCATTGTAATGTACACGTGGCCGTTAGTGCTTCTCCATTCTTGCAAGAATCGGATCCAAATACCGCACATCTACCATGGATGATTCCTGCAGGAATAGCAGTTTACCTATGGGTGATTCCCGCGCTAAAATATCCATTGACTGGAATGGGAGCCCAACAGGAATTCTGTCATGGTAATAAGTAACCCAATTGTTATTCCCTGTGCATTATTGTGGCATAGTCATGCCTAGTGATTTGTGTTCTACCGTTGACATTCGTTTAGTGTTCAGCTTTCACGACCAATATTTTAAGTCATAATTGTGTTTTTGGATTAGGTCGTGGTGTAAAAATGTTGTGTGTCGTGAACCCTCCTCCACCTGACACGGCCAATGAACAAAAGTGTCACGTGAATCAAACGTGGCCAAATGTACCACCGCTTAAGCAGCACTAGCGGCGGTGTTGTTGTTGTTGTTGTTGGAGAATAATCTCACAACATTTAGATGGCTACGCAGTACCACTGGATAATAATTACACCCACCATCCTCAGGTTAACAGCTCACACCTCGAATGTTATGGCTGTTACATTCTGCTCAGGAATTACGGTGGCTCATTCTGGAATATGCTTCACAGTTTAGTCCTCTTTTTGAGTACTAATCGGGTTACAGTATTTACATATAACATGTGACCTACCCGGGTTATGCCACCTGCGTGTTATGCATGTATGTTGAACCGTACATAGCCAACCGTGCTCATCGGGGGTGCGGGGAAAGAACAACAAACTAAACACAAAAAGCAGTTCTAAAGAAATGAGTTTTCAACCTTGACTTAAAAGTGCAGAGCTCCCAATGGCTTCCTAATATCTGAAGGATGAGCGCTCCAGACAGCTGCAGAAGTGTGTCTGAAAAGCGTGCGATGCGTTGACCGTCTTTGTTCGATGGTCGGCTAAAAGCCGCTGCTGCCAGGATGACTGGAGTTTGCGTGATGGTGTATGCTCCTTACACAAGAATGAACTAAGGGTCATTTCCCGAAACGTCGCCGATTATTTATATGTATTTCTTCTCAGGCACTGTTGTTAACGAGTGTTTATTATTTTAATTGAATCGATTACAGCCATTCATGCACGTATGGGGAGTGGGGGGAGGTTGGCACTGGTTCATCACCTGGCTGCCTTTCCCCACTTGTTTATGGCTCCACGCGCATCTGAGCCATTCTCCCTCTTCGAGAGCGAGCAAATGCTGTGTGCGTGCTCCAAGTATATTATTATTATTATTATCATATTTAAATACATGACAGTGACTCGTTTTGTTTTGGAAGTCGGATCATCATACAGGTGGGGGCCTACTTTTGCGGGTAATGCCCCACCCGGGTGGGGGTGTTGGCTACCTACCTCACAGCAAAAGTAATTCCCCCCACAGATGCGAAGACGACGGTTGATTTTGAATCATCGGCTCTGCAAAGTGCCTCGCTTGGCGAGCTCGGGAACCGCTCTTCTATATCGGATTCCACCCTCATTTACCCTCAATTTGTTACACCTGGCATGGGCAATGTGTAAAACACATGCTGGATGTCTCGGATCACTTTGTTTTAATTTGATTGACTTCCCCTTCGCGGGTCACGACTAGGTGTGACTGCCATTTATATCCCATTTAATCCCCATGGTGGGCCTGCAAAGCGCCACCTTTTTTTTGCACGGGCCCCAAAGAGCGGCGTACACTTCAGAATCCCCCCACTTAAAAATTTATTTTCAAAAGGAATATTTATTTTGATCAACCTTAATCTCCTGCCAAAAGTGAGTAATCGGATGGCCGTGCGAGGTTTCTTCTGGAGTGAGCCATCTATTATTTAATGGTTTCCGACATCTGAACTCACTCATGGCTCGTCCATATGTGCTGGATAATATCCACACACTTCTGGATAACAGCCAGAGTATTCTGGCCCCAATTCCCAACGCTGTAGAAACCCTACTCTATAGCTGAGATCTTTCTAAAACCCATACTAACTACGAGTCGGCCTCTCGAGAATGGCGTTCCTTATACAGCAGTCTCTCGGTTAACGGTGACATCGGTTAACGCTTTTTTCGGCTAACATTTCGCCTCCCATAGGGCCCCGTAATTTCAACTAAAGTTAACATTTCGATCAACGGTCACCTTTACGTTATGCACGCGGGGGTGCCAATTTTGGCCAAACCAGACGCTTTGTAAGTGTTTCTATTAATATTCATCCTTTAATATGGTCTTATAATGTTTATTATTAATGTTGAGTGTTTAAATGTTATAAACTGTTTTAGGGTTAAAAAAGGTCAACTTATGATCGTCTTGGAACGGATTAATGCTTTTTAATGTATAATTCCTATAATCGATTAACAGTAGTTTTAGAAAACGTTCACCGAGGGACTACTGCAGTTGATACACCGCCATCACATCGCGTGTCCAAGCCTGCCCGTGGTGAATGACGTTGAAAGTTTTACATTGTTGTGACCGTAACGCGCTCTTCGTTTTGGGGACAATTGCTAAACACTTCCTCGCGCGCGATTTCTCTCTCCTCCATCACGGCTGACCACCCCGACAGCTGCAGTACAAAGCAGATGCCGATAATCTAAAGGGCAAGGTGACGACGGTGTCCAACACGCCAGAGATCCAGCGCGTCAAGGAAAACCAGAAGAACTTTAGCTCGGTACTTTCCCAAAACCCTTAGCTGTTTGCCGAAAGCGCAAAACCATGCTGTCTTGTCTGTCTGTCCATTTGTTTCCCCCCCCCACCCCTACTTGTGATCCTTAACAGTTTTCCTCCAATGATGCCGCCTTTTTTGGTCCCTCAACCACCTCTCCCCCTCTCTGTACTCGGTTTTTTTTCCCGCGCAACTTTAATTGCTTCCTCGTGCACTGTTGGCGCGCGCTATAACGTTCCAATTTGCAGCTCACGACTGCTAACGAGCTTGCGTGCGCGTGCGTGTGTGTGTGCGGTTGGAGTGGATTGTTGTTTTGATTTGTGAGGCTCATGAACTAGCTCTTAACTCTGGGCAGCTCAACCGCTGCGGGTGTGTCCGGGTGGGTTCACATTAACTGACCGTGGCTGTGTGTCACTGGTGATTTTTCTTTCTGTTCAAGGAGCAACACAATGCAACACCGATTTCGTGCTAACTTCGAAGTGCTTCCCTAAATGTTACGTTTCATCATAACAGCTGTAACTGCTACAGCATAGGTGGCATTAATACATGCTCGATCATGAAACATCAGGCATCCTATAACACCGCGGTTATCTTATTATTCACGTGATGCGAGCGTTGTTACATGAACGGATAAAGGTGCCCCCGCACTATCCTGTGAAATTATAGCTCAAGTGCAAACGTAGTTTTTTTTGGCGTGGATTTGAACGATTAACAACTCAATTATTGCAACTAGACTCAATAATTTATTATGTTTCAAAATTGTGGTAACTGTCGCGGTCTCTAGTGGCTGCAGTGTACCCCCTAGCCAATTACATACAACACACACAAATACAACACATCATTACTCCACACACGTGATTTTAGGCATGTATTGCGAGCTAAATAGACGAATCAATGCATCGTTACATCTGTTCTCTTCTAGTTTTTTTAGGTTACGTTGGGTTATGGACGCATCTGCATTCAACACCGTACTCTAGCACAATATTAGGACTTACTCTACAACGTAAATAAGCCCTCCGCTCCTGGACAGTGCCTTGATATGCAGACACATTTAGGCTCTACATAAATCAACCTGGTGTAATGTAATATTAACCCTAAACTGGTTGCATCACCTGGCTCGAATAGAGCCACACGGTTGTGCAAACATGTGGGCCAGCGCAGGTACCCTAGTCTAGTAACACTCTCCCTTATCTTCACGTAATAACTTGTAAACTCTTCATGTACCTGTACCTGGGTTTGCCACACCTGTTTTGAAGAATATGTGAACCTGAACTAGATAACTGAAGTTCCCTGACTTTGCGTGCTGTTCCCACTGTCTATTTTACCTATTTTCCACTTGTGCATCTCGAGCCGTACTGGGACCGGGCCGAACCAGCACGGCAATGGCTCACAAAGCACGGGTTTCCTTTTCCATTGCACGAGCCGAGCCGTGCTTTGACATCACGTGGAATTCGTGATGTCAAGATGCACGCTAAATGATGCGATGACACGTTGACGCAGTGTTTGCATTGTACCGACTGCCACGAGACCGTCATTAGCACCCGTCATTAGCTCCACTTGACGAGGTTGTGATCTGGCTTGACCAGCTGAATGTGACATTGTAGTTGTTGCTCCTCATCTACATCAGCAGCCACACGATAAGAAGAAGAAGATTAGCTCCAACCCTAGCACGGCTCGGACCCGAGCCAGATTCACGTCTTGCTGAGGCCGGCGCAGCACGGCTCCGCTCCGGCTCGGCTCGGTAACATTCCAATGAGAAACCACCCATGGCCATGCTGGTCCCGTGCTGGCACGGATCGGAAGTGCGAGTGGAATAGGGGTACAAGAAATACCCTGCTCTGAGTTTAATCCGCCTATGTGTGCACACTTTTTAATCTCTTTTTAACAAGGAACGTATATTGACTTTGTTCTGGTGTGGGGACAGGCCCGCGGTGTTATTCACTTTCGGGGGGTGATGGGCCTCCTAATTGACTCGTTTCGCGTGCGTGGTTGCTTGCACGTGCGTGCGTTTGTGGCCGTGTGTGTGTGTGCGCGCGCACACGCCTGTGCATGTGCGCGGTTCCATCGCAAGGTTTTGTACAAGGAAGGCATTAAAGCTGGCACCTCGGTGAACGCAACGCCCGAGCTGCGACGCGTTAAGGAAAACACAAAGAACATCAGCTCGGTACTCGTCCTAGCCCACGGAAGCGTGGGGCCACCTCTGCACCGCACAGTCGTTATTCACCATCCACCTTTGCCAGTCTCCTAACAGCTTTTCCTTCGGCACCTGCCTCCTATACAGCAGGTCGCTACTCGCATTTCTCTCCGCGCTTTAACAAAGCCCTCTCGACTCCGCTGTCAGTCGGTCTCTTTACGTTTGTTTCCCACTCTCTCTCTCTCTGTGTGTCCCCCCCCCTCCCCTACGTTTGCTCGCACCGTTCCACGCCAGCGTCTTCTGTTCCTCTTGCAGCTTTCGGCTTTCAAAACGAGCGATCTGCCACGCGTTTTTTTATTTTGTTTGTATTTCTACTCACCGTGTTTAGTAATCCTGCTCGATGCTTCGTGTTCAATTCACACTGCTTCACATCACTGATGACAGTTATTTTGTTTAACAATATTTTGGTTACCCATTCAATGCTTAGATGAATCTTAAAACATTGCCAATGATACTGACTCTGTGTTTCTGTGTGTGCGTTTGGTATGTGTATCGATGTACTGTCTACGTTTGAGGTACCTTTGTGTCTGTAACATTGTGGCTGTTTGAATGTGCCTGCATGGTTGTGTGCACATGCACGTGTGTGAGTCCGTGTTGGTGTGTGTGTGTCTGTATCGGTATATGTTTATGTGTACACGTGATGTGCTGGTGTGTGTGTGTCTTCCTATTTGTGCGCCTGTGTTGGTGTGTCTTGGTTGCTTTGGTGTGTGTGCCTGTCTGCGTTGGTATGAATGTATTCATACACGTGACGTGATTTTGCATGTGCGTTGGTGCCGCGCGTCTGTGTGTCTGTATATGTGCATTGGTGTGCGTTGTTGTTGTTGTGTGTTGGTATGGACGTGTTTGAATGAATGCGCACGTGCTCCGAATGTGCTCTTTCCCGTACGCGTTCGTGTCTGCGCTTTGGTGCGGTTACGTGTGCGCGTGCCCATTGCGTGCGTGCGTGTGCCCGTTGAGTGCGCGTGCCCGTTGCGCGTGTCCGTGTGCCTGTTGCGTACGTGCGTGTGCCCGTTGCGTGCGTGTGCGCCCGTTGCGTGCGCGTGCCCGTTGCGTGTACGTGCCCGTTGCGTGCGTGTGCCCGTTGCAAACAATCACAGGTTTTGTACAAGGAAGGAATCAAATCGGGCACCGCTGTGAACGACACGCCGGAGTTGCAGCGCGTCCGGGCCACTCAGAAGAACATCAGCTCGGTACCCATCCGCACCCACTTACAAATTACCCCCCAGTCCACACTCTGTGATTTTTTTTTTAAAAAACGACATTACTCCTCCCTCCCTGCCTGCCCGTTATCCCCCTATTGCCTTCGCTCCGCTTTGACATGCTTTGTCCCCCGAGCGAGTCCAGGTGCTCTCGTCCGTTCCCTAATCGCGAGGGTGCAGTGACGCGCTGCGTCAATCGCACGTCTTGTTAATCGCCGTCCCTGCCCCAACCGTCTGCTCTTGAAAAAAATATAAAAATGGCTTATCAGAAAAACACCAACAGCATTACCCATGAAGCAAGTTATGGCATCGACCATGTTTCCTTGTATAATAGGCCGCGTGAAAGTAATCTATTTATACGTCCACTGTCCAAATTTACAAAATAAAGTTGGGTCATTTATTTGTTGTTCGTTAAACTCGCGTGTCAGATTTCACACTTTGTCAATGTATTGCATGTTACCAATTCATTAGTGCAGGTTACCATGCTTTTGTGCTTTTGTAGTTATGGGTTTTAATTGGGATTTTGAAGAGCACATTTATTCAGGCACACCCTGGCTAAACCAGGGCTGGCATTACGACACGGAGAGCTGGTGTATTCAAATGATGCCTCGCTGCATGAGTAGACTTCATAATTACACTGGCTGCATCTCATCTTTCTGCACCATCGAGAAGGAACATAATTCCCAAATCCTGGTTTTAATCCACATACGAATCACTTTATCTAATGTCTTATTTACCTTCAGGTGTTTGCCCTTCATGTGTGCTTCTATAATGGAATGACATTATTTAAATTTCACTATTAATGCGCCCTCGGGTTAATTTCATGGTTATATTGAAGGTCATTAAACATGCAATTGTTTGCGCATTGTGTGTGTGTGTGCACAAGTTTACACAAGTGCTCTGTGTTGCAAGGTTTTGTACAAGGACCAAATTAAGGCCGGCACCTCACTTAAAGACACGCCGGAGATCCGCCGCGTGAAGCAAACTCAGGATCACATCAGCTCGGTAAGACCGTCCGTCCGTCCAGCACCACTCCATTCACCCCCCACCGAGGCCCCAGCACCGACATCGTCCACCGCCTCGCGTTTCATCGCCACCCACAAATGAAGACCAAGATCCCCCCCCCCTCCCGTGTAGCCTGTAAAAGACTGTTGAGGCAAATGTTGTTAGCGAGTAGCACCACGACACACGAGGGGGTGCTTGGCCAGCACCATGCCAGGCTGCCTTTGTCTCCCTGGCGGTGATGTTTACACACCGCACCAAGTGCTCATTTGAGGCTGAGTCGACTTCGGGGAGGCTCAGAAGCAGTTCAAATATTCACCACTGTTATTGATTGTGAGCGGGAATCGAACTTGGGTGGCCAGAATCGTAGCGCGGTGTAGCACGAACCGCTGCGCCACCGTCGCCACCGCAAACACCAACAACCACCACTCTTCTCACTGCCGCCACAGCAAACACCAACAACCACAACCACCACTCTTCTCACTGCCGCCACTGCAAACACCAACAACCACAACGACCACTCTTCTCAACGTCGCCACCGCAAACACCAACAACCACAACCACCACTCTTTCCACCATCGCCACCGCAAACACCAACAACCACCACTCTTCTCAACGTCGCCACCGCAAACACCAACAACCACCACTCTTCTCACCGTCGCCACAGCAAACACCAACAACCACAACCACCACTCTTCTCACTGCCGCCACCGCAAACACCAACAACCACAACCACCACTCTTCCCACCGTCGCCACCGCAAACACCAACAACCACCACTCTTCTCACTGCCGCCACAGCAAACACCAAAAACCACAACCACCACTCTTCCCACTGCCGCCACAGCAAACACCAAAAACCACCACTCTTCCCACCGTCGCCACCGCAAACACCAAAAACCACAACCACCACTCTTCTCAACGTCGCCACCACAAACACCAACAACCACCACTCTTCCCACCACCGCCACCGCAAACACCAACAACCACCACTCTTCTCAACGTCGCCACCACAAACACCAACAACCACCACTCTTTCCACCATCGCCACCGCAAACACCAACAACCACCACTCTTCTCAACGTCGCCACCGCAAACACCAACAACCACCACTCTTCTCACCGTCGCCACAGCAAACACCAACAACCACAACCACCACTCTTCTCACTGCCGCCACCGCAAACACCAACAACCACAACCACCACTCTTCCCACCGTCGCCACCGCAAACACCAACAACCACCACTCTTCTCACTGCCGCCACAGCAAACACCAAAAACCACAACCACCACTCTTCCCACTGCCGCCACAGCAAACACCAAAAACCACCACTCTTCCCACCGTCGCCACCGCAAACACCAAAAACCACAACCACCACTCTTCTCAACGTCGCCACCACAAACACCAACAACCACCACTCTTCCCACCACCGCCACCGCAAACACCAACAACCACCACTCTTCCCACCGTCGCCACAGCAAACACCAACAACCACCACTCTTCCCACCACCGCCACCGCAAACACCAACAACCACCACTCTTCTCAACGTCGCCACCGCAAACACCAACAACCACCACTCTTCCCACCGTCTACACAGCAAACACCAACAACCACCACTCTTCCCACCGTCGCCACCGCAAACACCAACAACCACCACTCTTCCCACCGTCGCCAGCACCACTGGGATTTTTTGCACACAGCGTTGGTGTACGGTGCTTTTTTCAGGAATATTTTGCTGTTTTTTTTTCATGGATTTTCTGTTTGCACAGTCACATAGTCACGTTATGATGTTTTTCTTGTTCGTGTGTTTTTTTGTTGTGGTTGCACCCGATTCAAGAGCCGAATGGCTCACAGGGCTATACCAAAATAAATAAACTGAAACTGAAAACCACAGCCAATTAGTAAGATTTGCCACGTAAACGAAACATGCCAATTCGTTGCTAGTACAGCACAGAGAGTAAACCCACAACATTTATAATTCGAGTACGTCGTTTCGCCCATCTGCCACTGTAGAGTGTTAACGACATCATGCCTGCCCGCACGTGAGTGCCCGTGTTTATAGTCGATCGCTCTGTAACCGCTCGCACGCCCTGTTCGCCCCCCTACAGATTAAATACAAGGAACAAATTGGCACAGCCACGGTGGTGGCGGACTCGCCCGAGTACCAGCGCGCACGAGAGAACCAAAAGCTGATCAGCATGGTGAGTCCTCAAGCCCGCTCCGCGTGCACCCAACACACCATCCACGTGACGCGCCTTCACTCGCGGTCACACTACGGCCTCGATCGGCGTTTGTTGTTCTTCCCCCCCCCCCCGCACCTCTGATGAGCGCGGTTTGGCTACGTACGTTGCTGAAGAAGTTCAACTACATAGATACAACCGAAGGCTCACGTCACTTTAACTACCAATTAGAGGGAAAGGTGATTATTCACGTCGCCCGTAACTCAACACTGTGGAGGGCAGCAGCGAGGATTGGTGGATCACCGCACGAATGTCACGAAACGCCCTTACCTGTGGGCGTCGAGGAGGTGCCATACCCTGGCTCGCCGGGAGAAGGCAGCACAGGAAAAATTTGGACGCCACCGGTTCCGCCCTTATGGGATAGAGCGTTGTCCCCTCGAACGCATGGGTTTTATCTGGGTGCTCGGGTTTCCTCCCACATGTAAACACTTATTAATTGATCGATAGCACCTTGATATATAGAGGGCCGCAGAGCTTGTGAAATTGTTGGCGCCGGCTCACCATGTGACTGCCTTCGCCCTCGTCTGTGGTTCCTCGCGCCGCTGGGTCTCTCTCTCTCCACGAGAGCGAGCGAATGTTGCGCTGCGCGTGACAAGGTGAAATTTTACACACATGTATTCTTTATATTATTCTGCAAACATCGCGGTGGTGTTTTGATTTTCAGACGCCACTTTTTATAACACGTTGCCCAGCGAAGTTCGCTCCCGTGTGAAATTACAGAGGGCGAGCGATTCTCGATTGTGTCGTCATCCATTCGAACCGGCCGTTCGCATCCGAGGGTTGCTTTCATAGAGGAGGATCTTGCATCGATAATATGATGGATCCTAGCGAGCCGCAGAGCAACAAAGCGATGACGGGCGAAGGCTCTTATCGGAAATCGCTTTCGTCGTTGGTCCGTAAACGTCTGTAAATGTCTCCACGTGATCTCCGTGGAGATGACTTTACTCGGATCCTTCATAACACCTATTGCTCTCCGGAGTTCAGATCTAGAAGTCAGCGGCGTCAGAACACCGCACAAACCTGCGGCGTTTGCACGTTAATCAATCAGTCTTGGAGTGCTACCCATTGAAAACTTTCACGAGGAAAATACTCATAATAAAGGTATTTGGGTTTGATCACGTCAATATAAATTTGTCATGAACCCACCACCACCCGACACATCCACTTAGTAAGGTTTGACACGTTAACAAAATGTGCCAATTAGTTATTACTTCAGCACATCCACAGCATCGACAATTCGTGTTAAACTAAAGCAAACACTGATAAATGAACCGAGCTACAATGATGATGTATTTCTATTGATTGTTTTACATACGATTGCTTTCATATTGGTTCCATCTTTTTGGCCATTCATGCTGGCTGTGGTTTAGGAAACTAGTCGAAAACGGTGCGTGCTTGCTTCTGCTGAGAGTCGCTGTAGGTATTGGCCACTGCCTGTACCCATGGTTTACTTTGCGCTACGTCTCTTGATTTGTCCTGCTCTGTAACATTCCCTCTCTTTTCACTCAAGAGGGGAGCACATCGTGCAAAACTCATCCTTATTAAGTACAGGTCCATTACAGTACAGAGTAACCTCAAAGCATCCGAAAGCATTGCCTGACTATAAGTAAAGCTGGGTGTTTGTAATCCGCACGCCTCGCTTGCCTTGCAGGTGAAATACAAGGAGCAGCTCGCGAAAATGACCCCGATCAACGCCACCATGGACACGGAGCGCGTGAAGCGCGCTCAGGGAAACGTCAGCGCGGTACGCCCAGTTGTGTGCCGGGGGGCCGGGGGGGGGGGGGGGGCGCTCGCTGCTCCCCCCGTCGCGGCATCGCGACTTCTCGAGAGAGTACCGTCGGGGCCGTGCCATTGCCTCTTCCTTGGTCGCTCCGCTGGTGACGCACACCTCAATCGATCGGTGACGCACACCTCAATCGATCGGTCAATCTTTATTTTACGCGTAGGCATCGGTGCACGTTGCACTAAAACGGGAACAGTGCAGGGGCACCTACCGCGGCTTGCGTCATAATGGGCCACATTAACCCAATGGCATTTCTGGCAAAAAGTTGCAGGGGCTCCTGCGCTGATAGAGGCTCTCAAAAAGTGTGTGCCTATAGCACTCCCCCACTAGTTTGGGTGTGGGGTGGCGGTAGTTCCTAGACAGGTAAAAAGGGTCCCACCTTGTGGGACTCAATCGCCTGGAGTGTGCCCCATCTCGTCAGATCTCAAAAAATCTCAGCACGTGCTGAGCCTGGATATCGCCAGAAATGGGCGGCCATCACGCACAAGTTGTAATAGAGTTACATGTTGGGCAGCAGGGGGCAGTGCAGCAGCATTCGTTGTTACACTGCACTTCCATGCGCCCGCGTCTGCGCTCCCCACCTTCACCAGCCAACACCGACCAGAGTGGTGAAGTATGGTCGAGCGATCCCCATGACTCGCACAGCATGGAGAGGGGCCCTCATCCAGCAGTGGATTGACAGAAGGGCTGTGCGTACGTATAAATACATGCACAAAGGGTTCCAACTCCCCTTAATCTGGCACCGCTCCCAGCCATTCTTCCTGTTACCATTTGCAGATCATTAAAGTGGTATATTTCGGAAAATTATACATTATTTATTATAGAAAGCAGGCAATTTAATTGTGGCCCACGAAAGAATATTAGTGGATTGGCCATGAATAACAAAAGCCTCGACTAGGTTTTAGTGTAACGAATTCAGAAGGGGCAATGCACTCGTAAATTGATACCGTTTTGAACTGAACACTGGCAGTGTTCAATTTCTCCCTGGGCCAGAAAATGCCAAACACATGCTGGAAAGACAGCATGACGCTTGGCAGGAGCAGCATGCTATAATACGGGGCCACCCTGTGGCACCATCTTGTGAACCTGAAACCGCTCCACGTTATCTCTTTCCTCGAAGGTTTCTCTGAATTCCACGCTGCAATACGGACTCTGCTGCCTAGTTCTGTGTTGTGTTGTATGATTTAAGCAGTAACCTTCGCTCACTACTTTCGGCTGCTTGCTCAAAACTCACTTTCTTATTCCCTAAGTTATGACCCCCCGCCCCCTTTAATCTCCTCCTTCATAACCACCACCATTACTTTTCCCTCTTCATATTATCAGTCATCGACTGTCACTCATTAACCCCATCCATTTAATCCATTCATCATCGTCATTTACCTTCATCAATTTCACTTTCACCAAACTCACGCATCACAGATTTGCCACCCATTGCTTCCTCTCATCGATTTTATTCACTTCCATCTCCACTGTTTCATTCACATGTTGTATAGTTCTGAATTCCCTGTAAAGCGCCTTAGTTAAGGCACTATATAAATTACGTTAAGATAAGATGAAATTCTTTTTTTGTTATATATTATATAGGTTTATGCGTCGGATAAACAACATCTGGCAGTTCACCAGCATTTTGTTCAGGCAAGCCTGACTCTGCTGATGAGGCACTGCATGTCAAAACCGGCCCAGAGTATGATTGTGTTGAATCAATGCTTCTGAAATTGTGTACTGCCAGAAGACCACCGTGGTGACTGATAGGATGTGTAAATAATACTTTGTTTTATGTTGAGGGACAAATATGGGAAGGAGGCTGTGTTGTCTGCTTATTTAAACGTGAGCACAGATGGGCTCACGGACTAATTTGCTGTGCAGCTGTCTCCCGCCCACCTCCCGGTATCCCAGTATGGGATATACCACAAATGTCCCTGATCCGTGAACCCTTGCCTCAGCGTGTTAGACTACATGAGGCCACCACTGCTCCCATTTAGTCCATGAGCATAGAGCAAATTTCTCTCTTATCGGTATCACCTGGGGTGGCATCTTCTTTAGCGTTTCCAATTTTTATACATTGCCAAACAACAGGGCGGATTGTGCGATCACCATTTGAGTTGAGTGAGTTTACAAAGATTCGCTCTTGTTGGCCGTATAAACACGTCGGCACTATGGACATTTGGTGACGCCACATTTCTGCTCTGGCCCACGGACCACGTGATGCCAACTGGACATCTGTGAAACCTACTGGCCATCATCAGATTCCTCCAGTATCAATAAATATCCTGATTCCCGAAGTGAAAAAATGACCCTCGTGCCATAACGCGTAAGCGGTACGCCGATAGGCATTGCGAGACTTTAGCGGCCGCGTCACCATTCTGTCTCCCGCGACCCCTCGCGCGCGCCAGGTTCTGTACGCCGACCACTCCAGGAGGGAGATGCAGGGCCGCGCCAGCTGCCTGCTCGACACGCCTGAGATGCGGCGCGTGCGCGAGAACCAGCGCAACTTCTCACTGGTAATGAGCGCGGCCCCGCACGCGGTAACATCCTGGTGGGGCCTGGTGAAGGACTGCAACCATGGGTCTCCTCAACATTCGTTCCGTAGCCATGCCTTGTGATATTTGACTAGGTAGACCAGCACACGGGCAGTAACACAGGGATTAAAAACGTATTTCTTTAGAGCTGCTTTTTTGTGTTTATGCTGTTGTCCTTCCCCCGCACCTCTGATTAGCGTGGTTGGCTACATATGTTTAACACGTAGGCTTTCGCGACCAATATCATCCATAATAGAGGTTTTTGGGTTAGATCGCGTAAATATATAAATGTGTCGTTAAACCCGCCACCACCCGACACAGCCAACTAGTAAGGGTTGTCACGTAAACAAAACGTGGCCAATTCGTCACTAGCACAGCACACCGGTGTGTTGGAGAGCCAAGCCACAACATTTACAAACTGAATACGACGTTTCGCCAGTAATTACAACTAGCTTCATCAGGCAACAGTCAGATTTAGAGTAGTATTATTGTTTCGTTCCTTATATAGAGGCGTAGATGTATTGACCACCCTTCTGCACTCTTGCACAATGTTGGGGGAGGGGGGCGGAATTACTGAGGCAACGTACATTATGCATGTGCATTATGCGAGCCCTTTGAACTTGTCTATTGTGTTTATTAAAATAGCCCTACCAACGGTAATCCCTATTGATGTACGCTGCCCTTTGTAGGCATGCATTTAAATAATGTATTATTTGATTATTCGCTTCCACGCAGCACTAAGATGGTAGCTATCCGAACGGTTAAAGTTATTTTGATTTCTTTCAATTTCGGTAGATTCTCTAATTAGTCTTGGCCAGTAGTAGCTAGTTTTGCACAACACTTCAACATTATCAAAATCAATTGAGTTTCCTTGTTGGCACGGGTGTTCTGCTACTGCTGACAGTTGCATTTGGGAGAATTTAATATTTATCTGATGTTCTTTCAGTCTCGTGCTGATCTTTCGTGTTGTTTGCCCAACATAACATTTATCACACGTGCAGTTAATCCTGTACACACCTTCTGTTGATAGCTTCGGTAATACATCTTTTGTACCAGATATTAAATTCTGTATTTTATGTACTGTGCCAAATCTGACTCGGATGTTTTGTTTTTCCAAATATCTGGCTAGTTTAGCGGTTACTCCCGTAATGTACGGTATTTTCATCGTTTTACTTACTTGGGCAGTTTTAATGCTCTTGTTATTTGTTTTTTTTTTGGTATTCAATGCCCTGTTGATTTGTGCATCATTATAACTGTTCATTTGCAGCGCTTCTTTAACATTCTGTTTATGTGACAACCCTTACTAGTTGGCTGTGTTGGGTGGTGACGGGTTTTAACCACACATATATTTACACGATATAACCCAAAAACCTCTATTATGGTTGGCTACATATGGTGCGAAAGAAGTTCAACATACGTACAGAGGGCTGTTGCAGTGTCCTTGCGCGGTATACAGGAGGTCGTGGGTTCGAACTCAACCCTGACGACTAATGAATATTTTGAGTTTGCGTGTTCTCCCCGTGGTCACTCGGATTTTTCTCTGGGCCCTCCAGTTTTTCCCTCCGCAATTTAGAAACGTGCGTTTAGAATATTTGGCTGCTATAAACTTCCACATGATGAGCCACCTTGTTGAGCTATCATTTGTGGCCAGGTCGCTTCTCAAAAAGAGCTATATAGCTCAGTGGGTGTTACCTGGTAAAATAAAAAAAGTTTAGTCTAGTTTTAGTTTTTCTGCGGTTGCTGCGTTCATTATAGGGGCCCACTTGGCACCAAGCTAAAGAATAACAGCAAGGTTCGACAATGGAACTCCTGACTGAAATTTTATGATCACTTGTTAAGAAGGCTTGCATCTGCTGATGGTTACTATGTGGTTAGCATCGGACCAATGGAGCAACGCGTTCAACAGTGCCGTTGCGTGTCACCTAAACAAGCACTCTGCTGCACAGTGATGACAATAAAAACTCACCACAGGCATCCTCAATACTGCTTTATAATGAAAGCAGAGTGGAGAAAGACTTGACTGGCGTAGATTTGGAGATCGCACTGGGATCCCAGTGGGAAATTTCAAGATGTATTTTCTTTCACCGGGCATATGCCCGGGGAAGCAATATAATTAAGTCATGAATTTACACCGTTCGTTTTACTTTAGCAACGCATCTTCGGAAAAGGTCCTGTTGTCCTGTATTTATTGTTATTTCCTAGTTGTCTGAAGGTGTTCATAAATCTGGGTTATTTGGTGATTTCAACACAAATGCAGCAACCATCATTGTTTGTTGGATAAACACCGGTGTTAATTGTTTTGGTAATTTGACTGTTTTATTGGGGTTAATCAGTTAAAATTGAAACTCAGCAGTCTTAATGATAACTTCAAAACCACGGTACGTGTATTCAATAGTTCCCTTTGGCAACCGTTTTTTTAATTCCAATTACATTCAATGGTCATTATTGAGAAATGTGCAAATTTAAATCTGATACAAATTCCCCATTAAAATTACACTTTGTTAAATAACTTAGGATGAGCCCACAGGTCACCGGGTGGATCTGCTTGCCATGGCGGTTGAAACGATGGCACAAGCTCCTTGAATTTCCCCCCCGCCCCGCCCCGCAGTGTAACTTGTCTCAAACAGCAGCGAGTTGATCGGCAGGCCGCGTATGGTGGCGGGGGGAAAGTGTGGGTACTCCAACCTCTTCCAAGACATCTGGCCAGCGTGGAGGACTAGACAAAAATACTCTCGAGAGCATTTCCCTAGAGCTCCCTCGAGGGAAACCCTTTCCGCCAGCAGTGGCGTGAGTAAGGAATTGCAGGGCTGCACCTGCTGCCTTCACCTTCGCTACTGGGATGCTTAGCTACAAAGTTGTGACCTCCATGACTCGTACTGCAGATGCCGTGGTTGGAGGCGCCACGGCCGTCCGTTGAGTCGCCCACTGCGTTCCCTGACCCCGCGTCGCCCGCTGTCACGCCGCGCAGGTCAAGTACCACGAGGACTTTGAGCGCATCAAGGCCAAGGGCTTCACGGCCGTGGTGGACGACCCCATCACGGAGCGCGTCAAGCGCAACACGCGTGACGTGAGCGACATCAGCTACCGCGGCATCCAGCGGCGCACCGTGGAGATCGAGCAGCGGCGCCTTGAGGCCGAGCAGGAGACCACTGCCGGTGCGTGTGTGTGCGCGTGTGCGCGTGTGTGCGCGTGTGTGTGCGCGTGTGTGTGCGCGTGTGTGCGCGCGTGTGTGCGCGCGTGTGTGTGCGCGTGTGTGTGCGCGTGTGTGTGCGCGTGTGTGTGCGCTTGTGTGTGCGCTTGTGTGTGTGCGCGTGTGTGTGTGCTTGTGTGTGTGCGCGTGTGTGTGTGCGCGTGTGTGTGCGCGTGTGTGTGGAGCGGTAGTGTAGCGGTTAGTGCGCTGCGCTATGAACCTGGCGGCCTAGGTTCGATTCCCGCTCACGGCCGAAACCCAGTGGTGACGATTATCTGAACCGGTCCTGGGCGGTCCCCTCGGTCGACTCAGCCTCAAATGAGTAGCTGGTACGATGTGTAAATATCGCCACTAGGGAGACAAAGGCGGCCGGGCGTGGTGTTTGGCCACCCACCCCCTCGTGTGCCGTGCCGGCCTTCAGTGGTGTGCGCTAATAGCACTTGCCCCAAAAAGGCTATACAGTGGGTCTTTGTGTCCATGAGCACGGTTGTGTACAATAATAGTAATAATTAAAATGTATAAAGCACCCTTAAACAACCGTTCTCATCAGGGCGCTATGGCTGAAAAGGCGGAAATAGTTTAACGTCAACCAAAGGAAGAAGTGAGAAAGACGTTTGAAAAACTAAAGAGAGAGAAAGCCATTTTAAACAGATGTGTTTTTAGTCCAGATTTGTAGTGTCTTGGAAGTCCTGACCTCAAAGGGCAAGGAGTTCCAGAGTTTAGGTGCCGCGGTTATTGTGCATACTTGCGGGAGACCGTAAACAAAAAGCCACAGTAGTAAAATTATTTAGATGCCGCCGATGACGTCTGGAGTCGCGCCTTGGCCGCGTTGCCACGCTTAACCTATGCCCCGTAGCCTCTCTCCGCCTCTGACGTTTGTCTCCGTGCCCTCAGACCTGCGTGTGTGGCGTACCAACCCTGGATCCATTTTTGACTACGACCCTGCGGAGGACAACATCCAGTCCAAGAGCCTGTATCTGATGAATGGTGAGCTTGCTCCTCCTCTTTGCCTATCGCCGTTCACTACCCACATCACCCCTCCCTCCTCCTCTGCTCCCGAACCCACAGCTGCCCGTCTCCACGCGTACGCCCCACGTACGTCCCGTGCACACGCTTTGTACGCACTCTGTAACGCTTCAATGGTCACCGCCATTCCATTTCTCTGAGTTTGTTGCATATGCCCATGTGTGGCCCAACTGTGCAACCACAGTGGCTCGAAATTGGTTATGACAAGCACATTTGAGACGTCACAAATAATACTTTGAAAGGCGCTGTGGTTCTGGATGTGCCGATATTCTTTTGCATTTATGGCTTTCCTAAGCTTTTGAGACGACTTTAACATGAATAAGAACTGTGGTCAGTCTGTGTTATGATCAGAACGCACTTATGAGACACATTGTAAGCTTGTTATTGTTTCACAACTATAAAATAATATGACATGCACACCACAGTATAAACCATTATAAATGCTCCGTCGGTTTATTTGCATGGTATTGCTACCTTTATTAGGTTTGTTCAACTAATGTGTCTATCCTCACCATTGTCCACGTATTTATTTAGAGTAATAAGACGATTTACTTATCATATAAAGCCCTACTGAATCTCAAATGCCTTAGGGATGAATCTGTTTGGAATGACCGGCCAATTCCCTTTGCACGTGCAACAAAGCTGGCGTGCCTGAATAACACTCACGCTCTGCACAGATAGCTCAGAAACCTACTTGTTGTACTGCCCGCAGACACCTCTCTGCTCTTTCCCTTCATCAGAATTATAATCTTTATTGTGGAGAAATCTGATGAGCTATGATGCTCTTTTTCACAGATGTCCAGCAGGGGCAGGTCAGAAAGTTACCACAACAAACAATAAAAAAACAATAGTATAGGAAAGGTAAGAAAATCACTAAAATGCAATGTTTTACCTGAAACGAAACTTTGTTTTATTTTACCAGCTAAAGCTCAGTGGCGTCATGTTATCAGTTGCAGTCATTCATGTTCAGAACACTTACAGCTGGTATTGTAGCCAGGAAATTGTCTGTGGAAGTTGATGTGACAGAACTACTTTACAAAGTGACTTCAATTGGGCTCTTGGCTACATTGGGGCGTCACACCTTTCAAGTACCCTACAGAGAGTCCTTGTCCCATGGCAATCAAACTGAATATGATTTGTGCGTTCATCGGTGATTGAGCCGAGACCATCAACAATGACGACAGTTGAGAATCTATTTTTTCTTTCACGGGCGGGTGGCCGAAACACGTTTTTTTTTTTTATCCCAGGATCTCAGCACCGCCGCGTCAGAACCCTTGAAGCCCATGGCCCAGCTTACCGGGCAACAACCAGAATAATTGACACGAATTCTCACACGCAGCGCTCCTTGTTATTTCTATGCCAATTAATATTCGTTCCCCCCCCCCCCCCTTCTCCGCAACAGTGCAAGCGCAACGCCGGAGCCGCGAGCATTCTCGCTCCGCGAGCGCCCTGAGCATCAGCACAGGCGACGAGCGCTCTGAGGGCTCCGAGCTCGAACGAAACTACTCCTACTACAGCAACAACGCCTTCTACGCCAGCGCCAGCGCCAGCGGTACCGGCCCCACTGCGCACGCACGCGGCCCCGCGGGCTGCCCCCTTTCCCCACCGGTACACGCGGGCAGAGCCGTCGGCGCCAGAAGCCCTCGGGGCATGCGTGCGTATTCCGCTGGCTATTTGTCGAGCCGGGCCGGAACCGTACCGCATACCGAAAACCACCTTTTGAGACGCATCGAAAACGAAACGATACAAACTAAACTGTGTTTTACTTTTTATTTGAACAGTTAAGGCCCACTGAGCTGCGTAGCTCTTTGTCAGAAGCGAACTGGCCACAAATTATAGCTCAGCAAAGTGGCTTATCACGTGGAAATTTAAAGCAGCCGAATACTCGAAATACATGTTTTTTAAATGTGGAGGGTAAACCCAGAGGACCAGGAGAAAAATCCATGTCACCACAGGGAGAGAGACACCGAAAACTTCAAATATTCAGGCGTCTTGTATACCAGGTGAGGTAGTTAACATCTTGCCACCGTCGTGCCCACAGTGGCGAGATTTGAATCTGAATTGGGGCCAAGCAGGGCCAGGATTATTCATTTTTATCCATGAGTGCGATGTCAGTCTGTACATGGGGAGAAAACAGCATCATCTATTATTTTGCTTGTTTGCCCAGGAAAGCCTCGGCAAACAAGCATACATCCCGCACCTCCGATTCACACAGTTGGCTTCGTTCAGTGCAAAATAAGTTCAACACACATACAGTATTACAATTGAGTAATTTGCTGATAATTGATCAAATTTGGCTCTTCGACACGCGTCCCAACTCGTTCATTCCACGTGACGTCAGTTGCGTGGCTCGGCTTCTGCGGTTGAGAAACAAACCTGGCGCCTCCTGTGCTTTGTCGTGCTGGGTAGGCTCGGGGGTGCCGGGATTCCGTGTGAATCCCACCCACATTACACTGCACCTCTGATGAGCATGGTTGGCTACGTACGGCTCGAAAGAAGTTCAGCGAATACATACGTACATACCGCACACTCAAGACTCGAAGTATTGATAACGTCGCCACCCACACATGGCCCTGCATCACCATCATTACCATTCGACCCCTGTAGCATTCACGTATTTAGTACTGCAGTAAGAAAATCTCACTCATCTGCAGAAACATCTTCAAAACGTCCGTTTAATTCTAAAGCACGATGTTCCTAAAAATAAGTCAGTGAGTAGAAATGTTTGTCAGTAACAATTGATATAATATATACGTTCGCTCACCTTACTCACAAAGTGCTTGCCACAAATGAACCACAATAGCTTGTCAAGGAGCATGAACCATCAAGCGAACTCTGATCACCCTCGCAGCGCCTTTTGGCTGGCCATCGAACAAAGACGGTCACCGCATCGCGTGTTTTCAGATGCGCTTCTGCGACCGTCTGGAATGCTCTTCCTTCCGAATTTAGGGATCCATTGGGAGCTAGCACTTTAAAATAATTTAGTGTGAAAACTCATTTCAGTGAACTAATTATTGTGTTTAGTTTGTTGTCCTGCCCCCGCACCTCCGATTAACATGGTTGGCTACGTACGTTGCAAAAGAAGTTCAGCATACTGTACATATCTTCTGTAACAGCGAACATTTTAAATTTATGTTGAATTCCCCTGTAATGCAATATTTAAATTCTGCATGATCATAATTATGCTGCAGCCCCACTCCCCCCTATTACACACTTACCATTTACCCTTGCCTGGACCAAAATAGAGTCTTTCATCTCTAAAAGTAAAGAAAGCTTGACTATCAGGAGAGGTCTGGAAAATTATAAATACCAACAAGCTATCTGGTCAAGTTATGTATAAGCCAGCGAGGTTTCACTGCCGGTGCAATGCATGAATCGGAATCTGAAGTTTGTGGGTTCAAATCCTCTCTGGGATCACATCTACCCATAATTCCTGTGGGGTCGATGAAAAAGTACCACAATTATGTGGCGAGTCAACAGCACCGGTCTTGTGGAGAGACGGCTCTTGCTCCAGGACTGGTGGAGGTGAACAGACGTTGCCTTCTTGGTGAACAATGCCAGGTTCTGTGGGAGCTTGAATGGAGTGGTTTCCATAATGCCAGCAAGGAAGTGAGGGGATTATAACGTTTACTCTTCCCCTCACCATTTGGAATCATTCAAAACAACGCTTTGCTGCCACCCCAGGGACGCGTCTCGAAGGTGAGACAAGTAGAGAGAGAGTGATTCATCATGGATTCGCCATATTGGACATGGTATGCATGATCAATTGAGTTCAGATTATTATGATTATTTAGGGCTGCTCCGCTTGGCCGATTCAAAGGTTTAACTTTGATCACGTGCTCAGCTGCTGACCCATCTAAAACACTGTGGGGCCCTCTGTGGCTAGGGGAAAGTGGGCCATGATGCTGGTCACAGAATTGTAACTAGGGGAACACGAGTTACATACTTCATCGGGGGGGGGGGGGGGGGGGGGGGGTCCTGAAAGAATTGGGGCCCTCTGTACGGGTTCCATGTTGCACATGTGTTAAGATGGCACGGCCAGTTACACAAATTCTCATACATTGCACCTGGCCTGTGCATATTTACTCCGTATTCCCCATGAAAAAAAACCCTACTTTTCTATACTGATTCTGTGCACATAGTCAGAGCATTTCAAAAGAATCGACATCGTTATTCCACAGCAGAAATTATGCCAAACATACGCATAGAACAATCTATTTTTTTAAGCGGAGGTGCACAATAATTTACAAAATGTATGACATAGTCAGCGTTCCAGGATTGATAGTCGTGTGAAAGCGTCGTAATTTATAAGTACATTGCTGATTTTCTCGTCATTCAATGAAGCGGTAGTACAGAATGTACTTACTGGATCGTCCTTGCCACAGCGGCAGCAAGGCCTAATGGGAGTATTTTATTTAAAACAGGCTGCAGTCGCTTGCAGGGGACGTTGTACACAGTCGTGAATCAAATTGTCTTTACTTGCCAAATTGTGTAACCTCATGAGTTAGCTGTTTCGCCTGGACAAGCTATTGATTTCGATGATAATGATGACATTATTGGAGGTCACGGTTCGATCCCGACCCTGAAGCCTGAATATTTGGAGTTTGCATGCCTCTATCCCCGTAGTCACGTGGATTTTTCTCCAGGTCCTCTGGTTTTCTCTCTCCACATTTACAATTAACACGCATTTAGAGTATTTGGCTGCGATACATTTCTATGGGATAAGCCACCTCGTTGAGGTATCATTTGTGATAGCCAGGTCGCTTCTGAAAAAGAGCTATATATAGATCAGTGAGCCTTACCCGGTCGAAATAAAAACAATTATTATTATAGTTTCATAAAAAATTGCTGGATGAAGGCCATGCCAGTCGTTTTTGGGGGAGTGCACGTGGCAGGCGGTTAGTTTTTAAGCTCTTTGGATTTTGTTTCTACAGCTTGCTACCAGCAGGTGAAGACCGTGGTAATTCCACAGCAGAGGTCGTCTTCCGTGGTCACCCAGCAGACCACCGTCTCCTCCATCCCGTCCCACCCGTCCACCACCGGCGTAAGTTGCCCCCCAAACTCGCGATGTCGCGAAGTCCGCAAATGTTCCGCTACGTTCGTAACGAAGCGTAAGGGGAGCACATTGGCGGCGGCGTTTAAACACAAGCGTGAGTAATGCACGTCACCACTATGATCATCATTATCGCTACTGCCTCATAATGGAATAGCGTCGACCGCGTGGCCGATTAAGCAGTGCTAAGCAGGACTCTGAATACATATCATCGTGTACAGTAGTCGGTTATTTCCCGAGCGCAAAGACGGCCAAGCTAATGTACACTGGTAAGGTTTTTGATTTGATGTTCTGATTGAAGGTAACGTGTGACAAGAAAATGTTACTTTGCATGGCCATTGTCCTTAAATTGAGCTACAGTTATAAAGATGGATTAAATGCATTATTTGATTACATTGATTTTGTAATATTCCCCGCCGTGCACTGTGGATGTGAATGATGATGTTGTATATGTAGGCATTTATCTTCAGTCACAAACATGCCCGATGATTATTTGTATAAAATGGTTTCCTAAATTACAAAAGGCACATGTTTTCCCATATAATGCACGACGTAAGAGCATGTGCAATGCGACAGTGTATAAGCAGTTACAGTAGGAAATATATTGAGCTGGTTTTGTAGAATCTTGGAATTTAAAATAATTTCAGGAAAAATGAAAAAATAAATCCTTCCCATACAGAATGTAATCGTTGCCATACGATGCACGTACAGTGCAAAATTTCCCTGCGAGGCAAAATCAGTAATTGTGAAACATGTGCTGGAACACGCACGCACGCACGCACACACGCACGCACGCATTTACACACACGTGCACACACACACACACGCACGTGTGCACCTCCAGCGCTCCTACCGCGCCCTCTACGACTACACGGGCGCCGACGACGATGAGGTGACCTTCAAAGATGGCGACGTCATCATCAACGTGCAGCCCATCGACGAGGGCTGGATGTACGGCACCGTGCAGCGCTCTGGCAAGACCGGCATGCTGCCTGCCAACTACGTGGAGGCCATCTGATTGGTGCCACCTTCCCGCCCCCCACGCTGCACAGCTCGACGTTTAACCCACACCACCGCCACCGTGACCTCCGCCTCCTGATCTGGCATCGGGACGCCCGTCCTCCTCCTCCTCCGTTGGTTTCTTCCCCATCCACCTCACGACATTGCGAACCGCAACGCTCTCAATCCAGTCTCTTTTTGCTCAGACTAAAGTTAAATTGGGCGGTGCATTACTGAAGCACCGCGGGACAGCCATCGCATTGCTCATGAACGTGCATAACTGACGTGTGGGAGGTTGGTTGCGGAATCCGTGGGATAAACATCGAGCGACATTGTGCTTACAAGCTGTGCAGCCGAGGCGTTGACAACTGGAAGCAGTGGTACATGTTTACACCGGTACAATTTTTGGTCTTTATTGATGCTAGAATAAGCTATTTGGGGGTCATGTTAAGGATTCTATTCCAAAACCCAGAATCTAATCAGAGAAGCCACGCAGAAATAAGCACCAGAGAGTATCACATGTGTAAGCACGACTTCCAAAAATCAGCTTAAAATTTAAAGTGCTCCCTAACAAAATAAAGATCGGTTCCAGGTGGCTTCGAACAGAAACACCAGGGTTTACTTTAGACTGCCATACAAGAGTATTACATGCCTTACATACACAACACGCCTTTTTCCAAAAGTGCCGATGCAATACCTGAGCAATGATACACTTCATAAGAAACCTTAATTAAAATGCGTTGTTTTAGTTCAACATTAAAACGATGATGTCAAAGCAACCGTGGCTCTGAAAGTAACATGTCTCAACCCAATGTATCTTGCCATTTTAATACAATGCCATTCCATCTTAAAATCCTGTCTCTAAAAATGCATCACCGCAACACTACATTTGATTCTGGTTACTCTGTGGAACATTCAACATTTATACTTGCTACACGCGCAGAAAAATGGGGAGACGTATTTTTTCAGATTCACTGCTGACGTGGTTGAGCACAAGAAACACAGCACACACCCTGCCCGTTTGACGCCATCAATAGCCACGTGTTGTCCATTCGAATGCTGTGGAAATATGGAGTTCTGTAAGGCTAAAGTGTGAACACATAGTTGCACATTGCTGCCACATATAATAAAGCTAAAACATGAAGCTTCTGTTGGTCGTCATCTGTACTTATTGCGTACGTTTCCACGCGCAACCAAATGGAGCATTGTTTTTATCTATTCATTGTAGTATTCAACGCTGACATTATATAGTGTACGTGTGACTGAATCTTGGGACCCTGGAAATAAAGAGTTGCATTTTTACAAGCAGCGAGTTATCAGGCAGCGGTGAAGCGGGAGAGATGGTGCTATATCGCCGCCCTCGTTATATTGGGGACTCGCAATAGTTTTGTTTGATAAACGTACAAATATGCACCGATCACATCCAGGACCTGGTTGGCCAGGCCTGTCCAGTGGCAGGTACCCAGTGTTAGGTCGGAATCAGTGGTATCTTAACGACATCAGCTTGGGGGGTGCGGCAATCGGTCAGGTGGGGCCTCAATATTTGACTTGTCTCGCACACTTATACGGGACTATCGTTTTTAATGAAACAAAAAACGGATAATACACAGTAACATGCTAACAAATATAATGTTAATAGCTTCAAAAAGTCAGAGTCTTCACCTATTCGCCATCGTTGTCAACAGATGTATGGAATCTTCTCCAGGTGGTCTCCACAGCCCGGAGGCATTTCTTGTGGTATTGTTGCAAATTCTCCGAAGTGTTCACATTTTTTTGAAGCACCCTGTGTATATCGCGTCTCCCTTTGCCCAATCACATCGTCGTTACGCTCACGACCTCCAACACGGAACGCAGTATGGGGTGCTCCAACGTCGCAAAATAAGTGTTTGTTCTTTTACTCCGTTGTTGAAGACATCTCATGGTGGTTGGTCAAGGGAGCCCCAACTCGTAGCTTCGGCCACCAGTGGGGGAGGGGGGGAGCCAAGGTGCCCTCTGCCTGCCCCCACGCTTGTTACGCTACAGGTTGGGGTCTTTATGGTTAGGGTGCAGGTTGGAAAATGCTCATCGCGGGTGACCTACAATAACCCTGTAGCAGGGATGTAGGTCGCCTCCTATTCCGCTACATCCACGCACACGGCCTTCCCAGCGCTCACCCCTAAACCACGAGATATAGAGACCAAGCTCGGCTGCAAAATACATCTCTTTAATATTAGCCCTTCCCATTCTGATGACGTACACATACGTCATCAAATCCGATTATGTGCATGTACGGTATCGGAAGTAAAAGGCCATGCGAGAGTGCGTGCGCGGCAATGTTTGGCGCCAGCTATCGTAGATTGCGGTCGTGTCATTACGTTTCTCTGCGGTGATAGCAACGTCTTTTAAAACGGCAGCGCTAAGCCTCTTTGGATAAAATTTACGCCGAACCGCTTGAGATTCAGCGGTGAACGAGGGATACAAACCCTGCAACTTGCAGGCGTCTCAGAACGAGAAACGGCTAAACACCAAAACCTCCACAACTACGTTTTTTCGAGTATCAGTGGGGAAATTCCCAATCCATGCTTGGCCTGGTGCATCAGGACCGTCGTTCTCTTTCAATGTACCATACGTGACTGCGAGAATTTCGAATTCACGATTGCATACAAAGACGAATGATGTTACTGCAAACAAATTTTGCGGTTCGGTGTTGGGTTGAGGGTCAGGTGAAATCAAAGCAGGTCAGATTACAGGTAAGATAGCGGCGTTAATGTGGGTTCGAGTCGGGACAAGTAGGCACAGATCCGGGTCAAAAGGTTATACTCCCGCGGGACGAAACCACACTTGGGGCCAGCACATCTCCCATCTGCACTTGCCCGTTCAAACAAAGGCTGTGCAGAGAAGAATGCACGCATACTCCGATAACTTAGTTCGATTGTATTTGCGCTTCTCGAGTCGTCTTTAATTTGTCGTGGGTTCAAATTGTTACATTTATTTACATATATAAAACATCTGGCCAGCGTGGAAGAGTAGTCCAAATCAGAACCTGTGAAAGGGTCCACTAGCGCTCCATCAAGTGGAGGCAGCATCAGCAGCAGCGTGAGAAAGTGATTTGCAGGCACCTCCCACGCCGAACCATCAGCAATGGAGTTCTTCCCAGCAGGGCATTTCATTCTCTGGAATTTCATTACAGCGATAGACTCCGCTGCTCGTGACGCAGTTATCTATAGTAGAGGGTTTCGTTCGCTTGGTCTGTGTGTGGTGTTTGGCATCTTTCGCGCCGTGCATAGCCAACCGAGAAATGTGATTTGGGCCTCGTAAATAGTGAATGTACAGCCTTCTGGGATGATGTTGGCAAGAATGACGCTACTGTAAAAAAAATATTGTCCGTCTTGAGCACCTGCATATGAAATGGTAGTTGTTGCTCTGCATCTACATCAGCCATACAAAACACGATCTTATTCTCCTTCATCAGCTGCCAAAAACCCATGCGTGCAGCAGCCTCTTGCTGCGCCAACACGTGGTAGCGTGGCACCACGGGCTTGCCAGCGCGGATATGATGGAGCTCGCCCTCCCAGAGGACTGATCAGGAGGCTGTGCTCTTGTTAGGACGGCTCTGGTGGGAACGGTGGCAAGATTTTAATTACACTCGCCTGGTACCCAATAGGTCGTGGGTTCGATCCTAGCCCTGATGCCTGCTGCATATTCGGAGTTTGCGTGTCTCTCGCTCCCCGTGGTTCCGTGGATTTTCTCCAGGCCCCCCCGGTTTCCCCCCCCCCCCCGCCCCCCTACATTTAGAAACAACGTGCGTTCAGAGTATTTGGCTGCTATCCATTTCCACATCTGCCACCTTGCGTTGAGCTCTCACTTGAGACAGCCGGGTCGCTTCTGTAAAAGAGCTGCATAGCTCAATTGGGCCTTACTTGGTAAAATAAAATAAAAAGTTGATTATTTTAATTTACCCACGTGTGGACGCGCCACTGGCGAGCCTCGACTGTGGTGTAAACATCGGCCACCGTGGCGCGAGATGGAATTCCTTTCCAATTGCGTGGAATCCACGCAGCAAACCACTTCCATGCGTTAGTTTTTTGTTTGTTTGTTATTGTTACAAGATATAGGCACCTGCAAGTACACGACAGAAATTAAGCCCGAATATCCAAATCGCTCAGAATGTGACATCTCAACAGATCTCGAAAGCTAAGCACCTCCGATTAGCATGGTTGGCTACATACGGTGCGACAGAAGTTCTAACAGCCATAAGCAGGGGCAAAAGCATGCATTGTTTGGCTGAGCGACTTGGGTGCACGTCAGGCTTCTGCGAGACTCCGTAATGGGCAGCAGAGGGCACGGCACCAAATACATTGCCATTGAGCGCCATAACACCCCGGGTTTGCGTCGGGCCGATGGCGTTCTCGAAAGGTTCGACGGAACGACACAAATCGAAGCGATTTGCAGGGTAGGTGGTGGAGGCGACGGCCGAGCTGATGGATAACGAGAAAGGACCGGACGATGCCGTCAGCGACGCGAGCGTGGGTTTGAGGCGACGCAAAATCGGGTCGCGGTGTTCAGTGGAGACGTGATATTTGCGAAATGACATGAAAGGGGCAAGACACAAATCGGAGTATTACTGCACATTGTTATGCAGTACTCTACTTCCTATGCTCCCGTATCTGGCCGAATTAATCACAACGACCCACAAAAGCAGGCAGAGATTCTCATCCAGCAGTGTATTGACACAAGGGCCACACACGAAGCGCAATCAAATGTGGCATTAGAAAAAAAGGCACGTGCATGGTTAGTAATTATAACATTAGAATGCATGATCGTTAAATGGATATATTCATTGGTTCTTTTGGTAAAATAATTTCTACATACGTGACTTTTCCGAAATAACCAATGGGTATAGTAATTCCTGCAGTCACGAAAGCTTCAATCCTACGTTAAATGGATGCTTAATTAGGATTAGTTTTACGGACGTGAGGAAATGTTCAGTCTGAAGACATTGAGCGCGATGTATTTGGCACTCTCGGTGGAAAAAGGCAGAAATTCCAAGCTTGGTTTCAACACGTGGACAAAAACTTGACAAGGATCTCTCCAAACAAACTTCAAAACGCATTGCACCACGTCCCAGACAGCTCAAAATAAACACACGGATTCCTGTTTTTTTTCTTGAGCATTCAATGAATTTTTTTTATTCATGATTTTAGCTTTGTTAGTACAAAATCCAAACGGTGATATATTACAATATTTTGTTCTTTATACAAAAGAAAAACCTCGAGCACTGGTATACGTGTAAACATTAATTCCACGATGACAATTTATATTTTCCTCAAGCACTCCAGGCAACAACTTTGATCTCAAACTACATTCTCAACTTCCCCTGTTCTCAGAGCCTTAAGGCCAGCAACAACCTGCGTGACAAACGTGCAGAAAATCCCGAAAAACTACGGGGGGGGGGGGGGGGGCCCGAGAGCATCCCTTTACATCCACGGAAAGACCGTGGGCATTTATTCACGCATTACTGGGCATCATTTCATAAGTCTGATTGGATTTTTCGGTGTCAGTGAGAACCTCCTTGTCGTGTCCGATGGTCTCCACGGCGGCGCAGTTCAGCTGCTCCGATACGCGCCGAGAAAACACGGTGGGCCACATTTTGGGGCGGAACTAGAACAACAACAACGAGTTGGTACAACCGTCAGCTGTTAAATTATAAACGAAAACAAATTTGTTTCATATATAGCATCGAAAAAAACCATGCATCAATAAAAAGGCTGCACGGTCTTGATGGACCGACAACCAGGCCCGGACTGGCCATCGGGCATTAGTCCATAGGGGCAAATGCCTATTGGGCCGGTCCATTCCAAGGGCCGGTCTGTGTGGAGAAATTGCAAATGTGAGAGTATATACAAATATTTATTTCACATTTAAAAAAAAAATATTTTATTACCTCCAATGTGTACGCATTGCTTATTTAAGCTCTCAGTCAGCATTAAGTCCCCACATTCGGCAGCCCCAAAGATTCTTCCCGACCGGCCCATTTGTTTTATTTTGACAAGCGCAAATGGGCCAATGAGAACGCACGGCAATTTGGGCCCCACTGCGTTTAGTCCCAGTCCGTCACAGACCGACACGTTTTTATAAGCAAAGAACAAATGGTCATGGAAATGTTAAGTCTACCGAGTTATGTTGGGCATTTTTGCAGTGTATAAAAGACAATTTTAAAATAAATTCTTACAGGGTTTTATTACTGTCAAAAGAAAATGGTGCTCTACATTTATACAATACAAGAACCAGACAATCTATATAAATTACGGCAGCATATTTTCTATCCAAGAAAGTGTGCAAGCTGTAGAAGCAATTTATAATAAACATTAAAAAAATATATTTAAATAGTGAAGAGCACAAACAGCAAAAGGGAATTGTTTTTTTTTGCACTTAACTTTTTTTAAGCTTTGAAATGGCTTGAAAAATTCCCTTTCAGAACATGTCGGTCGCTTTATTTGCACCCACCATCTTCAATCCACAGGAACCAAAAGACTATTGACTTGCCCCTCAATTTGAACTAAAAATCTCAGGGATGCAGAGATTCCCGACTGGTTTTATGAACCTAAACTAGGGAACTCGCTAGGCCAAGGGCATGCTGGACCTCTGAGGTCATCGCTGTTTGTGAAGTATCGTCTCTGCAGGACATTTCTCAACCTCGGTTTCTGATTTGGTAGAATAAAAAGTAAGCATTCTTCGTTTTTTGTCAGCCCACTGCTGGATGAAGTCCCTCTCCGTGCTACGTTGGTCATGAGAGTTGTTTGCCTCATTTCACCACGCTAGGCAGTACGAGTCTGTGAAAAGGAAGGGGCCCAAGGATTGGTTTGGGAAAATCACTTGTTAGCAGTGGCCGGGAACCACTCTGGTCGCTAGGTTCATAGTGCAGCAGTACAATAACCACCATGCAAATCCGTGCAGGCTGCCGATGCCTACGGTTTTTGTTTCAGGTTAAATCCGAATGCCCGCAAACACCACACCAGTGGCGAGCGATGTCGGATACATTCCCGACAACGCCCCCAATCCAGAAACCCGCCCCGACTAGCGTGGTTGAAGCATGGCAAAACCCTTGTAAGTCGACACAGAATGGGGTAGGTGGCCTTAATCCAGCAGTGGATTTTTAAAAAATGGCTGTATGATTTTATTAGAATGTATTTATCATGAGCAAACACACTTCTCGTCTCCAATAGGGTTTTGTTTGTCCTCACAATGGTTTGAGGTTATAGAGTAAAACGTCCACAGCTCCATGAGGTAGGTGGACATGAGCAGACCACGGGGTGTCACTATCTTAGTGGCTTTCAAAGATTGTCTTGCAGCTTAGGCAACGGTCTAAAATTTCGACCCTACACTTAATGCCAATGCCACCTCCTCTTGAGCACTTTCACACACACCAGCAAATCCACTACACATGGTTTGCCAATAAACTAATGCAACAGTGAAGTAATTTTACTGCGAGGTAGGACTGCCAGCAGCGGATGGAGGAAATTTAATTTGGCAAACCTGATTGCGAATAAAACCCAGTACACGCCACCAAATTACAGGATTACAGGTGCGAGCGACCAACAAACTTCTTCTGCGACGTGGTGGTTTCATTTTTCCAGTGTAGCCCCCCCCCACCCCCCGTAAAAAAGTGCTTAAACAACTTGTCATCATGCAACAAAACAAGCCTTTGGGGCAAACCAGACCAACTTATTCTGGAATTTCACGCAGCAGCAGCACACGTGTCTTGAGCATGCAAGCACAGTAATGGAGTAGGCAAGCGGAGCACCGAATACCATTTGAGGTTAATAATTCCATGAGAAGTTAATAATGCCATGAGGAGGTTAATAATGTCATTGTGCAGCCTACGTTTGCGTAAGTCACAGGGGCATGCTGCAAGCATGAGTTCACCAAGCTGTGCGACTTTTTGAAATTAACATTTCAAAATTGAAGAGGATAACATATGTATTATTTCATGGGACCTCCTTTGCCAGTACCAAAAAATATGAGACTAGGTTTTCCCCTTTTTTCTGGAAACAAAACAGGTGTTAAGATATTTCTGTTTTGTTGCCAGAAAAAAAGTGGAAAGCTTACTCTCATGCATTATTATTATGCATACTAATACATCTCTTTGGTTATTTTGGTAAAGTCACGTAGAAAGAAAATAAATTAAATAATAGAATACGACCTTTCGATTGCAACACAAGCAATCGTCATCTGGAGAACGCAATCAACCAGGATATGCGTTAACTGTGTTGGCTGACTCTCTGCGTTGCATTGCATTACATTTCCAAAAATAGGCAGTTTGTTTTCTCAAACTGCCTATTTCTTTCTCAAATTTTTTTACCAGGCTCTCATAGGTCCATTCGCTCTTTCTCTCCCCCGGCCGCTTAGGGGTGGATTTCCACACAACTCTCTCTAAATATTTACCAGTCTTGCTGGGTATGCTAATTTCTCTGCTCCAGCAGACCCACCTCTCTCTCTCTCTGCGCCCCCTCTCTCTCTCTATTTAAGGCCACGACACAGAGGCATTGGGTCTCTGTGTCTATGTTGTGTGTCTCTCTCTGCTTGTGTCTCTGTCTGTGTTTCCTTATCTGCGTTTTGTCTCTCTCTCAAATTTAGTTGTACCTGATGACGATTGCTTGTGTTGCAATCGAAACGTCGTATTCTATTATTTAATTTATTTTCTTTCTACGTGACTTTACCTAAAGAACCAAAAAGTAATTCCTGCAGTCATGAAAGCTTCAAATCAAGTTTAATACTAATACATACATGAGGTCTAGAATAATAAGTATATTTATTATAATTATTAAATCAATATATGAATACGTATACGTACAATATGTTAATAAATCCATTAAACCTAGAATGTATTATTATTACTACCCACTATAACTCACGTTCAGAATCAAAACGAGTATTAATGAATATTTTATTCCTAATAACAAGAAATATATTACTTTATTTAAATGTAACAAAAAACTATTTTTCTCCTCAGAATTAAGCAAGACATCTAGCTCGGATATCAAAGGAGAGATCGTCAATACAGGGTTTATAAAAAAAAATATTGTACTCATCTGCGGGAACCAACAGTGTTTGTCCTACAGATTTGACTGTTCCCAGCCATGGGAACCAGGGGAAAAGTCTCCACTGCAACTACCCAACTATCATACATCATACAATATGATAGTTGGGTAGTTGCAGTTTTAGCGTCAATATACTAAATGCCTCTGTTGACATGTAAACTCTGACTTTAACATAGCTACTTCCGTGACCAGTTACATGCTAATCCCTCACACTCACATCATGCTAATCTCCCAGTTACATGCCAATTTCTGACTTTCCCTGCCAATCCAACACATTAACACAGCTACTTCAATGCTAAATTCTTCTGTTGATATGCAAACTCCTTTGTCAAGGCGCTCTGCTCCTCCCACCCAGCTTAAAAGACGCTGCCAAGCTTAGCAGTGTTCATTGAAGCGCTGTCGTCCCGACAGTTCTGTTCCTTCACCTGAAGAAGGCTACTTGTGTTGTGGCCGAAACATCGTGAGAATTTTATTTTATTATGTTTTATTTTTATTATTTTATTTCCATTCTACATGACTTTACTGTCAGAACCAAAAAGAAAAAAATGTAACAACTGTTGTCATATTTGCCTGGATCAACCGGGCATTTGCATCGCAGCCCCACGGACCACCTGGAAGACCGCCGCAGACCACACTCGGAGAACCACTGCTCTAGATGATACGTTTGCAAATGGCAAAAACATTTAAAAAGTCCCCCATTTAACATGGGATTTCGAAGAAAAGTACAGAATAAATAAAAGTACGTGGGCTCAGGCAGGACAAGTCACACGAAGGAATGACGGACGGTCAAGAATGATGACAGAGTTGCAGCCCAGGAATGGAACGCATCCATAGAGGAGACGATGAAATCGGTGTGCAGCTGCTGGGTGGACCGTGAAAGGTTTTGGGGAGGGCTGCTTCTTCCAGCAGTGGATCGACCGTGGCCAACGGTAAGGATAACGAATAAAAAACACAGCTCTTGAATGTCTCATGACCTTATTCATGCTGCCATTGTCAAGAGCCTGCTGATTTCTCTCTCGACTAAACATACCACGACGTTGACTCGAAGGAATAACTGCAGAACGGATTTTTTTTGTTTAAGCGCGAACACAACTACCAGTCCCAGCAAAACAGCGGCATCGCTGCAAATTGCTTAACATCAAGGGAGCCCAACAATAATTATGATGAAGAAAAAAAAGAATATGCTTTATCCTTTCCAGCAAGAATACAGGAGATCTTGACTTAAAGCTTTCGTGACGGCAGGAATATTCTTTGGGTCTTTCGGTAAAGTCACGTAGATGGGTTCAAAGAAAAACACAAAAAACTAACGTCGTTTCAATCACAACACAAGCGATCGTCATGTGTTGCGATTGAAACATCGTAGTTTTTTGTTATTTTCTTTGAACCTATCTATGCGACTTTACCAAAAGATCCAAATAATATAAATACAAGAGATGTTAAGATCATAGGACCTCCTTTGCCAGTACCAAAATATGAGAATAGGTTTTCCCCTTTTTTCTGGCAACAAAACAGGTGTTGAGATGTTAAAACACCAAACTGAAACCTTTCACAAGGAATCATGTCTGGATTAACCACAAAATTTGTGGTCAGAATGCAAAAAAAAACACTGATCATATACATATGCATTGTCTTTGAAACGGATTGGTCTACACCAGAGACAGCTTTTTTTGGTTAATGCAGACATGATTCCTTGTAAAAGGTTTCAGTTTGGTGTTTTAACATCTCAACACCTGTTTTGTTGCCAGAAAAAAAATGGGAAAACCTATTCATGAGATGTTAAGATGTTCAAACACCAAATATACACCCTATCACAAAGCATCAAAAGTCTGCATTAACGACACTTTAACCGCACAACATCTTAACACCTGCATATTTCTTGTCGGAAAGGGGTAAAAGCCTATTCTTTTCTGATCATCTTGATAGCGGCAAAAAGAGTCCGGTATAATAACGACGACGACAAAGTCTGTTGTTGTTGTTGTTGTCGTTGGAGCCGAGCGGCCGCGAGCAACTCACCTCAATGAGGAAGAGGCTGACGGACGAGGTGGGGTAGCGGTGCACGTAGAGAGCGAGGCCGCACGCTGCCAGCAGCAGCAGCACCGCCAGCGAGAGGCTCGCCGCCAGCAGCACGCTGCTCATCGACGTCGCTCCGCGCACCGAACCTGCTCGCACGCACGGCACGCCGCGGAGTCAGCGCCGATCGCAACACGCTCGCGCGTCAACCCCGCTGGCTGCTCGACGCTGTGCAGGCGAGCGAGCGATACTTTGACCGTACTTCACCACTCTGGTTCAGTGTGGGATGGTGGAAGGAGGTAGGGAGTAGGTTCGGGAGCAGGATTGGCTCGGAAGTCACTTGCCGCCGATATTAGCCTTGGCCGGGAATCAAACTCTGTTGGGCAAAGTTCGTCGTGCGGTAGCTCAAGAACCACTGGGCCACTGAATGCACCCAAAATTGGTGCAGATTGTGGCGTCTATAGTTGGATTTTAAATGTACATCAAATGCCCACAGATACATCGGTAGTGAGCGATATCTAAAGAGGTCCTGCTAATGCCCCAATAACAACACCACACTGACCAGCGTGGTGAGGTATGGTTAAACAATCCCCATAAATAGACACTGGGTTGGAAGGCCTTAATCCAGCAGAGGATTGACAAAAAGGCATGTGAGATTTTATTACACTTTATTTTACCATCGGAACACACCAATTCTGGTCTCCGTGAGGATATTTTATTTTCACGCAATTGTCATTTTGGGTTAGACAGCAAAACGTCCACCGATCCCATAGGTGGACACTCCAGAGGGTGTGAATGTGCCGAAGTAGCTTTCAAAAGCGTATCTTGCAGCTCAGGCAAAGGTCTAATTATACAGTACCCTACACTTGGTGCTGCGCTTGCCAAAAATGAACCACAATACCTCGCCGATCTCATCGAGGAGCTTAAACCATCACTTGCGTGTTAAAGCGTATGGTTTATGAAGAGTTGCATTGCGGAATTATACATGATTGGAAGGCCAGCTGAAACATCAAGAATAATGTTTACCATAACCACAATCAAACTCCTTAGGAACAACTTGCAAAAATATTAACTGGATAATACTGGCATCAAGCGTGCGCTTGCCGCAAACATTTTCCAAAGGAAAATGCCAACCATAAGCCTGTCCTTAGTCCCTTCGTCCAAAGGAAATCACTAACGGTGTGTGGTGAGATAATAATAATTTAAAATACAATCATCTGACTCGGATAATTATATTTAGAAAATGTAATTGTAAACATAGACGATCCAATCCATTTGCATCTCAGAGCTCAAGGCGAGACTTGAGTCGCAAGCTACACAAGCATACTAAAACGGCGGCAAGATATTAAAACTAAGGCCCCACGGTGGCGAGATCTTAACTACCTCGTCTGGTCTAAAGGAGGTTGTGGGTTTGATCCAAATCCTGACACCTGCATATTCGGAGTTTGCATGTTGTCCCCGTGGTCACATGGATTTTTCTCTGGGTCCTCTGGTTTTTCCCTCTACATTTAGAATGAATGTGCATTTAGATAATTTGGCTGGTATAAATTTCCACGTGATAAGCCACTTTGTTGAGCTATAATTTGTGGCCAGGTCGCTTCTGAAACTAGTAACGAAATGGCATGTTTTGTTTACGTGACAAACCTTATTAATTGGCTGCGTCAGGCGATGGCGGGTTTAACGACACGTGGATATTGGGTCGCGAAAAGCCCACATGTTAAACCAAAATAAAACATTTTTTATTTAAAGCTTTCGTGACTGCAGTAATTCATATTCTTAGCTCTTTCGGTAAAGTCACGTTGAAGGGAAACAATAAAATATATATAAAACAATAAAAATTCTCACGACGTTTTGACCATAACACAAACGGTCGTCATCAGGTGTGAAAAGCAACGGAAATAAACATTTGAAAGAAGTGGCGGTTCGCATTTATTTATTTTTTAAAGGTGTTTGTATTTATTTATTTAAAAAACGTTAGCGCCACGAGCAGCGATTTGACAGTTTGTTTAGAAGGACGAGTCCATCTATGTTCTGAAAAGAGGAGGGGGGAGACGAAAAATTAATATATGCTGTTTGAAAGCCACCGTAAGCGTGAACAATCAATTAAGGCCTGAAATGGTTTATAAAATCCTTCCAATTATTGCTAAGCCAGAATCCATCTTCTCGGTTGAAATTGTCTCTGTGCTTGTATATGTGGATAGCCTCATGAACGAATCTCTCATGGTAGCCAGATGGCTTACAAAGAACCTCTGTCTTGGAGAAGTCAATGTCATGCGAGCCTACTGAATTATAACAATGATCTGCCACGGCCGAGGTGTTGGTCCTACCGTGTTTAAGGTCTGCTTTGTGTTCACGAATGCGGTCCGAGACATGGTGTTTGGTTTCTCCAATGTAACTACTACCACAGAGGCAACTTAGTTTGTAGACGCCAGGGTACTGTATGTCCGGAATCGCATCTTTTACAGACGGAACCAGATCACGGATTTTATGTAATGTGTTGAAATGGACCTGGATCTTGTGTTTATTCAAGATTTTGGAGATCTTTTTTGTGATCCCCGCAATGTAGGGTAAAGTGATGGTTTTGATAAATAAATGCAAACCGCCACTTCTTTCAAATGTTTCTTGCCGTTGCTTTTCACACCTGATGATGACCGTTTGTGTTATGGTCCAAGCGTCGTGAGAATTTTTTATATATATATATCTTTCATTATTTTATTATTTCCCTTCAACGTGACTTTACCGAAAGAGCTAAGAATACAAAATAAAACAGTTTTTGTTACTTTAAAACGCTACCCAGTGCTCGCCAAACCTCAGGAGACTTACTTCTGTCACTCGATGTGGGCCTGGCAGCCAGCGGTGGCTTCTGGTCTTCCGAGCCTCGGCTTGCGAGCTCATCAGCAGGGCAACTCTCCGTGCTTGCCTGTGGACACGGACGATGCGTTCACCACGGCGCTTTTTGAAAGGCAAAATTTAGAGCGTGCCTTCACATACCGCGCAAATGTAGAATCACATGCAACGTATAACATATATGATGCACCATTCAAATACGGCATTTGCCATGCACACCGCAGCCTTTCTGTGCAAGTACTGTGAGAAAGTGCATATTAAGGCCGGCATGATTTCTAAAGGAAATCTGTACACATTACAAAATGATAGCTTCAACACTAAGTGCACATAGGCATCCAGCAGCATTAGTGATAGACAAGAGACCATTCAAATCTTATCATATTAAGGTTACCCCTACTCTGCTAATAAAATGTGTTATTAGGGTTTCCATATTAAATTTTTATGGTATAAGATTTCACAATGAAGGTTATCGTGATATAAATTTTCCATAATCTTGTCATTGTCTTTTGCATTGGTTTACAGTTTGCTGTAGTATAGTTCTAGTATAAATTAAAATTATCCAAATGTTCCTTATTGCAGTTCACTGAAGATAAATCTTTCACAAGTCTTATTATCATCGCAACTTTAAAAATCGATAACGCTTACAATTACACAAATTATAAAAGAAACTTTTACATTCATGACATCACAATTGCCATGCCATCAATTACATCAAAAGCACCAATTCAACTGACAACAGCAATTCGTGTCCAACAAAGTGTTTTCTCACGCGCATTTTCGTCGGGAAAATAAATATCTTGGAAGAATTAAACGCACAGCCCTGCGGGCGGCCACGACGTGGCAGTACTGCGACATTTCGTACGATATATGACGCCCGATAACCGAATCGTCCGTTGACAAAACATCGTTGTCGCGCGAGTTTGTTGCTCACTCTTGAGCGCAACGGCCAAGCTGCCAGATCTGGGCTGGTGCTCAGCTCAGATCTGGGTACCCCCCCCCACCCCTTTTGGAAGAGCTTGACTTGTGGGTTGATAAAGGAAGCTAATACTGTCATCGGGGTTCCAATGGGGTGCGCTATCCATAACCCCTACGTGGACGGTGGGTTTGTGTTCATCCATGACCATTAGCCGGCCCAGTAGAGGGCGCCCTTAACACAAAATAACAAATAGCGTAGCAGTGGTGACGAGGAAAAGATGGACAATACGCCTCCTTCTAATACCCGTCCGCTCCACACACAAAAGTAAAGTGTGTCTTTAAACACCTTCTAGGAGGGTCTAGAAAGGAAGCGTAGCCAAGGGGGAGCGAGGCTGCACTGGTGGGATAAAAGGGGGACCCCGGGTAGGACTCGGGCCGTTGTTGGAGTGGACTCCTGGAGCCCGTCAAGTCCCGTCAAGCCTTCGTCATCATCAACAACATCGTCTTACCGTCGTCTTCAGCGTTGTGGGTCAGGCAGCCTGTTACTGCCCTGACCTTGTTTTAGTATTTCCTGTGCCTGCGAAGGCTATAGAGTGTATCTCTAGTCTGTCACTATACATATTTGAACACATAAATATTACATTTACCGGTTCTTCATCTCTATGGGACCATTTTGCCAGTATCAAATGATGAAAACATAATAAGCTTTGCCCTTTCGGGCAATAAAACAGGTGTTCAGATATTGAAACACCAATTAGATATCTATTGCAAGGCATCAAGTCTCCATTAACCACACATAATAATAGCCACACATACTTTCGGCAAAAACATGCAAACAAACATGCTCTGATAATGTATGCATTGTCGTTGAAACTGATTGGTCAACACTATAAAAGGGTAAAGCAGAGTTGTATTTTTTTTCCATTAAATAGGTTCTTCACGTTAAGAGGACTTTGTTTAACAGCGCAGGTTAATTCCCCATCGTACCTCTTGCCGACAACTTCCGTCGATCCATTCCTGCCGGTGGCGGTCAAATCCGCTGGAGCATCTGAAACAAAACGCGGAAAATGAGTAACAATCGAACACGGAAGCATGGGTGGGGCGGGGGGATTACTCAAGATCTTCATAGATGGCTGCACATTTTGCACTCAGGAGCTATTACGAGCGGCGAATGTTACGCGTTATAAGTTTGCTAAAAAAAAAGTGTTGAGGGGCACACCTTGGAGGAGGCACGGGAATGCATACAACTTGGGCACAGACTGAACGTGCATCAGGATTGTGAGGAGTGAAACGGGGGAGAAAAAAAAAGCAGGATGAAAAACATGTTTGCAAAGTTGAGGAATACACGGATCGAGGGACAGATGCAAGTCGGCTTTAACAGGGCACATCGAGGCTAAGTGAGATCAAAGTCAGCATATTTATTCATACTGCGGGAGAATTCCGATGAGCTACAAAGCTCTTTTTCACAGACGTCCAGTAGGGGCGGATCAGAGCGTTACAAGATGATGGCCAATGGGCGAGACTAGTGACAGAATGACAGTCCAAGCATTGGAACACACCCAAAAGTATGAGCACCACGAGGACATGGGCAGTGAGATAAATTCAATGCACACACGTGAGATGGTTTGTGGCTTTGCAGAGCCACGACAGATGGTTTTGGAAGAGAGAGGCCTTCAGCCAGTCGTGGGAATACCATGGGCACGTGATGATGATAAATAGTTTTTTGGACGATGAAAAAATAATAGGCATTAGCCTGTCCAGCAATAAAACAGTAAGTATTAAGATGATCAAACACTAAATAGACACCTTTTGCAAGGCATCAAATACTGCATTAACCACACATACTTGTGGTGAATCACACAAACAAAACGTTCCCTGATAATAATCTATGCATCGGTCTTTGCAACGGATTTGCCTACACCAGAGAGACAGCCGTCTTTATGGTTGTCTCAGTGTTAGACCAGAGAACACCAAAAGGCGAAAGCCTATTATTATTTTTTAAGACTATTATTATTATTTTCTCATCGTCTTGATGCTGGCCAAAAAGGTCCCATAGAATAAATAGGAGCCTAAATAAATAAAAATAAACCTCTGGATGCTTCCACACCACCCGCAGTCGAATGCGATGTGGGCAGACAGGCAGCTGTCACACGTCTTGTACTGATTGCACGCTGTCAGGATCACAAGAAGAAGAAAAAAAACAGTTAGCTTACAGGAGTGAAGAACACCTCTTCCAAAACAGCCGGATAAATCGAGTAGCAAAATGGGAAGACGGGCAACCCCTTCACTGCTGGAAAGGCTGCAGGAAGGGGGGGGGGGTGCATATGGGGGAGCAAACTATAACACAGCAGAACACGACACGCAGCACACACGTGTGATGTCAACGTGCCGCGCACAAAAACGTTGAGGAAATGTTGCCACGATGTTTGGGAGGGTAAAAGCTCAGTATCATAATATTTATTTATAATGGAGCAATCCGATGAGCTATGAAGCTATTTTTTTGTTTCACGGATGTCCAGTAAGGGGGCAGGTCAGAGCGTTACAAGAAGAATAGAAAAAATATATACGTGACTGCAAGAGTACAGGAAAGGTAAACAAATCACTTTAACAATACATATACAAATGAAACTAAGTTACCGACACTGGAAAAAGGCCGACTTTGTTGTTTGCAGGCTGGCTTCAAAAACTGCAAGCTCCGCTGATAGCACACAACTGACAATGGCAGTTCTTTAAAGTGGGCACCATCAGAATCCATTCCATAGTTTATGTCTATGGGCAGGACAAATAATTTAATTAAATATATCATGGATGTCTTCGAGCAGATGTTTATAATACAGTCAAGTATTTACTGAGTGGAGACCATTTTACAGCCATGTCATGACCCATTTCTATGCACAAACAAACCATAACTTTAAAAGTCTGTTCTTAAAAACACATAGTACATCATGGTGCACAAATGACAGCTTTTCAAGTTCTTGAAGCTGAACTGGAGGGATTGTGTGGTTTCATTTGTCCACATTTTCCAATACACATCTTCAATTGTGTAACATCTCTAAAGTATTTCCATGTTTCACGTGCACACTTAAAAATTCCTGCTTACATTTCTGTAGGGTGCGCCTAATTAGCATCGCCAATTAAAAACCTAAGCACGCTATAGAAATCATGCGAATTATATTTTATGCGCACACACAGAAACACACAACACACCATACAACAGTACCCTGTTTTTACACTCTTCAATGATAACGTGCACGTAAGCCACCAAAAAGCTGGTACTGGTTTTCATATTTAAAAAAAAAAAACCCAAACAAATGCAAGATGTCTCCGGAAAGCAGGCAGGCAATGTGGCTGGAACAGCAAATAATATTTTACAAATACCGCTCGACACAAATATGATATTACGACAAACCACACCGCGTTTTTAAAATGCAATGTGGTGGCCACGTCGTTCCGGCTGTTAAGCGTCTCCAGTACAGAGTGCCACGTTGTGGGGGAAAACAAGAGTAAGACGACCGCTGGGGAGAAACGGACCCCACAAATGGGCATGTGGAATTTCCACCAGTGGTTTGGGATGCCAGTGACCGCCCCCCCCCCCCCCCCCCCTCCCATGATAATTTGATAACACTAACAATTTTTTTTTTGGTCCTGGGTAGTACGTGTTAGTTCCTAATTGCTTATGCCTCAAAAGTACAGAAAATGGCTATTATTCCTCACAAACTTTGCTTTTGGGACCAGGCCATTGATATTTTGAAATTTACCTATTTTCATTGAGAAAACAGGCGAATTTGTCTTTTCGTTCACAAGGTCAGAAAAAAACATGAATAAAAATGTACATGCATTATACTAAAGAATTACAAACATGACTACAAAAGATGTAGACACCAAGGCGCACTACAAAAGATTTAGACACCAAGGCGCACTACTACAGGCGGGACTGGCCACAGCGGACAGAGTTCTCTGTGGGCTGTGGGGAGGAACAACGTCGCGTAGGAGTCACTGGTGGAACCCTGGAAGGTGCCGATGCCACCACTGCACATCAAATTGGGCCTTGTGAAACAATTTGTCAGAGCTGTAGTTAAGGAGTCAGCAGCCTTCAAGTACCTTCAAGACTTCTTCCCTAAGCTGTCTGAGGCAAAGGTCAAAGCCGGGGTCTTCGTCGGACCACAGATAAAGAAGATCCTGGAGTAATCCAGATTTGGAGTGCAATTAATTCCCCAAGCTCACTAGTCAGGAAAAAGCGGCTTGGAACAGCTTTGTCACAGTGGTTCGTGGCTTCCTGGGCAATCACAAGGTCGAAAACTATGTGGAGCTGGTTGAGACTCTGGTGAAGAACTATGGCACAATGGACTGTAGGATGTCCTACAAAGTCCATATCCTTGATAAATTCAAGGAGAACATGGGAGCGTACTCGGAGGAGCAAGGCGAGCGCTTCCACCAGGATATACTGGACTTTAAACGCCGCTTCCAAGGATAGTATAAAGAGAACATGATGGGAGACTACATTTGGGGGCCGATTCGTGAAAGTGATTTACAGTATAATTGTAAATCTCGAACGGCTCACTTTTAATTATTTTGTAGTCATGTATCTATTACTTTAGTATAAATACATGTTAATTTTGATTCATGTTCGTTTTTTCTGACTTTGTGAACGAAAAGACACAAATCCGCCCGTTTTTCCATTGAAAATTGCTAAATTTCTAAATATCACTGTCCTGGTCACAAAAGCAAAGCTTGTGGGGAATAAGCCATTTTCTGTAGTTTTTAGGTATAAGCAATATTTAAAACACTTACTACCCAGGAACAAAAATTATGTTACAATGTAATTAGTAAAAAAAAAAAATCAGGAATAAAACAAATATGCAACCCTTCATCAACCGATTTTCAGATGAATGCGTACCCACCCACAATGGGTGGCCATCCCAACTGCCAACAGTGCAACAATAAGAGAACATTCGACTCCATGTGTATGTTTAACTTCTTTCGCACAGTACGTAACCAACCGGTGCTATTTGAAGGTGTGGTGTGGGGGGACAAACGAAACACAAAAAGCAGTCCTAAAGAAATTAGTTTTAGATTCAAAAGTGCATAGCTCCAGTGGCTTCCTAATATCGGAAGAAAGATCGTTCCAGACGGCCGCAGAAGCGCATCTGAAAGCGCGCGATGCGGTGACCGTCTTTGTTCGATGGCCAGCCAAAAGCCACTGCCATGACGACCGTAGTTGATGAGATGGTTTTTTGCTCCTTGAAGAAATAAGCGGGGTATTGTGGTAAGCAGTGTGTGTGTAATGAGCGAGACCTTATAACGTATTTGTTCAACAACCGCAAGCCAATGCAGCTCGGTGAGCACTGGACGGACTCGGTCAGACCTTGCAGTGGATGAGGGTGAAATCACTCTACAATTATCTCGGGTTCACTGACGCCTTTTGAGATCGCTATATTATCAAACGGTTTGAGCCGGGCGATGGCGGTGGCGACGTGCGTGACCTATAATCCAGCACCGTGGGAGGCGGCAGGGGGGTTGGTGGATCGCCGCACAACTGTTGTGAAACTTCCCTTCTCATCGGCGTTCAGGTGCCTTTACCCCGACTTGCCAGGCCAAGGTGATACAGCAAGTAATAATAATATATAATGCGCATTTTCATCCTAGGATCCCAATGTGCAATCTATGAAAAGCAGAAAATAAAAACATAACCAGGGCAACTGACCAAAATAACGAGGAAAGGCCACTTTAAAGAGATGGGTTTTCAAAGCAGAACGAAATATATCAACCGACTCCGATTGCCCGATCCCATAGCCTGGGTACCACGCTAACAAAATCCCAATCGCCAAAAGAGCACAACCTAGACCTGGGAGTGCTGAGCAGTTGGAGATCAGAAGATCTCAAGGACCTTGATGGAATATATACATGTATAAGTTCCTGCCAGTAATGTGGAGTGAGCCCTTTTAAAGCCTTTTTGGTTAATAGCAGTCTCGTGTAAATGTCCTCTCTGTACAGGATAATGAATTGCCCCATTGCATTCGTTGATTTTGCTCTGGGTGCTTCGATTACACTGGTCTACAATTTTTTAGACGTCGTCTGCTTCAGAGATTAAATGTGCTGTTTATTATGGATTTTGATGTGCTGAATTCACATGACAATTTAAACTGATTGGTTACTTGTTCAAGATATTTAAGTTTTTACATTTTACGTCTATGTATATTGTGAAGATAGCAGAGTTTCTCATAAAGACCTAGGTCTTTTCGTGTGTTTATGGTTGCTTTACATGATAACATGTCACCTGTCCTGTTCATGTAACACTTCTAAAATCAGCAAAAGGGTTACATAAATAAAATGTATTATGAAACAAAAAGGCATAAAACTATTATGTACAACGAGGGAAAAAATTATTTGATCCCCTGCTGATTTTGTACGTTTGCCCACTGACAAAGAAATGATCGGTCTATAATTTTAATGGTAGGCTTATTTGAACAGTGAGAGACAGAACAAAAAAATCCAGAAAAACGCATGTCAAAAATGTTATAAATTGATTTGCATTTTAATGAGGGAAATAAGTATTTGACCCCATCTCAATCAGAAATATTTCTGGCTCCCAGGTGTCTTTTATACAGGTAACGAGCTGAAATTAGGAGCACACTCTTCAAGGTAGTGCTCCTAATCTCAGCTTGTTACCTGTATAAAAGACACCTGTCCACAGAAGCAATCAATCAGATTCCAAACTCTCCACCATGGCCAAGACCAAAGAGCTCTCCAAGGATGTCAGGGACAAGATTGTAGACCTACACAAGGCTGGAATGGGCTACAAGACCATTGCCAAGCAGCTTGGTGAGAAGGTGACAACAGTTGGTGCGATTATTCGCAAATGGAAGAAACACAAAAGAACTGTCAATCTCCCTCGGCCTGGAGCTCCATGCAAGATCTCACCTCGTGGAGTTGCAATGAACATGAAAACGGTGAGGAATCAGCCCAGAACTATACGGGAGGATCTTGTCAATGATCTCAAGGCAGCTGGGACCATAGTCACCAAGAAAACAATTGGTAACACTGCGCCGTGAAGGACTGAAATCCTGCAGCGCCCGCAAGGTCCCCCCCTGCTCAAGAAAGCACATATACATGCCCATCTGAAGTTTGCCAATGAACAATCGAATGATTCAGAGGACAACTGGGTGAAAGTGTTGTGGTCAGATGAGACCAAAATGGAGCTCTTTGGCCTCAACTCAACTCGCCGTGTTTGGAGGAGGAGGAATGCTGCCTATGACCCCAAGAACACCATCTCCACCGTCAAACATGGAGGTGGAAACATTATGCTTTGGGGGTGTTTTTATAAGGGGACAGGACAACTTCACCGCATCAAAGGGACGATGAATCTTGGGTGAGAACCTCCTTCTGTCAGCCAGGGCATTGAAAATGGGTCGTGGATGGGTATTCCAATATGACAATGACTCAAAACACACGGCCAAGGCAACAAAGGGGTGGCTCAAGAAGAAGCACATTAAGGACCTGGAGTGGGCCTAGCCAGTCTCCAGACCTTAATCCCATAGAAAATCTGTGGAGGGAGCTGAAGGTTCGAGTTGCCAAATGTCAGCCTCGAAACCTTAATGACTTGGAGAAGATCTACAAAGAGGAGTGGGACAAAATCCCTCCTGAGATGTGTGCAAACCTGGTGGCCAACTACAAGAAAAGTCTGACCTCTGATTGCCAACAAGGATTTTGCCACCAAGTACTAAGTCATGTTTTGCACAGGGGTCAAATACGTTTTTCCCTCATTAAAATGCAAATCAATTTATAATATTTTTGACATGCGTTTTTCTGGATTTTTTGTTGTTATTCTGTCCCACTGTTCAAATAAACCTACCATTAAAATTATAGACCGATCATTTCTTTGTCAGTGGGCAAACGTACAAAATCGGCAGGGGATCAAATACATTTTTTCCCCTCACTGTGTATATAGTTTCGTTCATAGTTTTTGGTCTGCCTGGGCCTTTCACGTGGCACCAAAGAAGGTACAAATGGGACACACCCACAGCCAGCCGCTTCAGTGTCGCACCTCAGAGGATTCGGGGAGTCTGCGAGCAACACAAGCAAGAGTCGGGAGGACCGTCTGTGTTGGGAACGCGCTCGACCACCGACCGATCCAGCTACTGCACAGTCGCGTCAAAGAACTTTCGCTTAATAAACGTACCCATCGCTGCCCAGTGCAATTTCCCACCAGCTCAGAGCTGGTACATTTGGCACATGCACGGAGAGAGGGAGTTGGGGTTCATGCAAAAGTGTCGAGCTAGTACACGCTCATCAGAAGGCCCTCAGATCACCATTTAGATGCCTACTTGAGCAAGAATGCTGGTGGGAAAATAGTGACAATTGGAAATATTGTTAATTGTATTAAAAGTGACCATTTCTGCCAAAAACGGATTTAATGTCCCGTTAAGTAGATGCAAATTGTGCCCATAGTGTATATACCGCATTGGAAACATGACTCAAAACATTGCAGACTTGGAGCACAAACATAAACCTCAACATAAGAGCTTTTCAGATTAGATTACGTGGATATAAGTGCATTTAAACCCGCCACCACCCAACACAGCCAATTAGTAAGGTTTGTCAAAACATACAATCAGTTACTAGTTCAGCACACTGGTGTGTTGGAGTGTAAGCGATTTTAATGACAAACATTTACATCTACGCGATCCAACCCAAACAAAACCTCTATTATGGATAATGTTGGTTGCGAAAGCCTAACAAACATATTAAAATCATCCTCGACATTGGAATGTTGTCGAAAGTACGGCCACATCTCTAAAAGCTCACTAAAATGGGGTCAGAAGAGACGGATCTTGCGAACAGATGTTGTGCAGTTGCTGTGCAAGCCTAGGTGCCCGAAGGCCAGGATCCAGAGCCATGAAAATTGGTACAATATTAACAGTGATAGCACCACACTGACATCTCCAGTTTTCTTAATTTCCTCAGACGAGGTTCGGAATTTCGGTTAAGCGCACACTGCCCTTTAATTATCCAATCGCATTTAAGACACTTGTAAAAAATAAGTGGGGGGGGGGGGGGGTAACACTATAGTTGAAACGTCCTACCATTCCAAAAGAGCGTTAGAAGCTATTCGATTGCCAACGACTCAATGAAATCCAATTTCATAGTTTCTTGGTAAAAAACGGAGCAATAAGTGCAACTGCTTTAACCTTTGAAAAACGGTGCGTAATTTAAACCATCTTTTGTCCTGTTATTTTGGAAACTGAACCACGAAAGGAATAAACGCACAAACCTTTCAAGTGTGATTACTGGATATGTGAGAAAATACTTTATAGCCAATCAGATTCCTCCAGTATAAATAAATATTCGGATTCTCAAGTGAAATGGCCTTCATGCCGTTACGTACGCCACAAGGCACTCGTGTCTGTTCGCAGCCCTAAGCAAGTGGAAACAATTCATTGCTCGTGTTCAAGGCCTTGTGAGCACTTGTGCTACTTCATATTCAGGACCCAATTCAATCGATGCCTGGTCGTGGTCTTTAACATCTGCCAATTGTGTACCCCCCCTCCCACCCCTATGCACGCCTCAATGGGGTGATCGGGCATTGACTGTGGTGCCCCCAGGGTTATAGAGCCCCACCACCTGTGGAGGTCAGGCTCCTCGGATTGGGTTGACAACTTTGAGTCCGGAGTAAAAACTTAATGTGTTTAGAGTAGTTGGTTGCTATAAATTTAAACATAAGCCACTTATGTTGCGGCCAGGTCGCTTCTGAAAAAGAGCTATATAACCAGTGGGCCTTACCCGCTAAGCTAAAAACATTTTGGTTTAGTATGAAACACCGAGATTTGTTCTTCCTTGGCTCAGTTTGCCACCCAGCTAATTCTTTAAAAACTTTTTCATTTTAATCCCTGATGCATTGAGATTATGTAAAAGGTGCCTTACAAGTGCAAATGATTATTAAGTCTACATTCCATGAGACAACATTCCAACACACTTTGAGAAGGCTCAAGCCTGCTGCAGCCAAGAATTTCAATAACAGAAAAGCTATTTTTTTTCAGTTCATGATAATACATTTATGCATCATGCCATTTCTCATCTTGCGGATTCCATTTTAGACGGTGCTTTGCTAGACCTCTGCCTGAGAACAAAAAAAGAATCACATTCATCAATAGCACTGCCTTATAAACGAAAAAGTACGTAACAATTTGGCAACAATTTAGGCAATGGCCCTTCATTCATAGAACATAAAGGGAAGGGTCACCGCCCAAAACGTTACCTAATGTCTGCTTTTCCGTTTGAAGGCAGTGTTATTGAAGAATGCATCGGGTTTGGGGTTTTTTGTTGCTTGTGCACCACTGCCAATCCAGTGTCACCAAATCAAACTGCAAAAAGGATTGCAACACTGGATATTTTTTAAACCAAGCTAAGCAATTTTTATTTTACCAGGTAAGGGCCCACTGAGCTATGTAGCTCTTTTTCAGAATCGACCTGGCCACACATGATAGCTCAACGAAGTGGCTTATCATGTGGAAATGTATTGCAGCCAAATACTCTAAATGCTTGATGTTGATTATAAATGTGGAGAGAAAAAAGCAGAGAACCTGGAGAAAAATCCATGTGACCACGGGGAGAGAGACACGCAAACTCCAAATATACAACAATCTCCAGGCGAGGCAGATAACATCTCACCACCGGGGCGCCAAAATGTTACGCCACGGTGGCAAGATGTGAAAGTGTATTTAAGATCAGGGTGGAAAGAGCCCCTAGCAATGTTCCCTCCACCACCACTGCCATGCCCCCACCAATGCAATTCTATGACAGTGACATCGCCAAAGTATAAAAACAAAATAAGATGCTGGGCCGAAAGGAGGAATTGATATTTAAGACTAGTATTGTGATTGTTTGCAAAAAAAAGAGCTTTATAGCTCATCAGATTTGTCCAGTGTAAATAAATATTTGGATTCTGTTAAGTGACTGACAAACTGAATGAAACATTATACTAAAAGTAGCCCAAAATGGTGTTGAAAGTATGTAATAATTGAAATAATAATTGACAACCACTTGTCATTTCATTGTTGGATGAAAGCCTCTCCCCGCACCGTTAGGTTATGGGGCTTATTGTTACCACGCCGTCGATTAGAACGGTTGGCTACGTACGGTGCAAAAAGAAGTTGAACATACATCCATACCATAGTAATAAATTCTGGTCAGTGCAGGTTTTGTGAAGGAGGGGCCCAGGAACAGTTCAGATATCACTCTGCAGCAAAGTTAGCCACGGTTCGTGAATTAAACTTGGGTCACTAGATTCACGGCGCAGTGGATGATGGAAGTGCAGCACGATAAAAAACGCCCCCTTGCGCCCACCGCTTCCACATCTGCGAAGCCAGCATCTCGCACAAGTGAGAGAGAGAGAGAGATGGAGGAGAGAAGCGGGGCCTTACTTGGCAAGGGAACGAGTTCGATAGTGCAGCCGCTGGTCAACTCGGTGGTGTCCAGATCCACGCGGTGATATTCGTACACTGTCCACCTGCTTGGGACTGACGACAGTAGAATCGTTACAGCAGCGGGGTAACCGCCACTCCGTATGAAATGGCAGCGTCTCATCTCGCTCAAACAGGGGTGGGGCGGTAACTCAAGCTTCACTGTAGGGCCACAGGCGAGCAGTGGAAGTTCGATAAATAAAAACGTCACTCATCTGCCCTGACCAATTAACCACCAAACCCAGTGCAGTTATTTTGCGTGTGGTGGTGACACCATCATTTTATACCGTTCACACAGGAAAATTTTGCCACATATCCATCTACAACTCAGTGCCCAGCGAGTTGGATATGCGACATTGTACTTGTGTACTATTGCTACGACATGGGCCAGCGTCATTTAAAATTACCACTGTTCTTAGCTTCCGACAAGATGAAAGTAATTCTAATAATTTCTGAGGAATTACGAGGGAAGCAAAAGGTTCAACCTTGCCAGAGCTGGCCAGACATATATTTTGATCGTTAACGCCTGATCGTATGAACAGCGACACAACAGAGCAGCATTGTTTGGGCAGCCGGAATTGCAGAAAGTTCTACATTTTACAATCAGGTGGTTAAATGTAAGCAGGTCATGTGTTCGATATTTTATTTCTCATTTCAGGAAGTACCCTGTATTCCCATGTGGCGCTCATGAAGTCAAGCATATAAAAAAAGTACCGATTCGTAACGTGCAAGTCACAAAGTCTCAACAAATTAACCAATAGTAAAATTAAAACACATTATATTTATCCAACTGAAGAGCACCTATTCTTAGTTTTTTCGGTAAAGTCACGTTGAAGAGAAACAACAAAATAACAAAATATATATAAAACAATAAAAAAATTCTCACGACGTTTCGACCATAACTCAAACGGTCATCATCAGGTGTGTCGGTTTGCATAAATTTATTTTTAAAAACGGCATATTTTAAAAAAAACGTTTGCGTCACGCGCAGCGATTGGCAGTTTGCCCAGGACTAGTCCATCTATTTTTTTTGAAAAGAGGAGGGGGGAGACGAAATTTGTTTTTTTTTGTATGCTGTCTGAAAGCCACTGTAAGCGTGAACAATCAATCAAGAACTGAAATGATTTATCAAATCTTTCCAATGATTGCTAAGATAGAATCCATCTTCTCGGTTGAAATTGTCTCTGTGCTTGTATATGTGGATAGCCTCATGAACGAATCTCTCATGGAAGCCAGATGGCTTTCAGACAGCATACAAAAAAAACAAATTTCGTCTCCCCCCTCCTCTTTTCAAAAAAATAGATGGACTAGTCCTGGGCAAACTGCCAATCGCTGCGCGTGACGCAAACGTTTTTTTTTAAATAAATATGCCGTTTTTAAAAATAAATTTATGCAAACCGACACACCTAATGATGACCGTTTGAGTTATGGTCGAAACGTCGTGAGAATTTTTTATTGTTTTATATATATTTTGTTATTTCTCTTCAACGTGACTTTACCGAAAAAACTAAGAATATGAATTACTGCAGTCACGAAAGCTTTAAATCAAAATTTGAAGAGCACCTGTTAACTTTGACACAGACATACCCTCGAGTTCATTCACTTTGTAATAGATACCTGATATTTACACATTTTAGAAACTTTCAAACCCTTTTATCACAGCGATTAGTGAAGATAATCACAACGCTTTATGCAATGCAAGAAAAAAATCCGGCTATTAAAAAAAAGTGGTAAAACGATTGCGCATGTTACATATTTTTTCATTAGCCTTTTTAAAATCTCCTTTAAAAAAAGGCAGTCTTACTGATGAACATGGCGAGATTTTGTTTTTGTCATTTGTTTCTGCACCAGTGCCGATGCAGTAGCAGCAGCATCACTGCCAAAGAGTTTGTCCCACGCTGTACGGCTTCCTTCCTTCATTTCGTAGCATCTTGAGATGCGACCCAATTACAAAAGTCACATTTAGACACTGTGAACCCAAATTGTGTTGCAGTATTACGTATAACTTATTTTGGACCGTATGTTGCCAACAGTGCTAAATCGGAGGTGCAGTGTACCGGAGGACAAGTACGGAAAATTGTAAATTAAGAAAATGTGATCACACCCACAGCGCTTTTACAACTTTGCAGAGATGAATGCAGTTTAAGAAGAGAGCACCGATTGACTCTACTCAAAGGAGTAACAAACTCACTGGGTTTTCCTGGGGACCTGTGGGTCAAGATGAAAGCGTCCGAAATGCCGACCTTGACGGGATGCTTGCCTGAACTGATCTGCGATATGGGGATGGGAATCTACGGGGGGGGGGGGGGGGGGGGGGGGGGGAGGAAATGGGACAAGGACTGGTTAAATTCTAGAACAACGTGAAAGCACACTGACATCGCTTTTTTACAACTGCTTTCTGTGCATTTAGTTTGCCGTCCTTCCACCCACACCTCCGATTAGCACGGTTGGCTACGTACGGTTCAAAAGAAGTTCAAACTACTATACACTACACAATATACTACACCACTATATAATATAATACATATATAACTAATTTCTTTAAAGCTTCTTTTTGTGTTTAGTTTGTTGTCCTTCCCTCCACACCTATTATCACGGCTAGCTACGAAAGGAATGAAAGAAGTTCAACACGCATACATATGTAGAGGAGTGAAATACGCATTGTGCACAGTTAACCGAGGGCAACAAGGTGCACGTGTGCAACGTGAGGTTTGCACGGACAGACCGCCAATTGTTAAGGGGCGAGGCAGGTGCAAACGGGGTCGACCGGTTGTGCACGTTGAGACCGGAAGTGTTGCCAGGGAGCCGGGAGATAAGGGTTGATTGATGGGCCGACAGGCGCCGGCCTGGCGAGAGCTTAAAAGAGACGCACAAGAGGTCTCGGATAATTAGCAGAGGAATACAAGGGTGTGTGCGGGAGCGGAGAGGGAGTTGTTGCCGGGGTCGAAGAGTGAAGACATTTCGTCGCTGCCGCTCCAGCCGTCAAAGGGACCTCAACTCTCACGCCGTCGCCGGGCGGGTGTTGGCTGATCCCCCCGCCCGGGACAGATGGGTGAGCGGGTCTGGGGGAGCGTAGGTGAGGGCAGCGGTGGAGATGTAGAGACGCTGTGGCGAAGACGCTGTCTGCGGAAACGCTGCGTGCGGAGTTGCTGTGTGCGAAGGCGCTGTGTGTAGAGTTGCTGTGCGCGAAAACGCTGTGTGCGGAGAAGCCGTGTGTAGAGTCGCTGTGTCCGGAGTTGCTGAGAGCAGAGCTGCCAAGTGCAGGATAAGGGAGGTGAAAGGTAGATAAGAGTGGGGAGAAGTTAAACATAAGTGACCGTATAGATAGTTATAGGTGTGACTACAAGTGGTACAAGAAAAGGTGAATAAAGTGTAAGCAGGTGACTTGTTGCAACGTGTCGGTGCGAGTAACTTTTGAAGACACTACACATACATAGCCGTTACAGCATACCAAAGTCTCTACATAACTTTCAATATTGCACGTATTCTTAACCTTAACTAACGTAGTCACATGGCAAAAAAGGAAATAACATTGTAGACATTTTTAGTGTATACATTGACTGTGATATCGGCAGCCAAACCGATGGGCATCAGCAGCCAATTGGAGGGAAGAAGAAGAAAAGGGAGCGATGGATATGAAGCGGCGAGACACGGGGAAAAAAAGATACAGCCACAGGATGCCAGTTCCTCAGCTTACAGGTGTTAGCAGCACCAGAACCTAAAACACAATCCTACCACACATGCCCCTTACACACACACAGATGTAATACAGCCACAAAGCTGTTTTACATATGTCAAAGCAAGCCACAATACCGCATGTGTCAAAAAAGGCACCTGTTTATTTTCCCTGCGAACAGTATAATTACTCTCCTTCAGAGCACAAGAATCTCACACCAAACACAGCAATCCGCAGACGCCCACAGCAGCACGAGCCACGAGCAACACAGGGTTAGAGAGGCCAGCCGCCAACATTGCCTCGCCACCACAAACTCGGAGGGGGGCGCTCGAGGTTTCAAACGAAGCGTGCTGGCTGCCGAGTGCCACTAATCCGCGATGAATGTGCTCAGGAGTGGGGGCAAGTAGTTCCGTGGACACAAAGGCAGACAAAGATCGCCTTGGACTGCACAATCAGTCAAGTGCAGAGGAAGCAAGATAGACAATACAACTACGAGTTATAGAATGTCACCGTCACCCAGGAGGCTAAGTTTCCCCTTCAGGGTGTCGGATCGACACAATACAGTACAGTCCGTTCTCCTATAATGCGCGTTTTCAAAACGCGAATTATATATCACGTGATTAATGTATTATGGAACATATTTTTTTACAATGCAGATACGAATTGGATAGAACGCGATCGAGCGAACGCAACTTTCTCGCGCGAGTAGGAATAAACAGTCGTACAGACACCTCGGCGTAGCATCGCAAAAGGCATTGGGGATGCTGCTGGATGCTTCTAGAAGCTACCCACGACGCCTCAGTCTTCGCTTGCCCACAGCATTACGCATCTCGCGTGCTATCGCGGGACTGTGCCTTAGCCTATATTATTTATTATAGATGCAAACATTTTTTCCCCGCGATCCCATAATGGAGTGTTCTTCAGGAACACAAGTACTACCAGCGTTATAGGAGAACAGACTGCACAACATTGTGTGCACGCTCACCCACAGCCGGTGAAAGTATATGCGCGGTCGGTGCAGTGAAAACCTGGGGGGGGGGGGGGGGGGGGGGCGCTTGGCGAGGTGGCACTCACCGTTTTGTACCCGAAGATGATGCGCCCGTCGCTGTGTAGCACGGCCTGGAAGGTGAAGCCACCGACGCTTCGGTTGTCAAACAGGCAGACATCGCTCCACTCCACGGCGAGCAGGGAGCCTGCAAAGAAAAATAACCCCCACCCCCTCCCCGTGTAGTCCGTTTTAGGCTGTCGGAACAATTGCTGTTAGCGAGTAACACCTATGAAGGTCGGCACTGCGCACGGGGGGGGGGGGGGGGGGGGTGAGTGGCCAGGTACTAATTTGAGGACGAGTCGACCTAAGGGAGGCCCAGATAATTGTCATTAGTGTTGGTCGTGGGTATTTTATTTTCATGCATCCAAACCACTGCGGGCTTGGCAGCACAGCAGCATGCGAGCCACTTCACTACTGAGGCTGCTCAAACACAACAACACCCGCCATTTGCCACCATGTGGCAGTGACGTCACCATGGTGCCTTTTAAGGACACCTGAAGGATCGTTAACATCTCAGGACAGACTCAGGTGCCATGGGTTGACTGAGATGACTGGCAGATAGACCAGCTGTGGCCCCTACTGTGCCAACTTGCTGCATTTTATCCAACCGGTGTTCCACTCGTTGGTTGCGAGCGTCGCTCCTCTGCCCTACGTTGTTGTTGGTGGGGCTGATAGTTTTGGTGGGGCTGATAGTAAGACCCCACACCTCTAAGTAGCATGCTCCAAGTTCAGCAGCAGCGCCACCAACTCCCCCTCTGAGTGAGCAGCAATCATCAGCATACATTACATAGTTGACCAATCGGGAGCTATCCCTCGACCGTACCCCCAAGCATCGGTAAGCCTCCTATCGTATCTTAACCAGAAGGAAACTCCTGCACACCCATGGAAAGCTTCTCGAACCCAAGTGGTCAAAGGGGATGTTAAATAATGCGGGAGCCAGCAGACATCCCCATCACACCCCAAAGTGTACAGGTAATGGCTCCAACGCCTGGCCACGTAGATTTAACTGGGCCTGCCCACCATCATGAAGGCTCTTAATGCTTGTGTAGAGGCATTAATCGGCACTCCCCATGCTGTTACTGGTAGGAAACGTAGTGGACTGGAAGCCAAACCGGGATTAATTCACAGGAGGCAGGGGATTAATTGTGTATGTCTGTGGATGTCTGTCCACGTGGGAGGGGTCGGGAGGGGCTGGGTGGAGAGGGGGGAGGGGCTGGTCACCCCGTGGTGCCCTTATAAAACTCAACGTTTAACCTACTCACGCCGGCTTGTGCCCGCCCTCACAGTCGGGCATATTTGCAGAATACACCACGCCGCCTTTGACCCTGGCCATTGACCGAGCAACCCAACGTTCCTACCAGCTCCCTCCGCAGGAATGTGTTAGCGGTAGCTTCCCCTTCGCATCAACAGGGGGCGGAAGTGCGATTACGCTAATGTAAAGGACTATGGCCCAAGGGGCCAAAGGTAATCCCTGGGATAAGGGATCCTGGGACACAATCCCCAAACCCCAGGAGGGGGGACTGGGGGATGATGTCACCTTCCAGAAGGTTCTGGAAGGGAGGCGAGGCTAGGGCGGAGCAAGCCACGGACCTGTATATAAGCCGGACCTCTATAAAGGGTCCGGCTCAGTCATCTCCAAGCCGAAGACGGAGCTGAAGATAGGACCCTGGACCCCAAGCTCCGCTGTCCTTCTAAGGAGCGGAGCCGAGTGAGGCCAGTGGTCAGGGGAGGATAGGACCCTGGACCCCAAGCTCCGCTGGTCCTTCTAAGGGCCGGAGCTGAGTGAGGCCAGTGGTCAGGACCCAGAGACCTTGGCACGGTCGGGTCAGCGTAGCCTCCCCTAGGCCCCTAGCCATAAGGCTAAGAATTAGAGTGGTCACAGTGTTAGTCAGCAACCCAGGGTGATTAAACTTCACTGCCAGAAAAAAAACAAGGGGTGAGATGATTTGAGAACCTGGTTTAATCACCAGACAGCGGCCTCGAATTGAAACTCGGGAACTTAGCGGTTGTGAGCTAGTAGCTCGGACCTCCGAGCCACCTCTGCTACCTCTCAAAAGATGTTTTTTTATTACAATCAGCATCAACTCTTTAGGAATGTCCGAGAAGCACGTGCTCCTCCCCAATAACAAACAGCGGTGGTTGCCGGCTGCCTCTCACTCAAAGGGCAGCTCCTCGGGATGTTGGTTGGGGGGGGGGGGGGGGGGGAGACATTCAAATGCCAGTTCAAGGAGGTCACCACAGCAAAGGCCGTCATTGCCACAGCACCTTGCCACCACTTTCTTCCCTTCTGCTAAATGCCACAGCAATATCTTCCTGGAGAGGTTTAACTTCACATGTGACAACAGGTGCCCCGATACATTATGGGGAGCGGCAAGTGCATTGATTAGTGTGCTGCGCAACAAACCCGGTGTCCCGAGCTCAATTCCAGCTCAACTGGTCCTGGGACTCCCTCAAGGTTGACTCCACCTAAATCGAGCACCTGGTGTGTAAACATCACTACTGCTGGCCACCCACCCCCTCGGGTGCAGTTCCGGCCTTCATTAGGCACCCGCTCACAGCACTTACCCCAAGAGTCCGTTATGGCTACACAGGGGATCTTTGTCTTGGTTTTGCCCGCATGACTTGGTGCCACTGTTGGTACCACCTCCTGTGTACCATATCCTAGAATTACCTCTTCAAAATACAACTCAACATGCTAAATGACAGAGAAAAAGAGCAGGTCGATATAGAGAAGTTGCAAAGTGATTCACCAAGATGCAAGTACACCATTATCTATTTTAAATGACGTGTCTCTGAGTGTGGGAGAAGGACTTGCAATTGTGTCTCACCTCTCAAGCGAGAAGCTCGGTTACCTACCGTTGTCGTAGTACTTGACGGTGGAGTTGTCGGAGAGGCTAGGCGCGAAGTTGGCCATAAGTGGCGCAATGTACTGTGTGAGAGTGATCATTCGGTACTTCACAACTCCAACAAATATGAACCCTGCAAAAAAAATCAATACGTGAAGGAGGATATACGACAATCGAGACCTTTATCACGAAGCCAATTTTACTTCGCTTGAAGGAGCAGACAATTCGCTGCAACTAGAAGACTGGCAAACAAGCCAAAGGAGATGGGCAAACAGGAGTTTAAAACGCTTGCACCCAAAATCTGACCGCTACTATGAGCAACAGCGATTTTCTACAACGCTATACGGTTGGTTTCCAGGCACTTGTGTAAAATGTATTTGCTACATGGATGATCCCGTTTAGCCGGCTATTTTACAAGCGAGAAGTGCGGTGCACAAGGACAGCAACAACAAAATAAAAAAACTTCAATATCATAGAACGGTCCTTCAGGAGCATTGCACAACCGACCATCACGGTATTTAATGGTCATAAACGAAAACACACGTGAATCAAAAGCAGATGGGAACAAATTATATAAGCATTCGAGATGAGATATCATAGAGGACGCCTATGAATACCACACACAGCTCACCATACACCACACGAATCTGTCCGGGCCAAAATCACAGGAAAAGGTGGGAGAACAAACCACCATCGACTTGTTAGATGTTGGTGTGGTCGATGGGTCTGGGGGACGCCGTCGTCATGGTGGGACTACCTTTCGGGCACGAGATGTTGGTGTGGTCGATGGGTCTGGGGGACGCCGTCGTCATGGTGGGACTACCTTTCGGGCACGAGATCCTTTCCTGTGGCTGCCACCCTTCCCCCTCCTGCTCAAGACTCACCGCCCCCCCCCCCCCCCCCCCCCCCCCCCCCCCGCTTTTTTATAGTTAAGTCAAAGAACTATCAGCTGGAAAATATCACATCCATGGCGACAGGGGCGAAGCCGGGGGGGGGTGACAGGGGTGACATTCTGCGTGTAAGTGTACGACACTCGGTCTGGCGGACTCCGTGCAACTGCATTGTCAGAGTGTGTCGCCAACGGATGGCGTCTACAGTTCAGCCTGACTCTCTAATCATTCTTGAAATTAAAATTTGTTGAATGTCACCCCGGCCTGAAATCCTGGCTCCGCCCCTGCATGGCGATATTACTTCCTGTGCGCGAGGGGGAAAGAGCTCGAGCAGAAGGCACAATCGACAAAGCAGATGGCATCGTTACTCACTGTGTAGGGGTTATGTCTTTATTTTGTTTCCCCCAAAGACTATATCACGCTACAGGGTTTGTGTTGTACAGGAGATTCTCAACCTGTAGTCCATGCACTGCTGGCAGTTCGCACAGCTGGGGATGTTGGATGGGAGGGGGGGGGCGTTTTCCGCAGAGCTGTTAGGTTTGTTCGTTTCTCAATCCGCTTGTCCTGGTGAGGGTTACGGTGGCAGTGTGTCGAGTAGGGTAGTCCAAACCTCCCTTTCCCTGGCGACAGACTCCTGCACTGCATTACTATATAATACTACACAGAGACTCTCTCTTCCTGGGGAATTCCCAGGCGTTCCCAGGCCAGCCGAGTGACATTCCTGCCAGTGTGTCCTGGGCCAGCCGGCCCCAGGGTCTTCACCCAGTGGGATGTGTCCGGTAGAGTTTCAGGGGGGAGTTTATCAGGGGCCATCTTTACCAGGTGCTCGAACCACCTCAACTGGCTCCTCTCAATCCGGAGGAGCAGCGGCTCAACTCTGAGGTTCTCCTGGTTACCGAGCTCCTCACCCAATCATGGAAGAGTGATCCCGGCAACCCTGCAAAGAAACCTCATTTTGACCCCTTGTACCTGTGATTTGATCCTTTTTGGTCATCACCCAAAGCTCATTACCAGAGGTGATGGTAGGAATTTAGATCGACATGTAAACCGAGAGCTTCGTTCGATAACTCAGCTCCCACTTCACACCACAGAACGGTACAGTGCCCGCAACACTGCGGATGCCACACCGATCCGCCGGCCAATCTCGCGCTCCCACTTATCATCACTCACGAAAGAGCCTGAGGAACTTAAACTACTCCAACTAAGGGTAGCCGATCCCCCCTCACTTGGAGCGAACAATCCACGATCCCCCAGGAGTGAACTATGGCCTCAGATTTGGAGGCGCTGATCCTCATCCCAGCCGCTTCACACTCGGCATCAAACCATTCAAGTGCACGCTGGAGATCACAGACTGATGAGGCAAAGAGAACAACGTCATTTGCAAAAAACAGCGATGCCACCTCGATGCCCCCGTACTGGATAGTCTCCCATACCTCAGCTGTGCCTTGATATCCCGTCCATGAAAATGACACACAGGAGTGGAGACAAGATGCACCCTTGGCGGAGTCCAACACCCCGAGTGAAGGACTTTGATTTAACACCAAGGATACAGACACAGCTCTCACTTCAGGAATAGAGGACTAGATAGCGCACAAAAGCAGCAATGGTATATTATACTGCCACAGCACCTCCCAGCAGACATTGCGGGGAACAGTCATATGCTTTCTCCAAGTCTATATTCTAGACTGCCAGTACACTCACCCAGTTTAATAACTATTGCTATAGTCTACATTAGTGTTTTTTTGTTGCTTATTATTTGTATTCACTTTATTTTGTATTATTTTCTATCTACGTGACTTTACCGAAAGAACCAAAGAAGCTGGTCCATTGTTCCACTACAATAATGGAATCCGCATTGTTCCTCCTAAATCTGAGGCTCGACCACCGGGCGGAAGCTCCTCTCAAGTAGTCTGGCATAGGCTTTATCTGGGACGCTGAGGAGTGCGATTCCTCTGGAGTTGGCGCACACCCTCTGGTTCCCTTTTGTAAAAATGGGAACCACGACCCCAGAGGTATTGTACCCGTCTACCATGCAACATTGAAGAGACGTGTTAACCACAACACCTCTCCACTGTCCAGCACTTTTAAATCTGGGCGAATCGTCCACCCCAGCAGCTTTGCCGCTATGAAGGCCCTGGACCGCCGCAGCGACTTCAGCATCAGTGATGAATCCAACTCCCCCCCCCCCCCAACCCAGCTGTTTCTAGAGCTGCCTTCTGTAAGGAGGACATGTCCACTGGGCTGAGGAGCTCCTCAAGTGTTCATTTCACCTCTTGACTATCTCCCTAGTGGAGGTCAATGTTACGCCACCCTTACTGAAAACAGCCTGGACCACGTCCCGTCGACTCCTCCCAAGGCATCGGATGGTTTGCCAGAACATCTGAGGCTGCTCGGCAGTCCCTCTCAATGGCCTCTCCAAACTGCTCCCACGCCCAGGCTTTAGAGTCAGCGACTGCTGTAGCTTCTGCCCTTTTGACAAGCCGGTCCCTCTCAATCGAGTCGGGATAACTTTTTTCCGAGCATAGCTTGGAAAGCCTCCTTTAATTTGACAGCTTCCCTCATGTAGTGGGTACTGTTAGCGTAACACGCCGTTACCACTACTTACCTGGTGTAGCGTCAGCCATGGGTCAAACAGGGGGCAACGGCGAGTACGGCCTGTATCAAGTAACGCCGTTAGGCCAGGGAACCCAGAGGGCGGTTGGGAACCAGAGGGACACACCCAGGCCCCCAGTGGGGGCTGGGAGATTACGCAATAGTTGAGGTCCCTCCAGAAGGTTTCAGAGAGTAGGCATGGCCAGGGGCGGAGTGACCCTGGGAGCTGTATGCAAGTCGGACCTCTCAACGGGTTCGCCAGTCGTCGTCAAGCTGAAGACCGAAGAGCCAGCTTAAGACTCGAACCCTGGGAACCCCCAGGACCCGACGTCCTTCTAAGGGCCGGGACCGAGCGGGCCAGTGGCAGGGAACTGAGGACTTTGGCTGGGTCGGATCAGCTAGCCTCCCCTAGGTCCCCCTAGCCGGAGGGCTGACCTATATAGAGGAAGTGGTCCCAGTGATTAGGACAACGCTAGCCCGGAGGCTTTACCTCCCCATCAGGTCCAAGGGTTGCCACCATGACAGGCACCAACTGTCTTCAGGTCACAGCTTTTCGCAGCTGCATCCACAATCGAGGTCCCGAATATTATCCACTCGGACTCAATGTCCACGACCTCCCCTGGAGTGCAGGAGAAGTTTTCCCGGAAGTGGAAGTTGAAATGTTTCTGCACTGGGTGTTCCGCCAAATATTCCCAAAAAATCCACACTAGTGTTTTGGGCCTTCCACATCTAGCTAGTCAGTGCCCCGTGCGTCTGATCCAACTTGCCACCAGGAGGTGGGTTAGTTGATAGCTCCACCCCTCTTTTCACCCGAGTATCCAGAGTATATGGTCTTTGGTCCGATGACACAATGATAAAGTCAATCATTGACCTTCGGCCCAAGGGGCTCTGGTGCCAAGTACACTTATGAGAATCCGTGTTCAAACATGGTGTTTGTTATTGACATTCCAAGACTAGCACAGAATTCCAATAGCATCTCACCGTTTGGGTTCAGATCAACGGGGCCATTCCTCCCAAATCACGCCTCTCCAGGTATCTCCATCATTTCCCATGCGAGCATTGAAGTCGCCTAGTAAGACTATGGAGTCGGTCGGTGGCACTCCGTCAAGGACTGCAACCACAGTCTCCCAGAAGGAACAAATACTCTGAACTTCTGTTTGGTGCATAAGCACAAACAGTCAGTTTTTCCTTTCTGAGACCCGAAGTCTCATTGAGGCAACCCTCTCATCCACTGGGACAAACTCCAGCTGAACAGCACCCAACCGGAGGCTTGAGTTTCCCCAGACACACCCAGGGGTCTCTCACCAGGGATTACTCCAGAATAGGAGAGATCACCCCCGATTGAGAAGTTTGGTTCCAGTGTCAATGCCGTGTGTGGAGGGGAGACAGACTACATTACATCTAGTCAGTACCTTTCCACCTCCTCCACCAGCTCTGGCTCCACATCCCAAGAGCTAGTGTCCATCACAAAGGTTTAGTCCGTCTGAGACCATTCCTCTCCCTCCCATATTGGCATCACACCTGCCCCTCACCCTTCGTCCTGTGGATGGTGGGCCCACAGTACGACGCAACGTAGCCATTTCGGGCTGGGGCCGACAGGGTTATGTGGGTCACCCAGCCACCAGGTGCTTGCTGGCAAATACCACCCACA